CAGTTTCAGCTCAAATGTTCCACGAATTCCGATTGTTTGCTCCAAGGGTTCCCATAGCTAGAGGAGTTATAGGTCCTCGAGATCCATCAAGGTATCAATTAGGATCTGTGATTGTCCAGTTTCAACGGTCCGATCGCGGGGAAAATCAAGCCGAAGAACGGAGGACGGAACTTAGCCGATGTTACCCTGAAAGAGCCACAGAGCATCTTGTGGATAAATAGTTTCCAAAGCAATTTGATCTCACCAGAAGAACACAGAAAGCAAGCAGAGTGGACAGCGTCTCTCTGCCACTCGCTCGGAGTTGAAGCTTCAACCCTTGGGGGAAGCGGTGTAAAGGTATCCGCCTTCTTCCCCCACACCCTTCCCTCTCGCGCTTGTGACAAAAACCTCCTACTGGTTGCTGATCTTGCTTCTCTTGAGGTGGACCGGCCGATCTTAAATTCAGATTTGGGGGTTTGACGCGTTGCTCCATTAATAATTTGATACATATTCCCGAGGTGCCGATCAGTTAACGGCACAGATGGGATGGTACCAGCAAGAAGTCACATTTCAGGGTGTGAGAATGGTTGATTCGGCTGCGACACGATCAGTGCGCGTGAGGCTGATACATTGAGGAGCGAAAGCAAAGGAGAGATAATGGAACATAACTAGCGGCATCAAAACACCTTCTGAGCATTTGCTCAAAAAAAGGGGGGGGGAGATCAGGGATTCACTGCCGTTGTTTCCAGCGGCTGAGGCTCTCCAGGCTGAAAGGAAGCAGGGAATGAAAGAAAATCGAGGAGCATCCGTTAGCTCACCAATTGCTTTCATGATGATATCGCATGTGAACTGGTTCAGATGGGGAGTATAAAGACCTCTTTCAACGTGGATCCCCGGGGTTGTGGTCAAGTGATGTCGTCAACCGGCAAAACACCCCCCCCTCCCCAAACAAAGGGACAAGTTGCAGCTTTCCTGCGAATGTCGACACTATACATACGGAGTCCGGAGTCCGGAGTACATACATTGAAACTGAACCAAACAGGGCAAAGAATGCCATCAATAATGCTGTCGATCGTTTGAATGATGGTCTCTGGTACACTGGGTTGCATGATATTGCGGTACACTCCAATGGATAGACGGGAGACGATCGCCTATAACGAAAGCTTCGGTACTCTACTCTTGGTTGCAGGCAGAAATTCGTTAGCAGCCTGATTTAAGAGGCACATCCTCGCTGTCAAGTTTACATGAAACGGTGGTGGTGGTCGGAAGGGCTGGGCGGCCGGGGTTCCCTTCTGGGAAGTGAGCAAAAGAGCCGAAGCCAAGGGCTGGGGGAGGGACGAGGAGCGATTTCGGGGCATGTTAGCAATCGGAGTTCTCCGTGTCAATTCGGAGCGAGCTATCGAGATACGAGCTTCTCAAAGAGTAATGATGGTGTCTTGGTCACTCTCTTTTTTTCCCTTTTTATGTTTAGTTTTAAATCTTTTTTCACGTTTTATTTTTTTATTTTTTATTTTTTATTTTTTTTTCCCCCTCCTCCCCCCTTCTCTGGGGGGCCCGACAACTAGACTTGAGAGTCGAGCGGAGATACCATCGTCCCTCTGTAGGGCGCAGACGAAGCTCCGTACAGTATCATGGTTACGGCTGCTCCGTTACGGGGTAATAAGTTACGCCCTCTATAGGTGGTACCGTGCCGTCCGGCAGAACAGGAGAAGGCAGTGGCCAATGACAGCGGTGGTTTCAATACCTTGGCGTTTTGCCCGCTTTCGGCAAGGTGCAGGGGCGATGCATGCACGCCAAGAACGAGCGAGCAAACTTAGAAGACGCCGAGAACACGAAAAGAAGCTGAATGGAAGGAAATCGAAGGAGCATAACTGAGTTTAGCTTCCTGCTGGGGACGGGGGCTGCCTGCGACGGGCCAACCAGGTTTCGCCCTGCGCGTCACCCTTTTCGCTCATTGGCGACATCCCGGTCCGCTGCTGGGCACCGCAAGGGTCCCTTTTCCTCCCCCCATCCTGGTCCGCGATGATGATGGTGGTGGTGGTGATGGTGATGGTGGTGGTGTTGTCGTTGACATAATTTTATTATGAGTTAGTTATATTGTTTTATTATCTTTTTCTTGTTTGGTAAAGGTAGGTCCATGATTCGCACACCCGCATCTCCTCTTCCACACCCCCCCGGGCGTCAAGACGAACAAGAATGCTGGAGGGGGCCCTTTGGTCCCTTTCAAAATCAAAAAAGGACAGCCAGGGGAGCATGATTTTCTTTCCGTCCAGGTTGTCGACGCCAACTCACACATACACACACCTACCAGGGTATTTTAAAAGCAGACTCATTTTGTTCGGAGTGGGATCAATCGCCGGTCAAATCCAGGCAACCTTTTTCCCTTGCTGATGGGACCCTTTTGTTCTGCCTGTCGCTTTTCTTGAATAGCCGCGGGACCTTTCTCGTCTTGTTCTCCCCCATTCAACCGTGTACGATTGCTGGCGTGGAAAGGTCTCGCCGTCACCCCAATAGTAGTTTAACTGTAAAAAATAGCCGGGTGAAGAATAGAATCCTGCACGAATATGCGGTTGTTTTTAAGATGTGGATTTTCTTCGGGCATTTCCACCCAGGTGCATTCTTGAGCTCAGAAATCATCCGATCCAGACTGCGTCGGCGGCTAGGTCTGCCGCAGCAGTCAATATTTCATCCTTTTTTAATTCTCTTACAGGCCAGGGAGGTATCGCGGTATGTGGCTAGCCAGGTTTCCGATCTCTCGCACCCTTGTCCACGTAGCCTTGTTGGTCGAATAGCTGGCATTTTCCTGGGAGCTTATGGTAAAGTGACAGGTCAGCAACCTAATATTTTGAACAACCAATAACCCCCTCCCCCTCTCTCTCTCTCTCTTTTCAAAGTCTAGTAGCTTGTTAAAAAAAAAAAAGGTAAAAAATAAAAAAGAAAAAGAAAAAATAAACCCGGGAGAAAGAGAAACAGGATGTGCGGAGAGTATGACTGCGACTAAGGACTCGTACGGCCTCCCCTTTTTGGCCGCGCAAGGCATTTCACGTAACCGCTGGATAGATCTTCAGGAACTGCGTGTTACATTTACGCGCCAGCCAGCCAACAGAAGCGGCGTATCACTGGCCGATGAAAAGCTAAACCGAGAGGTAGTTATTATTGCCACCTGTGCCAGAAGAGGATCATCCTTTTCGACGCCTCCAGTGCGGGTCGTCGCCGCAGACCAGACAGACGAATGGCCACGTACAGCAAACACTGACTGCACGGGGTGCGGGATAGAAGTGGTGTCATTTCGCAGAAAATAATAATTCTTTTTCTCCCCACTAAAAGAGCTTGTTCAAGAAGCATATTTGACATTATTCACCATTTGGAAATTAGCATTCTTGACTTGGCCTGGGGCATGAATCAGGCGTGAAGGCGAAAAAGGAAGGGAAAGAAGAAAAAAGGCAAAGCAAAGGGATTTCTGCTTGTCAATCAGCAGGCTTCTTGGGCCAAGAAGGACTGATTACTTATCGTTTGATTCATTGACCGTGGCTCGAAGCCAAAACTTCTCTTCTGGTACCACGGAGTGGGAAAACGGGATTCTCTCACGAATTAGCCTCAGGATTCAAACTCGGTGACAATCCCTGGGTCTGTTTGACCCGCTTGCCGTCATCATCGCGTGCTTTTGCCCAAAGCCTGTTGACGCTTTCGATTTTGCTTTTGCAGGATATATGGGAGCAAGAGTCTCGCCCGCCCAATTCTTACTGCTAAGGGTTTCTAGCGGTTCATCATCGTCAGTGGCTTTCCTTTTATACAACTGCCTCAGCGCTTCCCTGCATTCCGCTGCAAATAGTCAACGATCCTTCTCTTCGGCTCCACTCCTGGGTCTTCTTATTTTCTCTTGATCCTTTTTTTTTTTTTCCGCGACTTTATTTTCTATTTTATTTTATTTTATTTTATTTTTTTGGACTGCCTGCGACCATCACGCCCGTTATCCACCTTGTCTCCACCCAGACAAGGTATTTATACAAGGTAGACCGGTTACGGGGTAACAGATACACCCGAAATACTGTATCTAGGCTACTTATACACTTGTCACTGGTACTTGTCAGTCGATCCCGCCCTTCCCACGCCCTGCTCTGCCTCTCCCTCTTATCTCCCTCTCGCTGCCCTTCAGCTCTCTCTCTTCCGCTGATGCTTGTCTTCCTTTTCCTTTCCCGTTGTCACGGTCTCCTCTTATATATCACATTACCTATTCATTTCGTATATCTGCACCTTTCGCCCTAAGATCTCCATAATCCCGGCCTGCCCTCCCTCACAAATCTCCTACCATCTTACTCACTCGAAATCATTTAATTAGTATATCGCCTTTATTATCCTGGCCGTTCTTCAACTCACCGTCCGGGGGGGGTCTCGATCCTCTCCCCCGTCACACTCAATCCTAGCCGGACTCTCGACTTCCGCTGGGTCCCATTTCACCTTACCGCCATATCCCTACACTGGTTCATCCGCTATTTCAACTCTCCGGCGGCTCAGAAGAGTTCTTGCGCATTCTCTCTCCTAAAATTTATACTCTTCTCTTTCGGTGGTAGAGGCGCGCCAATCTTCCCACCCGGAAAATTTGCCCAATATTCCCAATCTTGCGTGTGGAGGTGGCATTATTTCTGCGCTTCCAGCGGCTACCTGCTTTGGTGCTGTACCATCCTCTACCCACTTTCTGTGACTCGGCCATCGAACCCCGCAAGTTTCGAAAGGCAGCTGCAGCACAGCAAACTCGGGGGGAAGTCCAGATCCCACGGTGCAACAATCACGGACAAGACGCGTTGCCTCTTTCGAAGTCAGCGAATTTTGTCCGTGGTGGTTTGCACGCCTCCCTCCCAAAGTCAATTATCCAATCCACCCTATTTCCCCAACAATAACTCTTTGTGGTCTCCGTACCCAAGTTGCCAACGCTGGAGCCGTTAGACGGAATTCTTCGTGCTCACGGGGTGGAAGGATCGAGGAGAGTGTGGAGAGACATCAGAACAAGATCAAGGGACGGTGGATCCAAGCGTGAGTCTCTGAGGGGGATGATTTCAGGAAGGTCTCGACGATCAGCCGAGTCTTCCTGGGATCCTACGCCTGAGTCTTCGCCCCATCATTCTCCATTACCCTCAGACTCTGACTCGGATAACGAGGAAAGAATGGAAAACTGGGGTCCTTCGAGACCCCTTAGCATATCCGTTCCTGGAAATCAGCATTCGCGCCCAACATTAGACGATGTTCTGGCCGACCGGGCGCCTCCGCCTTACACGCTTAGCGCATTCACAGCATACCTCTCTCAGAACCACTGCCTGGAAACGTTAGAATTCACAAAGGACGCCGAGCGCTATAGAACATACTATCATCGACCCGAGCGAAACGACACCGCCGAAACGCATGCCCAGAGACTTCGAGTATACTGGAACCGGATAATAAATGCGTACATCGTCCCCGGAGCTCCTCGAGAGATAAATCTTCCAAGCACAGTTAGAGACGGCTTACTCAGTCACTCCCATTCACCGAGACCCCCAAACCCCGACGTGCTCCAGGGAGCCGTTCGCCGAATGCGCGACCTGATGGACGAATCGATATTTCTGCCCTTTCTTAACAGCCGCTCTGTTTCACAACCACCCCCACGCGCATCGTACCAGCAGTATCCGCCGAACGCACCTATGGAGGAGGCACGCGTCAGCCGTCACATCTCGATGCGAAGGCACATCTCGCCGGAAACCTCGCTTGCCGTGCCTCGTTCAACAGGCTACTCGTCGCATCCCACATCCGGCTCCAACACCAGTTCGACAAGCAGTTCAGCATACCGATCTTCGCCCCAGGGGTACACAAGCGGTGATTCGGGCTCAGGCAGCCTCACAGACGATTCGGGCAGCCTTCCATCGAGTCCCGGCGCTGGAGCACCGATGACCCCTCCCACGACGCCCCCCGGCAGCAACATGCATAGTCCTAGGGCGCGGTCGGATAAAGGCTGGAAGAAGATGGGGATGAAACTTGGCTGGAAGAAGTAAGAAAGAAATTGAGCGTGATGGAGAGGGGCAATCGCAGGATGAAGACAAGGGTCGATGCCATGCTGCTCACTCGCGGAGCTGAGTTCGCTCTTGGCCCCCTCCCTGTCCGCGCTTGATGCTGTCTAACTGGCGCCCCGCATCAACGACCAACACCTCACATCACAACACCGTCAGTCATCACCACTTTTGTTCCCATCACCTCGCTTGCCGTCTCTTTTCTTCTCTCACATCTTCTCTCACGGCGGCGTACCTCCTCACCTACTTTTCAACCTTTTGTCTAGAACAGCTCTGCTATGATTTTGTCTTGATGAGATGCATGAACATTGGGTCATTGTGTTGCAGCTGGGATTTTGCATGGTTCATATGTTCTTCTTTTTTTTGCACTGAAAAGGCGTTTATACCCACTTTGTTCTGACTCTTTCTTTGGTTTAAATTCGTTCAACCGAGCATTAAGTACTTTTTTTTTATCCTCGCAAATTTTTATGGTTCCCGAGTCGGGGACCAAACTGGGAGAGTTTAGAGGAAAAAGTCTCCGTCCGACCGGGTTTTCTGCATTGGAAAGCGACTCTTGACGGACGTGAACGTCATGTCGAAAACCAAAATTCGCATTTGGGCTCCTTCGTCACTCTCCTCTTTGCTGTCGTGGAGCAACCCAATATTCTTTCGCTTTTTACCTCATTTTTTCCTTTGGATGACTGGGCAATCCACACTGCCACTATAGAGCTGATGAAGGCGTATCTTCTTAGTCGGTTGCGTGTCTGACCTATGGCTACTGGTGCCTACATATGTACAGTACCCATCTTTTCTACTCTACTCGGCATTGCATCCATGTATATCTATTGTCTAATGAGCATCAATATATACATGAATATTTTACTCAAAGATCTCTGTTCAGGGTTGACGGTTGCGTGTTGTTTACATCGGCGCTATGACTCGGAACTATTACTAGCTCTCCAACGTAGACACATACCATCTAGCCATTTATAGAACCATCCTACGTAAAGCTAGTGCTCATGGGATCCTTATATCTATTCCTGCTTTCGAATGACATCAAACTTCCTCCCTGGCTTCGTCTGCAGTGAAGGTGTGTCGATGTCCCACCCAGCATCTCGAAGAGACTCGATTCGAGCATCAAAGTCCTTCGAATGCTCCGCCAAAGTGCCTTGTAGGATTCCTAGCATCAAAACGGAGTCTGTACCGACCTGCTCACGTACGAGCGGCTCTCTGGTGTTACTCTCTTTTATTTTTAAAGAATTCGCTGCTAGCAAAGCATGACTCCAGGCTTTCAATTGCGATGTTGGGCTGGCGTTCGTCTTTAAACCGATAACTCCCCGTTTCCTTGCCGGGTCGAACCAGAGTATGTACTCTTCTTGCTCAAAAACCCGTAAAATCGCCACGACGGTCGCCTCTGTTCGCTCCGCAGGGCTAGACGAAGATATATGATCTATTACATCTTTAAATGGAACTCCTATCTGGCAAAACCCCAGAGTGTCGGATGAGGCTTTCCATCGTAAAACTCCGTCTCGTTCGAAGACTCTTTCTTGCTTGGATGCTTGCTTTGGAGTGAGGACGCGGTTTTCATCGAATAGCGTTGAGAAGACTATGTTGGCTCGCTGTCGGTTAAGGGACGTCATGCTGACTGCTCGCACGGCTAGGTAATTGGTCGTTATATGTACTATGAGAAGGGATATCAACGCTACCCAAGTAGCGAGGGGAGAAGTGATGTACGATACGACGAGACTTCCAACCTGTTACGTAGGCATCAGCGAATCTATTTTACCCTTGAGAGGCTTATCTGTAAAGGAGTTTACCAGCATCCCCATGAGGGATATCACTGTCTCTTGACTTGAATCTTTCTGCAAGTTTGCACAAAGAGCAAATCAGCGGCCACAGGATGCAGAAAATGCAACATATATATCTCGTTTCGAAACATACCGCATTCAACTCCGCCAGATTCCCCCATTTCGCAAAATGTGCACTCAGGCTGGCCTTGGAACTGCCCGCAGCAACGCCGCATAGAGCCCTGAGCACGCTTGACAGGCTCAACAGACCGACTCTAATCGATTTGGGGAACGTGGGCGACAAGCAATCCATAATCATAGAGGAGTCGTTGAAAATATCGGCGGCTAGACGGTACATCTTGCACTCTGGTTCAAGAGATGTGCCTAGTTGGTGTGCGAAAAGAATGGTCGCTATTCGGCCCATGCTGTCCTGCAAGATGCTTAAAAGAAGAGCGCTTGTTGGTGACGCGGTGGCATCACCAACACCGACTCCTAAGAATAGTTAGATATCCCTTGCTCTTTTCTTAGACAGACCGCGCGCCTGTATCTTCCTTTAGAGAGAAGGAGAAGTCGTTGTCGATGTCAAGTACCTTGCAACACAGCTCTTGAGGATAATAATCCTGCAATCGAGCTTGAAAAAGCTTGGAGTGAGTCCTGCACAAACAACCTGTTATTTGCGACGTCGGTAAAGGACCAGTGGAGCTTCAGAAAGATTGGACGTACATAAACCTGGTATCTTCGATGCCCAAATAGATATCCATCAGCATCTGTGGAGGGCAAGGAAGAGAGAGAAATTTATATAAAATTTAAATCAAAGCAGTCGTCCATCTGGCTGGGGACAGTGGGCTTCATATGCGAAGACGAGGACGTACTCCAGATAATCCCCGCTGACACTATGAGGATATCCCACTGGGAGAAAAGCATCCAGTATAGCTGTAAAGTAGGATGACCATGTTCGCCTCGATGTAGGAGCCTTTGAAGTATTAGTCCAGGGCGCTTAAAGCTAGGTCTATAAAGTATCTGAGTCGCATCACAACGGAGTACTTCACGCGGGCAGCTACAAAGTCTTTCGACTTGAGTCCAATTCACGCAAAAGGGGGTACTTGTGCCATTGCTGTGAGAACTGATGACTTAAAGAACCCGCCGAACAAATCCAAACTGATATCACTTTTGGCACAATTGTGGATTTAACCTCTAGGGTAAGTGGGAACTGTACTCTGCTCTCGCGGCAAGTTGTCCAGATGTTGCCACGACAGTGACATGCATATAACAAGACCAGATAATGAAAAAAAAGAGCTCAGTAGTGAAGAATTAATTTATCTCCTAAGAAAAGAAAGACATACACTGATAGTCACTGGCTTAGTCCCAATTGAAGCTGCTGGCGATGAAATGGTGTATATTGCCTTGAGAGCACCTATCTCGTCAACTTCTCTGATGGTTACGGGACCGGGGGTCATCGTGCGTCTAAATGTGTCTGCTAAGCTGGCTGATTACCCTGAAAGCAAAAAGGATAGTCTGTCCAAAGCAAAATAATAGATCGAGGTAACCAACGGCTCGAAGGTACCGAATTGAATTTTGTTTTTCCTGGATGCTAGGATTTTGTATGGATCAAAAATGCGAGGCTGATCCTGAGGGAGCTACTGACATCTACTTTACAAAGAACAGCTTTAAGAAGAGCATTTGGGACCTGTGGATTTAACGGTAAGACTAGTGGATTCTCTGCAAAATGCATAAGTAGCTACAGTACCTGACACAAATGAGCCAGCTCCAGTACATGCAACAGCCCGTCCTTAATATGGCAGAAAAAGTCCAATGCCCCGATAAGTAGAGGAAGCTCATATGTAGTACATGAAAGTTTCGGTAATCACTCGCAACCATATGAGCATACAAAAAACAAACCACCAGCGCCATTCAAGGTATATAATCCCAGCAAAAAAAAAAAAAAAAAAGAGGTCATCTAGTCCCGATAATAGCCCAAAGATAGAGATAATGTTGGAGAGATGTGGTGGGAGGCAGAGAAGTGAGGTGAAGCCCCAAAGTGGTGCTCGCCTCACACGGAGGGAAGAGGAAAGTCGTCCTCCATTGCTAACCACGGTCGGTTGAAGTGAGGTCGAAAAGCGATCAAAGAGCGTTCTGGTGTCGAAATTGCTATCAAAGCTCGATGATCCAAAACGAGCAGCGGTCTCGAAAAAAGCAAAGGTCGCTTAAATCGATCCTGTTCGCGCCATCGCACAGCGAGTGCTACCGCTCTTCCCTTATCTCCTTTTCGATTGTTCGATTTTAATATCAATTTTAACTTTAATAATATATATATATATATATATATATATATTAGGCGAACAAACTGGCCCCGCCCGTCTCGATGGCCTCAATCTCAGCCTGCGACCATGGGATTCTTCGGAAGCGTTCTGGGAGATCATTTCTGTCGAAGTATTCGCCTTGCTTGGGCTGGACAGATCCCAACGAGGCACCGGAATGACCACCGATGTAGCCGCCGTATGCCGATGGGCGAGAGGGGCTATTCAGTGGGCCGTGTTGCTGGGCTCTGGAGCGATATTTCATAAAAGAGTCAGGTAATTCGTTGGTGGGAGAGGCGGGGTGGACTCTGGGGGTGCTGTCGACGGCTGCTGTACGAATTGAATTAGCAATTTTTGTGCGACCGGAAAAAAAAATAGCAATTGTAAGAATACACACCTGGAGTTGCCCGCTTGCCGACGAACTTGATCAAGGGAGTCCTGGCCGCGGCGGCTTGCCGGAGAACAGCAGTGACACGCATTTTTTGAGATGTTTTCTTTTCTTTTTTTTTTTTGTCGCAAAGGTAGGGATCAAGGTGACAATTGTGTGATGATAGGAAAATGAAGCGGGCGGGACTTGTTGAATTGGTGAGAGGTTTGAATTCCCAACGTTGAGGTGACGGTTGGGGATTGTCGCCGGGGCTGTTTGTCTTGTTGCAGCGGTGGTGGTTGTGGTTGGTAGTTGACTGGTGGTGGAAGGGATTTTGGATTGAAGAGAGAGGAGTGTGTGGGAGAGAATGGCTCTTTGAAATACTGTAGACGGGCTGGGAGCTAGATAAGGCAGCAGTGGATCTGATTATCAAACACAATGACAAGCGGAAAGCTCCCACCGAAACGAGGGCATCCGTAGCTCGGATCTTGCCACCAGACGCTCGCTCTGTACGGATAGTAGGACACACACCTGGTTGACCTCGCACAGGCGCGCATCACGCCATGGCAGCGATCTGCTCCGACACCACGATAACGGACCGGCAGCTGTCCATCTGGCGCCGAACGGAGGAAGAATAGCCTAAACCTGCTGTCTGCGGCGACCACCTTATCTCTGCGCCGCCGCTCTGCTTTGTATTATGTCATCAAATACAGCTCCTCGATTGGCTGATTATTAAGCTTCGCCGAGCTTAAATAAGCTTCTTCGCAAGCTGGGGGAACGTTATTCCGATCGTGTCACAAGCCTGCAGGGCCGGTGTCTTTTCCCCTACTCGCGCTGATGCTCCGTCGGGAGAGAGGAAGGGGGGGAAAAAGAAAGAATCTTATTCTCGCACTATTTATTATTCATTGTGCCGCATTGTCTCCTTGAGGTAATTGACATCCATCCACCTGACGTGGGCCAATTAGGTATCCATTGTGTACTCCGTAGTCTCCGAGGAAGATCGACGGTTTGCGCTTGGATTTCCGGAACCCGCTTCCCCGCGATTTTCTCACCCCGGCCTGAGCTCCAAGCCTGACACCAACCTGTTATCTTCGCCCGTACGGAGCACGGAGTTATAAGTTACTCTTTCCAATTGGCCCGATAACGCGAGGGCTGGACTTTACCTTTATTCTCCTTCAACCCGAACCACGCCCTACCTGAGCCTCCCGAAGCCTGTGTGCTTATTTACGGAGTACCCTCGCCTCCTTTCCCAGTAACCCCGAGCTAAATCCACATACATAACACGTCCGGCACCACGCGCGGACGGACGGTGGATCACATGCACGAACACTCGCTGTTCGCCTCAGTCCCCGCTGCCCAGCACCATGACCTCCTGCAGCAGCTGGCTGGCGTGACTGCCATGCAGCCAAACCGAATCTACGAACGACGTCTGGTATTCAAGCCATACAGAAAGCCGGGGTATCTTAAACCTCGACCCGGGGGCAGCCAAGATGTCCAGGCCCCCGAAGTTCAGAGGCTGAATAAGATGCTCAACGGTGGCCTCTACCACGTCCAGGTTGTGGGTGAGGTCAAACTTACTGATTTCGGCACGCATCCTTCCATCGTCGATGCTACGATGGGGGGAACGGATTTCGGAAATCAACACCAGAATGAATACGATATTTCAAATCAATCATGGAGGATAGAGTTCAAGGATATCCCAGATGCTGGCACTGGGTCTGCCGTGACTTCGAGACTAATTAGCACTTCGAGGGTTCCGTATGGCGATATTGTTCCAGTTATGAAAGCTTGGGGTTACGAGTAGGTCTTATTACTTTTTACTCTTTTCTTACCGCTTGGTTTTTTGCCTTTCTTTTTCCTGAAGGTATGGCTAACATGATTCTCCAGTTATGTGTCAGAATATGTCCTCGAAGGCGACATGTTCATCCTCGATGATACCGTAATACTGCTGCATCGGATACTCAATTTCCCCGCCAAACATCATCTCCAAGGTTTACCGGCCTTCTATCTCCCGCCTCTGCAGGAAATGGTTCCACTGGACTCAACTGGCGGATACCTACTACAGGCATCGATAACTGTGCAGGATAGTGGCAATCCAGACCTGATGAAGGCAACAACGCAGCGACTTCTCGGATTGAAAGAACATCTAAAATCAGCTGTGAGGCTCGAATCCGCGGATAGACTCTCTTTAGACACGAGAGTGAAATGATCCCCCGGAGTGACTTGCACGTGATTGCAGCGGATTTGCATGTGAGTTAAAGAGGGATGTTTGGACATCTTCCGCGGGGCAGCATCCTTAGCCATGATGTCAAGTTGGAAAGTCTACTCAATCACTGCATAGCGTTATAGATCTTTTCGATTATGAGAACGTATACATACCTCCTGCACTCCATAGATTGCTAGTTGATTGGTTAATCAGCGTTAGCTACGGCTGAGGAATCCCTGGATCTTACTTCAATACATTCACTGTTTTACAGAGAACCATGGAACCCTGCCTCATTTGTTGATCTCACCTTAGGAGGATGACAAATTCTTGTGCTGGAATTACCAGGAAACCCAGCCCCGGAATGTTAGGGGGTCTTGGGTGTGAAGAGAGAAGCGTCGAGGTCTTTTTGAGGTCGGTCTCATTCAATTGGGGAAAGGGACACAACCTTTCAAATGATCAACAAGGCGTCTTCCGTTTAGCCACCTGTCTAAGAGGTTGAGTGATGGTGTGTTCCAAAATAATGGAACACAGTGATGTGGATGGGGATCACCATCGTCACCGGAGAGCACGCTCAGTTCGCCCTTCGCACGAGCAATGGTTGTTAATTTTCTTTTCTTTTCTTTCTTTCGCGACGGCAACATATAAGGAAAGCAAAACAATGGCTGGGCATCGCAATCACGCCCCTCTTGAGGGTATCATACGCTTTTCCAGGCCTGAATCCTTACCAGCGAACCAGCGCACCCGGGAAGGTAGAGATTCTACGGCATCATCAACCATTTCAGAGTAGCATCTGATGTTGCCTACATCCATACACTCCACGTCCGTTATACATATGAGTACTCGCTCTCTGAATTATCGCGGAACCTTCTCTTACGTGTCTCTTTCACTTTTATGGGCCTAGATATCGCTGGATGTGGAGATATTGCCTGACAGTGCTTGGAACCAGCCGAATGAGAAGCCGATCAGTTTGCAGAATTCCTGCTGGATCACTTTTTATACCACACAGGCATCACTCGCTCATTTTTTTTAGCAGTCCACCGGGCCCAGGGATATACCCCGAGTGAATAGCAGCTCTTTGGGGCACTTGTCTTATCTGTGACCACCGTTGTTATATATCATGCCTATTTAATCGAAAAGAGGCAATAATCTGGATGACATAGCAGGGCAATAATGCACAAGATGGATGTAGGAAATCAGCTCCAGCGACAAGTCTTTATATTTTCAGAGGTGGCCCTTATCCTTCCATAGTCTAACGCAGACAGACTCGCAGAATAAGATATCCGACCAAGCGAATTTTTCTTATTTTTATTTTTGCCCTTTTTCATTCATGGCTAATTGATTCACTTAGAACGAGTCCAACAAAGCTGCACTAAGGATCACCAACATGTTTGACTGTGATGTTTCTTATCTCATTGATGGCATCAACATTGACCGGCCATTTGATGCTATGAGCCTAACCTGTGATCTATATATGATATTTTGGCAACTTCCACATTTTCTTCAATTCTGAGCCTATATCTGACCAGGAGAATACCTACCAAATTGATACTTTTCTCCTTGCTGCTGCCTTGCCAGAACTCCAACTTCCCATCACTCGCACCTTATGTCTCACCAATGATCAATCAATAGAACTCTTGTTATACCCACTTCTTATTTTACATAGGGCAATCACATATATCCTTCATCTGTCTAGCACAGGAGCATGTTTCAACGGAATTCTCTGGGATATGATGAAGCTAGGGACATGAGATGGCGGGTCCACAGAACTAGACTGATTTGTGCTGCTGAGGTTGGGCGAATGGCTTAGCCAGGCAGTTAATTCCTAGAAGGCCCTTGTGTCTAGGGTGGATTTCTCCTAGTTCGCCTTCGTTTTTAAGCTGATTGCTGAAGCCTATTTATGAGGGCTAGCCATGTTCTATTAACGTCCTGCTTCAGTTATTGTAACGTATTTTTATGCGCTATACCCAGGAATCGATAGTCTTAACGAATTATGGCAGCAATGATTTTTAATCCGCAGGTAATTGTTAGATAAATGCAATTCGCTTCTCTTGACGGCAGATTAGCTACGCTATTAGGCGAATTAGGCCGCATTTGCTAGGTCTTCTTTATGCATTTATCTACGTCTCTTTTGCACTTCTGCGATATCCTGCATTTCTAGGAAACCGAAGGCCTATACGTACCTTTTATACCGTGGACGAAAAGTGCGCGCTTGAATTTGACGTCAGCAGCAGCCGGTCCGATGGGCTCTATGTACTTGCAGGTAACCATTGATATGGGATTCTCTGTCCGTTAGACCACCATACGGTAGGTGCATAACTTGTTGAATTATGCATGTTGGCCTTGGATAAAGATGACAGCTAGACTAATTTGGTGCCAACAGGCTTCAACATTATTTATAACCCAGTCTTCTCGGACAATATGGTCCAGATGGCTCAAACTACACTTACAATGACTGTTTTCAGCCAGAAGTTTGCCTCATATTCCACCACACACTGAAACATGTGAAGAAACGCAGTGGCATTCCAGTGCTTGAGATAGTTTGAAATCAGTTCGGATCTGATCCAACGAATTAGATCAATGTGACATATTCTCATGGAACGGCTTCCGGGTCAAAGACACCCTAGCCGTCTTTCATTTAAGAAAGCTGAGCGATCTCCAGGCAGTGAGAGTTTTGGTGCTCTTGGGTCATTTACGGATATTTGTTTATGACCCTGATATGTAGAAATACCCTGTAGTACCCCGATCGGCCCTATGTCTAATCCACAAAAGGCAAATGCTTTGAGCGATGCCTTTCGCTCCTGCTCGTTCCTCATCGCAACTCAGCAATCTCTTAACACCCTTAGCCAGTCGTGCCTTCGAAGTCCCATATTCAGGACATGCGGTTTTGTTAATAAAGTCATCTATAAGGTCCACACCTTGGGCCCATGGCGTTTCGTCGTTTTCCAGTTCCTCTATCTCCATAGCAGAGACCTGTAGTGGGAGGGCGCCAGATGTAGACTTTCCGAGCCCTCTCCGACAATCTTTGGACCCCCTTTTCTCAACATCTCTTAGCACGTCATTGAAACACGGTTCATACTCCGTGATCAACTCTGGTACGACGCTGGCCTGGTGACGAGCAGTCCCTTGTCACTGAATGGCCTAGGAGGCTAAATAATTCAACTGGCAAGATAGAACGAAATATGAATCATGTAGGGTCTGAAATTGGTGTAAATGCCCAAGGCAGGCTGATTGGCCCGAGTTCCTCGAGGGCCGGGGAATTGTAATCCAAAAGACCGACCTGAGTGACTTGCATGGAAAATGCGCAGGCGCTGACAGACCGCCAGTCAATTTTGCCCAGAATTATGGGTTATGTTTCTGGTTTTGACCATTATGCGAGCACTGAAACTGAATTATCAGCCTAGAGGCTGACGGCGAGAAAGAAACATCGCCTCAAACAGGCTGCTCAAAACACTTCTGTGCATGGCCCTCATTGCCCATAGCTGGTGTGTGTAAGTTCGCTCTAGAATTGAGCTCAGGATTCGAGTTCTCGCAGCGAAGTGCTCAGCATTGAGAGTAAAACAACGCGGCGTTCCATATATTAAGTCCCCTTGAGAAACCACTTTAAGCACGTGACGTGGCGCCCTTAACCCTCGCGCGGGTCGCGTCTCCCTCGCCGCTGGATGCCATGCCACCAGGACCGCTTGCATACATGAAGCCATTCGCCGCCCTACATCGGCCGTGTATGTTGTCAGCAGATGCAGGCTGGTTTGCGTGTCGGCGCGCGTTCATCATGGCTAGAGAAAAGCAGATGAAGCGGACACATTCGTCCGTTTTCCCAAAACGAGAAATCTCCCCGCCAGCGACGAAGAGGAAAATCGAGTCCACGACCACAAGTGAGTTTATAAATAGTTTAAATTTCTTTACTTTGAATCTTCATTTCCATAGCCAGCGCATTGTGATGTCTAAATATTGGCTTGATAGGAGAGGCCGTTGCCAACTTCTTCAAACCTCCATCTAAGAAGCCGTTCCAGCATCTCGCGTGGCGCACTGTCGACAATAGCTGCTTAGTCGCCAAATACTCCACAAGGCCTCCAGTGGACAATCAGGTTGTTCCTGTGAAGAAGCGTGTTGCGGCTTTCGATCTTGTATGTCAATGTTTGGACAAGGATAAAGTCAGGCTCAAACTTTCTAACGCGGTCGTTGCTGCCAAAGGATGGTACCCTGATTTTGACTAAGTCGGGGAATACGTTTCCCAGGAACGAACACGATTGGAAGTGGTGGAATCACTGTGTTCCAGGGAGGATAAAAGAACTATACTCTAAAGGGTATGTCTACGTTCTGTTTGCTGTCGGAAAACTGACAGCCAATTTTCATAACTGACTGGATGCTACACACCCAGGTATCAGGTGGTTATAGTTACAAATCAAAAGAAGGTTCTCTTGAAGAAGGTCGGCAAAGGCGCTATTGGTGACTCCAAAAGTTTGACGATTTTTAAATCCAAGGTCTCAGTGATATTGAAGGATCTCGATGTGCCGCTGAGCGTATACGCAGCGACGGAGTATGATGAATATCGAAAACCGCGAATGGGGATGTGGAAGCTGATGCTGGATGATTATGACTTGGACGTCGAAGGTGTCCTCGACTTGGAGGGATCGATATTCGTAGGTGATGCAGCGGGACGTCCCGCAGATCATTCCTGCGTTGATCGGTACGATATACGAGACCCATGGATGATACATGACCGGTTTTCTAAGTCATGTATAGGAATTTTGCGTCCAACATTGGCTTGAAGTTTTATACACCGGAGGAGTTTTTCCTCGGAAAACCTCAAGAAGGGGTGGAAGCCTTCAATCCGAAGAACTTCATCCTAGACGGCACGAGTAGGTGTAAGTATCGTTGTCCCGTCGTGGGTTATCGGTTCATCAGGGGATGGGTGACACCGCGGCTAACTGAAAACCTAGCATCTCTCCCGTTTCCAGAGTCTCATGGTCAAGAGCTCGTAATATTTTGCGGGAGCCCAGGTGCGGGGAAATCAACTTTTTTCTGGAAATATCTCGAACCGTTGAAATACAAGCGGGTAAATCAAGATATCCTTAAAACTGTAAGCAGAACATCTCGTTCATGCAGTCCTACACATCCCCCAGTTTCCCCCAAGGCAAATGATCCTTTGTCGGCAATATTTACTTACAAATTGGCCTGCATCAGCGTCCCAAATGCCTGAGTGTTGCAGCAGAATATCTGCAAGCCGGAGATTCTGTGGCAGTCGGTATGATTGTGTCCTTTCTTTGGGTGAAAAGATGTGGTTAACCAACTTGTTCATGTTTTAAACAACAGACAATACGAATGCAGATCCTGAAACACGAGCCTACTGGGTGAAACTGGCAAAGGATCATGACGTCCCGATTCGTTGTGTATATCTTTCTACTCCAGCAAGCATATGCGCACACAACAATGCTGTCCGCGCTGCAAACCCAAGACTTGTATGTCACACCTGTAGCACCTATCCATATACGAAGCTGTTACATGTTTGTATGCTTCTTTGTTCCCCTTTTCGGATGCACAGTATCAAAATGATAGGTGAAAAGTCTGGATTGACCCCCTCCTCTACCACAGGAATCCTTGAACCCTGAGAAACGCACATTCCTCCCGGATGTTGCTTTTCGAAGTTTCGCGAGCCGGTTTGAGAAGCCGCAGCTCTCAGAAGGTTTCGAGGATATAATCCATATCGATTTCCAGTTTGAGGGGGATCCAATCACGAGAGAGCTGTGGGCACAGCATTGGGTGTAGAAAAGGCTGGATGTTTATCCTTATTGTCACGATATGAATGACTGCTCCATGGCACCACACTAGACGTGGAAGATGACTTAAAGATGCCTGATGACGCTCCCTCCTGTGCTGGTAGCACAGACCCGATTTGATCTGGTCTGGTCGCTATGGGATTATCAGACGGAATGGAAATGTATGACGGATAGCATTTGTTCTCCGACTGACTGCGGAGTACGTATCCCATACGTTTGTCTGAATGCGGCAGATCGAACCATTAGCATATATTGTAACCGCCAAGCTTCCGTCTGGAGATGCTGGAGCCCGATTCACCCAAGAAATCACTGCCCGTAGGGAAGAGATCTGGACGGAAATGTGGACTAACGGAGGTATGTCGGTCCAGATTAAGATCGGCCGGTATGAAGCCTTGCCGGCAGTGGGCCGGATCTGTCATCGGATATGCAGATCTTTTAACTATCCAGTGCTCTCCCGCCTGATCGACATACCCCCATAAGAAGTCTTTGCGCATGTTAAGCCTAGACTAATCGATTTCTTTCCTTTTTTCTTTTTTTCCAAGTCCACTGCACGCTAGAAACAAAAATACTACGGAGTACGGAGTAGAAAGACATGAAATCTGGTTTTATCGAGGCAGATAATGACAGGCACATATTATACTCCATACATATGTCCATACCTATGAGCAAGCAAATAGTGAGAATAAAGAAGAGTGCTTGCAAAGAGGATGTTTTCTGCGCATATACACTTTAACTTCTATGATAGCCGCTGTGGCAACTACTCTATTTTCCAGTAGATGTAAGTCAACTAAACCATGCCAACAAAGCTGTGATACGCTTAAATTTTCTTTAGAGACGTCTTCTTCCTTTTATTGCGAAACCCACTGCGCACACTCCCTCAAGACAAATGCCAGCCTGTATACAGATCATGGCATGGAGACAGTAAAAATCAGGAGGAAATATTTTTTTTTTTTTTGAAAAAGCAATCCGACACGATACCTGCTATAACCCCCGTGTATGCGCGTATACGTCATACATATTCGGAGCCAAGGAGGATTGGACGCATATAAGCCGCCCATCGGGTGCGCTATGAAAGGATCATATTGGAGGGAAGAGGGAAACAAAGAGGAATGGAGCTCAAACTTTTCGACGGGAAGAGAACCATAGGTCATTAAAAAAATGCATTGGATATCGTATCCTCGGGTGTCAACCATTCAAAGTGAAAATGCGGGAAGTAGAGTCTGGCTCAAGCAGCAAGGTCGACCGGGCAGCACGGACAAAAGGCCCAAGCAAGTTCTATAGAATAAGCCGCAGGATAGAAGGAAAACCAAAACCACCTCCGAAATTAGTAATAGAAATTAACAGGGGATAAAGGAGTGACATGGGGACTGGAAAAAAGAAATCCATGATGAACAGAGTATAGAAAACGAGTGTCATTTCATCATCGGGTATCATAAAAGGAACGTAGATCGTGATTGGCATCATCAAACAAGAAGTCATGACTCCAGGTCGAAATAGAAGGGCCGTAAATTACAATTAAGGTATATCTTGTACAGAGGATGTCGAACGCAGCGGAATGGGAAATGTGCGATCCTTTTTCTCACGTTGAATCGCGGGAAGAAAATAGATCCTGTAAAAATCTGAAGAAGGATCTTTTGCGTAGCGACTTGGCCTGAGCTGGTGGTTGCGGTTGCGCGGGAGCAACTGACATGGGTCCAACAATATCCTCATCCCCAAGGTCTGGGAATTTGGTCTTGTCAAGATAAGGAGGCATTTTGACAGATTCTCCAGGATGAGCGTTTGATTTGCTGAGAGAGAGCGGATTGCCATTGCAATCGGTGAGATTGGCAAGCACGATATTGTGGTTGGCTCTCCACTGGCTGTCGATGAACTCCCATTTTTCCTCCGTAAAGCGGTAGATATTGGACGTTACCCCGTAGTGCTCGCCGGTCCGAACGAGATGTTTTGCGTAATTACAGCGTGCAAGACTCCAATTCGCCCGATGTACTTCGAACGCGTCTAAAGTGCAGAGTTCGGGTATGTAAGGCTTTGGATGTATCGTGAAATTCGCGTGGCCAAGCTTACAGGACCATTCATCTTCCGCGTTTAGCATCGTGATAGGAGGAATTTCCGGACCGTGCATCCGTGGGAACGGAATCTGTAGACCAATGGAAGCTAGGGAGGGTTGCGTAGACAAAGGCGGAGATAATAACCCATTCGAATGTGGTACCTCAATGGGTGAGTCTGGAAGGATAACATGTGTAGCTTCAGCGACAGTTGGCGATTGTAAGGGTGACTGAACCAGTTCCTCATTCTCCGGAGTGGGCAGATCCATCATCACAGGCGGTAGGAGAGGAGTGGTTACTTGCGGCTCGCGTTTAACACCTTCGCGGTTGGCCTTTTCAATGTCAATGAGCGAGATACCAGCTTCACTCAGACTCTCTTCAAGGATAGTTCTCGCGGGCGAATTCGAGATTTGGCTGTGTCTTGCAGAGAACGAACTGGCCAAGGGATTTGCAAGGGCAGAGGTGGCAGAGTTGGCTCGCGACCTCAGCGATTCGTCATATTTTTCCAGCGCAGCCGCAGTATCCGAAACCTGTCTCTGTTTCCACCTCGAAGAGATTGATGAGATGCGGCTACTGATGCGTGAAATCCCACGAAAGGAACTGCTGTCTGGTCTTAGCTTCTTTGGCGATCGGGTCAGGTCCGCAAGTTCGTCAGATAGGTCATAGCCATGTTCGGCGCAACCGCGTCCATTGTTGTAAACTTGATCATCGGCATGGATATCGTTAAAATCCGCTAATCAGAAGCATTAGCACTAGGACGCGATGTCGCTCCCGTCTCATCTCAGACTTACGAAAGTAATTGTCCGCGTCCACGATACCATAGTCCGGTTCCACAGGCTCTTCCTGGACTCCCTCCAGTTTGGTTGGGGGCAACGTATCTCCAGGGCATCCAATAATTGGCGAAGAAGCGACCGACGATACAGAGCTAGGGAATCTTGTGTGCGTTCTCGCGGAGAAGAGAGATGCGACGGGTGAACCGGGCGTGGACGAAAGAGTGGACAATGGAGATTCAAGGACAGAGCTCGACCCGGACGTAAGCTGTGAGGACTCCATCTTGGAACCAGCGACTGGTTGTTGGTGTGATTCAAATAGATGTAGCATGTCAGGATTGCAGTGTGTGATGCCGGGGATCAGAGGGCTGTCCTGTTGTGCTCGTTTATTATTATTCTCTTGGAGTTGAAAGTCAATTGAGAGAAAAGGGTTGCGCAGCGGGCACCTGCTGGGCTGTTTATCTTGACGGGCGCGGGCGGTGATGTCAGTGAAGCGCTTAGGGCTAAGGAGCTAAGCGGTTAATACGTGGCGCCAAATGTAACGAGCACTAAAGAAGCCCAAACAAGGGGGCTGGCACGCGAGAATAGCGAACGCGGAGGCGGGAACAAGTGTCAGGCCTCAAAGCAGCTACAGTGCTGCGCTCTCTTTCGTTCTTTCGTTCTCTCAACGCTCTCCCTCGCTGTAGCTATCTCTCTCTGTGGAAAGTTGAGCTCTCGTCAGCTCATAATCACACGTGCGTCCTTCCACAGCCCGTATTCGACGGCCCGGTAGCAGAGGGCAGCGGGATGGAGGTGTATTTTCAGCGATGAGGCCAGGAGACAGAGAGCACACGAGCGATCTTCCTCTGTGATCGAGCTGCGTGGTTTTGGATGTCTGAAGATCGCAGGCAGTAGATCAGTTAGCAGGTGTATAACGGGTACGATCAGCTCGCTGGAGCTAGCTCTTCGCCTAGAGACTGAAACTTCCTCCACTTAAGTTGTTTAGAGGCGAAACGAGATGAAACGAAGAGGGAGCAGCCGGGTCTAAATGGCAATTGACAGCAGAGCAGGAGAGAGGGTTGTTGGGAGGAGTCGGCAACAGGACGAGGAGGACAAGTAGCCGCACCAGCAGGACGGCGGACGGGGACGGCGAGGTGGTGGGTTGGATGGGCAGCTCGGGTCGTGCAAGACCAACCCGGGCCGTGATGTGTAGCCTTTCTCTTCCGGACCGGCTTGTTACCGCCTCAATGGCAATGATCCAGCGTGATGTCTCTCCTCTCCCGCTGCTCGCTCTGCTCCAGCTGTCCCAGAATGCACCAATCGTCCCAGGCCAAGCCCAAATGTCGGGCAACAGGGGGAGGGTGAGATTCTGATCCTGCTGGCCACAAGGTGATTGGGTGGAAAAGCAGAGGTCGCGAGGAAGAGCAGCCACTTACAGCAAAACAAGCAAGCTCCAGCGCTCTACAGCGAGCCAAGCCGGCCGTTGATTCCTGACTATGTTCGTTGCCTGCAGGGGGGAAGGGTTCTCGTTGGCCGATGGGGGATGACGGAGAATGGTTTTGCGAAAAGAAGCGGTGATTCACCGAGACGGCGGACGCATCGAGGTTGAGGGAGTGGCGGCGGTGGTTTCTGATGGAGACGATCAAACGACGGGCGATGACCAGAATAAGAGCACGGCCATGGGACTAATTATTATTAAATTTATCTAACTACAGTGTGTCCAGAGCGCCGAACCTCCTCATCTGGACATTCTTTTGTGCCTTTTTTGCTGCACATCGACACCGCCGCCGCCGCCAGCACGGGGACCACCAGAACCAAAAATGACGACAAAGTTAACAGGGGCAACCAGAGCCAGGGGGAAGAAAAAAAAAAAAAAAGGAACCCACAGAAGCATGTTGTTCCAAGAAAAGAAATTCATTCTTTACTCCACATAGATTTTTCTCTCAGAGTTTTCTATTTCTTTTTTTTTTTTTTTTTTTTAAATTACCAAACAGATCTGTCTGCTGCTATTCTGGGCTTCTTTCATGACTCACGCCAGACGGCCCGCATGTCCCCTTGAAATATCTCTTTTGCATGCTGACAATGGGAGTGTGTTAATATAGCACAACTCTCTCTCTACCATGTAGATATCATCTCTTGTCCGTCGGCCAGTCCCCGCGTTGCTTCTTCCTGACGGTTCGGGGATGCATTTTGGCTTCTGAGGTCCCATGGTTGGGTTGGTGGGAGCCAGCGAGCAATTTTTTTTTTTTTTTTTTTTCTCTTTTTCTTTATTCCTATTCGTACAGGCCATTCCTCTTGGTCCAGTTTTATCCAGCCACGAAGACTGGGAGAGATGGAGAAACAATTTTTTTTTTTTTTTTCCCCGCCGAAATCCAGCGGCAAATTCGTCACCCCTCTGTCCGGGAGAGGGCCAAACCTATCCCTATTCGCTGCCTTTTCCCTTTTTTGGATGCCAGTTGCCGAACCGGTTGCACCGTTTTGGGTTTTCTGTTACGTTGTGGGTCGGTCCAGATTCCTGTCGTCTCTTGTTCCTGCATCCGCCCTGACGTCGGTGCTGGCTACTGGAGGGAACCAAGGCAAGTGTCCCTATTTTTTATTAATACCGGGCCAGGGTGCCGCTGTTTTCTTCATGGTCGCTGCCAGCTAGCGCTTTTCGCATGGCACCAGTGGTTGGGTCTGAAAAGTCAAGGCCGAAGCTTTGGGCACCCTGCAAGCAGAGAGCATGGAGTGGACGGGGGGAAGGAGGAGACGCTATCCGCGTGTTCGCTCGTAATACCTTGGACTTGCACACGGGTAAAGAGCACACAAATCGTGCCCCCCGGTGTCCTTTACACGACGTCCTTCGTTCCGGGACAATCGCCAACGGGGCAGAGGTCCCAAGTCGCTAACGAGTCAGGTTCGGAGCTCGCATCGTCCTCCCGCTTTCATGTTCGGTGAGTTTCGCAACATAATCCTGGCACAACAGGTACCTGATCTGAAGCTCGGATTCGCCTGACAGGGATGTACGTGACGGGTGTCAGCCTTAATGCTGAGCCACGAGTCTTTCTCTTTCTGCGGCGCTGATCACGCAGAAGTTGTCCATTGTGAACGGAGACTTGTTTGCCAATCTGCAGAGACTCATACGCTGCCCAAACCTTTTCTTTATCTTAAAAGGTAGATAAATTTTTTGTCAGCCTGTTGGTGAGGGCACTTCAAAACACGTCAGACAAAAAAAAAAAAACATTAAAAAGATAAAGGGGAACCAGCGGAAGACCAGCCGCTGACAATTGAGACCCGAGCCAGACGACAACGATGGTCGGATTGCCCTGGAGAATTCCTGCCATGTCACCAGTGCCTTTTCTTTTCCCCTCCGTTGTCATTTGGGCCTGGGATTTCCGCCTATCAAAAGTGCCCAAAATACGAAGTCGACTTCCTATTTGTTGCTCAGCGTGAAAGTCGAGCCCTTTTTTGTTACAGTTTCATTTTCATCCATGTCCACTTCTATTTTAAAAAGTTTCCTTCGCTATCTGCAAATCATCCTTTTGTTCCGCGATGGCGGAACTGGAGATGTGTTCTCCGTACTACATGTGGTTATCCTCGACTGATCCCCGCCGACACGAATGTTGGGCAACCTGGGAATCACCGAAGGGCTCAGAGCTGCTTCCTCGGGATTCAGCTGACAATAACTAATGTGCATACTCCATACATTACAGAGTAACTATGTGGTTTCCCTGTTGTAACCTGTTTCATTTGTGGTATCGGCACCTGGGTCGAACAGGGGAACAAAATTAGGAATTTATCAGCGTGATTAACTGGAAATTCAAGATAGTTCACAAACAAAGAGAGTGTCAACCCGTTCCCCCCCAAAAAACTCATTGGTTGACCAATTAAAGATTTAATAAAAACTTGTCCTAGGGACACAACAACCAGTAGATACTCTCAGTTTCCAATGTCCAATGTGCCATCTCAAACCATTTCCAAGGTAGTAGTAGGACCTGTTTACCCTGCTTGCTGGCTGTCCTTTGTAGATTCCAAGATGTCCAGTCCTTTTTTGTCATAGAATTTCCATTCATGGTTTTAACTTTTTCTTGACCCTCCCACATAAACAGAAACATTGCTTGGTTCTGGAGAGTTTTGGAGTAACCTTGCTCCATGTTCCTCCTTGACAACAACATTTAGGAGCTACTATGATTTCATATGGTGTGACTGAAGATACGGCATGTGCATATTCGGGCTGAGTCCAAGGCCGGTTCTGGGTATCCCAGTTAAACCCAGTTAGTTACTCTAAAACTAGGTTATACCTGGCTGTCCGTTTGTGATTTTTTATCAGGACATGGTAGCCAGGAGGCGACAGGGCCCTCACTTCGAGCCAGGACGCAGGACACAGAAAACGGGGAGCAGCTGGGTTCGAATTGGCCTGTTACAGGCATCATGCATTGATACTGTTTACTGCACTCGCAGACTGGGCAAGGATGATGAAGTAACCAAGCCAGTTCGCCATGTAAATTGGTGGGAGGCTCAAGGTTGGTACCCGCCAGAAAGCATGAATTAGCACCGGATATGTGAAAATTACTTTCAACGGTTAACGATGTGTAGCAATAGCCACCGATTTCCTGTTATTTGAGTTATTCAACTTGTGTTTTGAAACTTTGCGAAGGGCATGATTTAACTCCGTTAACTTAGGAACCAATTGTATGGGCCAACAGAGTTCCATTATCACGCCCATCAAACTCGCCCTGTCGACAAAGTCGGATGAAATGCTCCAGGCGTACGAGGCATGCGGCGTAAGGCATCTATCCTCCTCGCAATGGCAGTCTTTTTTGCTTTTCTTTTCTTTTTAATTTTCATCTGTCCTGCAGAAGTACGGCCGGCATATGAAATACGCGACGGGAATCAAAGAGTCTCCGTTGCAAATGGCCGAAGGGGGAGGGGGGGTTTTGTGTTGCTCAGATCCCAGCATTCCGAGCGGGAAGGTTAGCAGAAAGGACAAGTCGGGATAACTTTACCACCTTTGACCCGTTAACTAGCTGATAAAGAAGCCAAGGTTTCACCCTTTAGAAATCTGCCCAAACTTACTACTAAGACCATTTTCCAATTCAACATCGTTACATCGCATGGTTTCTGATATCTTGAGAGCTTTGAGCGTGGTAATATTCAGCCATTGAGTGGGTGTCAGCGACCTATATTCCTCCACCACTCTGTCAAGGGGACCACGAATCGTCAATCGGGTCCGTATCGGGACTGCGTTTTGCTTTTTCAGACGCTGAGATAGCTGCTCGGGACGTTTTCCAATTTCTACATCGGGTTAGCTGGACGGGAAGCCAACCGTAGATCATGGCTTGATAGCACAGGCGTCACGGTATCTTGACATACACGTCCGTGCGAGGGCAGGGGGATGGTCCCCGTCAGGTTCGAATTTCTCCGTGGGTAAGTAGACTGAGTGCATCTCAACCGGGCGCCCGGCGGCTTCGGAATCATCGAAGAGATGTGGGATACTGAGCGACCAAAGTTGTTTCGCTCAAACCGGGCAAAACAGGAACATGGCATGCTTCCCTACAGGCTCCGATCTACTCCGTAACTACACTTCTCCCCTTTGTATCCGATTCCGATGGCTTTTGTGGATCAAGGCTTAGTAGTTATTAACTACACGTCAAGTCAGGCATGGAATAGCTACTTCCAAAGGTAATTGAGCTTTAACTCTAGGGTTGAGATTCTTGTTAAGTGGCGAAGCTTGATATTGTGTGTGTGCGTGTGTGTGTGTGTGTGCGTGTGTGTGTGTGTGTGTGTGTGTGTGTGTGTGTGTGAGACCAGAAAGCATGTGCTCTTGGACGTAGAAGAGCCACCACCGCAATCGCGCTCTGTGACAAGGTAGAATCATGGAAGAGTAGGAAAGCAAGTGACACAAATACCGCTTTAAAACTATATTCCATTCCATATACTTGTCTCATATGAGCTGGCTTGCCCACGGCTGGGCGTTCGTCAGGTGAAACCCATGGTTCGGCGGCTGCCCCCAACATGCGGGGGATATCTACGTACCAGCACACCATAAGGTAACGGCTCGGCTATCGATTTAAACTCAAGAGCGCCTCTATATACCTTTTGGCATCAAGCCCGATCCCCTCTGCAAGCTTCCCCGATGCAATCCAACTTCCTTGTGCATCCGAGACACCACTGAAGTTCCGAAATATTCCTCTCCCCGAGTTTTGTCCTGGCGCAACGTGATCGCTCGCTTTGCGAATCAGAAACGCTTGTCGCTGGACATTTTCCAAGGTGCCAGCTCCTATCGCTGACTCACCCATGCCGTAAGGGCTAGGACGACTGGAGCTGCTGTCTCCCAGCCTCATCCAGAGCACCCACCAACCACGACTTGTTTTGCACGTGCGCTCGGTCTCTGAAGAGCGATATCTAGTTTCAATTAAGGTATTTATGATTTGGGTGTGAACATTCAAAGCGTCCAGTCGGGTCCATGATCCACTGGTCGAAGCTCCAGGCTCGGGGATATTTGGAAGCGACGCACGGACTGTATGATTCGATGGGTCCGAGACCACATCATATATATGCTGACGGGAGGCTTCATTCTCTTTGAAGCCATGGTACAGACTGCAGTGTGAGAGACGCTCTGCTGCCTTTGAGGGACAAGTGGAGGATAACAGAGGCTTTTGTAAGGGGCCAAGTTGATGGTGAACACTTCGGTAAAACGAAGGAGAGGAAAGACACGCTGTGTCTGGGTCGAAGAAGAAAACAAACATAAACGGTTGATACTGGTTGACTAGTTAGCGGAAGTAATGATCAAGACAGCAGTGGGATTATTTACCAGATATATTACGACCCGGAGCGTTTTCGACACGTTGGACTCGCCCTCGATGACACTCACATTCAATGTCCGCGAAGATATTCTAGTTCCTTTATTCCCTGTTTCTGCTTGGTTGCGACGAAATTCGCTGGGGCCTTCAGTATCATCCGAATCTGAACCTTCGTTTTCAAGGTCGTTGCATAATCCTATCAAAAAACTGCCTGGTGATTCGTCTAGCTGCTGATAAAACCTGCCTCGCTCTGCTGAACTGGCGTCCGAAGGGGAAATTTCCCTATCGGGAGTTCCACCCATGCCAAATCGTAGTATGTTCACCCGGGGATGGGTGAGTGGACTTCTCGAGTAGCCACCCCACGCCGAACCATAACCGAGAGTGATTAGCTTCATAAACGTGTCTGTGCCAAAGGCAGGGGAGTCTGGCTTTCCCGGTGGAGACCTTTGTTCTTCAGGGCTATGCTGGACAGGCTCGTCCTTGGTTGGTACGGGACCGGGGCTGACGACGAGAGGAGGGGGTATACCAGGGGATAAGCTCCGATTTGGTGTATCTCCCGAAACCGATTTTGACCGGGCATGCAAAGTTATGGAGGGCCCGGAATCGCGTATAGTGGAGGCGGATGAATGGTTCCTTCTCCGCCTCCGACGCTTGGCTGACCTCGGGTCATCTCTTACGCCATATGCGCCTTCGCCATATTGGTATATCCATTCCATCCACTGCGATACACTCACAAGGGAAGACGTAGCAATTTTGCCCATACCCGAAAATATAACCCCATCTGACGAGTCAGGGTATGTCCCACGCCCGAGCCAGAGAGCCTCATTTGATTGTCGATCGGTACTGTTTGTTCTTTTTTGGACAGCACTCTCTTTTCTATTCGCTAGTTCGGGATCCCCGAAACGCGAAAGCACCATATCAACCAAGCCATCCGTTCTGGAGATGAACCCTTCCAGGACCTCTCGTTCTCCACTCCCCCATTCTTCTTCTCCCACCCCAATACCCAATTCAGCTCCGGCAGCAAGCTTTATGCCGTTGAAGATCTCCACGGCGGGATTTCCATGAAGTAGGACATCCCAATTCAAGACGAACCTTGTCCAGAACCGATCCAAAATCCTGCAAAACCTTTCCCTCGGTATGTTGTTGTAAAGCGAGTCGAGGGTCGGTGCATGATGTAGCAAGAATATAGAGTGGGCTCTTTGCAGCTGCTGCAGTAATAGGTATGACGGAGATACTTCTCGAGACGAGTATTCGACGGACGGAGAAGGCGGCACATTCGGCTTTGATGACGGCGTTGTAGAGGTGGAAGATTCGGAGGCCAAACGGGTAAAGTCGATACGCTACCAGCAGTGTTAGGAGACGTGGGTTAGAAAACTAGACAGGCAGCTTACCGCAAGTATCCACCAATTTGGTTCAAGTTCATGCAGTACAACGCGCGACTTTTCGGTTTCCACCGTATCTACCGAATCTCCATTTGAAAATGTTCTAGCACGAGACTCAGCACTTTATGTCTTGCTGGATGGTATCCAAACGAGCGATTTCACGACGCACTTGGCAAAGCTCACCATGCCCTGGGCCAGCCCTATCTGGCGTAATCTTTCATTTTCGTCTTCCTGTTTTCTTTCGTCGCCCGCACCGTCGTTACTTGCTTGTCTCCTCGATGACCTTGAGCGGCTTGATTTCGAATAGTAGTAGACAATCTGGTTGTGCAGGGCCTCATCGGTCGTGCCCAAAGACGGGTTGTAGATCGCAAGAAAGACAGGATGGGCAGGGACCACTAAAGCATATTCATTTGGATGCATGGCATGTTGCCCTGTTAAGGGTATATTGACATCGCGATGGTGAGATGCCGCTTTCAACCAGACGGCGCTCATTTCCGTTGGGCTAATTTTTGGGTCGATTGCATCACCGTCAAACAGAGCAAACATCTCCCCCGGCTCAAACCGTAACTAAATTCGAGGAGCTTTGCTGAACGTCTGGGCGGCTTGGAGAGCTCGAGACAAAAGGGATTCGAATCTCTAGGCGCAATTGCAGGATGATTTTAATTCGAAGCTCCCGCTGCTTTGCCCTAGGTCGGTCATATCTATTCTCAAAGCAGCGATACTCCCGTCATTCCTCTACGAAATATTGTGAACCCCTTAGGATACTTTTCTGCGGATCGGATGAGATTAGCATTGCCTCACTACAGGCACTCCACGCCGAGCATAGCAAATCCCCGGAGACAATCGCTTCTATAGATGTTGTTTGCCGTCCCGGAAAGCGTGTGGGTCGAGGATTGAAGAGAATTCGTGAGGGTCAGTAGGGAGATCTCGTCTTGCCAGAAAGAGTACCCGAATATTTACGTATTCTTTCGATTCTAGTTCCAATCAAGGCCGTTGCAGAAAACCTTTCCCTTCCCATACACGAAATAGATACATTCACTGGATGGACAGTAAGAGACGGTGGACATTGCTATTCCCATGCATCCCCCTAACACCGTTGTCAATAGCCACCCCAACCCCAACAGGGCCCATGCAACTTGATCGTGGCAGTTTCGTTTGGCCTTCGTGTCCCTCCCCGAATCCTAGGAGCCGCTAGATATGGTGGATTAAATATCCATCCTTCCCTGCTACCTGAGTACACCCCCCTCTCCCCTCTCTCTCTCTCTCTCTCCAGTAATCGATCGATCTCTTGTTCTAATCCGGGGGGATTCACAGTTTCCGCGGTCCTGCGCCGATTCATCATACCCTTCTGGCAGCGGAGAAAACGACCGGTATCACCTTGCAAACGCTCCATGAATCCAAATTTGACTATGGCTTAATACTGGATCAAACAAAGTTTGACATACCGGAGCCCGAATCGTGTGACGTGCAAGGGCTTGTGAAAATCGCAGCGGACAAAGGCGCGCAGGTGCTTATCAATGGGATTCGTGACCGTCTGTTTGTTCCACCATTAGAACCGGTGTTGCAGCCTACGGTTGTCCCCGAAACGGCCCTAAGGCATGCTGCGAAAATCGGTCCCGAGGACCGCCATGTGGAATGGTCATCGTGGACATGGGATCGAATACGACGGCATCATAAAGTCCTAGGTTCTTTGTGGAACTATGCTAGCGTATCTGGAACTTCAAAATCTACTGGCTCTTCCCTACGAAAAAGGATTATATTTGCGGATATGGAGGCTGTTCCGCCGGATTTCATTCTGGAGTTCGTGTCTGGAATTGAACCTGGAATACCGTTTGCGGTAGCGGGAAATTCTTCCGTTTTGGACAAAGATCGACCCATATACGTCCTCACGAGCGATAGGAAATTGGTTAAAATAAATCAAATTAAGGTGGAAGGCGATAAAACCAAGGGAGCTTATGCAGCTGCCCTCAAGGCTAAGGCTATTCAGCCACTGGCTCACAGGGGGATGTCCGATGAAACGCTAATTTCTAAATTCTATGAACCTCTTCACTGATGAAAAACGCTGTGGGTGTGCCGCATTTCATCAATCTCCAAGACAAGTCTTCTCAATTGCGTTCCGTGTCACGCGTGCTTTCTCACTCTGTATGGGATTATCTGATCACAAACCCAGAATCTACGTACTTTGTCAGTACGGGGAACTTGCTTTTAGAACTTGGAGTCACCCACCAACTTGGATCTGCTGGCCTGTCATGGAAGTGTTTTTTGCTATTGTGATGAATACATCGGCACAATCGTCGACGGAGGGCTGTTACTTGCATGAGCGAAAGATACGGGTTGACCCATGGCTATGTCACTTACAACGCGTTTCAGTGGTACTTTCTCCTCGTACATGCCAACAACCTCCTTTGGAAACCGTTGCCCCTAATCCGAAGTTATTATGAGGAGAAAAGAGGGGCGTTTCTGTGGTTCTTACCCATTCTGTGAGAATGAGGCCAGGAAGCAAAGCATTGACGCGAATTTTGGACCCTTGCGTGGAGGCTAGGGCTTTCATCAAATGCAAGCCTATTATAGTGTGAGCCCGTCCTTGTGGATGAGTGTCGGTGTCGATGCTCACCTGCCGCTTTGCTCACTGAATACGCCATACTACTACCACCGGGGGTTATGCCCTGATTGGCCAAGGGTTAACCTGGGTACCCTGGGCCTTAACGTTTTGCGTGGGGGCTTACCGCCGTGGAAGAAGTAATGATGAACGCACCGCCATCTGGATTGGCGTCGAGAGTCGGTTTTGCAGCTCGGAAGAGGTGCAGGTTTGCTTTGACGTTGGTTGTCCAGCACTAGAATCGCAGTGAGCACTGTCCAAGAAATTTCGACACGTTAAATAATCTCATTATTGCCTTACCCTATCCCACTCGTCATCCGTCAATGCATCAAGATCAGCAAAGTTGGAGATCCTAGTCCAGCCCTTATTTCCAACCATTAGCGGGACTTTTGCAGATCAGGAAAGGAGACCGGGGACGGGACATATACAGCATTGGATATTATGACATCCAGCCCGCCTAGCTGTTCAATTGTCTGCTTCACAAGATTCTCGCAGTCTGAACGAGAGCTGACATCCTGCAACCAGCCTGATTAGCATATGGGTAGATACAGGCGGTAGCGCTGCATGCAAGAATAGAGGGTAGCATACTCCCTGCAGAGTTATTGCGTTGATCTTGTGGTTTTCCTCAAGCTGCGCTGCGAGCGCTGTAGCCCGGTCCTCGCTAGAAACATAGTTGATGGCCACGTTTGATCCCTCTGCGGCGAATCTCTCAGCTACTGCGGCTCCCAGGCCTCTAATTAGACAACGTACTTAATATCAGTTCTAAATTTGATACCGTCATTCGTAAATTGCGGGGTGGAGCCTCACCGCGAACCGCCAGTGATGAGGACGTTTCGTCCCTTGAGCGAGTATGGCATGGCTAATATTTACTCGGAAGTGAGACTCAAGACTCGCGAAAATGGCAATGGATGATGGCTGAGGGATTTTGTCGAAGAACTTCGAGGTAACTTTATATAGAGATAAGTTTCGGGAAAATATTCGCTCTGGTTGACATTAACTACTCGTTCTGTTGTCGCCCACGAGCCCCTCGATGGAGCTGATTATCGTTCGAGAACCTCCCGACTCTTCAGTACCTCGGCCGGAAGATCGCAAGCATTATCTAATCGGCTCCGGGTACATTTTCGGCGTCAGGACGCCATAGACTCCGCAAAGCTGGTTCCCGAGTCCACCCCGCAGAGATCCAGACACATTTATCAGCTATGGCACCCGGAATAATAACATGCTATTACGAGCTACATATGCAAAGAGCACATTTCGTCTGCACCGTTGCCTCGTGTCTACCACTAAAAGCATACTCATTCCAGATTATCCTGTTCGTCTGAAGATAATTATCCTGGCCTGGAGTTCCGCCATCACTCCCCGCTTATCTGTTGCGAGTATTTTACCCAGGGCAGCCACTCGGAGAGCGGAAAATCCGGCCCCGATTAAACCTTCGGATTATCATTTGTCCCCCCCGGGGGTCTTGGAAGCAGGCGGATGTCTCACCGGATTCGCACCTCAACCACGCTGCTCAGGCAAACAAATCCAATGGAATAAAGTGGAAAGGGACCCTAAATCTGTTGTCGTGGCCCGTGTGCAATCACCTATGGTGTAATATTGGTCAAATATTCAGACGCGGCAAAAGCGTTCTTTGCTTTCCGGATCATCAGTACATGGGACTCCCGTTTCCCCCATGTATTTTGCAGGAAGTTCACGTCGAGCTGTTATCATGGATTTACCACACGCTCTATCCAGCGAAGCGAACTATTTCTTTCTGATACCCTCTTTTCAGTTCCAGCCGCGCTGGTAACACAAACGGGCCGAAGTTCCATCTCAGATATGAACTTCCGAATACGGGGCCTGGTTCTAGGATCCCAGAGGTGGTGTATGATTTGATTAAGCTGGTATGGCTGCCCAGCATAAGCGTCGCGGTACTCTAGCCCCGAATTCTTTAGGATCAAACGAAGATAGAGTCCCTACTTCGTTTTAGCTTCGATCCAGAATCGCCTTCGACGAAATCCCGCAACGCAGAGTCTCTGACATCGAGGTTCCTGCTTCAATAGCCCTGGTATATAAATATCGTTGCGGGCCGCAGGAGGCCCCAGCTGGACGATCCGACGATAGCCATAAGAATCAAGGGAAAGGATGTAGAATCCCTCAGAGATATAAAGGGTGTCTTTTCGGGAAATCTATGGCATTTCCCGTCCACGTGAGGCACAGGAGATTTTACCCTTATACTTAAGGATGCCTTTCTTATCTGCTCTTGAAGCCTTCAGCTTTATTTGCTTTTTGTGTTTGTTTTCTTCTCAAGGCTTACCTTTCACGCAACCCAGGGCCATTCTCACTCTACTCATTTCCTTTGGAACACTTCAGTTCATCTCCATCAGGTAGTCCTAAGACTCGCGTTTGCTCTTTCTCTATCACTCTTCCCTTTCTTTTGCAAAGAAAGCTTGTTCCTCAACAGTCAGGTCTTCTCGTTGGTCAAACTTGTATCTCACAAGTGACTTTTTGGTCTCTTTTCTTTTGCCATCCCAACCTTCTTTGTAACGCCATCAATATGACCCCTTTGAGAAAGCGTGATATCCATCAACCGGCGCTACAATCAGCTTTTTGCCCTGTTCCATCAAAATCAAGCTCCACTGATCCAGCCACCGATTATGTCACATCGAGCACCTCAGCCGCAGAGCTTCAATCTAGAATTGAAGCAGCTGTGCACAAAATGGAACAAGCACATAAGGACCTGCAAAGGCCCCGCCCAAAGGGATTTTGGAGCAAGCTCTTTGAAAAGATAAAGGGCTGCCTTCAGAAGCTTTTTGGTCGATGTGCTCCTCAAGTGTGCAGCTCAGAACCTCCACACCCTTGTGGTGATGAGCAAAGCTTAACTGCCATTTCTTCGACGCCGCACCTTTGAAGGCATCAACCTTAGCCTTCCGAAAGTTCAAGCCCTCACAGGAGATGGCAGGATCCCCCGAAAACCTAGCCTTTTCCAGGAAGAACTTAGTGCCGAATTAGTGAAGGAGCGACAGCACCACTGCCGCTCCACCCTTGGCTCTAGAGACTATGCAAAGTTCGTTCTCACCGGCAAGCTAGACGAAACCCTGGACGAGACCAACGAACCGATTTACCAAGGCAGTCAGTTCGATTCTAGTAAACCTCACTTTGAAGAGCTACTTTCTGAACTCTCTTCCGAACCGTCAGAGTCAATTAAGCGGCCATTCTCGATAGGATCAGACCTTCAAGATAACTGGGATTCTCACCGGATTCCTAGTGCCGAACCGCGATCACGAAGGCTCTCCAGCTTCTTCGAGAGTATAAGGGCAAGCTCCCCTTTGGGCCGGGTTGGCTCAAACCCTAAGACTCCAAGCAGCCCTAAGGGGGAGTACAAAGCTGTTCCTAGCACTTCTGCATCCGAGGAAGGAAGCCTAGCATTTAATGAACAGTGATCTGCTTCGCCACCTAAGCAATGCTTGATAGGAAGGGATGCACGCCTTCATAAATTTGCAAAAGAGAAGCTGTGGTTTTCTTTTTCTTTTTCTTTTATTTTTCCTTTCTTTTTGCGTGCACTACAAGGGTGCCTTTGGGTTCTGAGTAAACAAGTCTTGTTGATACGGAGCTAGGTAATCTTACTTGTTGGTTTCCTATACTGTATGCGGTCTACCTATATCCATGCACTAACTTCTATTGCATGCCTTGCCTAGGGAGCTGCTTCTGCGTGCATCAAACAGCCTATTTGGGAGAGATCGCCAGGCTTGCTGGAAGAATACTTATGGGTCATGACAATGCTTTGCTTTTGCCTACTGTTGGGCTTTTTTTTCTTTCCCTCCCCCTTTAATTCTTGTTTCCGTTTTACATCAGATTGTTAAGGATAAGCTTTAAAGTGAGCAAATGTGAGCTCAGCAAGTAGAATCAAGGGTAAGTGATGAGAAGATGCATTAACTGAGACCTTGGAACTCCATCTCAAGGAAGAGCATTTACGATGAACAAATCGGAGGGAAAAGCATTTCTTTCTATCCTTCTGCGCTCCCTTAACAAGCAGCAAAGATCATCCCCAATTAAGCCTATATAAGAAAACAACCGGTGAGAAAAGAACCATTACATCGTAGCCGTCGTCCAGGTCATGTAAGCTTTTGTTTTATGAAGAATGATCGAAGATGGGACAATTGCCAGACACAAGTTGCAGTGAGGACAGCAAGCTGGATCAGTGTCCAGCGGACGACACGGGAATTAGTAGCTTCGGATTGATCACGGAATTGAGCTTCTCGTTCCTGCGCAAATAAAAATGTTAGAATGCAGCCCGGTCGTCCAAATATATTATGCAGTGAATTTTCTCGCCACTGGCAGGGAGCAAAGCGCCCTTTCCAAAGAAAGGAACCGACTCACTCTCTGGAAAACTTGCTCACGGCGGATATCTTGTAACCGGGCATTGAGATTCTTCACTCGCTGTGCCATATCCTCCATCTTTCCCCGGTCCTCGCTCTCCAACTTGCTCGATTCACCAGTTGCAATATCAATTGTCAACTTCACCGCTCCACCGCTGGAGAACCATCCATTATTACCACCATATTCGGGAGTGAAGCAGATCCTATGCAGGCCTGCGTCGGCGGCGGAGAAAGTAAGCCGGCCCTTGTCGCCGCCCCGCTGCGAAACAACACGGTGGTCATTGTCGAAAGTTTCTTCGACCGTTATCATGATACCGAGATTGGGATCTTGGCTGTAGCCGCCGGTTTTGTCGTTGTAGGATTCCGCACTGTATGTACCTAGTTATGGCCGTTAGCTGAGAGAGCTCACGAGACACTAGTGCACCTGCCCGGTCTCCTTGACCGAGACGGGGGACTGTAAAGAATGACCTACCAACAACTAATGTTCCTTGCGGTAGCTCCTCATAAAAGCACTTGGCTTCTCGGCCAAATATGTAAAAGTAGATGGCGTGCGAAGGGGTAGACAGCATGAGTACGGTCGCGAGAGTGAAGAATGTCGACAGCCATGACGGCCGCGACCTTGACAATGCCATTGAGCAGGATATAAAAAATACACACGCAGGAGAACAGCAAGCCAGCAGCAAATGCTTCTCACGCTAAATATTCGGTGTCGGTTGACGGGGAGAGGAGGCACAGGCTGGTGTTTAAAGGGGAATTGTGTCTTGTTTGATGGGATGGACCACTCTGGCCTGGCGTCGGCCAATCACGTCTGTGCGTCCTGCTGTCCAAACCCTTCAAACTTCTTCGTCGTCGGGAAGCCGAGCGGCGATAGACCAGCAACTCCAGCATCGACCGTATCGATATAAGCAAACATATCTCATCGTCATCGTACTTGACTACAACAGAACTTCCCTGTGCCGGTTTTACAACACCCCCGACGCGTGCCGGAAGGGGACGCCCGGGCCTTCACCGCAACCATGGCAGCCGCAGACATTCGTGATATGCTGGATCTGCCCCAGGAAAGCCAGCCCAGACCAGCAAAGAAGCAGAAGGTTGCTGAGCCAAAACGGCCTGGTAAAGCCTGCCCGCGCCCGAATAAATGGCTATTCTGAGATATTAACTATGTTATAGAAGGGTACAACAGAGAGCTATACGCGTTACTTGGAGACAAAGCCCCTCCGATCGCGCTCACGGAGAATAAATACAAGGGACGGAGAAAATGGGCAAGCAAGCTGAAAGTGAGACCATGGTATGCTTTGCTCCTCACACAACAAATACCGGGAGGTGTCAATGATGCTTATGGTTTATGAACAGGGAAATTACCTCGTTCACCAACGCCGCCAGGACCGACGACCTCGTCTTGCGCCACTGGCAGAGAAAAGCTCCCCCCAAGAACCTAGCGCCCTCCGGGGAACCTACGACTGCGGAAGCCGGCGACGTTAACAGCCTGGCGGAACGGCCGGAAACGAAGCCAGAAGAAGAATACCCTTTTGCGAAATATAACGTCAAACCGCAAATACCGAGGAGATACACTGACGCAGAATACGATAAGCACCTTCAAAGCGACCTTTGGAGCCGCGAGGAAACAGATTATCTTATGGACCTTGTTGAAGAATTTGATTTGAGGTGGATCCTTATCGCAGATCGCTACGACTACCAACTAAAGGTTCCCCAGTCAGAAGGAAGTTCGACAGCTCTGGTAGCACCATCTAAACGAAGGACAATGGAAGAGATGAAGTCGCGATATTACACAGTTGCTGGGAAAATGCTGGCAATCGAACGTCCTCTTTCGGAGATGTCACAATCCGAATTCACCCTCTACGAAACAATGATGAAATTCAACCCCGAGCGCGAAAGGCAGCGCAAAGAGCTGGCCATTGTACAGTTCGATCGAAGCAAAGACGAAAGCCAGGAAGAAGGTCTACTCCTTGAAGAACTAAAGAGAATCGTAGGAAACGAACAAAGCTTCGTCGACGAACGCAAGGAGCTCTATGCCCGTCTTGAAGCACCGATCAGCACCGGCAACACTGCAATGTACCAATCAAGCCACGGTCTGGCACAACTGCTACAGTCTCTCCTACAAGCGGATAAGAACAAAAAACGCCGCTCCCTCCTCGGCCCAGAGCAAGGCGCTCCCAGTCCAGCTGGCGCCGCGCAAAGCAGCGCCCAAAGCTCCCGCGAGAGCCGGCCCGAGACCCCAGCAGCCACCACATCCCAACCAGTTACAAAAAAGGGCGGCGCAGCCGCCGCCGCAGCAGCAGCAGCAGCCCAACAACCCGCAATTCGAACTCTTACTCCTTCCGAGGAAGCCAAATATGGCGTAACCCGCCACGATCGCCTCACCTCGGGCGTTCAGTTCCGCAACGACAAAGCCCAAAAGCTTACACAAGCAAAATCAAACATTCAGTCGCAAAAGATCGCCGCTGCCCTTACAGAGCTGGACATTCCGCCGCGTTTGTTCATGCCCACGGAAAAGGTGTGCAAAGAATTTGAGAAGCTGATTCATTCAGTGAATATTCTGCTCGACATGAGGAAGTATGCGGAGAAAGTGGAGGCAGAGATCAGGATATTAGAGGCTGCTAAAGAGGAGAGAGAGAGAAAAGAGCGAGAAAAGGAGGAAGCGCAGAAGGCTGAGGGCGGGGAGACGTCAGCTGCGGATGGTAGCAATCCCGTGGAGATCAAAGGTGAAGGACAGAAAGAGGAGACAAAACTCGATGCCCCAGACGATGGTGCTTCTTCTACCAAGGCCCCGACAGGTTCATCCCACAAGCGCAGCGCCAGTGTGCTCAGCACTATGAGCGAGAAGAGTACCAAAAAGCAAAAAAAGTGACTGGATAGCCTTTTAACTTTAGGAAGGTGGGAGAAATTTCATTTTCTCCCCGCTCCTGTTGATACAAGCTGTATTTATATACAGGAATGACCCGAATGATAATTATTACTTGATGCCTTCTCAAGCTCCTCGTCGTTTCGGCTTCTCATCAAGCACCACAGCCTAGAACCTAGACGAAGCCCATATGCGTGCCCCCGGCGTGACCAATGTTCAGCACCAGCGTATAACCCGACCATTGGGATCACCTTCCCCACGTATCGTTCACCATCTTAAGAAGGTTTTCGCGGGCTACCGTCTCGGCAGCCAGTTGTGCCTCGTTAAACCGAATCGTCGATCCGCGCAAGTCCGTACCGTCTGAGCTTGTGGCCTGTTCTAATGTTTCATGTACGGTTCGCGCGTACTGTGCACGATTCGAACCACCTGAACTAGTCGATCCCAATTCGTCGTCCACTGCGGGCCTCTCAACGCAGTTCTCGTATATCTTTGACCAACCTTCGGCAGAATTTGGTCCTTGCAGTGCTAATCCATTTGGTGGAGCCCTACAGGAGGCATGTGAATTTGTGGCTATAGCCTTGTTTTCCACTTGCAACCGTTCGGAGAAGCTAGCCGTGGTGTTATATGGTGGTGACTCCTCCACAATTTGCTCTTGCAAAGCTATGTTTTGATTATTTGGTGACCTTCTTGTTGAGGAATGACAACCAGTAGTGTCAGAAATGGATCGTCTTTTCCATTTTCTGGAAAACTGCCTAGTTTTACTCTCATGGGGAGCGTTTTCGTCTTCATCACCTCCAAAGGTATCCGGCATATGGAGATTTGAGCCTCGTGCTTCAGATAGCATCATATTAGTCAGAGCAGACTCGCTGCTCGATAGCTGATGTCTTCTGCTTTTTACCAATATGTTGAGATGTGAAAGAAGCCCGCTACTCTTCCTGCTCTGACGTTTCGAATCTTTCCAGGCTGATTTGTGAAGCTTAATCTCGGCATTACCTTGGTTGGTTTCTTCTTTGGGAAGATTTTTTTCAGCATCAGAGCTAGCTTCTCCTGCGGAGGGAGAAGTAGCGAGACCAAATTGATCTATAGATTTCTCGTGAGCCTGAAGCGGCGAAGGCTTGCTATTTGGCACAAAGTCATAGTTATATCCGAGCCTTTTTCCATCAGTCAACCAAGCTTGGCTGGTTTTCTTGATTTCGTCGTTTGTCTGGTCATTTATGCCTTTGTTCTGGTTGATGTCGCAGGGGTTGTCAAGAAAAACGTCCTCGAGATTCTCGATAAATCGACTTTGGACTAAATTTAGGGACGATCTCCGTCCTGTGAGAAAGGATCCTTGCTCTCTTTGAGCGGTAGATCGCAACGTGCGAATCCTGGAGACACATAGCTCTGTGGTTTTGCGTGGATTCCTTGGCGGTTGATTTTCCCTTAACAAACTTGAAGGTTTAACCGTGCATCTATCCATGGATTCTTCGGGTAATCTTAGAGAAAGGTCTTTCTCTTCAGAGGAAGCCCTGCATTTCAATGTCTCCTGCATGCCTTTGACTGACAAATTCTTCTGATAACTCGATTGTGGAACGATATCTTGAGGCTCGTGGTCGGAATACGCGGACAGGCGTAATGCTCCTTCAAAGCGTAGGTCTCCAGGAAGTTCTCTTTTATGATATGGCAAAGTCTCGATATTGCCAGCTGCTATCGCTATGTTAACTTCCCAAGAGACGCTGACAATGACTTGGCAAAGCGAAGTGGCTCACCTGTCAACCCAGAGTCTTCTAACGGCCAAGATGGATTCACGGGGCTTTTGACAGCCCGAAGAGAAGCGCAATCGTCGCTTTCTCTGGCAGATTTTGATTTTCGAGTTGGAGTGAGGTTGATATACTGTGTTTCGGAATCATGATTATCATCAGCTTCAAGCAGGCTATATCGGGGAATGCCGCACTCGTGTCTGCATGCTTCGAGCCTGTTGGCCTCGCCCGAAGATAGTGGTATTTGCGCAGAATACGTTGGTGTACGCTCATCTTCGGAAGAAACGGCAGCGGTATATGACATCCTAAGGCCAAATGAATCCGGGACAGCACCGTCATAGCCCATCTGCAGCAATGCTTGCGACGATTCACGCCTATCTTCCATGGTGGGAAGTATAGCCTCAGGTCGTTCTAAACCGGAGCCAAATCCTGGCTGCCCAATAATCTGCGGCGTTAGGATGTGACGGGCATCGCTATCATAGCCGCAATCGCTGGCGGCTATACTGGCAAGAATATTTGGAGAAGCACTTAGGGCCGTGTCTGAGCATCCAGGCTCAGTACGGGCTTCGATTTCAATCTGGGCATCTGAGATTGTCAAAGGCTTTTTCACAAGGCGGGATCCACGCGCAAACTTCGTACGAAGCTTGTCCGACAAGCGAGACAAGCTAATCCTGCCCTTTTTGCCGGTTTCTGTGTCCGTTAGCACACCGGAGACGGAGGGTGCCGTCGTCGAAGCGTCAATAGTGATATTTGATTGTCCGAAGATCACCTCAATGGCATGGTCATCCAGATTCTGGTCATCCGAAGCCTCAGAAAAGCCTTCCTGCATGGAACTGCTGACAGAGTGTTGTGCGAGCGCGGTGGCACTGACGGGGCGGTCAAGCTGGAGCCGGGGACAGGGAAGAAGCACCATTTTTGCGGAATCAGGCAAGGTGCAAAGAGCTGCAGTGCCCTTTCAGTAGACTTCATCGAACTGGTAAGAGAAAATCGATGAAGATACCACTGTCGACGAAGCGCGTTTCCGGATGCGACGCCGCCAGCAGAGCCGCATCGTCGTTTGGCCGGCGCTGGGAAGGGAAAGGAAAGGAAGGAAGGGCCCATCTTGTTTACAAAGCTGGCAATGACTAACTAGGGAAAGCACCAAAACCAGCAAGCGCGAAGTGCGGAGCAAGTCTCCTTCTGGAGGCGGAAAGTACGACTGTCAAAATGGGAGGTGCAATCCTCCTCTCCCCCTTCCCTGGCTGAACACGCTGTGTTATTTTTGGTCCAGCCACACAAGCCAATTTCGGTAACTTCCTAATTGTACAGCTATGGCTGGGGGAAAAGGCCAGTAGCTGTGGCTTCATCGTGTACATAGGTATACTACAGAATAGTACAACAACTCAGCATGTTAGGCACTTGAATGGATGCTGTTGGTTTATCCCGCCATGGACAAGCAACAGACCAGAACTGTCTGTTGTATCACCCAGCTGAAAGGCAACCGGTCACGTTTCTGATAGTACAGGGTAGTGACATCGGAGCGAACCCCAGATGGCGTGATTGGCCCAGCATGGCCCCTTGTGGCCAACCAGCGCGCGGCAACTCGGGGTCGGAGTTAGTAAGTCACTGACTGTGTGGCTGACTCAGCAGCTGGGACACTCCGACCGCAGCCCGCGCTTCGGAGCGAACTGCCCCTCCGTTGGCTGCGAGTTCGCCCACCCCAGAAATTATTCTTTCTTCCTCTTTTTTTTTCACTTTCCCCTCCCCCTCTTCTTCTTCTTCTTCTTCCTCTTCTCTTCTCCTTCATCATCACCACTCTCTCTTCCCCTCCCCCCCTCTTCTCTTCTTCCATCAATTGATTCTGCAGCTCAATTGCTGTATCAAATCCTTTCACGCACACTGCCTGTATCTACCTTTGTCCCTGCTTAACCCCTCACACCCGTTCCGCTCAGCTTTTCCTTGATCCAAATCCTTCAAGATGGTCCAATCGTAGGTCATAATCCTCTCTTATTGCTTTCTTTTTCGAACCCAGGCTGACAATGGGCTTAGCTCCATCCTCGGGTTTCCCCGCATGGGGCGCCTACGTGACTTGAAAAAGGCCACTGAAGCATACTGGGGAGGCAAGATCTCCCGTGATGATCTCTTGAAAGAAGGCAAGCGTTTGAGATTGGAGCACTGGCAGATCCAAAAGGATGCTGGTGTCGACCTTATCCCAAGCAACGACTTTGCTTTCTACGACCAAGTCTTAGACCACATTCAACTCTTCGGGGTACGGCGTTTAATTTTTCCCTGCACCTCGAAGGATAACTGCTAACTTCAGTCCCCCGAATTAGGTCATTCCTGAAAGATATTCTAAATATGGACTCCACCCACTTGATGAATACTTTGCCATGGGCCGTGGCCTGCAGAGACCGGCCAAGGATGGCGAGCCTGCCGTTGACGTTCCCAGTTTGGTATGTCTAGCCCTTTGCTACTCTCTCGTTTCTCAAATCATGGACTGAGACATAAGATAGGAAATGGTGAAATGGTTTGACTCCAACTACCATTACGTCAAGCCAACCCTTCAGGACAACCAGGAATTCAAGCTCTCCGCCAACCCCAAGCCTGTTGTCGAATTCAAGGAGGCAAAGGAGGCTGGAATCAACACCCGCCCCGTCATCTTGGGTCCTGTTTCTTTCCTCGTCCTCGCTAAGGCCGACCGTGGCCAGTCTGTCGACCCTGTTTCTCTCCTTGAGAAACTTTTGCCTCTCTATGAGCAGCTCTTGATTCAGCTCAAGGAGGCCGGTGCTGAGACCGTCCAGATTGATGAGCCAGTGCTCGTTTTCGATCTTGCCGCTAAGGCCAAGGCTGCCTTCAAGCCAGCCTATGAGAAGCTCGGCGCCCTTGGTGACAAGGCTCCTCGTATCGTGTTCGCTACCTACTTTGGTGACATCGTTCACAACATCGATGTCCTCGCCCATCTCCAAAGCCTCTATGCTATCCACGTCGACCTCGTCCGCAACCCTGAGCAGCTCGAGACGGTCATTGGAGCCCTCGGTCCCAACCAGATCTTGTCCGCCGGTGTCGTCGATGGACGTAACATCTGGAAGACCAACTTCAAGAGAGCAATTGAAATTGTCGAGCTAGCTATCCAAAAACTAGGCAAGGACCGAGTCATTGTGGCTTCCTCTAGCTCTCTCCTCCATACTCCTCACACCCTCGAAAGCGAGAAGAAACTTGATCCTGAGGTCCGTGATTGGTTCAGCTTTGCCGTCGAGAAGGCCGCCGAATTGGTTATCATCGCCAAGGCTGTCACCGAGGGCCCAGCCGCTGTCCGAGAACAGCTCGAGGCCAACGCCAAGTCCATCCAGGCTCGTGCTTCATCCAAGCGCACCAATGATCCAAAGGTTAAAGAGAGACAGGCTGCCGTCACCGATGAGATGCACAACCGCCAGTCTCCATTCCCTGAGCGTATCAGCCAGCAGCAGAAACACCTTAATCTCCCAATGTTCCCTACCACCACCATTGGTTCCTTCCCTCAAACCTCTGAGATCCGTATCCAGAGAAACAAGTTCACCAAGGGCGAAATCACCGCCCAGCAATATGAGCAATTCATCGAGAAGGAGATTCAGGATGTCGTCAAGATCCAGGAGGAATTGGATCTGGACGTCTTCGTGCACGGTGAACCCGAGCGTAACGACATGGTCCAATACTTTGGTGAGAGACTGACTGGTTACGTCTTCACCACACACGCCTGGGTCCAGAGTTACGGCTCTCGTTGCGTCAGGCCTCCAATCATTGTCGGTGATATCTCCCGCCCTGCACCAATGACCGTTAAGGAGTCCAAGTATGCCGCTTCTATCTCCAAGAAGCCAATGAAAGGCATGCTTACTGGTCCAATTACCTGCTTGCGCTGGTCTTTCCCTCGTGACGATGTTCACCAGTCTGTCCAGGCCCAGCAGCTCGCTCTCGCACTTCGCGACGAGGTCGTTGACCTAGAAGCCGCCGGTATCTATGTCATCCAAGTTGATGAGCCTGCTCTCCGTGAAGGCCTTCCACTCAGATCCGGCAAGGAGCGTGAGGCCTATCTTAAGTGGGCAGTTAAGGCCTTCCGCCTCGCCACCTCCGGCGTTAAGGATAGCACCCAGATCCACTCCCACTTCTGTTACTCCGAGTTCCAGGACTTCTTCCATGCAATTGCCGCTCTCGATGCCGATGTTCTCAGTATTGAAAACAGCAAGAGTGACGCCAAGCTTCTCAAGGTTTTCGTCGACGAGAAGTATCCACGCCACATTGGTCCTGGTGTGTACGATATTCACTCTCCTCGTGTCCCAAGCGAGCAGGAAATCAAGGATCGCATTGAGGAGATGCTTCAGTTCCTCCAGCCAGATCAACTCTGGATCGATCCCGACTGCGGTCTCAAGACCAGACAGTGGGCGGAGACCAAGGCTGCTCTCACCAACATGGTGAATGCTGCCAAATACTTCCGCCAAAAGTACTCTAAATAAATACTTCTCTCACATTTTCCTTTCGATGCTCCTCTAAACGGAGCAGTTGTTTGTATATGACGATTGGGATGACTTCATTTTAACATGATGGCAGTCAAAACTCAAAAAGGAGAAAATCTTTCAACATGCATGCATAGCTGGTCAGACTGGGTTTTATGACGGGGGTGACATGGTAAAAGCGAAAAGAATACCCACGATCTCAACATCGGCGTTGGTGAATTGGTGATTTATCACGGCATTTGGTCTTCTTTTGCTTTTATTTTAGGTTCTGGTCTTGACATGTTTTTATTCTCATGGGCGGTACTCGGTCAAAATGATGTGGTGATGCGGTTTATTTTTGACAATACTTAATGATTCAACGGCTAGTTAAAGAAGCTGAATAAAAATGTAATTCAACATCTTCCAATTTCGATCCAATTTTTTCTCGAAATGTGACTTGCGTAATTAGTAGAAATACAAGGTAGAATGTATTCGTATCACCCGAAGAAAGTCGACGAATATAGGAGTACCGCTGCCTGCCTCTTTTCTTTTTTCTTTTTTTTTTTTTTTTAGAGTGAACACTATAATTCCTCACAACCACTTGAAATAAGGAACAAACCCCCCTCTTGCAGCAACGGCCTTCTCCCCAAACCGCTGGACATACCACTTCCTCCCCCACGATGCCCTTGCCCCCGTGGTCAACACGGTGTTCACCAGGAATACAATCGCCGGCAACGGGAACGGCAAGCCCCATCTTTGCAAGAACAACTTTGCCAACGGCGTGTAATACGGGGCCAAGGGAATATACGGTGTTTTGGCACTGGCAGAGGGTGTGTGGGATGTCTGCGAGGCCACGGCAAACCCGATGAGCAGGAACCCGGCCCATTCAAGCCATTCCAGGACGTAGTGCGGGAAGAGGATTGAGCGGAAGACGCCAGTAGGCGGTGGGATGACGTAGACCTTGTCGTAGATGGATTTTCTGCTGTTGGTTGCGTCGCCGTCCTTTTTCGCCTTTTGTTGTTTGCGGTGGGCTTCTTCTCTGCGAAGACGGAAGAGAGTGGTTTCGGAGTGGATGTTGCCGTACATGCCTAGGAAGTAGAGGGCGATGCCGATGTAGGGCACGTAGGGAAGCCAGGCGTGGATAGGTGTGTTGGCGGCGGAGGTGGTGGTGGCTATGATGTGTTCGCCGGAAGCACTGACGGGTAGGCCGTATCCGAGGAGCCAGCCCGCGAGGCAGCTAGAATTGAAGTAGTTGTATGTCACCGCCGTGAAGATTATGATCAGGTGAATGGGCGACATGCTGGGTGCCAAAAACAGCGGGGTGATGAAAGCGCGATTGACGTAGTGGAGGATGTAGAGAGCCACGAGGAGTTTATTCCAGGCTGGCATTGTAGATAGGAAATTCGGGATGGACTGGAAGTGCGTGTAGAGGATGTACAACATGTTCATGGCGCCGATGCTCTCCATGAAGCACCACGCGTAGCGGCCTGGGAAATTCAGGATAGAGGTCGGGAGGGACGTTTTGCCCTGTGGGTAGAAGGGGAGGAGCCATTGGGCTATGGTTATCTGAGAAAGAGGTTAGATTCACTTCGCACGTGCGTTTGCTGGCTTTGAGATTTAGAATTGGCACGGAAGAGGACTTACTATCGGAAAGTATTGGAATATTGAAAGGAGGGTAGAGTATGCCTTTGGTGTGGGCGGGAAGAATTCAGGGGGCGGAGGCAAGGATTGAATCCAAGTAGAGAGAGAGTCCATGATGCCTGATCTCACAGCTTTTCGACTGAGTTCGCGAAACTGTTCTCGAGATAGCTATGTTCAAAACTCTCTATTTGATGATGAGCTTGGAGCTTGGACCTCTGGTGCTGGACGCGATCTTAAGCCTTGGCTGCGTGACGTTGGAGCTTATTCTAGGCTAACTCGTTAACTAACCAACCAACCAACGCCACACATAACTTGCTGCCATCCAAAACTATGGATGGGTTCTTGGGCTCCAATTTCCGCCCTCTGTCTACGGAGTACATAGGCCATACTCCTGGTGTGTGTGCCACTTCTTCCAAGGTATGAGAAGTCGTAATTTATGTCAACAATGGATCCTCAATAGTTGTGAAGGCGCATGGGCCGTGGAATGTTACAGCGCCAGTTTTGGCCGCATACTCCCTATACAAAGCGGAGTTTGAGCCTGGGGCCAGCGAACCTCGAAATGCCTTGCTTCTGAGAAAACAGTGCCCATTGACATGAGAGGGCAACTTTTTTAGGACTTAAGATCCATGTCCTGTATTGTTGGGTCCATGTGGTCGATTGGCAATCAGAGAGAGGCGCCTCGAATGATCCTATTCATAGCTTCACGTCGAGTCTTGTTGACATAACAGTTGCCTGAGCTCTCCGATCGGGTTGATCTGACCCCATTGTTTGAAGTTATCAATTTATGCGATCAACAGTTACATTCACGCATGTTGCTGATGAGAAGTCGCGTTACTTTTTATTGAAACTGTGGCTACAGCATCATTTTAGACCATTATCTGAAGGGACAACATTCTGAAGATGTGCCATCTTAAGCAAGTCTATCAACAGAGAACATGGAAAGTAAAACGAATTAAATGTAGCCCAGGCCACTGTACGGAGTAGGATCCACTGATTATCCTGCACTCGTATCCATGCTATCCTGGTCTGGGGCTGCGTCTTTCAATCCCGCCAGCTTCGCAGCTTTCCGTTCCGTCTTGAAAGCTTCAATTTTCGCCTTCAATTCCGTATCTACCGTGCAATCAAACAATTAGTCAAGAGGTCTGACCCAGCAAAATTGTCGCTGTCGCAAACTCACCCGCAATAACGTCCTCAATCTTAAGTGGCGCTCGGTTGAAAGGATCGTTAGGATCACTAAGGAGATGGGACCGGATGGTTGACCGGTCAATGGAAACTTTGGAGCTGGGAAGTATCACAGGATCTTCCATAAGCGTATACATCAACGGATCTAGGGGGTAATCAGTTTTGAACTTAGTTTGAAATGCAAAATCTGATTGACGTGGAAACAAACCAAGGAACTCATCCGGAATTTCTCCCAGGTCTTCTTCTGCCTGCTCGTCTGCCTCTTTGGCTCCTTTGACTTTAGACTTTAATTTCTCCCATTTGACCATGTCACTCTGGGATTTAAGGGACCATTTCTTGAGAATTTCTGCAGCCTTATCAAAATTCGCCGGCTTATACGACCGACCGTCGCGTGCCACAGCGAGAATGAAGTTATCCTTCTGCATTAAGTTGAGATATACATCAACAATCTCACTTAACAGCGCTCTGGGATTGAAGTTGTAAGAGGCCAAATTGTCCACACGTAAATTCGAACTCTTGGGGCCGACCATCGCATCCAGGTTGTAATTCAACATGTCAGCCAGCCGCTGTACAATTTCAGGCATCGTAAAGGAATCAGCGAGGGCTTCCGTGAACAACTTCAGCATCGTCACGGTCTCGTTAGTCAGTTGCATGTATCCCTTGGCTCTGCTTTGAGCTGCTGCCAGTTGCTCTTCCTTTTCCTGACGAGTATTTTCATCCATTGAATCTCCTTGCTGTCTCAGTTCGACTTGTGTGTCGTGAATCGTCAAAAACGCCGTGAACGATTCATCCAGGACGAAAGTAACATCGTTCAAGAGCAGGTTCACAAACCGCACGAAAAAATCCGAATTCCTTTGTGCCTCATTCGATAATTGATCCCGGTAGATTGCGTTCGGCCAGATGCACTTGATTATCTGGAAAATTTCCAGTCGAATATTAAACTTATCGAAGAACTGCGTATGGGTTCCCGTAAACTCTGCTTCTATATAAAACTTCAGAAGAGCGTGTAGAAGGTGCTTATTAGCAAACGGCATAGAATTTAAAAGATCAACGAGGACACCCCTCGCTCCAGTCGGTTGGGTCCATGTCCCGCAAAACAAGATTGTGATTAATCCCGCTTTGAGATACGGATTTTTTATGTATTCCGAACTGTGTAAGAAAGCGATGCAGAGCATAATCAACTCATCACCCTGCGTTGAAGTAATTATATGAGGCATATTCCATATGATGAATTTGAAATTGCTCACGACGTCGTCCAGGAAGTATTCCGGCAAACATTTGAAAGCTTCAGATTCAGTCGCGGGAAGCGGTAGCTGAAGTGGTTCCTTGGGAAAGTTGCGACCAGACACAATCCTCAGCATCCACACAATGACGTATCTCATGAACTGCATGGACCGAGCCTGCCAGAGCTCATCCAGTAAAACACCTTGTAGGCTGTATTTAAACGCAAGGCCTATATCCAACCTGTCTTTGTACTTTTGGAGTGCCCTCTCGAACATTCTGGCCTGATTAGGATCCACTGACCATTTAGGCCTTTCGCGCTCAAGCTTCTCAATCTGAGTTTGCATATGGCGCAAGTCTTTCCTAAGCTGCTCCAACAAGGTAGTTAACGACTCGCTACCATAATGATGAGCAGCAACCGTCAGGAAGAAAACTTCGCTGATGAAATTCGACTCGCCTTCCACGGAGTGGGAGTAAAACTCATCAGAGGTCTTTTGATCGGCATTTATTTTAGTTTCATCTTTGATTTGCACTCGTGGGTTTCTTTTCAGATAATTCAAGTCAATTCTATCAATCTGAATGGGTCAGTGTGAACATCCATGATCGGAGAACACCATACCTTAGTAAATGCTGCGTCCATAAACGGCTCACACAACTGATCAAGGCAAGTTGTGACATTGAACATAAACCCATCAGAGGAGACCTGGGCTGGATCCACTTGCATAGCTCTTCGTTTATGGTTGATGTTGACAGTTGCTGCAAACCAATCCAAAACATGTTCTCTTGCGGATTTGGAAGCCCTGATGAGGTGATTGATGATGTCGAGAAGGTCTGAACTATGCAGCTGTTGAGTCATTCGCATTGCCCGTTGTGCGCTGATTATGAAACCCTTGTCTCTCGTTTGTGGACTCGAAAAATATGACATTGCTGTTTCCTTCTGCAGCGGAGACAGCCTGAACCAGGGCCCTAAAAGCGTCTCAGTTTCAAACTTATCTGCTCCTACATTTAAATTGAAGATGGGAGATTCCGTGATGGCAACCGCCAGAGGAGAAAATCGAACTAGGTTACGAAACGCCTATCATATGTTAATCTCAGTACCAATAGCCGGTAAAAATTGCCCGACATACCATCATATACCCTTTATAGTCGTCATTCAGGGACATGGACGATAGATCACGGCTCATATCTTCCACAGCGTTGACGAACGCAGGTATGATAGTATCATCATCGTCGGCACGTTTTATAGCCTCGGACATAAAATCATGGCACAAGCCCGTATCGCTATCCGGCTCATTCAGAAGGTGTAGTTTGAGGGGCGATGAAGGAGGTGTGTCAATTCTAAATAAAAAGAAAAAAAATTCATGAATATCCATAATTCTTGCAACAGTACGACAGGAGAGAGCGTTCCCTTACCCAAACATCTCCGGCATTGTAGCGGCGAATATGCAGTAGCTCAAGCATAATCTCCTGGCCTCCTTGACCACATCGTATTTGGGATCATCAGGTTTCGTCCTCTTAAACCCTTTATACAGCCTTGTTACCCTTTTCCAGCACGGTAGCAAGTACTCCAGAGGCTTTTGTCGCTCCGCATTCGACCCCGCCTCCAGAAGTGCTTGGTCCAAAATTCCGACGTTTAACCGGAGTGGCTGTCGTTGCTCCTCCAGGTCCGAAACAACCCCGGGGAGATATAAAAGCTTCTGGCCATGAATATCTTGTTGTTGAGACTCGTTTAGCGTGATCTTGAAAAGAGCGCTCAGCGTACGATCCTCAAACGCTTCCAGCGTCTCCTCGGCCCTCTGCTGCGGCGGGTTCTTAGTAATTCGGATCCGGGGAGCTCCATCGCCGGATTGACTCATATTTCCTCGTGGCAAACGCGAGATATGGATCTGAGGACCTCCGGCGCGAGGTACAGAAGCGTCGGATTGGTGCGGCGGGGCAGGTCGAGGGCTATCGCTAGCTTGTAATGCTGTGCCTTCTTGCGTCCCTTCTTGTGACATCGACGAGAGTAAAGCTGATCCCTGGGCAACAGTTATCGCAACGCGCTGGACCCGGACCTAGAATGCTCAGATTAGCTTGGTTCGTGGGGCACAAAGGCGCGGAGAACCGGCGCTGTCGTCATTGCTGCTTCGATGAAAGGGGAATTCCGCACCTTTCTTGTGTCAACACAAAGTCGTCCACCAGTGTGGGTTGGCCAACATTAAATGAGATAGGGTTTCTATGCTTCGAAGAGGTACTACGAGCCCTAACAGAGTCGCAGTTGTTAAGATGGACGACGAAGAGTGCGGCCGGCTTCACAGTTGATGGAAACAACTGGCGCCTGTTCGAAGTTGCTTAACTAAGCTTGCGAGAGTTGCATCCTCAAAGGACAGGCTCGGATACAACAGTCTCGATCCTTTTTATTTAGCAATGTCATTATATCGATTTAAACCAAAAAAGGATGTCCCTCTTTGTTGTCAAGGAGAATACAAGAAGAGGAATTACACTGCATTGCTAAAAGCAATCAAACCAAAAACTGAAAGCCTGTTTGCATCTAGAGGACGCACCATAATGATCATATACACGAAATTCATTCATCCGCTATAAAAAGACCAGAAAAGTATTAATATGCTAGAAGACCATCCATCAAACGCCCAAAACCTCACCTAAATGGAATCTCTAATCGTACGAAGTTCGAGGGTGGTAGTCAAAATCCAGCGCGAGGACGTAGCGGCGATTTTAGCGAACCTAAGTCTCAAATATCCAGGGACTCTAGCTTTTTACAGCTTCGAAGCTCCAATTTCCGAGCCTCTTTCATCTTTTCCACGTCCGGGAAGAACCAGCCCTGAGCGTCCTGTATCATCCGATCTCTGATCCGCACTTCATTCTCACATTCATATCGTAGATTCGACACGTAATCCACTTCCACTTTCTGGTCGAGTTGGCGGAGTTTCCGTGCGCTGTAGTCTTCAACTTCTGTTGGATTAAGGAAATAATTAAGTTTTAGTTTCGGGGTCGTTCTATGTAGGGTATGCGGTGGCGAGGCGGAATCGAATCGGAATGAAGGGCCGGAAGGAGTCGAGCTTGAGAATAAAGAGGAGAGAAGAGGGAAGAGGAATAGGATCAGAAGAGGGAGAAATTGCGACAAAGATGAAAGCCCTCCGGCAGAAGCAGTTTCGGACTGCTGGTTAGCTTCGCGTGGCCTTCTTCGCGGGCGCGGACCCCCAAATTGATGAACACGGATGCCTGGGCCGCCTCCCATGTTGAATACAAATGATGGACCAGCGTCGAATATGCCTCCGCCTATTATACACTTCGTCAGCGGAATAAAACGCAACGAGACAACCACGGATTAACCCACCAAACGGTCCAAAACCACCTCCGAAGCCACCACCAAAGAACCGGTTGAACAATTCCTCAGGTGATATCTCATCTTCATACATATGTGTTCGTCCCTGGGGGAAGCCCCCAAAACTACCAAAGGGAGACGCGGATGGTCCAGAACCGCCACCCGAGAATCGGTTCTCCGGGTCCCCGCCGAACTTGTCGTACTTTGCCTTCTTGTCCGAGTCTGAGAGTATCTGAAAAGCGCGCGACACCACTAGATAGTTTTCACATTAGGATCTTGCATCGCAAAACAGTCATTCCCTGGATAAGAGAAGAAGCACACATACTCTTGAAGGCCTCATCTGCTCCATCGTAACCATTTTTATCCGGATGCGTCAAGAGACTGAGCTTCCGATAGGCCTTCTTGATCTCCGAGTCGGTTGCAGTCCGCTCTATCGCGAGAATTTCGTAGAACGCCGTGGCTGAGCATTTCCGCACTCGAAGCACGGCGGCCTTTTGTTCAGGCGTGTATTTGCGTTCTTGGTTGCCTTGATTATGCTCCCTGGACCGTGCTGATGCGCCTCCCTTTGCATCTGCGCCAGATGCAGACGCGGATGACATTCTCTACCGGAACGAATTATAAGGCCAGAGGGAAAGATGGCAGCGGCGCCCGGGGGGGAGGGGAAGGAAATAGAAGTGAGAGTACTCCGCAGAGATCCGACTTGTTCGTCGGATGTAAAGAGTCGCTTGAATGAGCCAAAGGCCCAAACCTCTCCAAGCTTTAAGCAGAGAGTGTTGTGGACGAAAAATGACGGGAACGAGAGGCGATCGATTTGGACCCTGCCACCCTGACCTTGATGATGGCCTCTTCGCGATCTGTTACTAACCAACGAGCGAACGGAACTTCACTCTCGCCGCTGTATAGTCACGTGATATCGCGGTGTTCGAGGTCCAGGACCACCGGCGCCGGATAACCCGCCATTCCATACACAATCACATTCAATTGGAGACATTCATTTGGGTTTTCAGCTCACCTGGAACATTCCCATGAGATCTGGGGAGTGATGACCACCCAAAATAACAGTGCGACCCGTCGCGGGCTCGAACTCGAGACCCCCGGTCCAGCCTCTGCCCTGATTGGATGGCGGGTGGCATCGCCAAACACGACTTGCTTTTTGCGCGCGTGGAGCTCTTGCGTCGAGGAGCACCGCATCTCGAGAGCAATACAGACACGGTTTTCACGGTTCCAATTGCTCCTTTCAGCTCCAGTGACTGCCGCAGATTAATTTCCCAGCGTCCATCACTTACGTGTATCAACTGTTCACTTGAGAAACCCGAACACAGCGACCATATTGGCTCCGTGCAGGCTGGACGCACACATTTATCTGTCTAGAAGTTCGGCATTCTTGGCGCAAGATGCCAAACCCAAGCTCGATGCGGGCGAATAGTCCAGAGCCTCTGATGCATTATGCCCGTGCATGGGGAGGTAAGTATCCCGATACCTTCCTTTCCCTACGTGTATTCCACTCTTCCCGGCCCATCCCCTTCGGACTCCAGATCTGCCGGGGTTTCTGATCGACGGCTCACAACCGCCCAATTCCGCTACTAGAATCGTCCTTCCCACCTACGCTGCTCGCAACATTCGTTACAGCTCTTCACATGCGCCCCTTCCAGCCGCTTCCTATGATTTTTCCACCCGCTCTTTTGTTTACTAGCTACGTCAATCTCCTCGGTTACAAGGAAGATGCTGCTGGTATTAGCGCGGCTTGGTCAGGATTATACGTTCTTCTTGCTGGACGCAGGAAACAGCCATTCAGAAATAAATGGACTCTGAGGGGTGCGGTTAGAGGAGCGGCGATGGGAGTGGGGTTGGTGAACCTCGTTAGCGGAGGGATAGTGTATATCTCTGGTAAAAGGAGCAAAGACGATGATGGAAATGGACTCTAGGCACAATGGTCGAATCAACGGTACTCTCTTTGTTACATTTGGCTATGGCGTTTTTGCGAGATATTCGGGTCCGGACTTTGAAGTACAGAACAGCATTCGGGCGCATTGCATACGGAGAATCCAGGCATTTTACGGGGTATAATATGTTCTGTATGTATATATATGTACCGTATTGATGATTTTCCTCTACTGAGCTTAATCACCACCGTGATGCCTTTCTATCCGTCCCTATACGGCGCTTCCGCCAACACCCAATCCCTCACTCTATTCGTAACCAAATTTCCCAACGCTTCCCCATTCCCTTTACCCGCCTCCCGCCTTGCCTTTGTCGAACTAACAACCTCCTCTCCCTCCTTTGTACCCTCCACAATCTCAATCCTCTCTGCCCACTCCCGTTTCCCACCAATCCTCTCCATCGTCCCACTCGCCAAATCCACAAGAAACCTTCTCTGCTCCTCGCTGCCACCCCACTCATCATCCGGCCTCAATGTCACCCGTAACCGATGCTGCTTGAGAAACGGAGCCAGTGGTCCAAGAGTGTGTTCAGGCGGGTAATATTTTGGGTCAAAGATCCGGACCAGGGTGTCATACCCTGTAAGATGGACTTGCTCCAAATCCGCCGGGTACGTCCCAGAGGAAGATATGGCAACAGCCTTGTGAATGAAGTAGGGTAGCTTGGTAACGCCAATGTCTATAGGCGGACTCATATAGCCAGTGTTACCGACGTCATCGGTAGCAACCGTGGAGAGGATTGCATCTTGCAAATCATGAGCGAACATGTTCATCATAACCAGACGGTCTTCGAAGAGTGCCGGTTTGGATGGCTTATCGGCATTCTGGGTTGCCAGAAGGAGGAGTAGGCGGCTCGTCGACAAGTCATTGTGGTGGCGGGAGAGGAGAGCGGACTTTGCGATGCGGAGGTGGGCGCGGGTAGGTGGGTTGAAGGAGGAATCTAGCACAAAGAGAGTGACTGGTTTGGTAGAGGGAGGTAGTGGAGGAGTGATTGTGTCAAGAACTCCAAACGGTTTCGAGGAGGCGGTGAAATTATGCAGAGCCGTTTGGTATCGTTGTCGGAGGGTCTGCAGGGAGCTGGTTGACGCGGGGGTCCTGGACATGGCGCGGGGAAGTGATCCGCGGGTAATAGGCACTCAATGTGGTTCGAATTGCCAACAATGTGGAGGGATTTTTCACGGCTGTGGTCCTGGGTTTGGGCCGTTCAAGTCATGGAGCACGAAAGGGATCCAATTGGTGCCCTCGTTCCCGTACACAGTTTGACCGCGGAGTATCCATTGTACTCGACAGGCTAAACACCGGGCGAGAACCCTTGAAGCTACAACAGCCCGCGTCAAACCATGCTGGTTCAACCCCCAGGAATTTACATCCAATTTACGGGTTATACTCACTTCTGACGTGAATATTTACCAACAATCATGGTTGCAATTAATCTGCACACGTAGCTCGCTTGTTGCAGACTTCCAGGCATTGCAATCTCAATATCGTCTCCACAAGCACTCGGAGAAGTCACTTGCCACAGTCAGGCTTTGTATGAGACATACTTGCAATATTCCGGAAATGAGCAAACAGCCCAACGAAATGACGGGGGACATTATCGTCCTGTGATGCGGGAGGTTTCAGTTGGGAAGCCCTACAGCTGTCATTCAAGATAAGGCTCTGGGTTTGACACATCGAGAACCATGCGAGGGAGTATAATAATTCTCTCGTCGATGGAAGTAAGGAATCCCAGAAAAGGTAAGTGTCCCGGAGCCACGGGAGTTGTGACACACGGAACGAGGACGCAAAAAGGGATCAGTGACAACCCGATTTCGATAATATCGATGCCGACAAGATTGTGAGAGGAAAAAGCGAAATGGAGGAAACTTGGCCCCTACGCTCAAAGCATTTCTTCGAATCCCTTGACCTCGTCGCCCTGACATGCAAGGTTGATGACGACACCTGAGACCAGGGCACCATGGTTGAAGGGTTTTCAAAAGGGCGCCTGCAAGGATGACCCCATTATATATACGGGGAATAGAATATTCCAGGAATCGATCCGCGCTTGCAGACTGATATTCGCCTTCACCGCGGTTTCATTCGAACCCTGTGTGTGAAGATCACTGGATATGAGCGGAGGCTCTCATTCTCCCTGTCCCACGGGATAGCAGGGATGGTTATTCTATAGCAAGGTAATTTTTGCTGATGGCTGGCTCTTGAAGGACGGTTGCAAAGGAGAAGAGTCTTCAAGACAACGCTGATAGCCTGCTGCACATATCAGCTACATCACCCGATCGGAGAAGTCTACCAGGATTCGATCTAAGCCCTTTTTTTTGGGCTTGGCGGGCAGTTCTGCAGGGGACGACCCCGGACAACCAGGGCCTGCACACCTGCTAGCGCATTCTGACACGGTCCTGGCCTTGCAGAAGTTTCGCGGCTCGAGCCAACGCATGGACCTGGGGGGACCACGCTTGATTCCTTATCAGTGCTGTGCACTGTGGCGATACCACGACGAAAGAGAAGCTCATCCGCTGATGGGTATTCGGACTCGTGGGGATCAAAAAGAGCCGTGGAGCAGATATCCATCCAGACCGTTTCCCTGAAACGAGGATCCAATATTCACTGAGATCTGAGAACACGCACATGAAAGACAGGCTCTGATTACGGCCTCCACTGCGTAGAGATAGCATCCTGCAGAGAGGGGCGATTTTGGATACGCGTTACATGCAAATAGAAGCTGTAGTTAAGAAGAATTTGACTCTCACACAAATAACTTCACTCTTCAAGGTTGTATGTACTGTACCTACAACCTACTTTTGTGCTGCACAGGCCTATCTAACGTTGCTCTTCATTTATTTGTTGTCCAGTGTTCTCCCAGCTTGTGGCCTCCTTTCAGGTTCGAGGGAATCTTTGCCATATATCCCACGGGGGACAAAGCTTATGAGCTAGCCGTAGCTCTCCCGCTGCGATATGCCTTGAATCCACATACCTCCCTGTCAACCCCATCAATCCGCTCAACTGATGTAACACCCTGATATATATTTGGGTCTATTGGGGTTGTTTTCCGTGGACTTTCTGGAAAGATCTTCTCCTTGTCATTGTCTTCCAACCGAGGCTGCATGTCGTTCCATCATAGTTTCAGAAGCATCTGGATATGATCTGCGCCATGGAGGTCCAAGAAGCCGTCGACGGAGTTTGTCCTGCCTTTTCTAGAAACATTCAATTTTTTTTTCTTCCTTTTCTTTTCTTTTCTTTTCTTTTTTTTATTTTGCAGGCCGATGGCGAGGGGTCCTTCGGTTAATTAGCACAGGATGAGTCCCGGCCGGATTCGATAGCCGAGGAAATTTTAGGCGCGCTGTCATAAGCATTGAATTTCAAGGCGTGGTGGACTGATCCTAGAATTTTCGTGAGCAATTATCTAGCACTGCGCGGATAAATAGGCCTGGTATCTGGGGATTCCTTCGATTTGCTACGAATCGAGACCCCGCAAGCAGACATCGCTGGCAAGTTCGAGAAAGACACCAGAGCGAGAACAATTGCCAATGGCAGTCCTCGGGTTCATCGCTTTATCGCATGGAGAGGAGCATCTTCGCGCCATCGGCCAGTCAGGATTGGAGAGTGATGCCTGTGAACAACTCAAATGAAGAGAAGTCAAGGGTTTGAATCAATCAATCAATCAGGTTTTTCTCTTTGCTCGCAAGCCTTTCGTGGAACCCCTGCAATCTCTTCAAACAGAAAGGTTCGCTTGTGGCCGGGAGTGGAGTCGTTTGAAGATGAGCCGATCAAGGAAAATCAGCACCAATCTTGGTTTGGTACCAGCACCTTGTTTGTCATTTTGTTCGCAGCCCGGCAATTCCGCTGAGATTTTTTTGTTATATTTCCCGTACTCCGTTCGGAGTATGGCACGTCTCCTGTCTCCCGCCCTTTCGAGGTGCGAATCCTTTTCAACACTATTTTCTCTCTCTCGGGATCGGCTTCTCCACCATAAGCAGCGCTTGCTTGCAAGGAACCATGTCTTGTAACCTCGACTGCAGCTGGCCAGTGGACGGGTCGTGGGAGTTCATCTACGAATCGAATGACCATGTTTGACCATTTGCGTGCAGGACAGAGCACATGATAATTGTTTCGAACCACTCGAGCCTGTTTCGGCAAAGGAGTCCCTTTGATCTGAGGCATTTGCACGTCAGGGTCTTCAATATCGCCATGATCCATGGGCAGGGTTCTCGGACAAAATCATGGCGCTGAAGATTATTACAACACGATCGGGGAAAATTAGTGGCTGGTCCTGGAAAATCCCCTTGCTGTTCTCTTATTGCTGTCATTTGGAATGGATATTGCAGATGTGGACCTCTCTCAAGCTCTATGATCTCCACACCCATCCCCTGATCATGCCATTCCCGGCTCTTTGCTGAGTACATATGAAGGCCGTGTGCTCCCTCTCGGGTCGTTTCTCTTCTCGCCCTGAACAGAGGCTATTTCTTCCTTTCTTCAACCGAGTCTCTCGTTTCCGGCGAATTGATTTCGCTAGTCAATCCTTACAACCACAGCTTTTTAGCAACTGGGTCGAGCCATCTCCCGCGCGAGGGCTTTTGCAAACAGCATATCTGAAACACGATCTCTGATACATCCGTTGGTGTGCAAGTTCATTCTCAACAATGCAATTTAAACTCTCGATTGCTCTTGTCGCTGCCCTGGCAGCCCTCAGCGAGGCATCTCCATACCGTCTTCACCCTCGTCGCAAAGCCGTCTCCCCTCGTCGGGTCGACTTCGTGACTATGACCCCCAGCTCTCCATATCCTACCGGAACCATAACCGATATTCCCACTGATGTGCCTCCAACTGGCATTCCCACTGAGTGGCCTCCAACTGGCATTCCCACTGAGTGGCCTCCAACTGGCATTCCCACTGAGTGGCCTCCAACTGGTATTCCCACTGAGTGGCCTCCCACTGAGTGGCCTACTGGAATTCCCACCGAACTGCCAACTTGGTTCCCATCCAAAGACGTGCCGATGGAAACTCTCACTTTCACATACACACTCGGCAAGAAACCGTCTCAGAGCGTGGTGACCAAGACCATTACTCGCCCAGCTGTCGCGGAACCCAGCGAGGTAAGTACAAGGAGGAATATTCTCAATCTTGGGGAGTGAGCGAATGTACGTAACTAATGCGCCTCTAGGGGTAAATCTGCACCTATCATGTGCATGAACGGATTGGTCTTATGGAAGGATAAGAAAAAAGCCTTTACGAAACCCCTGCTTTGTGCTTGTTTTTGTTTCTCTAGATTTGGAGGCTGGGATCAGATGAAAGCGGGAGAACCTAAGTCCCAACTTTCTCCCCATCAAAAATACCGACTTGATGTCGAGACCCAACTCCTGGGCATCCGTTACAATTTTTTAGTTCAATTCTTTCTGCGTACTTGTATTGGGGGCAAGTTTCGGCAGATATTAGCCTCGCAAACTTTTATTTGGGAGCTTGATATCCATTTTTCAATTTTAGGTGTAATGTTAGACCTCCATTGTAACGGGTGAAATCTAGAAGTGCCAGGCATGAACATTTTGCACCGTTTTTTGTGGCCTTCAGACCTTGGATCCGAACGGCGATGGTGAAACGACGAGTACGTATGTTCCAGCTACGACAAAATTGATCTGCAGTGTTCCTGGTGAAGGGTCGGTTTTCGTAATCCCTGCAACGACCTAGGGGCACGCCCAATAAGAGGGCCTGACACGCCAAAGAATGACAGGGGACGGAAGGTTCGTATAGTAAATGGCAGAATGAAGACGTCTGACGTCCAAGTCGCGTGTCCGCGGATCTCAGTGATCATCTCTTGATCATCACTGATCGGAAACTTCCATAAATCTTCTCCTTTGCGCCACACGCTGGGAAGGTTCATAAAACAGGAAGGATTTTGACTTCATGTGGATGCTGGTCCCTAAAATCCAAATTGCTCAAAACCAACCGATCTTATCATTCTCCTTAGGATTCGGGACTCTAGTGCACAGCAGCATAATACGAAGTCGCATTCAGAGGATATCACTTATCGTGGCACGATGACCATTCCAGGTGTCTTTTGTCCCTATTTGGGGCCGAAGATCCCGATTTGAAGAAGTTTATTGGCTTCGGTCTTTCAAACTTCCAAAAGAATCCTCAGCGGTGATGTCGGCCGGTAAATCTTTTCCACTCGCTTACCCCTATCTCGACTCCGTATAGACAAACCCACAGGATGTCCGGGCCGATCTCCAAACCCAACCCTCCAAAGGTGTTTGAACCCACTCACTGGTTCCAGCCCAGGACAAAGGAATATCCCCCTGGGGCGCGAAATAGGGTAGCGATATGCATGCACTTGCTCATATACTCAGAACACCATCCACTCCCTCTGCTATAATCCGTTCCCGCATCCTTTGCCACTCCAGCCAAGCGACACCCTGAAGAAGACAGTCTGCCAGGTCATCAAGCTTGCCGATATCGACTTGGTCCTGACCGTTTGTCGCAGTAGTGGGGTTGGTGTTAGAGTCATCCCCTTTCCGCTTACGCTTAACAGATTTCGTCGGCTTGAGTCCAGTGGATGATATCAAGGCGTCCTCTGAAGCTCCAACCACTTCAGATCCTTTCCGTCCCTTTCTCCATTTTCTCAGGAATGCCTCCGCCATTCTATTTGCCTGACTATTTGCTTCAATCCCAACTTTAGCAAGCTTTTCACTCCCGTCGTCTGTAGGAGAAGAAATCCATCTTCCGACTAGATCAACTTTTGCCTTCTTCCCTTCCTTTGACGTTGGCTTCTTCTTTTTCTCTTTTACCTTCGCCTCCATTTCAGGGTCTGTTTCTATCCAGTACCTTGCCACCCTTTGTGGTTCAACGCCCTGCACCATTATATTCAGATCGGCATTCTTGGATTCTCGTTTCAACGTATGTAGTACGGCATAAAGCATGCCCTCGAAGACGCCAACGCGAATAGTCCATTCTTGAACTGCACTTCCCCCTCCTGTGCGAAAGCGCTGCCGTTCTATGAGAACATGAGTCGGTCGGAAAGTGTCAATGAGAGAAGTGATAAGTGTATATGCATGAGAGGCGTATATATCGGGAGCAAAAGATTCTTTTTCTGCGGTGGATATTGTGTCCACTTCCTCGACTTCTGGCCTGACTTCCGATGACCCCCGATGCTTACATTCCGCCTTACTGTTTCTATGGTTCCCGCTCAGCAACGGTAATGGTGCGAGCATATCAATTTTGGAAGTAGAATGGTTCGGAAATTCTGATATAACCAGGCGATTCCACGCATCAAGGATTGGAGAATGTAAAGACGTAAATGAACGACCATCCTTCTCTTTATTTCTCTCGGGATAAGCAAGTAAATGTGCATATGCTAAATTCCTGATTCCCATATCGATGCTCAGGATGCTCAGCCTCCCATCGTGGACGTCTCGCTTGTCATTCTGTACTCTACCTGTGGTATTCAAAAGCGCATGAGCAGGTGAAGAGAGGGCTTTCGTTATACGCTCGATCAAGGCCAGTTTTGTCCCGGAGGACGATACCCCAGTTAAAAACGCAATTCGTTGGAGCTGAGTGGCTTTAAGTGAACCGAGCCATTTGAGGGACGATTGAGCCGGCGAGGGGACCAGCATCCTTTTCCAGCTGTGGAGTATTGGCGTGCAAATGTGCTAATGAACATCTGATCAGAAAGTTCAAGCTTTTTGCAATGAAGCCCATAGAATAGACTAGAAAATGCTCAAAGGGTATACTATAACAACAGAAACAAGTTGCAGTACGGGAATTCTCCTTCAAACATAGCAAGCACAAAACAGAAAAACAGCTGGAACAGGAGAAATCCTTGAAACACAAAGCAAACATCAAAAATTCAACACGTACTGGCCATATTGGCATGCGCTAACACTGAAAAATTCTACAATCCCTGTTGGTCTGGAGAGATGCTTGTTTGTGAACAACCTTTGATGTTTGCACACGTATTCACGTGACAAGACCGCTGAGCGAGATTCACGCATAAAGACAATTACTACGGACTACTGTGTCAAGGCCTTTTTACTTGTAGAAGACTACCGGAAACTAGCTGGACACTGGTTGAATATTTTGGGTAGAGCAGGAAGGCATGATAACTATACAACTAACCCGCTAAGCATTGGAAAAATTGGGAAGCAAAATACTGAAAGAGGTTCTCATTCTGGGTAATTTTTGGGAAACACACTGTCCTGCATAAGCGAAAAAAAAGAGGGGGGGGAAAATGGAAATATAAACTATTTAAAAGGGAAGAATGAAAATTTTGTCATATGAAATCTATATTGAATGACAAGGTGAACTTCAGAGGCAAACTAAGGGCCTATTACCATTTAACTGGCATCCCATTCACCGGCAGGTGCAAAGGCACGTGTTTTCTGGCGATGATACCCTGATATCTTCCATTCACAATACGCGGGTCTGAGGCAGATCGCGGAAATATAAAATCGGCCCCCATATATGCCAATGCAGCACGCAGATATGGGCGAGCCTCTTCCCTATACTATCGATGTCTTTTGGTTGCAATTGCAAGCTGTCGTCTGGCTGTGATGGGTGCTGATCTTCGCACATTTCCAGGGGAGACATATCCACGTACCGCTCTGCCGCTGCTAACGTTGCCTCCTCCAATCGTTGTTGAACAACCATCTGAAAGTGTTTAAACTGCTGAGAACGAGGGTCGAAACATGACTCAAGCATCCGTTCAACGAATAGCAGGACATGTTCATCTGGTACGACGGAAGTTTTAATACCTTTGCTATTGGCTTCAAGATTTGAAATTATCCGAGCAATTTCAAGAGCGATGGGGCTAACATTGTCGCACCATTTTTGTTCATCGAAAATAGCGGGATCTTGATGCCCGGAGCATTCGATGATGGACCAGATATGGGACCGTAGACTAACATAGGTTTCTCGAGTTCGCGCAACGTGGCGCATATGGCTTGTGGCCACAAGATCGAAGACGTAAGTGCAGAGTTCAAATCCGATAAGATCCTGGATGTCAGATCTCAACGTCCAAAGTCGATCGGTATGGAACTCGAAAGTTGCCGGGAGCCCTCCCGGAGGGTTAAATGGTATCAAAAATTGGGACAATCCTCGGTAGACCGTTACAACATTATCGAACTCGGTCCAGTGCCGCGTCCATCGCCGACGCGAGGCTTGCTCATCCTTCAGAACAGCGTGGAACCATTTCTTCGCTCCCTCTGTGTGAATTGTATTCTCAGAGATTCTCCGTTGGAAGTAAGTTTGGAGGAATCGAACAGTATCATTAATCAAGAACAATCTGAATGTCCGGATCTGATGATTGGCAACGTCCTGCACAGAGCAGCGATGTCAGCATATTCATGGGGAATCGTATGGTATGGCAGGTACATAAGTAAGACTGGTATCACTAACCAACTTCATACACTCAAAAACTGAAAACATAAGCGTCAATCCCTGCACAGTTTTACACACGTCTTGCAATTCGAGCCCTTCTTGGACTTGGTTGACCATTTTATTCGCTAGCTCATCTCTCATCGGAGCGCAGTGCGCCTTCACTAGCTTCGAGAGCCACTGCATTAAGCCGACTAAATCCAAGACACCCTTTTCAATTTGTTGTAAAATAAACGGCACATCCAGACTTTCCGTGATGATTTGATGATCGCGTTCAGGAACAAGGCTCCAAAGCACATCTTTCAAAGTTTCAAGAAACCGAGGTAGTCTGGGCTCAAAGTAGGCCTGCAGTTCGCCTGCTTGATACCCACTATTGCTGGATTGGCCACTAAGACTTCTCGCATGATACATGTAGATCGAGATTTCGATAGCAATAGCCTCCCAGTAAAGCTTCGCCAGACGACCCTTTTCTTCACCCTTTTTGCCTTCCACCGGGTGGAAATATAAATCACGATCGAAATTCACGTCAACGCGCAGGTTAACGTTCCTCATGATGCGGTCCAGGTCCAATTCACTCAGAGTCTGTTTCGTAATCGGAGGTAGATGATCGGCCGATCGCAGTACCTGTAGACTTCTTGAGTCTAATGGCATATGGGCGGGAATGGAAACCGCCATGGCCGTTGCTCTAGGGAGGGCGGGTATAGAGGAAGAACAAGAAGAGAGTTCGTAATTGTATTGCATTGGGATGTCACTCTGCAATGTTCCATCTCCTTCAGGCAAATGGCGTTTGTGTGCCGATGATGCAGCCGTCGGGCAACCCCCCGAGTCCCGTTTGGGAACTATCCCAAGGTTATTGCCAGACAGCCAATCTCCATGGTCAGTATCTTCACCCCCATTCTCACCAGCTCTCCTTGCCGACTCTGGCTTTTGTTTGAGGTCCATCAAAAAAAAAAAAAAAAAAAAAAAAAAAAAAAAAAAAAAAGGATGATAAGGCTGTTCCAGAAAGATAAAAAAAAAAGAATATGAAAACAACCCCCACAGTGTACTTGAAGTCTTGATAAACAAAGTTATCACAGCGCAAAGTTCTGTTTGAGAAGCGAAAGGTATCTTACTTCAAGTGATGTGCCCAACTCACACCACCTTGGGAATATTCAAAGCCAGTTCTAACACCCTTGTCCTTGCTGGTTTGAAGAAACCGCAGAGTACAAATAGGAATTCTAGAAATACGCAGAAATGTGGTAAAAAGTCACCTTCAAAGGAAGGAGGTCTTTGTTGGGTGGAGAAGTGGTGGGTAGGTGGTGTGCTGGATGAGGACGTATGAGACGTACCCAAATGACAAACAACTTGTGAATACACACAAGTTCAACTGCAAAAGGAAAGAGATGGAAATAGAGACAGTATTTTTGCAAAGAAAAGCACACAGATCTGCTTTTATTGAGGCATTCTTTTCAACATCATTTTCTTCAAGGGTTTTCACTCTGTTTCTTAGAATCTTCCGACTCTGTTCACACAGGCAAGCGGACTGCAGCATTTAAAGAGGCGGGATGGATGACGAAAAAATTTCTCATTGGCTTTTCTTCCCTGCGGGGGGAACCAACCAATTGGAAGTGTCATCTAACCAGAGTCAAGTGAATGCTGATGTTTTCATCGAAAAGTGAGGCGACCGAAGATTAGTTAGCTAGGGTGCAAGCAACTCTAGAGGACTTGGCAGACCATCAACGAACAGATTGTCTTGGAGTTATCAAGCTTTTCAATCCCTTTCAGCAGAAGCAATTGGAGAATGCACCAACTACGATTTGGTGTTGTGGCCATTCGATATTGGTAGTCATTTTTGCTTTTTTTCGGCACTGTATCAATTTTGACGCCCAAAGTTTGGATATTCAAGGCAAGATGACTTGGGTTATGATAAGCATAGCGACCAGGTAATTGCACCGTGTGTGAAACAGCAACTTCGGAGGTCATAAAAGGCAGGTCAAGGACCAGATTCCCGGAATATCATGGTAATACCGTGAAGGACGCCATTAGCCGTAACTTTCCCAAATATGGAGGATAAGTCAGCAGGTATATTTCATTGAGACAAGATTGAACATGCGACGGGAAAAGCGGTCAGTTTCGGTTTCTCAGCATGCATGTGCCCGTGGAAATGGTATTCTTTCGGGAAAACAAAGCCGGATATGAAAATTGTATTTAAGTGAAAAGTATCGCGATGCAGCACATATTTGCTGAAATCATGACCTCGAATGATAAAGCCTAGAGGGATCCGACTTGGGCCAAAGCACTCGCCTCTGGCACTTAATGGGGAAGAATGTTATCATCACATTTTGCGGTGTGACGCTTCCTGCTAGCTTAAATGGCATGTTTTTGTCCATAAATTGGGGGGGGGGGGAGGGAAGAGAGAGAAAAGTCCGTGTAGCTGCTCAGTGAGTTTCTCGATGGGATGGAGCTGCGTCGACCCGGAAGTGCTGAGCCCGTCATGCTGTACTCTGTACTAGCTTTGTGTTACTGATTCTGTCTCTTCAAAATAGTGAAATGATCAAGAACCGTAGTATGCTGTGAGACCAGGTGGGTTGAACAGGGAATTCATCTCTGCGCAAAATTGGATGGGCGAGAGGGAGTTGTCAACAACCTTTCGATCAACTATTCATGCTTGTGTTGTGGTTATGCCGATGAAATTGAAACTGCGAAACACGAAGCGCAACGTCAGTGCCATTCTCCCTTGTATACCGGAAAAACGGCCCGCTGTCGCTGCTTTTACCATCATCACGACATTGCATTTCCGAGATGGTTTCAGATATATAATGCAGGGCTTGTTCGAGGCGAGCAGAGTAAACGACAACAAGGCAAGAAATAGGGAATAATCGGGGACAATTGCAGGCTTAGATCCATGTGATCTAAAAGCCGATCCTGGAAGACTGCAGGAAGCTGGTTTTCCAGAGCCACCTATCATGGTTTGGCAGTTCCTGGGGCTGCAGGGTGCACACCGCAAGAGATCGCGGGGGAGGTAGAAGTTAGTTAATAACAGCATTATGGCGCTCAGTCCTGTGGAAAGCTGAAAAGGCGGTGGTGGCGTGTCGAGCTTCCTCATACCGGGATAGCCACAGCACTCATCACCTCGCTCTCGACCGTCGATCTGACTCGATGACCAAAGCAGATCGTTCTTCCGGATGGACTCACCGTCCCGTCTGGAACGCGACGTTCATTGAGGGGTGGCCCAAACACCCGCCATTCCAAAAACGGGAATCTAGGGCCAGTGGTAGGGCTGTGTTGTCGCGTGACTAATTGGATTAGTCAGCTCCATTCGCCGTTGTCCATTGGCTGGGCGCGTGCCGTCTCCCAGGCGTCGAGGATTATTCCAAGCTGTGAGACGGCGAAGAATAAGCAGCGACGGGGCTCGGTTGGCAGTTCTATTCTTTGACGCTGGCGCCTCTGTTTGCTTGACTGATCGCAGCTTCAAAACAACTTCCCGAGTCATCCATTGGGAGCGAATTAATTTCCGACAGCTTTGAAGGCGGTATTGGGCTCGGCACACCCATACTCCGTGTAGTATGTGGACAAGCGAGATATCGTGGCCCCAACATTTCGCAAGGATGGTTACACTCGAGTGTTTGCAAATATGGGGCTCATTTTCACATTTCTCGGCGACGACAGAGATGTGCCCGTCATACAACGTTAAGCTTCATTTCTTCCGGCCCGACTTTCCTCTGCACGATGCAAATGTGACTAGCTTTCTCCCATAACTTTCAGGTTTTGCGTTAGTGAGATTTTTTCAGACTTTCTCAATATCTGCTTTTGAAAATCTTTCACGGCCACTGTGGCAAGCCGGGTGGCCGCTTGCAAACCAGGTGACGTTGTTTTGGAACATGTGGTTTTTGCTTGCCGTGCCGCATATGCAGAGCTGCAGTGCTGCTTGGAAATGCCCTATGACACGGAAGATATGTCCATATGGAGCTTAGAGCTTTTGGTACAGCCCTGCTACTCGGGATCCACCTCTCCGAAGATCCTTAGAGACATCGCCCTATCTTCGATATCCCCTTGATTGGCACACCTGTCCTTGGGTGTTCCGCATTTCATATGCCATGTTGCCTGGCTAAATATTCAGGCAGTCTAAAGGGCCACTTTTCGGGGCTTATAACTCTTCTAGTACTAAGCATATAAACATCTTAAGGACTTAGCTAGGCCGCAAACTTTCGTAAATTTCGTCCTAAAGATGGCCGTCAGAGGAGTCGTACACATTCTATCTCGATCTGCAGGTCAATGCGCCGTGAAAATGTTGCGAACGACCGACAACAAATCATTTATAGGAAAAGCGTGCAGATCTCTTGCCCAAGTGACCATGCTGCATAATCCATGCATAATCGTCTTGCTTTCGAGAATTTTCCACTGTGTCTACGGTTGTTTTCTTCCAGCCTCTCTTCTTTCTTCCTTTTTTCTCGCCTGGAGAAGCATTCTCATCGCAAGAACATAAGCATTCACCAGCGGAACGGGGACCTGTAAATTAGGCCTCGACGACATAGCCAATCCGCAGTTGTTTTTGGCGCTCTAACTCTTCCCATTTTCTTGCAGAACACGAGGTTCAGATCTCTCGTTAGTACCTAAATCTCTATTGATACCTTCTTTGGGATATCAAACGTTTATTCTGTGATATTCGCGCCGCGTGGCTCTAACTACTTTGCATTGTATTCAATGAATTAGGGGTTGGTAGGGAAATGTCTGCTTTCATATCATTTCTTGCGGCGACATTCCCTGGCATTTTCAGGCCATTATAAGGCTACCCCGTTTTTTCCTTTTTCTTTCCTTTTACTTTTTTTCTTTTATTTTTATTTTGGTTGGTGATACATTTAGGGACTGAGACGTCTGATATTTTACCAAAATGCGGTTCAAGTCGCGTTTCGTCATTACTCTCGCGGTGATTATGGCCGTGAAGGGAGAGCCATCTCCGTTACCTTTGAGTGTCGATTGGGGTGCAACGGCAGCCCCTGTTCCCACTAGCAACGGAAAATCCAGCCTCCCTGGTGGGAAAGAAACGATATCCCCGATTGATGCCTCTAAATATGCAGTCAAGTCGCTCCCAGATGCCCAGCCAATTCCTCGGAGCTGGGCTGGTCGCATGAGTGTGCCTGGAGCAGCACCAGGGAATGAGATGTTCTTTTGGCTTTTTGAACCTGAAGATAAGGCCTACAATGATAATTTACTCAGTGAGTTTTGACCAGTGATTCTGCGAACCTGCACGAACAGCCTGTTGACAACACTTGCTTGATAGTCTGGCTGAATGGAGGTCCTGGTTGTTCATCAATGATTGGAGCCTTTGCAGAGAATGGTCCCCTCATGTTTCTGAAGAATATGAGCAAGCTGGAGCGAAATCCTTATTCCTGGACCAAATTAGGCCATGTTTTGTACATTGACCAGCCCGTTGGGACGGGTTTGTCTCTCTCAAGTGATCCTACCCCAGCCACAAATAACGAAAGCGTTACCGAGCTCTTTTACAGCTGGATAAAACAATTTTACGAAGTGTTTCCGCATTTGCTCAGGAAACGAACACACTTAATGGGAGAATCCTACGCTGGCATATATATCCCATATTTTGCCGACCGAATTCTCAAGCATAAAGACCAGTTGTCGATCAACCTATCATCAGTAGTTATTGGGAATGGGGCAATTGGGAACAATATAGCAATGTCGGACGTTGCCGCTGGGGCGTACCTGAAAGAGAAAGCCAGGGATCTCGAGCTTCCGGGGGACATTTTGGGCGCGTTCTCTCAGGCTGATCACATTTGCGGTTTTGACTCGATCCTGAAGAAGGCAGCGCAGTACCCTTCCCAGGGCCACTTTTACCTCCCAAGCTGCCTAACCAATCCGTCTGGCTTTACAACAGACGAAAACTGCAACATGAAGCCCAAGGACTCTAGAGCAGTTCTCTCATCTATCTTGAATTCCACATGTTATGGGCAATGTGCCACTTATTCCACAGCACAAAACTATATCGAAACCGCCAGGGAAACAAAATGCTTCAGCAGGTATAACATCAAATATAATTGCAACACTCCAAACCCTTTAGTGCCATTAACCGAATATCTCAACCGTGCTGATGTCCAAGCCGCGCTCAATGTCCTTCCGTCCAAGTCAGGAACTTCCCACCGCTTTGAAACTTGCAACCAAACCATCATTGATTCCCTTTTATCCCCGTCTATCCAACCCACGCCGCCCACCGAATCCATCCTCCCTTCCATCCTCGCTACCTACAAAATCCCTATTCATATCTACCAGGGCCAACTCGACACGGTTATCAACCACATCGCTGTTGAACTCGTCTTGCAAAACATGACCTGGAACGGAAAGCAAGGATTACAATCCCGGCCAAGTATCCCATTTGGCACGTATTTCAATATTAACAAGGGAGAATCCAAAGTAACATTGAACGGTTCAGAAGCAGGGGTGTGGGCGTATGAGAGAGGTTTGAGCTATCATCTCTTCAGAGAGGCGGGACACGGCGTGCCGAGAGACCAGCCAGAAGAGATGTGGCATTATGTTAAGAATGTGGTTGTTGGAAGATGGAGTGGAGGCTTTCGAGAATGAAGAGAGATTAGGAGGAATTTGGCGTTTGTTATCTCCTATTACCTCTTATAGACGGTTGGGACGGGTTGCATTAAGTTAGGGTTCTAAGGAGGTGAACGGGATTCATCATTGTAAAGGGCTTTTCTCAGGGAGTAACGCGGTCCATTTCCTCTCCTCAGGCGGCGCAATTCGAAGATCTGTATATCAAAAAAAGAAAAAGGCCTAGCTACGTCTTGCTGTTTGATATCACATCCGAGCTGGTCACATTGGCCTTTGGCATCTTCACTATGATACGAATAGTAGTTGCAGACGCTCGACTTATGAGCCAGAGCTTTTGGGAATACGGGCGTGTGGTGGGCCAGATCAAAGGCATGGACTGTTCTGTAGCCGGGTATGAAACATACTGGAAGACATTGCATTTGAGAGAATACTATCTATCCAAATACCAAAAATCAATATCATATGCCTCTATTGGAGTTCGCCGAGTACAACCAATCATCCCAGAAGTGGGTGTTACGAAAGCGACATCAATAGCTCGCAAGCACGCAAGACAAACATTTCTCCCTCAAAAAATGTACGCATTGAACCGTAACATTAAAAAGCTAAGAACGCCCGCTTCTCCCGATTCATGGTTCCCCAGCATGCCATAAAGAACCAACTACGTAAGCAAAGTGGTAAGAGATTTCTCACAAGCACGCTTTAATAACACCAGAAATAGGAAAGTTCATCATAGGCCAGATCATAAAATATTTGAATCTTAGCCCGGAATGCAATTTGAGAATTAAGCAGTAGATAGATCAAGGATGATACTGGAGCCGTATAAATCATCACTGAAAAAAAAAAAAAAAAAAAAAAAAAAAAAATTGGCTAAATCGGGAGGCCGAGGACGGGAAGAGTTTGCACCGTAAAAGTAGGTCCGACAATAGTAATGTAGAAGCTTATAGATTGTGAAAAGCGACTAAAGAAGCGGGCGGTTGCGTTTTGTATCTAGCGTCCACTTAGGATGAATCTAGGTAGTCCGTCATCGACGAACAAAGAGAGGTACCGGTCCGGACATCGATAGCAGCGAATCCGCCCTCTCATATAAGTTGCCCGCAAAGAACCGATCACTACATGCGCTGACCGGGGCGGATGGCACCGTGGCTTGGGCTGCAGGGCCTAAAGCGGCACTCAATGGTGTGGCTGGCATCGCGCTAGACTGGGGCGATGATCCCGTCGTCAAAGAAAGAGATCCCGTGGTCCCTGAGCCCATTGTCGAACTAGAATATGTTTGCATATGATGAGGGTGCATGGATGGTGGGAGAACTGTCGATGGATTGGATGTATTCAAGTCCGCAAGATAGGACCAGGGTGAGGAGTCTATTAGCCTGCCCGCCTCCCTGCTGGCTTTCTGGACAGGTCGGAGAATGGCGACTATGTCTGGTGGAAGCAGCCGGAGATTTTTGGCTTCTCGCATGTCGATCACCAGTTCAACAAACGACTGTAAGAAAGTTTTGCATAGTTGCCAAAATTCACGCTGGTTTCTCATCCCACCCCCGGGCTCCTTTAGTTTCATGGTTGATAACCGTATTTGAAGTGCTTCGGCGACATYGATACAGGTACGACAACGGGAAATGAGTTTATTTAACAGTGAATGAATTGGTTGCGGGGCTTTCGTTGACTCGGCTAGTTCTAAGCACTGTAAAAATTGATGGGACGCGACAGGAACGGCTTGCAGTACAGCTCGGTAGGCAGCAGTAAGCTGGACGAATATCTTTTCAAAAATTCTTTCTTCTTCGTACTCGTCTAGCCCTGTATTCGGGTTGATACGGCTAATTGTTGACGTGGGAAGGGTGCCAAATGATTCGCCAGACCGAGGAGTATTGGCCAGAGATGAGGGTCCCGAGGAAGTCAAGAGAGTGTTGGACCTGCTGCTTGAGCGGCTTCGAGTTCCCATGCTCGTGGTTGAAAGCCAAGGCTGACTCGTAAGACCTGGGAAGCCGTTTGCATTAGGATTGGATGGATTAGAGAGAATAGGAACGGGGTTCTGTTGTTGAATCGCCGTCTCGCTTCTAAGCCGTCTAAGAGGTTGGAGCCGCTCACGAGTTGGGGGAGTGACTGCTCGATCGCAAGTATTGATAGGAGGAACTTTCCTGGCCGTATCCGAAATCCCCTGTTTCATCAGGCCCGTTTGTCGTTTGCCTTTAAAGTTGATTCCAAGGTTGACGTAAACGTTGCGGAGTTCGGCTATACTCCCGTATATCATGAGTATCAATGATCTTACGTACTTTGGATCAACAAGAGATATTATCTTGGCAATATTATGGCGGAACTGCGTAGCAACATGTATGTACGCATTGATGCATGTATCGCATTCATGTTTGACGGCCTCCGATAGCCGCTTCATCGTATCGACATCCTGTAAATTAGCCCCTTCAGCAACCTCAAGCGCTTCGTTGAGCTGCTCTATGTGAGTGGATGCGTTGTAGAACACAATTTCGAGACTAGTCCTCCTGCACTCCTCGGTCCTGATCACGTTGATTAGAGCCGATATATGAGGGTGAACTTGATAAAGTGAGTAAAGAAGGGTTTTGGCGGCTTCCATGATGGGGACCTTTGTTTTTCTTTCGATTTTGTATTCTGGCAAACTTGACATACGCCGAACAAAGCCTTCGCGCAACCGCCTTCGGTCTTTGGGGCTACCTGGGCTAGAGCAGTTGCTGCTATTTGAGTTCGTGCTATGTTGGTTTCGAAGCAAAGAGCCATGGCTTAAGCCACGTAAGTGGCTATTGCGATACGGCCGGACTTCGTCTAGTGTACCTAGGTCATTCATTCGACTCACCATGCCCAGGCGTCTGTTTTGCAAAGAGCCTGGGCCCTGAATGACTCCTTCGCTATTACTTCGGTTCCGTTCACTGGCTGAAGGGAATCTGAATCGACTCATACTGCTATTCCCAAAACTACTCTGACCAGATGCCATTCGATGGTGGGAGCGAATAGGGATGGGAGGAGGTCGCGAGTACGATGGTGATTTCGAATCCTGCGATGACTCCGTGCCATTAGAACGGGGAATGACCGGGAATCTGTTTCCTCTCTTTGGTGGTTTCGGTGTTTCCATTGCGCTATCACTACAAAGGGCCGTTAATGATGGGTCAACTGATAGCTAGAAGGGAAACCCACCTTATATCTGTTATGCTGTCGATATCAAGGAGAGCAGGCTGTCTGCTTTTCAAATATTTTTTGAGCTCTGCCGTTAATGCGCTTTCCTTTTCGTTATCAGTCATCTCGGTAGTCGTTATATCTGCTTCTTTCATGTCTATAATCCGCTTCAGGGGGTATCTCAGCGAGTTCCCAGACACCTTTAACACTTGGAGTTTATTCATATCGGATAATTCGCTCGGGAGGTCTTCTAGGAGGTTTTGCATGACTGAAAGGACTCGTAAAGACGTAAGATTTCGTATTTCTTCAGGGATTTTTGTGATCTTATTCCGGCTCACGTCAAGAATTTCGAGAAAGGAGAGGTTATAGACCTAGTTTAAATCAGAGAAACCGGCTATAGAACATCAAAAAATGTTACATACCCCTTTTGGAAATTCCGTAAAGTTGTTTGCTCTAATATTGAGATACCGGAGATGGATGCATTCTTGAAATCGACAAGGGATCTGGTCGATATAGTTGTTCGACAATGACAGCCTGTCCAACAGGAGTGAGCAGTGAATCACATATCAAGGTCCGAAACCAAATTCGGCTCACCTTGCAACTTCGTCCTTTATGATATCCACTATTTCATCGGGGACCCAGCCGATATTCTTGTGCCCAAGATCAATTGTTAATTTAGGCCGCACCACATCTCCCACTGCTTCGCTACCAGCCAAGGACCGCTTGGTCTCTTGGAGCCCATTTTCAACAGCGTTTTTGGTAAGCTGTAAGGTCTCTTCTCGCGAGAGCAGCTTAGAGGGAGGAGGCCGGTTGATTCGTGCGGGCGCGGTATCGTCTCGGGCAGGAGGCCCGTGGTTGGACACAGATCCACCAGTGTAGGCTTGCTGTTCCTTTGCTTCTTCAGGATTGTCGCTTCGACCTGGCCGAGGGCCCCATGTTGTGTCGTCGGTGCGGCTCATGTTGGTCGGGGGCGAATGAAAGAGCGCAGTTGGCCAGCAAGGGAGGTTTCACAAAGGTAGGCTTATCTAGACGGAATATATGTTCCCTTTAATGATTTTCGATAGCCGCAAAATGCCTGGAGGGTCCGCGTAGGATCGTGGAAAGCGACATAATAGGTAATGTAGGTGAATTGGATTATTCGACGTTCGACGAAAGAGTGACTTAATGCGGGACAAGAATGCTTCAAGGGAGTCTGTTCCAAAGCCAGTCACCTCATTCATCAGGATCTTGACCAGTAAAAGCGATGCAATGAGCCTGTGTTATCGCCCGATTCCCAAGCGGACTGAGCATCCAATGGCTGCAAGCGGGTGTAGCGTGTTACCCTAGCTGAGCCATTCAAGGATAGGAAAGCTGCTCAAGGACCCAACAAAATCGCCATGGCTCTAGCAAGCATGCCATCAATCTGTCGGCTTTGGAATTTGCAGCCTCTGCGATTTGCCGATGGGCTCTGCAACTCAAACCGGGCCCAATTCCCGCATATGATCGACGGATCTCGCGATGGTGCTCTGTGGCGGGCCAACTTGAAACACCAGTGGGTCACGTGATGAATACTGTCTTCCAAGTGATGGAGAGGTGAGGAGAGATGAGGGTAGATGGGGAGATGCGGGGAGCGAGGACGGGTTGGAAGAGTCGAAGAGCAACGGAATGCAATGTTCCTGAAGCGAGAAGCCTGGCCAAAAGGACACAGGACCCCCAGGCGCCTATAGATACAGATGTGTCTCAAAAAGTATTGTGATATAAAGCTAATGTGCTACAGAGTACGGAGTATATTGTACATACAAAGGTGGTGTGACTTGTGTATAAGTTTATAAGCAGAATGATCGCAGGCCCTTTTCGCCTAACATCACCCTGTGCGTATCTCCGCGGGCTGTGCGGACTCGGAGGTAGATTCGGCCACTTCAAGCTCGGGTAGTATGGCTGGGTCCGATTCTTCCTTCGCGCCACCTGTTGCGCCGGCGAACGCAGCCAAACGTTGTGATGCCTGCTCCGCTTCTTTCTCTGCCCAGATTTTCCATCTATCATACTCTTGGTTTTCTAACTCCATGCCGACCTGCATCATATCTGGGCCAAAGTAGGCACCTGTGGCTCTAGCCTCTTCTTGTGCAACTCTTCGTTCAATATCTTCTTGCAACCGAAGCTGATAGAACTCTCGGCGGGCTATATCGTAAGCTTCTCCCTTGGTGATATCTGGGACGTTGTTGAGAAGGTATAACTGGCGTTGAACGACACTGCGAGCGCAACCGGTTAGTTCTCTTTCTCTTTAGTTGAATATCTAAGGCCTTTATTGCAAGCAAGAGGCACCCACCTTTCGCCATCCAGGCGCTTTCCTCGTTGTTGTAATCTTGACCAGTCATATCTGGCATGGTCGTTTCCATTCGTCTCAAGCACTACTCTCGGTCGAGCAAGCTCCCACGGATGGTCCTGGAAGAACTGTTTTCGTAGCTCATCTTCTTCGTAGCGTATTTGCATGGGCTGGAACATACGACTGGCTTTCTTTGTTTTGATGCGACGAATTTCTCTCTCTTCGATGACGGTTTGCGGTCTGGATTTTCCTGGTAATGTTTTTACTCTTTGCTGGACGAGCGCATGTTGCTGTGGGAGGTTGCGCACGAGAACCGTGGCCGGAGGGATTTCGGAGACAATGTCAACCCAGCATGGCGTTTGCGAGACCTTTCCGCTTGATTTCTGTGCAAGGGCGTTTTGTCTGACGCGGAGAGCGCCCAAGTTGAATTTTCCCATTTTGTTCCCTCGCTTCGCTCCAAAACTCCGGGGACGGCGAGAGACGACGGGTTCGACGGAAGACGAAGCTATCAGCCCTAAATATAGCCAGTCTCAAGAGGGCCCTGAATCTGACGTTAATTGTGAGGATATCATCAATTGTGAGTTGGAAATGGCCGGTTGCTCGAGCTGAAAAGTCGAAAAATGTCTTCGCGGTTGTCCGCGTCGAGTAAGCCAGCCAATCAAATCAACGGAATGCGATCGCCGCCCAAATTTTATTTTGTGACGGGCGTCCAGCAATGCCGACATTGAACAACTCCGGACGGCCAGTCCTCAGTTGATGGACGATTACTTCTGTGCCTTGTAGGAACAGGTAAATCTTTTCTTTCTCTTTCTTCTTCTTCTTTTTTTAAACTTTGAAATCTCCTGATCTCGAATACGATACGATTCCCCGTGCTGCAACCAAAAGCTCATTCTACGAGTTGCAGTATAGATGGCACGATGTTATCCGATTCATGTCTTTCATTAATTGCTTGGAAAGGCACAAACAACTCGGCTCTAAGACCTCTTGCAACATATTCATCAGTTCCAAGTCAATGGGACACATGCGTTCCCATTCAAACCAGCTTTCCGGCACGCGACTGTTGCGCAAACGGCCCAGGCTTTGTGTCCTCTCCCTCGCTGATATTTTCATCAGTTCCCTTGTTATAGCAGGATATTGCAAGAAGCATTCCCCTTCTACTCGACGATTTTTCTCGGATTCGTCCAATCCTCTTTCCGCCGCAAAAGCCGCCCATGTGCTGGTATCGTCCGAATCGACAGATGGCCGAGGACCGCCGACCACCCCTGCTCAGAGAGTATACCTTGAGCCACGTCCCGTCCCCGGACTGAACAGCTCTGAGGCATCCATATATCGATCTCTCAAATCGGAGTTACCGCCCGACGCACCTCTAAATCCGAAGGCGTATTTGGCTGCAAAGCGAACCCCCCATCCCAACTACAGGCAATTATTCGATTTTTTCCACAGAACCCTTGGCTATGAGGAGGGAACAAAAGGCTTGATGGTTGCTCTGTCCAATCCGAATTCAGACATGCGTGTTTTTGGAAGTCAAATGTCGGATGGTGTTGAAGATGACCTGGAAACCCCAGGGGTTAAACGCCTCATCTCCCTTTTGGGGAAAGATTCGGTCTCAAACAGGACGCTTTTCCGCGCATACCGACGCCTTCCGTCACCAAGAATATCCTGCCTTTCTTACTGGAGTCGCAAGATCCTACTCCACCGATTTGCGAACCCTCCCCGGCGGCACCCCCATGACTCCATGCGTTATCTTTCTATCATCGAAGACATGTGTGAAGCATCTCTCCCCTTAACCCCCTCTCTTTGGACAGCCGCGATTGCTCTAGCAGGCAAGAGCTCCGACAAGGTATCAAGGACTTCTTTTCGATCCGCGCTTGGTGTTTGGCGACGCATGGAATATGAAGGCAAGGTGACAAGCAACAGCCTTGTTTTTAACATGCTCTTTGATCTTGCCATAAAAGCTGGCCAGTACAAGGTTGCGGATAAAATCATTTTAGAGATGCGGCAACGAGGTATTGATTTCTCGCGGTTTGGCAGGGTGGCACAGATCTTTTACTCTGGGGTACAGGGAGACGCTGCGGCAGTCCGGCAGGCATATCATGACTTTGTCAACGCGGGAGAGCTCGTCGATACAGCCGTCCTTAACTGTGTTATGGCATCCTTGATTCGCACGGGACACTTGGGACTTGCCGAGCAAATGTACGATAATATGAAGAGTCTCCACAACAAGATCGTTAGGGACCAACGCGAATCCGGGCTGCCATTGTCTCACTTACCATCGAATGATTATATGTCCTATCGGAAAGCAAGCAAGTATATCGGCCGCATTCTCAGTATGGCGGCTTTTTTGCATGACAAGCTACCAAAGCATCACCGAGCGCTGCAGGGGGCACTCCCCTTAGCGCCTGACGGGAAGACATTTCATATATTCCTGTCTTATCATGCATTCATATCCGGCGATCTTGAACGTTTCCTCAGTTTATTACAGGACATGGAAAATACATTCGATTCTCCCCCACAAGGGATGGTCTATTTATTTTTGTTCGAGGGATTCGCAAAACACGGAAACAAAAGGAAGTCAGACTGGACTCTTGAGCGATTGAGGCGAGCGTGGACTTCATTTTTACGTGATATGAACGAATCGGAACAGCGAGATCTGACTCGGGTCCAACAAAGAATTTCCAAGCTGGTATGGGAGACACGACTAAATCAACGCTATCGTGAATCTGAAGACACTTCCGATGAACCTAATCTGCGGCGAATAACTACACACAATGGCGAGAATGATCTGAAGACCTCTGATGACATCATGGGCACCGGCGTCTTCAATCCATACTCCAAGAGCGAGGCTCTGGAGGCCAATGGCTATGATGATGACTATGACGATGAAGAGGACGAGTACTATTACGAACACGGCGTTTTCCTTGGTCGAAGAATTGTTATTGCTTGCCTCCGAGCACACTCTGTTTGCGGTGGACCCAAGGCGGTGCTTGGTGTCTGGGACCAGATCAAGCCTCTGTGGCGCCCAGAGGCTCAGAGATTGAAGGATATTGTCGCTGTAAACAAAGTCCTGTACGAACTTTTGCCTGATAAACGTCCCTAAGATCTGACGATATTCCGAGAGCACAGTTGGGTTTGCCCTATCTTGTAAATATTATGATGGACAAAATTTGTTATACAGAGTAACCTTTAAAGAACAGTAATGGTGAAAAGATGCATTCGAAATTGCAAATCAAGAGAGCATAATTGACCTTCGAGCAGAAACGCAGCCAGTTACGCTTAACATGCTTGATGTTATCACTACAAACTCGAACCGAGTTGCCTTTGATAACTTCGATTCCAGCGAGAAAACGGCAGAATCACATGACCGTGACGTCGCGACCCTCTTCCAAACCTTGGAACGCGCAGCGAGAGCGGCCGCATGCTTGATGCGAACGGCCCCCAAGACGACCGGGCTTCCAACCAAAGCGAGATATCCTGGGATAACAGATAGCGAAAGCTCCGTATTTAATATGGCGACGGGATGACACGCCAGCATATTGATATTGATTTCACCCTGCGACGTGTCTTTGGAAAGAATTCATTCCGGTAACTTTTTCCCGGCACTTCCTCTCATTCAGATACTATTTATGAAGCAGCCCCAATTCTAATATGCTATCGCACCAGCCCTCTTCAACGAGAAGTTATCCAAGCTGTGATTGAAGGCCATGATGTTTTTCTCCAGGCTGCGACGTCCTTCGGTAAAAGCCTGTGCTATCAATTGCCCGCTGTTGTGTGCCATGGAAGTGCGTGGGGATCTTCTCGATCTGTTTCCCGGACATGTGGACTAATAAAGCCGCCGGAGAATAGTCACGATCGTGGTCTCACCGCTTCTATCGCTGATGGTAGGCTTGCTCCTTACAATATCCTTGGTGAAATGATGTAACGGCGTTTGATCTATTGCGCGATACTGACTAACTCTTCGCGCAGGTTGACCAAGTCTCCGCCCTCGAAGCAAATGGGATCCCGGTCGCAACAATCAACTCAACAACCTCTCACTCTAAGCGTAAAGCTATTATCGCAGACATTCTCTCTGGCCATCCTCACATTCGCCTTCTCTACGTAACCCCGGAATACTGTCAAACGGAGGCATTTCGAAAACATGTCAAGCAGGTGCATTCCCAAGGAGAGCTGAATCGGATCGCGATCGATGAGGCACACTGCGTCAGTGAATGGGGCCATGATTTTCGCCCAGCATACAAGGAGCTTTCTTGGTTTCGACGAGAGCTACAGAATCCAACCGTTCCAATAACAGCACTCACAGCCACTGCAACGAGGCGGGTTCGCACCGATATCATTTCTTTGCTTGGGCTGGACTCGACCACCTTAAGAAGATTTGGCACCTCTTCTGCGCGTCCAAACATTCACTACTGTGTGAGATTCATCCCTGAGCAGTCGCACACGTCCGCAGGTCCTGAGATGGCTCAAATGCATGATCTTTTAGCCTGGCTTAAGGGAATGCATGAGCGTCGAGTCGCCAGACTAACCGAACAAAACGAGGATTCCGATAACCTGCCTCATAAAAAGCAACCACTTCTCCCTCCAATCTCTGGAATTATATATGTCCCTCTACGAGCTATCTCCAGTGACCTGGCTGAGAAACTCTCCGCGTCTATCAGCCCGAAAATTAAAGCAGTCGCTTATCATGCAGGCCTACCAGCTAGCGATCGCGCCAGCATACAAACTGTATGGGCAGCTCCGTTTAAAAATCCTTCAAAAGGTGCCGACCCATCTGAGCACCCAGCTTTCTACATCGTGGTTGCGACCAACGCTTTTGGGATGGGTATCGATAACCCACATGTCCGATTTGTCGTTCACTGGACCCCGCCACGTAGTTTCGAGGGATTCGTCCAAGAATCTGGCCGCGCGGGACGAGACGGTCGTGCGGCATTATCTATAGTATACTATAACCCGGAAGCACGAGAACGTGTCATCGAGCGTATCCTCCGCGATTGTAACGCCAGTATGCTCGATGCTAAAATGATCGAAGCAGGCGTGCTAGTGATGGGGCCGCCCAATGCGGATCAAAAGCGCGCGTATGAAGCGCTTAGTGACGATATGAAGACTAAATTTCGAAACCGACATGCCCTGCTCGAGAGTTTTGAAAAGGTGATACGCTACTGCGAAGAGACAGACCGCTGCAGGCACGAGATTATCAAGGAATTCTCAGAAGACCTAGAACTTGAACTCTCGGAAAGATCAAGATCTGAACCTCAAGGGGATCACTCGATAGACATCCCTACTAACACCACACGTCCTATTTGTGACTATGCTTGCGACTTCTGCAAGGAGGGCCCCAAGTCTTTGCGAAAGAGAAGTTCGATTATTCTTTACGGCCTACACAGCCGACAAATCCAATTAGGCAACGCACTCAGCATGCGAGAGCATGCATATGAGGAAGGAATCCCACTATCTTGGTTTCATATCCTTTTGGCTGGCCGTTTTTTATGTGAAGGGTGTTCGTGAAATATGAGCCGTATGATTCCCTATGGTTTCACGATGCACTTGGACTAGTTGGATATAGCGCAGGAACCGGAGAGCAGGGATATTTTGTTCTTTAGGCAAGCTTATCGTAGAGAAATGCGTGAAATACGATGTCTAGATACAGTACGTCGTCATACGTGTGATAGAGATCGTAATTGACCCGGCAATATTCAATTAGCAGCCTAATTCAGAAAGGGGGACAACAAGAATATTGTACAGTGGCACACAAGTAAACTCAATCTCCATATCTCAGTCCCTACTTCGAGTGCGTTTCCATGGCTTTATCACACTTAACGCCAAGGCGATTGCTCATTTTGAGACAGATTAAAAAAAATACATTTAGCCCCCGGCATTTAATATAGCTTAGAGCGCAGTCTATAAGCCTGGTGGAGGGGGAACCTAGAAAAATGTTAGTTTAGGGACTAGCTTCAGCAAAGGAGAAAAGGCCGATTGCACCCACAGCATTGTATCCGCCCGAAGAAGGGGGCGGAGGCGGGGGCGGGGTGCTCGAAGACGGCGGGGGAGGCGGCGGAGGAGCTTCAGAGGCAGGCGGAGGAGGCGGCGGGGATGCAGAAGTACTCTGGGCTTGTTGTTGTGCGGCTGCCTGCTGTTGATAATATTGATAGTAGGCGACATAATTCTGGTACCCTCCATACGCCGCATATGGGTCAGAACCGCCGTAATATTGCGCATATTGAGCGCTGTAATCCGCCGAGCTTGCGGCTCCTGGACCTTGCGTTGTTCCTGGTGCGCTTGTTGTTGGTGGGCTCAGGGCAGGTGTCTGAGGAGAACCTTGATTATTATAGCCTCCGCTATAACCGATTCCGTAATGGTGGCGGTCACGTTGGCCATATCCGCCCCCGTATCCTCGGTGTGGTGGAGGTTGCTCTTTAAATCGTTCGTACTGCTCCTTAACATTTGCTAGGAGGTCCTCGCAAAGTTCCTTTGCCTTCTGCACCTCATTGGGATCTGGGCCTCTGTAATCCTGTCAGCTGAATGTATGTTCACTCCTCATTCGGGGGAGGGGAATCCGTACAGAACGTGAAGATACATGGGTTCATCACTCTCCTGATTGGTACCGTGCTCTTTAAATCCGGATCCGCGCCCTTTGATTTGTACCCGGCATCCTGTTTCTTGCTGGATATGCTTAACATATTGCCCGCCCTGGCCTACGACTTGTGCGCGAAGATTGAACCCCGGGAGAGGCTCAAGTCCAATAGGTATGCGTTCCTCGGGCCATTTACGCTATGGAAAGTGTGAGTAATTGACACAAATAATGCAGTAGTCTATTTGGCAACTTACGCGACCGAATTCATCCCGTTCAACTGGTTCCCGGTCCCTGCGCTGAAACCTTCGCTGGTCAACAAGGTTCGGTAACTCCTGTTTCATGAGCTCGTCGATCTTCTCGATGGCCTTCTCTAATCCTTCTTTCGTTGTGCTCGTTACATGCAAATATAGCGGTGGATTCTATCAAGTGACCGGGTTATTAACCCCGCTGCTACGCGTAACATGCGAAAATCTGGAATTCAAAGTACTTACCGATGGAGTAGCCATGCTTTTATCCGGGAGATAGCTTCCCCTGGTAGTGACATCTTTAAACCTGATGAGCAATCTGTTCTCAAACATATAAAGAAGAATTGACAATATGATATATGGAGGAGTGCCGTACCGGCGCCAGTCTCTTCTTTGATCTATATGTCACGCAGTGGAGGTCAGCAGATGCCAAACAGCGGGTGTCAGAAGCTAGGCAAAAATTGGGTAAGCCTTCAACCGCCAGCCATCACAAACAAAGGAAAACTTGTTCTTTCGATGAGCGACACCTATGTGCATCGCAGCCTCGGTAGTAGGGGCCTGGGAATATCAGCGGGAATGATAAGAGATATTTACCATTCTCTGCGTCGCGCCTTTTGTCAGTGTATACCGGTTTCGAAGATCGTTCACTTCAATATCTTTGATGTAATCTCCATCGGAGATATAAATCTCACCATTGAGATTCGGAAACTGCTGCGTCGTCGAGGAGGGCGATTTCACGGCGGGGCTGGCAGTCTGCTGGTTTCTGTGAGCGAAGGGGGAAGACACCTGCAAGCAGAAATGCAGTCTTTACAACTTACTGCGCGGACGGTCGGAGTGCTAGGTTGCTGGACCCCTCGGGCTTCTAGCTGTGCCTTGATCTTTGCCGCAGCAGCCGCTGTTTTAATGCCATGTTAGCGGGAATAGGCTTCTAGATCTCGGAGTTAAGCAAAAACTTGCCTGCAGCAGCAGCAGGGTCAAGCGGAGTGCTTGATTTCCTCTTGTCATCCTTGGTCGGGCTCTGGGGTTCTCGACTCAAAGGGCTTCGTTCACGCGCGGATTCAGATTGACGTGCAGAGGGAGAGCGTGAGCGCCGATCAAAACGGGACCGTCGGGGCTCGGATTCTGTCTGGTCAAAGCGGGATCGCTTCGTGCGCCGCTCACTATCCGCCATATCGGATCAACTATGGCCACACGTAAACTCCGAAGGAGGCCAACAGTAAAAGTAAGAGAACTGCGATGCGGCTCGTTCATTGAGCAACTTCACGCTGCCTTAAGAGACAAATTTGCGCAATGATCTCAGTGATTAGTCATCAAACAGAGAAGGTCTCGGGATTCGGATATTCATTTTATCCAGGCTGGTCAGGCGCTAGCGCGAAAGTGGAAAGGCGCCGTGTTGTTCCATCCAAGCCACCCTTCCATCCAGCCTTTGCGCCACAGCCACCACAGACGCGACGAGGCTGGCCGATTTCGGCGTCAGGTGACTCATGCTGCAAGCCCCAACTGCACCTGCAGGGATTTCCCCATATATCCCAGACTCATCGCGAGCTCTCCGTTCAGAGCAGCGAGCACTTGTGAGGTGTGGCGGGCATCTCTGTCTCTCTTTCGTTGCTTTCAGGCGATTTGACAGCTAGCCCGTCTGTCCATAATATCTGCCTTGCATCTATCTTTACTCGGAGTTTAGTTATTTCTCTTCTGCCGATCTTTCGGAGCAGCTCTCTCAAAATCGCCGGTCCCTCCTCAGCGGAGGAGAAGCCGTGATAACGCCCCCGACAATGGCTTTCTGGCCAGGTTCTGCCATGAGGGCAGCCCGTACCTCCGTTGTGCGATGTTCCTACGGTATTGAAAATAGCCATGCGGCTCCTGTCGCTCGCCAGTTAGCAAATCGATGCCAGGTCCGCCCATCATCGAGCTCGACTTCAGCGCTCGCCTACAAGGCACTCCATCGTCGGTCTCCACTTCCGCTTCCGGTTGCTGAAAATTCACCAACCTGGTCTGCTCCGGCGGCCGTCTCGTCTATTCTTTATGAGACTCCCGTTCCATCCACAAAGCCCCCGAAGCGACATGTGCTCAATTGTTTGGTGCAGAACGAGCCCGGTGTGCTCTCTCGGATATCTGGCATTCTTGCCGCTCGTGGCTTCAACATTGACAGTTTGGTTGTGTGCAATACAGAGGTGGAAGATCTATCTCGCATGACTATCGTTTTGCGCGGTCTGGATGGCGTCGTCGAGCAAGCCCGGCGCCAATTAGATGATCTCGTGCCTGTCTGGGCTGTTTTGGACTATACTGAAGCCGCTTTGGTCCAACGGGAACTCCTTCTGGCCAAAGTTAGCATCTTAGGCCCCGAATTTTTCGAAGAACTCTTGCAGCACCACAGGGAAATGACATCAACCGAAGGAGCTATGCCACTAGAATCCGAGAGTGCCTCCAATGCGGAGGGCTCAGCGGATAAAGATGCTCAGAGGCGTGAAGTGGAAAAAGTTAATGGCAATCTCTCAAGGGCCGCAGACTACCACCCCAATAGCCTTGCTGCCAGTGAAGCATTGAGACACAAACACGAACATCTCGAAGCAATCACGCATTTGACTCACCAGTTTGGAGGAAAGGTCTTGGATATCAGCAGTAACAACTGCATTGTTGAACTGTATGGTTTCACTATCTTGTTAATTTCCGTGCGTTTCACCCAGCATCTGGCTAACATACAAGCCGCTCTTAGCTCTGCAAAACCTTTCCGCATCGATTCGTTCTTGAAACTTATTGCTCCATTTGGCATCCTCGAGTCCACCCGCACAGGTCTCATGGCCCTGCCACGTTCTCCAATCGGCCCAACGGCAGAGGAGATGGAGAAGGAGGCAGCCGAGGTTGTTGACGCCAGCACTCTTCCCCCAGGCTAATGTGCAACTTCTGTAACCTACTAGCTCTCCCAATTATTATGCTCTTTGCCAGTGATTGTGGGTTACTTATATCTCCCTTGGTGTATTTTCATCTACATTGTCAGGATAAATAAGTGTATGAAAACACTCTCTTTTGCAGGTGGAGTAGCAGTTGAAAGCATGTTTGGACCAGCGAAATAACTATGTTGTTCAATGCTGATTAATTATCTAAAATATTCTTACTCGCAAGAGGAAATTCAAGCAGAAATTCAAACTACATTGTTGAAATCGGTTTGCTCTATGAGTCTGCATGTTTCAATGCCAAGTATTTGCCAGCGAGATTTTAGGTGCTTCCTGCCCTACAACCAGTTCCTGGGGCAGCTCTAATTATTTGAGTATTGGGAATTTCATTCTATTTTGTCTGTCAAAATGGTTCTGCTCACACAATCCGAAAGGAATGAACTGAAGGTTGAAATCTCATTCTCGACAACAATGGGAGTCATAACTCATAAGTCATCACGTTGAAAAATGGAAGAATAGGGCCTAAGTCAAAAATACAATATGAAAAGCTCAGTCGTCACTAAAGAAATTCGTCTGTCGTTAGATCAACATATCGTACTCTGCATGCTCACACAATCACACCCCTAATCCCGGCTTCGGTTGGCATTCGAGACATCTCCCTTTTACACCGTGGGAACGTAATTTAGAATCTCGAGTATCCTTTTTGCGGGAAGTCGTCATCACTGTCAGGTACTAACGACGAGTACAGTCTCTGCAAATGCCACAGTACATCTCACTCGTGATGTCCTCGACCTTCCTCGTGCACGAACAGTCCTGGCAGTAGACGGTTTCCACCGATCCACACTGATAATAAATAATGCGCTGGCACATTGTTCCCCGGAAGGTGCTGTCCTTTCCAATGGTAATGAGGGTTTGGCTCGGTCGATACTTTGTAGTGTAAGCCTGCGTTTAAAGTCCTGAGCTTCTTGGAGACAAAGAAGCCAGAGTCCGAGTTCTAGCTTTCCGACAGGGGATTTGCGTTAACCGGTAACGAAGCGGACACAGCAGGCCAAAAAAAGTATAACGCTTGCTAGAGTACTATTCACTCTGCGTTCTTATCGACTTTGCACTCCCAGCAAACAGCACTATCTTAGAGAGTGGACGTTCTTGAATGTACGTGTCGGAATTTGAGATTTGAGATCGCAAAGTGGGCCTAAGGCAGAATTTTCGCCAGATCTCAGGAAGCAGCCTGTTAAAGATATCAGCCATCATAGAAGCAATGAGGGCTGAATACGGGCCAACACACCGCTCAGACAGGCCGATAGTTGGTCATTCAGCTGCAAGATCAAAAAGGTAAGCCGCGCAAATCATTACCTTCTCGTCGGGGAAGGGTTCAGAGAAAAAATTGGGTATGAGCACTCGAGCCCAGACACTTAAACATGAAATGGATATTGTATCGTAGAAGCACCCTCAAAGCTCTATCAGTCTGAACCTGCAGACCGTCACAGGTAAGGAGGGAATAATCACAAAGGCAGGCGCTAAAATATATTCATGAAATGTACTGAGCAGCAGGAACAGGATGGCAGGCCACGCGCTTTTATACACCTCACGGATGTAAAGAGAGGCTAAAAATGGACGACAAGAAGCGCACACGCTCGTGACACTCGCCCGCTTCCCTCGAGTAACATTGATAATTCTTTCGGGCAGATCTTGCTGATGAGTTAGGCATCAGTGCCGTTAAGGTTGCGTTTCACCAAATTTAGCTTCCCCGCACGCAGAGATACCAAATAGCTAAAAGAAGAAACGAAGGAACAGAAGAAGGAACGGACACCCAATGGCTTCATCTTCAAGGACCGGGATGATCATATCGGATACTCAGGACAATTCAGGAGGGGCAGCGAGGGGAGTGATGCCGAGTATGTGTGGACAAGGAATATATGGTCCGGGTATTAGTCAAACACGAGATTTGACGTTTGGTATGATCTCATCGATCTCATACTTAGATACGCAGGGATTGACAAACCGTTGATCGCGGCGCTATTAAGGGTGTGGGTGTGGTGATAGGGTTTCTCTGCGCTAACTCCTGTGAGCATGGGCGTACATGGGGCGAAGCTGAGGGAACGATAGCATCGTGTCCGTTACCGTCGGATTGAGTGTGGTGCTGAATCATTGACAAAGCTTAGAGCCGGGGAAGGTGAGGTCATAAGAAGGAACCGATTTCCGTGTGCTATGACCTCTAAGTCGATATTCGCTCGGTTATAACATCCGACATGGCGAGGCGGAGAAGAGAGGGGGAAGAGCGCAAAGGCTTCCCACAATGGCCCCCTCCCAACAGAGATACGAATGCACTGAAACTAGAGCTGTACTTGGGCAGATGACTATCGTAGATGTGTTTGCTCACCGCATCTACGCCCTCAGTCTCGGCTTGATGATGAAAGAAGGGATTGGGTCGCGATGCGGTGAGACCTTGGGTAACTATCGAGTTGATCCGTTCGCCCTCCTCTATTCCTCGATCAGTGGATTGGAGATCCGGACGGGCACCGAGATATCTCACGATTTACCGCGCTCATTGGCGCAACATCCATGCCGGCTTGTCACCCATCAGAGAGGTTCGATCTCAGGACAGGAGTAATACCGCACCAAGGCGGTGGTGATGCACGATGACATCAAGCCCATGCCGTCCTGGTGCTTGCGTTTGTTGACGGCCCATGGGTCGTCAAGGCTCCCCCTATCGGCTTGCGACATCCACTGATGCCACTGATCCCATGCACTTTTAGGAGAAGCAAAGAGAAAATCCAACGCAAGCTCTTGGAACCAATGAGTCTTCACGCTTGCCGATCCACAACCTCCTGTTAAGGCATGTGATTGCTGGCTGTCGGCCACCGATGAGAATAACTTGGCGTACTTAATAGCCACAATCGACTTGGGTACCAAAGGAGAGGTTGGAATTTCTCCTATGTTCAATTCCACTGCGTACGGCTGCAACAGCGCCTTAGACCGGTACTTGAACAGTCACATCCTCCATCGGCTGCTTTCGTTATGACCAAACTTATCGTTTAAAAGCCTTGGGGCAACTCTCAAGCCCCGCCGCTCCAAAATTAACTATGCTTCGGTAAGCTACTGCATCTCCCGAATATCGACATGGATAGATGCGTTTCTTTATAGCAAACAACGTGGCATCGAATACGATCGACATATAAGAGGCTATAAAAAAAAAAAAAAAAAAAAAAAAAAAAAGCCAAGGAGGAAGGGATGGTGCCGAGAAATAGCAGACCGACTCCCTGGAGGAGATAAATGCTAACACCGAGAGGGGGAAAAAGGGGAAAAAAGAAATGAAGGGAGAAAAAAAAAAAAATTGAAACCGAGGAAGTGAAATGTCTTCATCATTGTAGCCATGAACCGAATCTTCCGCCGAAACCAAATGAACTAGCATGTAGACCGAAAAGCTCCCCCAAACTCCAATGCACACGCCCAAAAAGCAAACCGTGTATCTACATGTCGTCATCGTATTCCGCTCCACTAGTCGAAGTTTCACATTTTCTGGAATCTGTCATCAATTTGGTTATAGTCGTACTTTTGCACCGATGCCTTTTCCCCAGTAAGATATCGTGTCCATATATTCCCCTAATTTGACACCAATGTCCGCAACAGCGTCTATCTCTAAGCTTCCACCAAGTGCCTTTTTAAGAGCTTCATATCCTGCTCCTCCAAAGTCTAACTCCACAGGAAGCCGTGGTGTTATGGAAACTCCTGGAGGGACCGGGAAAGGGGAGTTATACTGAATCCTGCCGACCGGAGAAGTACTGTTATATAGCGCTGTGGCGTCAACAGACGTAATAAAGAGCGTTGTTTCCGTAAGGGGAGATAGCAATGTAAATTCAGCCGTCGAAGTCCATAGATGCATCTAGAGCGCAAGGAGGCTCGAATCAGTCCAGAGAAAACGAATATCACCATGAGATGCATTGGAATACGCGATGACCAGATAGAAGGCACTCAGGCGCGCAGAAAAGGAAAAGGCAAAATGGTTAAGCGTGGTTCCCCATGGATTTGATAAACATAGACCATACCGTGGCATCTTTAATAAAGTGTGGCCCATCGCCACCGTCGGGGTTATCTCCGTCATCATCACCATCGCCATTTTGGTCAGGAAGTCGAAGTTTTGGTACTGGAATTTCAATCCTGAGCGTCGATAACGCGTTCCCGAGTTCTGGTAAGAATGGAATGGAACCGCTATGCGGTGAAATAGTGACAGTGGTATTTAACCCTACGAAAAAGTCAGAAAATCATGCTCCGAGGCCAATATTGGGGGGGGGAAACCTACCCGATATATAGCGAGAGATTAGGTCTCGACCAGAAATTACTCCTTGCTGTCCGTTTCCATCAGCGGGGTTCCATAATCCCTGCACTTTGACAAAAGAGTTGTGACCGGGGAATATGAAAAGATTCTCTCCCATTATATGGGCAACGCTCGAACCATTATAGGCTAGCTTCATGTCGATGAAAGGTGTGTCTGCAGAATAATTTGTCGGGTTGGTAAAATTTACAACTGCTTGAAGGGAGATAGTAGACTCGGTCGTATGGGATATTTTGATGGAATCAATTTTGGGATTGACGTTGCCCAAGCCCCCTGTCAGGGGAGCTAAGTTCTAAGTCAGCTGAAAGCCTTATCATGGCTGTTAAACACGCCACAACTCACCCTTCACAGTGATATCCCCGCTGGCTGGTATGTCTCGAATTACGAACTTCCCCAAGGCCGTATCCAGCTCGGCAGCCACATTGGCTTTGACCTGTAAGGAGACCGTTTCGCCAGCTAGAATCACCTTTTTAATAACATCGGCGAATACAGCTTCATCCACAATTCGCAATGGTGCTTTTTCTATGTCGAATTCTACCAGTAAAGCTGGGGAGTTGTCTAGTTCATCTTTTATGTGACGAACAGTCGCATTTTGCCATTTCTGCAGATCGATATAACCGAGTTTCTTGCTATGGTAGTAAACATCTGCGACCGTCCGAACACGTGAAACGTTCACAGGCACGTTCATTTCCTGAGGGAGGTCAACAAGCGCCTGGACAAGAGCCGATACTCTTGGCTGTGCTTCGGGAGCATCTGGTTTCGCAGAAGGCTCAGGAAGAAAAAAATGTACATGAGACATGGAAAACCGTTCGATGAGATTTGAGAGCCCTTTGCTGGGAATAGAAACTGGAACGATGACGCTCTGTAATATGGCCTCTAGCCAGTCCGGAAGTGTAGGAGAAGTGAGTGATCCCCCACGGACATAGACGAAAGTCTCGCGACCTTTGATATAACTTTGGACGAGAAGATCCAGAGGGGAAGAGGTCTTGCCGGGACATATTGTTATCAATGCATCCGGAACCTCATAAATAAATCCAGTAACTGACGCAAGGACAGGTCTTTTGGGCTCGATTTCAATAGTATCACTGGTGGCATTTCCTATTCGAATGTAGTCATCGCCAGGAGCACAATTTGGCACCATAATTTCAAACGTAAGGGCGGGGACGGTAGCTTCAATGGCGTATACATTCTGAATGTGAAGGGATATATCAGCAGCTACAGCCCTACGCTCCCCCGGCAATTGAAACTCGTGAACATTCAGCTTCGTGATGTTAAAGTCAGGGAAAATTGGGAGGTCTTGGTCTAAAAATTGTTGGTTAGAATCATATATGCAGTAAACTATTAAACGGGGTTAAGAAAGGTTTGTACAGGGATTGACCTTGAAGAACGAAAGTCTCCGAAATGTGCTGGAAACCCAGCTGAAGTAACCCTGAGCGAAGCGGCACTGAGGCCACGCCCTTTATCCGCAAATGGCCAAGGCGCCCTTCAAGCCAATCGTTGGCAACTCCACGAATTCCATCGACATCTCCAGCTTTTAGGTCAGCCAAAAAATCAATACTGTTCTTATGCCCATCTTGAATGTTAACCTTGATAGGCGGGATAGTAGCTGTTCCCAGCAAAATATTCCCGTATTCAGGCAGATAGACCTGAATATCGGACTCCCCGCTTTCCACTTCTTTCCCAAACCAGGTTGTCAAACGGCCTATATTCCGCACAATTGGTTTCTTCACTCGGGAGGAGTCGAGAGAGAACGAAGCTTGGATTCTAGTTCGGACGCCAGACGATGTGAACGCGGCAATTGATATTCCGATAGGCTCAACAATGGCGGCCTCCTTTGCATACTCCTCAACGGTCGCGGGCGCAGCAAAGCCGAGGACTAAGATAGCAATAACTGCTAGGCACAGGCTGGCCAAGGAAATCACAATCGGCCATCTCACCCTGCGAGCCTTTTTATCTGCTTGCTGACCTGGTACCGCTTGGCCAGACCTAGCGGAGGATGCAATGGAGCGGTGATCTTCATCCCGAGAAGATCGTTGACGCTCTCCCGAGAGAAGAGGGGTTGTTTCGGATGCCACCCCATTCCGATCCGATGTAGATTGCTTTTTGGAGTAGCTAGAATGATGAGAGAGGGAGGGAGATGCAGATCGAGCCAGCAGCGGTGCGCTTTCGTCACCGGCACCGGCCATCGCGTCCTGCTGCTGACTGTTCAGAAAACTGGAGTGTTCTCATTGAGGTCAGTGAGCGAAGACATCCTAAGAAGAGTAAGTGAATGAATGAGGGTATTTGCTCAAAATGATAGACGTTGATGCGAGACTGGTGGATGAGGACGCTCCTCATGCAAGGTCCGAGCGTCATACACTTGTCGTCGTCCTCGGCATGGCACAAGTCTCCGCGTGTCGTCTTGGGCTCCCGCCAAGAATTCGCCTTACTACCCTTGGACTAGCGCCAGCCAAACACCAGTGTGGCTTATATAATGCGACGCTAGCTCTTTTTTTACTTTGGCGCTAGAAAACCCAATTTTGCCTTTGCGCCTGGGCGGTTCCGGTGGACGGACAAGACTGCTTTGTGAAGAGTCATAACAGGAGAACAAAAAAGGAGCTCCACATCAAAAACGTTCCTGGAAAAATCAATTCCACCGAAGATCTGATTCAAGATGGCAAATTTTAGTTTCTCCTCGACTCCTTCCCTTCTTTTTCAACTCTCCCGCATTCGCAAGGTGCCCAGACATTGCTCCCTTTTCTCTCAAACCTGCGGTTATCACATCTCTCACTCTCTTGACAAGTACAATTCCTCCCCTATGCAATCTGCGACACGAAGCACTGCCAACGCTTGTCGAAATATGGCGAAAAATCAGTGGAGACCTTATACTAACGGCTCTCATGCCCCTTCCACGCCTCGACATCTTCTTTCCATTGCAGACCTTACGCCCACAGAATTCGCAACTCTTGTCCGAAATGCCTCTTCCTATAAGAAAACGATCAAGTCGGACTCAATGCCTGAGCGCTTGATGGGGGCGCTGTCAGGAAAGACCGTAGCCATGATGTTCAGCAAACGCAGCACCAGAACCAGAGTATCAACCGAAGGCGCTGTGGTGAAGATGGGAGGTCATCCCATGTTTCTAGGAAAGGATGACATCCAGTTGGGCGTGAATGAGTCACTGTACGATACTTCTGTTGTAATATCTTCAATGGTATCTTGCATTGTTGCCCGCGTGGGACCTCACTCCGACATTGCCAATTTGGCTAAACACTCGAGTGTGCCGGTTATTAACGCCTTATGTGACACCTTCCATCCGCTGCAAGCAATCGCCGATTTCCTCACCATCCATGAATCCTTTGCGTCACAATCTGCAACACACGGAACACATCCCTCGAGTCTGGGATTGGAGGGACTGAAAATTGCGTGGGTCGGAGATGCAAATAATGTCCTTTTTGACCTGGCGATCGCCGCGACCAAGATGGGTGTAAATGTGGCCGTTGCGACACCCAGGGGCTACGAGATTCCGTCTCATATCGTTGAACTGATTCAGAAAGCACGAGAAGGGGTCCAGTCACCAGGAAATCTCACACAAACCACCGTGCCAGAAGTCGCCGTCAAGGATGCAGACGTCATCGTGACCGACACCTGGATCTCGATGGGGCAAGAGACCGAGAAAATCAAAAGACTGGAAGCGTTCAAAGACTTTAAAGTGACTTCAGAGCTTGCTAAACGAGGAGGCGCAAAAGAGAATTGGAAGTTCATGCATTGCTTACCACGACATCCCGAGGAGGTTAGCGACGAAGTTTTCTATAGCGAGAGATCTCTCGTCTTCCCAGAGGCCGAAAATCGACTATGGGCAGCCATTTCGGCGCTGGAAGCGTTTGTTGTTAACAAGGGGAAGATTGCTTGAGCAATGGCGTGCCGGTGATGGTGATTCGCTGGATGGTTTATAGAACTCTTGATTTCTGATGGCATCGTTTTTGCGCTGTTAGCGGGGTTTCTGGGGAGTAGCTATACCAACTTTAGGGATCGTAATCTATTTGAAATGTGACTGTTCTTTTTCCGGCTGCATATTCTCTGTTGCTTGCGATAGAAACGCAAATGTCTCGACTTCATGACGTTCAAGGATCGATGTGTTGGTCCGTGCACCTGACAAGGTCACCCATGTCTTTCCCAGCAAATGGGGCCACACTTCTTCCACATTTGCATGCTCCTCATGGATATGAGAAAACTAAGCGTCCTTGATTGTTTTCAAAGACTTGATCACAGTTCGCACGGCTTTCCCAGTTCCACCTTCCGATTCGGGTGATCCCGCGATCACGTCGTCCGGCCTCCAGACTAGATAAAAACGCCCGGACCCTGTCTCAAATTTCTCATAGTTTTTGCCGCCAAGTTTATCAACGACCCAATCTATTTTAACAGGCGTGTCTCGTTTCAATTGAAACCCACGAGACAGGTTTGACTATCCTCAGTCATCGACGATGGAGGTGAGTTCCTGCGCCACATTTGGAGACGTCCTGCGCCGCCATAACTGACGCCATTCAGTCCCTGTCCCACTCTCGCAGCAGCTCACGCGGCTTTCGCTCTCGTCGGTCCTACACCAGTCTTCAACACATCTCCCTCGCTCCATTGACCAGCAGATTTCCATTGGATGATGATGCTGGTGATTCGGACGGCCCTGTTCCGGTGAAGGAGAGAGATCCCCCTGGTCGTCCTCAACTTCCAACCACATCCTACTATTCGACCAGTTCAGTCCCAACTACTCCTCCAGTGCTATCCGACTCGCGAAATTTATCATTCACAAACTTGAATAAAAAGAGGAAGTCATCGAAAACTGCACCGTTGAGTGACACCGGGTTGGATTTGCTAAACACCCAAAGACCCCCGCACCATCACAGGACGCGGAGTCACAATCCGCGCGAACGATTGCCACGAGTCCGGAATCACCATGAGGATAATGAATGGCTTCTTAGAGCGGGACTGGCCCTGGCAACTTCAGCACGCGAGGAGAAAGGCCAAAGCTGGCTTGTGAAGCGGGAGAGCTCAACGAGTCTCGTCTCGGACTTGAACCATGAGCCCAATCGCAGACCGCACCCGCGTTGGAGTCAGACTGCGCGAAGACACCGTTCTGGAGTGTCTACTCCAATCGCTTTGTCGAGACGCGGGTCGAAATCGCAACTCCCAAGTCCACGTAGCAGTCGGGCATCGTTCATGACCGCGGCAGAGGGAGGATTCTGTTCTCGAAGCGTCCCCGCCACTCCATCTCACGACCAAACCGAAGTTATCCCAGACTTTGTGGAGAAAACGGTCCGTGACGAAATGAGATCCATAATATCCCAGAGCTGTAAAAATGACCACAACCCATCACGGAACGGTGATGTTGAAACTGCAAGCTATGACTACACTTCTAGAAGATCATCTCTTCTCGACCGATCTTTCCCTTCGTCTGAATCCAATTATTCTGAATCAGAGTCCGAAGATGAAAGTGAATTCGGCGAGGTCGAGATGCAACGGCTGACTCGCCAGCAAGGGTTTGGCCTTGGTCCTTGGATAGACAGGCTGGTTGAATGGGCGCTGTTCAATGTGGAAGAGGAGACTTCTCCCATAGTCCATACCCAATGGGCAGACGAACATGACGCCTTGGTTGGTAGTGCTAAAGCTAGGAAAGAGGTAGCCTTTACCCACGCGGACGACCAACCAGGCTCCGAAGTAGAAACAGACTGTGAAAGTACAGGGTCCGCGGATAGTTCTTCATCATCCGGCCTGTCCGAAGAGTCCACTGAGAAAGGCGCCTGGGCTGATGTGAGGTGGCTACTGCGCGTTGCCAGGAACGCTCTGTGATACATTTCTCTTGACTTTTTGGGCCTAATCAGATTCCTTTCCCTGCTCACTCTCTGCTTTCGCATATTTTGCAATATGCACTTAATGTCCATGTACATTCCAATATTCATTTCTTTTCGCTTTTTCCTTTTTGACGATGCTGGGTTCTGATGATTTTCCTGTTTGTATTCCTAACCGGCCCTAATTTCAAATCAACACCCTGTGAGATTTTTGGCCTGTATTTACGTTTCTTCCCTCTCACACTTGGTCCAAGCATCACTTGCCGCTATGCTTACATGTAAAGAAGGCCTAGAACAAGCAGATCAGTAGATTTCGGTGAAATACCACGCAAGTGCCCATGCCCATATCACATTTCTATATTCGATATTTATGAGATAGCCACTAGACCATACTGGCAACTGTCGTTACGGGCCAGCTGCACCATACAATGCGCAGAGGTGAAGGGAAACTGTTGAATCTCGTAGGATCATTTAGTTGCCTCCGTCTTTCTGGACCGCTCTTCTGATGCATGGTCGCAATTCCCGTAAAAAAAAAAAAGAAAAGAAGAAAGAAAGAAAGACGGCGAGGCTCCCCATATCAGCCGTATGCATGCGTCAAACAATGTACCCAAAGTGTTTCATGGAGCACTGGAGGTTATCTGCATCGGAGTAAGGGCCGCATCGAAATCCAGTTGGGCCCGGACGCCTCAAAATTCCTCACCGTCTGTTTCTAGCCGCTTGGGCTACATGCATTGGCAAATCTCCACCATTTAGACCACATCTCTTCGCTTCAGAAGTAATATAACGCTCTCCGCAAAGGTTAAACAGGTGAGCATTCGCCATCGATCACCAGCTCTGATGCTCATTAGCCACATGTGATCTGTGCTGCGCCACATTAGGTATGCGCCACACGGTGGGATCGTGATCGGGTCTTGGTGAGGCGGGGCGTTTCGTTTTGCAGAGTTGCTCTGAGCGAATGGTGCTCATCAGATCTCTGCCGGTGCCAGGCCAGACCGGAGCCAAGATGAAAAGGAGTGGTGGGCTGGTTGGCCAGAGATATTCGGCCAGGTCAATTTTCCCATTTAAGTTATGGTGTGTAACTATCTGGCTGGCTGTCCGGCACCTGCGGAATTTGTTTCTTTATGAACCCAAAGTATGTGCGACGCTTCCGTCCGGTTTTATGGGCTGAATGACAACGGAGGGCCACGCTGCGCAGCAGGGTCCACGATCCATTGGTCCCCAGGAGCAACCACGGTTAGGAGAATGATTCTCCCTGGTTTTGAATTGCTGAACTCCCCACGTTGCCACACGGACGGGAACAGAGGGAATGGTATAATGATGTGACTCGTGTCCCCGTCGAGGCATCAATACGACATGCATGCAGTCCATATCTCTGCATGGGTAACCTTCCTCGCCTTCAGTTTCTTCAGGGTAGACTTTTCGACAAGATTGAAGCCGTCAATAGGGAGAAATTAGGTTTGCATTACCGCGAGCTGCCAGCCAAAACGCACAGCCCTGATTGGTTTGATCGGCTGTTGAATATGCCAAGCCGGCTTGGCTCGAAAATGTCTGCGTGATGCGGCAGATATGCTTGCTTTTTCGCTGGAAAAATAGCCCAGCAGCGAGTGGGCGAGAATGCGGGAGAGCAGGTGATGTATGAGTGGCAAAGTATTCCGTTGCTTGATTGCCCAGAATAAATTTGAAAGATTAAGTGCATTTTAGCTGAGGAGGATTGGGTTGGTTAAATCGATCAGGAAACCCCAAACTTCTGGAGGGTCAGCCACAACCGGAAAGTTGGAGAGAAACCACTAGTTAATGCCCGCTCACCCAGTCGCTGATGATTCCAAATCGACTACATAGGCAGTGTGGCTGACAGGGATTCCGCAATCATGCGAAGTCGATCATCACGTCAGGAACTTTTTCGTACCAGGTTTCTGCACAGATACAGGTTCGACCTGGCAGTTTGATGTTCTTCTCCATCGGACTTCACAATGTGTTCGCACCATGCTCTCCGTACACACACAAAAGATGGCTCAAGGCAGGCAGTCCTGGACGAGTATATGTGCTGCTGCGGGAATTTTGCTCCGGCAGATGGAAAGAGCTCCGCTCAAATGACAGCTATTGTTGCTTTTTGCTACACTCACCCAGCAGTAACTATTCATGTACTGAGCACTCGGCACATCGAAGAGAGACAGCTCTCACTCCGGCTGTGCAAAGTTTCCTGTGACATTTCTCGTGAAGGCACGGTCATGGTCAGAGCTCTGCAGTGATCCGCCTCGACCCATTTGGTACGCTGTTAGTCGATTCAATAGTCAAGGTCCCAACATGGTCGAGAGACTTCTTCCGAGAGCCTAGAGGACAACAGGCGAACAAATCGCCCTGATGCCTTCCACACGAACACACAAAACTCACCAAAGCGATGCTGGGGTAAGTCTAGTCTAGTCTTGTTTTGAGGCCCATGTGAGGTTCGGCTCAATGCCTCCCTCCAATGCGAAGAGAATAGAGCGAGCTCTGTGCTGGTGATTTTGAGTAGAGATTTGGTGGCTGGATGGTCTTGATTGCCGACAGCGGCGACAGTAAAACAAACGGCGGGGTGAAAGTGCATGAACCATGCCAGTTTGAACGGTCAAGCCGTTGCTGTCTTAGGCTGGCGGTTCGACTTGCTCAGGTGCGCTTAGCTTCCGAGATGGTTCTCGATCGGCGAGAACATCAATGTGATATATATTATTTGGGACGACGCAGCTTGCGCCCTCCCGAACTTGGAAACTCGGACATGGACGTTCTCTTCCATTTTGGGCCTGCCCGCGCTTTAGCCTTGCTTTTCGGCGATCTAGCGCTCTCTGCAGACGCTCTCTGTGGCCCTTGGACGCTGTGTGGCTTGTCCGACGTCGAAAAGGGAAAGGCGATGTGAAGGCTGCGGCGCCACGGCGTGGGCAGGAACCCGGCCATTACCCTTTCAAGGAGCCGGATGGCATTTTCTGGATTTACAATTTGACGGCGGCTAGAGCTGCAACCGGCCCCGACTATCTCGCACCGAGCTGGGCGGCGGACCCCCTGATTAGTCAGGGCGGCTTGGCCCTTCGTGCAAACCCACAATGCCAAAAAGCCACCCACGCACTCACCCGAGCTTGTCTGTCGCACAAACCCTTTGACCACCTGCAAGGGTGGAAGAGGAGGCCCATCGGTCCTCGCCTCATTTTGATTTCCGTTGACGCGGCGGAGGACGCATATGTACGGAGTACAGTACATACATACATACGGAGTACATACTCCGTACATGCAATTCATATGTACTTCGCTGCTCACCCACATATCTCTAAACAGCCTCGGAACTCCGCAGTACCCTGACTCTCCACCATACCCGGGCACAAAGATAAGCCTTGGGTCAGTGAACGAGGCTTTTCTCCCCTCCGATGTAAAACCCGGAAGTCCAATAACTAAACATGTCGGAACACATATCTACAATGCCATGGTTTCGGTGGCTTCTTAGCTTTTGGTTTCCGAAAACTGGTCGAGTCTGGCCTAGTACGAAGTAGCTTCGTCGTCCTCCCCGGCCTCCAATCGAACAACCACGATTGACGGGCCGATGACTCTAGTCATGTCCTATTTGAACTTTTGCCATCCACCCTCGGAGGTCTCTTCCTCAGCTCAAAAAAGAAACGAAAGCAAGGACTGATTCGCAGGCACGATGCTCATGCTCCGGCCGGATGGGTCCAAGATCTTAGCAGGTGGAGCATTACGAAGGCCTTAGGATTTGCAAGTCTTGCCCCCCAAAAAGCAAGTGCCTGAGTTCATCCTTTGGCACCATGTCCCTCGTTTCGCGTCTATGTGCAGTAGTAGATTCATATTCGCCCCAACGCCAAGAGTGCAGCAAAAGGATTCCTTCCTTTCCTTATATCGCGATGGTATCTCTCAGGATTCATAAAGCCGCCTGGGACCCTCGCGCAAGTTGACCATTTGATATGCTACCCCCCCTGTCTCAACGCTGCGTTTCCGCTATGCATCTTCAACTGGCATAGCCGCGCAGCCATCTGTCTGCTAGTTAATTGCCAGTCGTTCGAGTTAGCCTTCGACGTTAATCGGCATTCCTCCAGTCCAATGTCGACACCAGAGGGCCATCGGGGAGAAGAATCGCATTTTTTAAGGAGATTTCTCACTATCGCAGGCGCTTCGCTTCGAGTGGCAGGCCGACCTTTCCTCCAGAGGGTTTCCCGGAGCAGGTAACGTCCCCTACTTCTCTTTGGCAGGTAGGAAGCGACACAAAGTGAATACAAATTGAGTTTCAAAGCTAAGCTACATGGTTGTAGAAATACCGAAAACCCGGTTGTCCTTCCCGGGTCAGAAATGAATCCGGAATCGCGTGCGCATTTCGAATCGGTTGCCATGGCCGGAATGTCAGAAGCTACACAGCGGCACGAGGACCGTAATTTCGATATATTTGATTGGTATCCTCGTTACCAGAGTTGCCAGAGATATTTTCTTGATCGCGCTCAGCACAGCGTTCCCGTTCAGGCTCTGTCCTCATTTCTGAATATACTTCTTCCGTTTCAAAGACAACCAAACCCGGTGTTCAATTCTGCAGCAGATGCAGCTCAGTGTCGGCCCCAGTCGCCAGGCCCTGTTACGCCCACTTCTGTACCGCCAAGTGTGTCCCTGGTCCCTTACATTCGTCGTTTAGTCGCGACTGGAATGGACTACCCAGGCGTCCTACATGGATTCTTTGGCGACGATTGGGTGACTGGAATCGGACCTTTACATGAACAGGAGCGTCGAAACTATCTTTTTGCTGCCAAAAGCGGCGGATGGGCAGCTGTTAAACGCGATTATGATATCCAGCCGCTTGAAACCATTCCATTCCTACGGCCGCTCCAGAGTCCTGTTGACTCTGAGATTGAGGCCGCAGAAAGGGGCTGGAGTGAGTGGCTTGCAATGGAAGATTGGATGGTTGGACCCCGTGCGCCTGATGCGTTTAACGAGTCTTCACCATCGTCACGGTCACGAAGTGCCTGAGCTGAGCCTTTGGGGGTCATTTTCCCCTACATACTTTCTACATCTTATCGCGCTCTACCATCCCTGACTCGTTAATTCATAAAATTACTTTTTTTCGATGATTTTCGGGGTTATTGACCATTTCCGGGATTTATTTGTCTTTCATTGTCCTTTTGATTCTGCTCTTTTTCGATGTCTGAATGATAACTTGCCGGATTGGTTCTATTGCATATTTCTTATGTTTGCTTAATGCGACATGACATAGCCTGTGGTTTATGACTCTATATTGTTTCTGCTGAGTTTCCTTTCATTACTGAATCCGGTGGGCCGATCTGCAAACTGTCGGCCTAATTCCACAGCGCCGTGTTAATTTTTGCGATCCGGCTGAAAAGTCTCAATTTCTCTTTCTACACATAGAACCAGCCAGGTGATCTCGACCACCTTTTGGTATCATTCTGGACTTTCTCATATTTAGAGTGTTTGATATGGGCCCGCTTCTACGGAGCACAAACCATGCAGGGTGGCAAGCAATCAAGCAAAGTACGGTACATTTGATCTGAAGCTGCCAAGCTCTTTTGGCGTTGTTTTCCAAACGGCTCCTAGGATACTTGAATCTTATCCTGCAAACTGGGTCGACTCCTGTAGTTAAACCAGGCTGCGCTGCAGATCACACGCTCTGGAAAACCAGCAGCGAACTATCTAAACGATAGCCGATCGCTCTCCACAACGTGGACCACATAGCTATCAGTTAGCAGCTTCGAGGACAGCTACGAGATCCGCGCATGTACCTCTCATCGTGTGTTGAAGGATGTTCTTGGTGGCGAGGTAGTGCACCTGCAGATACATCAGAAAACATGATCTGGTTGGTCGTTTGTTGATTTCGCTGCAGCAAACGTGGCCGCCGGCCGCAGTCCCGATTTTGATGCCTAGAGATCCCTCTGCCCTCAAACGCAGGTCCTGATTGCGGAGTTCCGATTTTCCAGCTCTCCAAAAATATGATACATCAAAAATACCCTAGCCTAAGCTCAGCCCGCATTTCTACCTACTTCGTACACGTGATAATATAAGGAGAAAAAAAGGAAAAAAGGAAAACGGACGAAGATTTTAAATTCGGATTGGAGAAATGCGGTGAAAGAATCGACATACAACAAATAGTATTTGATCTCATAAGTACATATCCGCCGATGGCACAAGAAAGCTAACGCAAGTCCATGTTCTGTCGCCATCAACCGCCAGAGAATAGTGGAACAATTAAGTCGAATTCAATCGGGCTCTTCGCTAGCATCCGCGATGAGTTGCGCAAGCAAATAACCGGGATGGACGATTCCGATCTCGTATTGTTGAAGGCGGGCGCTCCAATTCCGGTCAATCCACCCGCACCTGCGACGGTTATCTACGATGCTGATCCCGTCGTCTTCGAAGCGGGTAATTTAGGTAGTTTCTGCTCGGTTGACAATCGGACCGTGCCAAAAAACACAAAGAAGACAGTACCTAGCTTTCCGTTTGTTCGGGATCTCCCAACATTCATAATATTGCGACGCTCCAAGTCGATGTGGGTGATCTTGTGATTAGAGACACTGGCTTCAGCTCCAGAATCTTGGTCACACAGTTTTGTGCATCCTTGAAGCAGCTACTGAAGCCGGATATACTTCTGACCCGTTGGGGTGCGGAGTTCCTAAGCATCAAGCTTCTCTGAATAACAAAGCAGACCATAGAGTTTTGTTTTCATATCCTCGTTGACTTGAAGGAAATTGGGAACCCTGTTCTTTAATATTAACCCTACTTTCATTCATCAGGTGTAGTTTTTCTCCACAAGAATGGATTGTGGAGGCAGCGTTCAAGTTGGAAACACTCTAGGATTTCTGCTTCGTTTTATTTGCTTCGATGTCGACCGTGGTGGAGCACACACATCGGGATGCACTGTATACTAGGCACCTGCATTGGAGGATGTCATATTGATATCACTGAATGGCAGCAGCAGGAACCCGGGACAGGCATGGATATTCCCCGAATTGAGACCGCTCTCCATTGAGGGCAACATTCGTCCTTAAACTCCTTTATTCCCCCAAGAGTCCCTCGTTCAGGTTTATACACCAAGACCTCCCCTCACATTACATAGGATAAAGATATAAAACAATGATACATCACTACGGTGTATTGTATCGATCTCTCGGCTTTACACAAGGCTCTCGAATAAACCACAGCTACTGACAAGACCATAGACCACCATGGTAACCCGAGAGAAAGTATAAAAGTATAATTAGTTGGAGTGCGACTCGCTGGGGTGTTCAACGTCGATTATCCAATTCAACCATTGCATCAGAGCGTAATAGGGTATAGACTTTATCGCTATGGTTTTCTCGTATTGCGGAGCATGAGGACATTCTCCGCTTCTAATATGCCTCAAGAGGCCTTCAACCGAATAGACGCGGAACATTGCACGCCTTTCCTCGTCCTTTATGAGCCCCAGTTCACTAGCTTGAGAATAGGGAATGGGTTTTCCTTCATCCTCAAAACGCCGAACGGCCCATCCACAAGCCATACAGCGTCTGCCCAATTCGAGTTTTCCAGAATCGGGATCCAGGAAGGGAAGCTGCACAGAAGCCAGCCACATCCAGTCGTAATTTGGCGATAAAGGGCTGGAACTGTGTTTGTGCGAGAAGTTCAGAATGATAGAGAGGCAGGCACATGTCCACTTTGATTGTGAAAAAGGGGGAGCGCCGTCCATAAGCTGCTGATACGCAAGGTCAATCCCGTCGACTTCGGTTTCGGTTCTGATAGATGTGATATCCGCCTTTCGCCTCATACAGCTTCTGCAGCAACGTTGGATGTCTGGGATCAAGACTGAAGTGCTTAAGTCGCCGCAGGTGAAGCAGTATGGGTTTCGCAAAAGGTCGAATATCCTTTTAACGGGGAGAGTGCCATAGAGGCCGCAGTGCTTTAACTCGTAGAGCGTGGTTTGGCACTCTTCTGCAATGCGCTTGTAGAATGTGAGGGCCTTAACGTATGCTTCAAACTTTGAATTTGTGGCAGAGAGTCTAGTCATAGACTTGCAGTCTAGGTTGAAGAGGACCATGTCCACAAGCTCAAAGGGGAAGACGTCGAGGAAGCTGGATGTAGCCTGGGGCCGACTAGGACAGAAAGGCCTAGGTTGGAGGGAAACAGATGGCACGTTCAAGCCATCAATAGGCATTGGCAGCCCGAACCTCTCAATAAGAACATTGTCAGTTGGCGATGACTGAGGGTATTCATTACTTTCTGTGTGTTTCTCCCCCATATTTTCTGTGGAAAAGCCAAAAAGACCACCAAAAGAGAAATAGTTCACAAGAGTGTGAGTGGATGGAGTAAATAAAGCTCTGGAGGTGATGTGCACAAGGACATTAGATTGAGAATCATGCCGTGGTAGGTGAGCAGCCTGAATTTGTAGGAACAAGGGAGATTCCGTTCTGTCATATTAGTATTTGAAAATTGAATGGCAATCAGCCATGCAGCCGGAGCCGGAACTCTCACTTGAAGCCATGCCAGTTAATCCGTCTGTAGCAGTACAGAGTACCAGGATACAGGTCAACTCACTGTGAGCTGAGCTCATCAAACCATATGACTAAGCAAAGTTATCTGACAAAATGAAATTATAGGTATTTACATGTAATATTATTGGTTGGCAACCAGTAAATACGCGGAGAAAATAAGGATATTAGGAATGGAGAAATAAATTTCAAATGTCACTTTGTAAGTTTGGTTTTGAAACTTATATTTTGCTACAGAGTACAGCTGGTTGGAGTCAACTTTGCATAGTCACCCGGTCGGATGGGCTCAGCTCACTGGGTTAATCTGTACGCACCGATGAGCTCATCTCGCGGTAAAATATTCTAACTATATGGAGTACAGAGTACATTCTCTGTAGGGTAGACTGGGCAAGCATCTTCTTAGTCTTCTTGTTTTTTCATCATCCCCGCAACAAACATTTTCCATCACTGTCTCATCGCCACAGCCTGGAACAACCGCCAGCATCACTAACCACACACACATCTGGGCCAGGCTCTGAGGGAAACAGGAAGAAGGTAAACGCCAATTTGCATTTAATGCTTGCATATTATAGTGAATAACCTGGGTCTCTGTTAATATCTCATTTAGGGTTATCTTGTCATTGTTACTTGTAATTCGCGGTTTTAGGGATTTACTGACTACATTTCTTGCTGGGAGCAATCTACCATGCACCAAGAGTAGAGAGATGGCCTATCTTACAGATGACAGAGCATCAGGGCCTGAATGGGCCCTTTTTCTGGAACAATGCATATCCCACAGGATCATCTCTACCGAATTCCGGGACTTTTCAGTAATCATGATGCGCCGACATCCCATCTCGGAAAAGGCGCTGATTCGAATTGTCCTGGAAGCGAGATCCGCCACAGGCCTCATGTGGGATCCGCTGATACCGCTGTACGTTGAGGTATTGCAAAAACTGGGCTACGTTAGTCTGCCTGAGATACTAAAGACACTCTTGTTATTTTCAACGATATATGATGATTCACATCCGGTATCAAAGGCAGGGCCTAACCGAAAGGGCGTGAAAAGAAAGAAAAAAACGTCAACTTTGATGACGGATAACAAGATAATACAGAATGTCATGGCTACCATCACTATGGGTCAGGGACCTAAAGCAACGCGGGGCGCGACCGATGTCCTTTGTGCCGTTGCCGATTGGATCTCTACCCTGCTTGCTTGGAGCCCGTCGTGTGAGGGTCCGGAAAGCGACCAACCTGGAGATATACTGGGCCATCAGGATGGAGCGTGTATTTTCGGAAGCCTTGGCCTTTTGCTGGTTGCTTTAGTAGGCACTGAAAAGGGCGTGAGTGCCCTATCTTCTTTGTCCAAAAAAGGTAGGCTTTGGAACATTCTTCAAGACCAATCCTCTCTCCCTGCTGACCATAAATGAAGACCGGAAGCGTCTTGGACAGGCTCTTTCGTCATACACACCTATCTGTGCCAGTTACTCTCTTCCGCTAAGAAACAGGTTGGATTCTATTCAGAAAGACTTCAACATTTATCCGAGCGACAGCAGCAAAGGACTGGAAGAGTCGATGATGGGCGACGTTAATGTTGCAGCATTGCAGTTCGAATCCAACGTCGTGGACATTCCTACGACAAGTTCAAGAGCCGGGCTCTATATTTACATTAATGCTTTGGTATGCCCCGACATCTCTTCGGACCCGAGTAATTGTTGATCCAGTATAGCTTGCCGGACGCCCATTGATCGATGACAGCATGTTTCTTAACTACCTAAACAACCGCTACGGGGTAAGCATTTTTGACGGGAAATCTTCTGAGCACCAATTGATATATTTTTCTTTTTTTTTTTGATCCAGGGTGACCACATCTCAATGGTCGAAGAGCTAATTACCGCTGCGTTTGATGTCTTATCGAATGGAATGTATCGAAATGAATCCAGCAAGACGATGTTTCTTTTCAGAGCATTTCTGGTCAACAAACTGCCGCCGTTCCTTGCTTATATGTCTGCCTCATCCATGTCACAAATCCCTATGGAGGTTTGCATCACCCGTGCTTTGAGCCGCGTGGATCCGAATACATTTCCATCTTTCTCTGAAACCTTTTCTATGCAAGGAAATTCAGTGCTTTCGGACGTCAGGCAGGAGTTCCTATTCTCTTGCGCCTTGCATAAGTTGATTCCCGAATCGAGCATCGAGCGTCTACTGGGAGAGAATCCCATGCAAACCCTTCCAGTCGGCGGCCAATTCATGAAGGACACTTTGATCGCCCAGATAAACAACAATCCTGAGCGAGCGGAGCAACTTTTGAATGGAATTGAATCCATGGAAGGAAATGCCGGAGCAATAGTTGACGCTATAATTGAGGTCATGCATAACTTATGCTCGAGGAAGGAGACAATGACCTTGAAAAGTATCTGTAACTCTCTGTCACGGCGGCCACAAACTTTAGATATTATTCTCTTGTTCAAAAGCCCGTCCTTTATTCTACAGCCTCTCTGTTCATTACTGGATGCGTGGAAGTGGGACGAAGACCAAGGTAAGGATTAACCTCCATTTGAATTCCCTAATACTTTTCTCTAACATCGCCATAACAGGCGAGAGTCAGCTAGTGTATGATGAATTCGGCAGTATCTTACTCCTGGTACTTGCGTTCAAATACAAATATGCCTTGACTCCGCTAGATTTGGGAATAAATAAACCTGACTCGTTTATATTGCGGCTTCTTGACACTGGTGCTTCGAGTCAGCAACTTAAAGATCTAACCGAAAAGCAAAATCAAAATCTAGGGGCATGGATCACTGCGTTATTTGTCGCCGAAGGGATTAGTGATGAGTCGATGTCCTCATGCAGTCCACAAGAGTTCTATCTCCTGGTTGCAACTTTGTTCAGCCAAAGCTTAACGGCTTGTGAAGCTGGGAAAATGGAATTCGAAACACTCAAGGGAGGATTTGAGTGTGAGTTGATCTCTCAGCAGGAACTGAGAAACGGCAAATCTGTACTAATTCGGGATAGATCTTCTCGAACCTTTCCTGCTTCCGGCGTTGGTGATGGCGCTCACTTGGCTTGGAAACCATATATGGGAGTCCGAAAGCGATTTGGAAACGTCACTCAAGATCCTCTATGGCCTTGTAAAGCCCGCTTCTATATCTGGAGAAGCACAAGAAATCCACCGGACTGTGTTGTGCATCGCTTCGCGAACACTGGAAGCTACACTAAAAGATACCCGGGCCCGCCACCCATCTCGAACGGATATCAGCCCGATCCTAGACGTCCTCGAACAATATCACTCATTTAGACGAACTGGCGCCACCAATCAAACTGAACTAGATAGTTGGAGAGCCAACCCTGCTGGTGGAGGCTTAGTGACCAGTATTCGCAACACATTTTCGTCACTTGTTTTATGGAGCACAGACCCAGAGATAAGCATGACTCCTCCAAGTTACACTCATCGTCAAATGCTAGCCGGGATAGGACACGTTGGTTCTGAAAGAGTGCTCCAGGGACTAATTGACGAGCTTAAATTACAAACGGAAACCGGAAGTGGTAACTTAGCTTTCGACATTGCGGCAACACTTATCTGTGCTCCAATGGCCGAGTCATTCACATTAGAGCAGATATTATACCGACACATGGATCAAGATAAATATCCTCTTCCTGGATGTAGGATGCTGACACTTCGTGATGCCCTTGGTATACAGCGAGAATCTTTGTCAAAATTAATTGAGGCGGATCCACACCGTGCAGAGCTAATAATCCGGCTTCATCGTCGAGTAGAGGCACTTTGTTCCATCCCGGAAATAGCACCGGGGGACGTGGATGTCGGTAATATCATGGACAGTATCCACCTCGAAGCAGTTGGTGGCGATGATGAACAGCGTGAACAACACCAGCAACAGCAGCCAGATGCAGACCAATCCAATCAAGGAGTCGTCGCCCCCACTGGAAATACACCCGGAAATCTCGATGCTATGCTTGATGCCGCCGCTTCAGCTGTTGTGGCAGATCCGAACGGTACTGCTGGAGCAGAGGCAGCTGCAGGAGCAGGGCTACTTGGAAATGGAGTTGGTGGGGATGCTGGTGTCGGGATAGGGACGGGTATGAATGACGTTTTCTCCTTGATGGACATGGGAAATCCGGAGTTTATCGATTTAGATATGGAAGATATGCTTTGAACTAGATGTACGATATCATTTGAATTTACGGGTGATGGTTTTGCAGGAGCATAAGGTTGAATTCGGGTCGGGAAAGCTATGGTGACATATATGAGGATGTTGGTCTGGTTAACCGGCCTCAAAGCGCCGCCCTAGATTGTATGGGTATTGGAATGCATTTCGACGCTTCATTTCGCGAGAACGTTAAAGGTCTACATATCGATCATCCTCTTTCACGCCATCTATTACACTCTATATTCATCCTAAAAAATCGGGTACCAGAACGATTGAACCCCGGAACTAAAATATACAATAAATCGTTTCTCGAGTGTTCCATAGTATGCCTCATCCTTCTCTCCATTGCCAGGAACACTCGTATTATCTACCTAGTCTTCTCTGACCACAGTCGCACCGTCCTCTGCTGGCTCCAACACCTTCCATTGACATGTAATCCCGTTCTCCTTAAACACGCCCAGGATCCTGTTTGCGATCTCCGTGAAGTTTTCCGTGGCTAGTGCAAGAATCGTGGGTCCCGCTCCTGAGAGACAGATCCCTAGCAGGCCAGGTTGGGTGCTGGGATTCATAGATTGTAAGATTTCCGTGAGCCCTGGAACTAGATGTTTGCGGTAGGGTTGGTGGACTTTGTCTTGCATAGCGAGGTAGATCATATCCGGGTCGAGGGGCTCTTGGCTGAGAGCGGATGGAAGGAGAGTGGCGCGCTGGAGGTTATAGATCTAGAATAAGGCAAAGACGGGTTAGATAGCTAACGGGCTGGAAACAGGAGATTGGACTTGTTGCATAGGCCAGGGATGACATACCACATCGGCTCTGGAGTATGTTTCTGGCAAGACTTCTCTAGCCTTTGCGGTAGGAAGCTCGAAATCGGGAATGATCGCAATGGCTTTGATTTGCGTTGCCCATGGAAATTTCTTATAATGGCCTATTCCGACGGGCGGTTCTGGCGGTTTGATGCCCGTATCTATTCCTCCCGCTGGCGCCGGGAGGACTTCACTAAGCGGGATCTCTTTCCAGGCCAGATCTTCAGGTTTTAGTTCGCGGAGGTACGTGCCCACGAAACCTCCGTAGAGAGCTGCGGCGACGTTATCGGGATGGCGTTCTATCAGTCAATATCGGAATTAGCATACTATGAAACCTTTTTTTTCTTTTCCATCATTCCAACACCCGTCATAAAGGATCAGTCTCCCATTGAGCCGGCGAATTGAAAGGCCTGCAAGCCTACCTATCATCAAACAATAATCCAGCATTCTCGCCTTATCCAGACCAAGTTTTCCGACCTCATTTCCCAGCACTACCCCAGCGGTCACCGCTGCGCCGCTTGATCCTAGCCCTCGACCTAGCGGAATCGGGTTTTTGATATGAACATGCGTCTGGATAGGGAAGCCATGGCTATTATGGCACCGGAGAACATATAATGCAACACGGGTGATTAGGTTAACTTCAGGGTCAAGGCTGACTTCGTCCGCGCCTTCGCCTTCATATGTGATGGCGCAGTTTAATTTGGGTTTGTCAGAGGAGGGGTTGGTAGTGGTGCTGACGTGAAGTTCAAGATAGATTGATAGCGCAAGGCCTAGGCTTGGTTATTAGCAGCATACTCCCTGTCAAATCTTTCCATGCAACTGAAAGCGCTCGGGGGTAAATGGATGTCTGGGGGTGGTTTACCGATTACATCAAAACCGGGGCCGATGTTGGCCGAAGAGCAGGGGACTTTGATTGTGAACGCCATCACGGAGTCAATTGCTTTAATTTTAATTGAAACGGACAAGTATAGATCCTCCCCTCAAGATATAGGGAGACTAGCGTAGGAAGAAGTTGAAAAAAAGGGAAAATATACAAATATACATTTGAGCGCCCGGTTCCCTTCACTGCCAGCGTTCGATGACTCGCTGCTCACAGAAAAATAAATCTCGCAACCTGATTGGCCAATCAACCCCGGAAAATTGTAATTTTTAAGCTCTTCACGTGATTGATGAGCCCTTATCTTATCTAACTATATTTTCAGCCCTAATTTCCGCTTTCGTCGAATATCCTTATGTAAGCCCCCAGATCGCCAACCGCAGCGTCGAGCCGAAGAGAATTGATGCATTTGATGATCCTTGACTTTCTATTCATTATTGAGCCAGCCGGTTCCCTGTTCGATCAACAACAGTTAATAGTTGAACCAAGAGAACACCGGACAATCATGGCATACCTTTCCCAGCGTCAGCTGTCCTCTGTTGAGCTCTCGCGCTTGCTGCTCCCCTAGCCACTCTGGTTCAAGTCGATTAATACCCTCCTCAATATCAAACCCTTTTCCCCCAGCTACAAAGACCGCTTTGCCGTGGAGCTCCGGGTCTGCAGCCACGTGTTGAATTAAACGTGCAACGTCCGCAGGGGTGTTGAACGGTAGGTTATTATTCCTCCAAGAATCGCTTAGACCTTTGAAGATCTGGGTGTCCGTCGCCCAGGGGCAAATCGCATTCACTCGGACATTAAATTCCGAGACACTCGTCATACGAAGGGAGCGCATCAGGCCAATGATGCCGTGCTTGCTGGCAGAGTAGGCGATCACCCCCGGAGTCTCTTTGAATCCCGCTACGGAGGATATGAAAGTCAGAGACTTGGAACTTTCCGGGGTGATTGCGGCGTCCTCTTTCAAATACGCAAGCGCTATGCGGGAGAAGTAAAGACAGCCGATAAGATTAACGTCGAGGACATTGATCAGCTGTTGGGGAACCTGTGTACAAAAAAAGGCGTGAGATGCCGAGGAAAAAAGGTTCGACAAGGAGCAGACGTGTTCCCCAAGCTTACCTTCCTCACGCTTTTCAAATCCAACTCCTTAACATCCAGCCATCCTCTTGGGTCCGTAATCCCTGCGCAATAAATGGCCATATCTATTCTTCCATGTTTGTCAAACGCAGCGTCAAACAGCGCCAACTGCGCTTCGTAGTCGGTAACGTTCGCCTTCATAAACGTTGACGAACCGCTTCCCGACTGCGCACCGGATCTCAATGACCTATCAAGCTCGGTACCATGCTTTTCGTCCCAGTCACAGTAGTAAACATGAGCGCCAGCGTGGAAAAGGTTGGTGACAGTCGCGGCACCAATGCCATTTCCGCCGCCTGGTAAAGAAGATGAGCGTCAGATGCGTAAGTATCTTCGTAGGGAGTAGCCACTCCAAGGACCCACCGGTAAGTACGACAACTTTATCCTTGACCGTCGCAAGTATTTCGTTATTGATGCGGATTTCTGCCATTTTGGTTCTCGATCAACCGGGATAACCAAAAGGATATTTCGGCTCCTTCCAGCATCGGGTATGGACATTGAGTGCCATTATGAGCTGCTCCATAACAACAACTTTGTCTTAGCACTCGGGCGAATGAACCTGAATGAACTATGTTGCTTGTCCCCATCGTCCCCGGAGTCGAGGAACGGAAACAATCCCCCCGGAGTGTGGGGAAGCTTGTGGCTATATATTTCTCCTGCGGGGAAATCGAACTCTAAAAACGGTGCTTCGCCTAGATTAAATGCCATTCTCGCGGGGTGTTGAAGATTACTGGGTTCCCTGGCAAGGCAAAAAAGCGTCCATCCTGTATGTGTGATGTGTGATCCAGAGATCAATCAGTCGGAAGTGCGATGTCAAATCTACAGTAAGCCACCAGGGTGCGTAGGAGTAGGTAGTTAGCTGAGGCATGTATGTACAGACGCATCAGATTAGCCCGTAAACGGCAAATGAAATAGTAATTAGAACCCGTATCAATGTATCGCGCATATGCACCCAATAAACATTAACCAATAGCCCCAGATCCCAGGAATCCACCAAAACCATCCAGTATAAGAAAACAGGGAATCACCATCATATCATATCAAAGAATCAGTTGGATTTGTCTTGTCCCTTACCGTCCCCACCTTCAATCTTGTCCGAGTCGTCCTTGGCGTCTTCTTCCTGGTCATGTTCACTATCCTCGGAGCCGGGTATCTCTCCCCATCCCGAGCTCCGACGGCTGATTCTACCGGGGCCATTTGGAAGATAAGAGTTCGCTGTAATGCCACTTATACTGCCGGTGGCACTATCGTTTCGCGCATGATGGGACTGCAGTCCACTACGTATACTGCTCCTATCCGCGATCCCAACGCCCGAGGCCGAGTAGACGCTAGCGCGTTCGCCGCTTGCCATTCCGCCTCGACCCAGTGTGCCAGTTGCTAGCTCCCCTCCGCCGCCTTGTGTGGCGTTGATACTTCCCATATTCCCGCTGAGAACACTGAGAGGCAAGCTCTCGCGACTACCACTGAAGATAGATGACGGTGCAAGGGCACGGACTGATGCGTTCGTGTCTAGAGAGTTTCGGCGGCGGCGCTTGGACGAAGACGCGAGTGTGAGCACGGAGGCGTTGTCCGTAAGAAGATTGTTTGCGGTGGCAGTCATGTACGTTGTCGGATGCGGGGTGACATGGGGCGGGATGGCGGATACAGGCGTCGTTGGGAATTGATGCGTAAATTGAACGGTCTGCTGGCTCCCTCCATGGCCTGTAGGATGGGCAACACCGGTGATGTAGTGATTTGGAGCGCCCGATTGTACCGTTGTGAGCGTAGTGGTGAGAGATCGCACGGATGGAGCAGGCGATGAGAAAGTGCTCCCCTCTCCGCCACCGCGGCAACTTCTGCCTCCTCCAACGGTCGCTGAGGTTCCCGCCTTCGAATAAATTTCTGACATCACGGTATCACCGTTCGTGGATAGCGTTGGCGCGGCAGATTTCCGGCCAGCCACAGGAGATGGATTATCATTGCCTTCGATATAAGACTCCGAACGGGAGAATTCGCTTCTATGCAAGCTATTTGCCGGTTCCGTGAACGAGAGATGTCTGTTAGCACGCTCTACGCCTGGCGAGTAGACGGTTCCCGATAAGGGATAGGGATTATTTCTAGCGGATTTTTTGCTCTTCGTTGTCGCCGTGCTGTTCCGATGCTTGTGGCTTGAAGAGTTGGCAGGTGAGTCTGAAGAGGATGAGCTTTTGAGGTTTGCGAGGCGCTTCATCCAGTTTGCGAACGGGCGGCGGCGGCCATGACGGTCTAGCAAATAGGGTTAGCATCCTCTGGGTTCCCCCCCAATCTGAAGCGGCATCGTCCACAAGGCTGGACACACCGTGAGGTCTTGAGGGCGCCTCCGTAGTCGCCATTTTGGTCATCGAATTTCACTCTTTGAGCGGTAACTGTCTAGGAAATGCAAAGCGGAAGAAAGACAACTGAAAGGACAGACCCACGGCGGGTTGGTCTTCGGTGCAGGGATAACGGCCGCGTTTCAGCCAAAGACAAGGTCATAAATTAAATGTCGGCCTGATCCCAGACCAAACCGATGCTGAGCGCTAGTTAGTGCCGCCGGGCCGTCTTGAAACTGTGGAGAGGCGGGAGGCCGCGTCGAGCAATCAGCAGCAGATTCTCTGAGGTTTTCCTCCGTCAAATTTAGTCCCGTCTTGCAGCAGCAGCAACCACAGACGTCCGCTCGGCTCACAAGGACGGGACAGCCACGCCAGCACACCCTTTTGCACGGCGGATCGATGGTGACGACGATGATGTCGATGCGCACGCCCGGCGGCCCAATCGGCCCCGCTTACGTAACCGCCCAGGGCCAGGCCAGGTCTTTCTCGACTCGCCAGGCAGCGGAGATCAGCAACTCGCTGCGATCATCCGCGCTGGCGTCGACGGTTGACCGCGAGCTTGTCCGGGCGTGAGGTCTTCATTCGCTAGAGAGAAAGTGACCATCTTCCTGTGTGGCTTGACACATTCACTGTTCCCGCCGTTGCCGGCCCCGGAGCCTGGAGACCCCGGGAATAAACGCGGTTTGGAGCTGGTTCCCCCTTCAGCATTCCCGTCAAAGAGCTTGGGATCGTATTGGTGGCCGAGAGTCAGGGCAGAATGAGATGAGAAAAGCAATGCTGCCTGGATGGAATGGTTCGCCACTACTTGCGAGACCCGAGAGACTGTCTGTTGTACTTGAGGGTGCCCCGGCCTCCAGGGCAATCCAGCCCAATTACAAGGCTGAATGCGGGCGCCGTCTCAATTGCATTTAGATAGCTCGATCCGATGGACCACCAAGTAAAACCCTAGCGACTCGATAGCACCTGAGCTCTTGACGGTCACGGCATCACAATGGCGTCTCGGACTCCCTCTATTCTCCCCCTGCCCCCCAAGGTGGCGGCCCAGATTGAGTCGTCCACTTCCATCACCAGCTTAAATAGCGCTATCTTGGGATTAGTCAAGAATTCACTGGACGCGGATGCTCAGACAGTAGCCATAACTGTGGACTTCCAAAAAGGCGGCTGCGCGGTCGAAGACGACGGGGAGGGCATCCCGGCCTCTGAGTTCGAGGAAGGAGGAGGTCTCGGCAAGCTCCATCGTATGTAATCCTTGACATCTCGAGCTACGATCCGAAGCTGACCCTTGGTGCCTGTGTATGCGAGCAGATACGTCAAAACTTAATTCTTTACGAGAGGTATACGGTTGCAAGGGTGTTTTCCTTCCGTCGCTGGCGTCGCTTGCATTGCTCACGGTCACCTCTCGTCATGGTCCCGATTCCTCGACAAACTCCGTGACATATCACCACTCAACGACGATCTCTAGGCTTTGTCCAGCTCCGCCACATCATGAGTTCGCTTCTGAACACGGTACCAAGGTCACGGTGACTAATCTGTTCGGGAACCTCCCTGTTCGGGTGAAACATCGCGCCCTGACGCTCCAAAAAGACGAAGAGATCGATAGGGAGTGGGACGACCTGAAGAGGCTATTGACCGGATTGCTGATCGCGTCTACCAAAATGCCAAAGGTCATCCTTGAAGACGTCGCAAGGTCTAGAAAGCTGATCCTTCGGGGCCGAAAGGAAAGGCCGGGAAATTTGAGACAGCCAACAAGTTACCCCGGTGACTCCGCTATTGATCTTGCTCAGATACGCTCCGTCCTCTCTCAAGCCGGCTATATTACCTCCACAGATCCCGCGTCTTGGGTTACGGCGTCAGCTCGAGCTTCGGGTATCTTCGTTCAGTCCGCCATATCTCTTACACCGAGTCCTACCAAGCAGGCGCAGTTCATATCGTTTGGGATTAACCCACTAAATCAACAATTTAATGCGAACGTTCTGTATGATGAGGTCAATCGACTATTTGCAGCTTCTAGCTTTGGCTCAGAGGACAGCAGTACGCCAGAGATTGCTGAGGAGCTTCGGGGGCTGAATCTGAAAGACAGTCAACGTGGAAGGGATACACCGGTTGAGAAAAGGCATAAAGCGCGGGCAAAAGGCGTAAATAGGTGGCCAGTGTTTTACATCCGAATAAATCTAACGGGACAGGACACCTTGACTGGCGAGCAAAACGGGCCATTATCTTCCGAAAAATCTCTTGAAGGGATCCTCAACGTCCTTGTTGCGATGATTCGACGGTTTCTCGAACAATATCATTTTTCGCGACCGCGGAATCTCAGAGGTGAGAAGAGAACACGGGACTTATCTGCCTTGGCCACCGTAGAAGAGAAGCTCGGTAAAAGGCCCAGGAGCTGTGCTGTTATCCCTTCTTCTTCTTGTTCTGTCGTCGCCGAGCCTATTCCATCCGTTCACGAGGAGTTTTTGAATTCTCGAGTTAAATTACCAAACTATGCTGGTAGCTCTACAGCTTCTCCAGGTTACCCCAAAGGTGATTTTACAAATTGGACTAGAGTTAAGGTTGGAAGCAACAAAAATGTTCAAGAACAAATACGCTCCGAACTGGCACAGGAAAGGAGAATACCGACTGAGACCCTAAACCGAAGACCCGAAAACGAAGTACAAGAGGGCCTTCGTCCCTTGTCCTCTTTGTCGGCTCCGGTATCCATGCAGTCTCGACCCTCCAGCAGATCACCAACTTGTGCCACTCCAAAGATACAATCAGAGGAACAGGCCCCGTTCTCTATAGATGGAGAGGCTGATAGCCTTCAACAAGGTCCTAGAGACAATATCATTCAATGGACGGACCCTTTAACTAAAGAGGCCCTGAATATCAACGAGCGCACCGGCCAAACACTGCCTACAAACGGAAGCAAGCGTATTCCGTTTCGTTCCATAAGCCTGTCCTCCCGGCAGCCTAGAACATATCGCGCGGACGGATCGCGCCCTTCTTCGCCAACGCCGTGGATTGACTGTGTCCTTCAAAAATGGAAAAATCCTGTTTTTGGTCCGTTCGAACGCCCAATACCATCAATAAGGCCTGCTACCCCAAACCAATTAGAGCAAGAAAATACGGGGCTTTCCAGGGTATTACCTATCGCTGCAGATTTCGAAAATGCGTGTTCCTCATCATTCACTGGTCGATTAACAAAATCCGGTCTTACAAATGCACAAATCGTGGCCCAGGTGGATAATAAGTTCATATTGCTGAGGATGATCGAATCGCTGGGCGACAAATCAGGTTTCCAGCGGATCTTGGTCCTAGTCGACCAACACGCGGCAGACGAACGGATTCGCGTGGAGCGGCTATTTGACGAATTATGCGGTTCGTCACCTTCTCATACAGTGGATACTACTCCCCTCCCAGAGCCGATCCTGTTCAAAGTATCGTCTGAGGAGGCACGATTATTTGAATCCCGAACAGATTATTTCGCCTCTTGGGGCTGTAGCTACTCCACATCCAGGGACAAATCATTCCCGCACGCAACAGTGGAGGTAACCACTCTTCCGACGCTCATTTTCGAAAGATGCAGAGCAGAGCCGAAACTAGCCATTGATCTGCTTCGATCCGAAATTTGGGCACGCAAGGATGATAAAACGACTTCAAAGCCGAAAGTCGCCTCGGCCGCGTCCGCGTCCGCTGAAGAGGTGGGTGGCGGAGAGACTACATCAGCTCCGCACTGGCCTCACTCCATCTCCCACTGCCCCCGAGGTATCATTGACCTGCTAAACTCCCGCGCGTGCCGCTCGGCCATAATGTTCAATGACAAGCTGAGCAAGAAGGAATGCAAAGAATTAATATCCACACTGGCGAAATGCGTGTTTCCGTTCCACTGCGCGCACGGTAGGCCGAGTATGGTGCCAACCATGAGTTTGGGATATGTGGACGGTGACCATGCGGGGAGTGATGGAAATGACGGTGTAACATTTGGCGGTTTCGGATGCGATCCCAGAAAGGAGGAAGTTGGGTTTGCAAAGGCTTTTGGGGATTGGGAGAAGGTTTTGACACAGTGACTCGGTTTTTTTTCTTAGATGATTTCGTGTGTTTTGTATTAGTTAGCTTTGGAATTTGGGCCATTTGGCTGCTGGTTGTGGTAGCGTGTCGTCCTGTATGTATATTATACCCAGGAGGAAGCATATAATCATATTTCGAGTCCACGACAAGTTGTACCACCGTATGCTAAAGAGAGTTACAAGGCCGTATAGGTGAAGATAGAACGGCAGTTCCTTTAAGTCATTGCAACTAAAACCTAATACTATCCTGATGTTGTGGATGTTCGAGTCCGTTCCAGAGCCGAAACAATTAACCATTCCAAACCTTGCGAACTGGCGGATATTCATAGTGGCTAACTCAGGATTTCTCTCCCTGAACATATTTTAGGCCAATGTCGTCTTCGATTTCCATTAAACCCCTACCGTTTTTTTTTTTTTTTTTTTTTTTTTTTTTTTTTTTTTGTGGGGGGGGGGAAGAAGGGGGGCTACCTTTGAATTCTGAGAAGCCTACTCAAGCTGAGTTCTTTTCTCCAGGGTTGAACGAAAGGCGCAACCTGGGGCTAAATAGGAAACCGGAGAAGCAACAGAAAGAGCAAAAGCAGCATTCAGGGAGCTTTTGTAGGGAAATAAAGACCGTAGAGGATTAAAGGGGAAAAAAGAAAAGTCTAACGTGTAACGAAAGCGAGAGACTCATAAAGTCTGCAAACAAGCCAAGAAGGAAGAGAGAGAGAGAGAGAGAGAGAGCTCTCAACAAGTTCAACAGCATCATTTACGTTGTATGAAAGGCTAACTCTACGGAGTACATAACAAGGTATAGTAGTGCCTGGGTTCTGCTCCGCGCGATTATCTATTAACTAGTTTTTTTTCCCTTTGTCAAGGTTTTTCATGTGATCAAGAACCGCAGGGGTGCGGCTCGACTCGGTTTCTAGAAAAGGCATTCTAGAGGTGTTATATAAGTAAATCGTCGAAGACTGTAGGGATCAGGCGGGCAAGGCAGGGTGCGGAGACACCGCCAGGGATTATAGAAGCAAGGCTTAGAGGAGGGAGGCCAATAGGATGAATTCCCCCAGCTCCATAAACTTGAGAGAGAACTTGGCCGTCTTTCTTTCATACACATACGAAGCCGGTGTTCGATCTGCACCGGGGGGGGCCTCTGCAGAGGTTTTGCCTATCGGACATGTTACCGACTCATGCAGGAGGTCCATGGGTTCGATGGTGTTATAGATTTGGGTTGGGCCAGAGTCCCCAAGTCCTAGCTTGTGATCGGGTGTACCTTTAAATTTGGGTTGGAGGATATGCTTAAAATCCAAGCTCCAGGTCACTGGGATGATTAGTTCGTTTGTACCATGTGTATGTTAATAACAGGGGAGGGGGAGGGGGAGAGAACTTGATATCTGCCCAGGATGTCCCGCGGCATAAAAACAGAATATAGGGTGACTATGTATATCCCGGTTAGGAAATCTCATCATCCCAAATGTGAACATCCTTCATTGGGCAGCACATCCCGATACTGCACATAGTCATCGACGCAACCGCCTACGTTGGGGGGAGAGGTTGTTAATAACAACAGCTTTTTGATAGGCAGCAGAAAACCCGCACCCCCTCCCAGGCTACCATGGGAACAGCCGGATGAGATCTTCGGATTGTCAGGACGGTACGAGCAGCCTTGACCGGGTTACCTGCTAGACGGGAGAGAGTGGGCGAGGAAGGAAAAAGAAGGGAAAAAGAAAAAGCTTGTACGGAGTGTTATCGGCGATTAAGCTTTTTTTAAGCGGACGGGAAGTCGTCCCAAGCGGAAGAAAAAGGGGAGAAAAAAGACTTGGGCCTCCAGTCTCTTGTGGCCCGCGTCATATTTCTGCGTGGCGGGGGGCGGGGGCAACAAGGGAGATTTCGGAATGGGTCGTGTGTGTGTATTACAGCAGCACGTATAGGCGTTGTCAGATGGTAAATGCCGCGAGGCAGATGTAGTGCAGGCAAACAGACAAGTAAGATGGGCACTTTTTGGCATCACAGTATGATTGCTGGGAAATAAGCGGCAGGGGGGTATCTCCACGGAACAGACAGATATATTTTCTCAGGCCAAAGGAATAAAAATTGGGAGAAAAAAAAAAAAAAAAAAAGAAGAGGAGGTCGCATGGATATGGCTGCTCTACTTCGATAGAAGCAATGTTGCCATCCCTCTCTCTCTTCCACACTGCCACAGCTTCAGCATCGCATGCCGATCCGGGCACGATAATTGACGCGGTTGTCTCCGATCATCCCCGATCGGTATAGAGAAGAAATGAGAGGAAGGCAAAAAAGGTTCATCAAAGGCTCGGATGGCGTAGGGCCCACCCATGAGCGGGCAAGGCGACGCCGGGGACGAAGCCGGGTTACCGAGTGAGTGAGTGGGTGTAGTCGGTATGTGTGTTGTTTGACGGAGAGAAGCCGTTATCTCTCTCTCGACATAATAATGCGATTGAGTAAGTTAAGGTCGGCGGTAGGGCAGACAAGGGCCGGATAAGGTTCCGTGATCGGATCGCACTTTAGTCAATTGCATCTCGTCATCTTTTAAACTGTTAACTAACTGGTTGCTGGTCCGTGCGGCGATCTTGTCTCTCTCTCTCTCTCCCTATCTCTATCTAGCGCTGCCTCTCCAAACCGGCAACGCAATGAGAGATGGAGACGAAAGACGATGATGATGATGAAGACGAATATCTAGCTACGAGTAGAGATGGATCAAGGATTGATGCCTGTAGATCATTACTAGAGTATATATCAGATCTTAAGCAGGCCTGATATATGTAGACAACTTCACAAGAGATTTCAGACAGCCATTACGTCATGCACTCTTCCAGCACGGCACGCGACAGACAAGAAAACAACACGAGAAGAAGAGGGAGAAGAAGAAGAAGAAGTCAAAGGAAAAAAGAAAAGAAAAAAGAGGAAAAAAAGAAAAGAAAAAGAAAAAGTATTAAGAAACTCCATCCAACGGCCACACCATTTGAGACCTCCAAAACCGTTGTGTCACGTTGAATTGTATCTTTTAATTTCTGTCGAGCTTCAACCACCCCGTTTCTCGCTCTCCCTGTCTGCCGCCACCACCGGCACCCCCATCCCCGTCCCACTGCATGCCTTGATTCTTAATTCCTTTTTTTTTACTTTTTTTTTTTCTTTCTTTTTTTCCCTCTTCCTCCCCCACCCCACATAGGCTAAATTAAGCTTCCACCGGGACAGCTGGCCGCATAGATAGGCAATTCTGGTCCGCTCCGCTGATAAGGAAAACCAAAAAAGAACAAGAAAAGAAAATAAGAAAGCAAAGAAAGAAAAGGTGAGAAAAAGCAAACATGTAGACAAGAAGAGAGAGATCAGACAGACAGAGAGAAAAAAAAAAGAGAGAGAGAGAAAATAGAAGAGGGGGGGGGGGGAAAAGAAAATATCAAGGTTTCAAAACAGCCTCGAAAGAATATTCCGAGAAGCATGTGCCGTGAAGCTAAAACGCCCCCCCGGTAGCGACGCTGGCTGCGACACGGCAATCGGGAAAAAGAGGGAAGGCCAAGGGGGGGGAAAAAAAAAAAAATAAAGAAGAAGAAAGGAAAAAAGAAAAGATGAGGGGGTGGGGATGGGCCACGATAACCGTAAAATTGGATCTCGAGATCTAGTCTCTGTGTGTGTGTGTGTGTGTGTGCCTTTTTGAGGGTAAAATTCTACCTAGTTTTAGCTGCCTGACCTCGTAGTACATAATGAAATCCTCAAACAGAGAGATAGATAATCGATGGCCACCGGACTCGCTGGATACTTCTGCTTGACAAATAATTAAAGTACTCCTGCTCTCCTCTCCTTCTCTTCTTCTTCTTCTTCTTCTTCCTCTTCTTCTTCTTTCTTCTTCTCGTTGTTCTCTTCCTCTGTTCACTCCTTATTTTTTTTCTCATCTTAACTCAAATCCTTTCGTCCCAAAGGTCGGCGGGAAAGAAAAGAAGCCAACCCAGATCTGCACACGCACCAAAGCTTGTTTTTCCCCATCTCTGAGATCATCTCTCGTTCCCTGCCAGAAAGGTCCGGAGCTCCCTGGGAATAAATCTTTCTTTCCTCCTTACATTCTTCCCCAGTCTTTTTTGAGGCACACACAATCAATACACACGCCCGACGTATAACCTATACACGAACAAAATAGCAGACATGTCCCATCTTCCGATCGAGCCGGAGTTCGAGCAGGCCTACAAAGGTTTGTCTCCACACACTGTCTTGCTTCCTGTTTTTCTCTCCTGCTTCTAGTTCCTCCCTCTCAAACCGCCCACCATCAAATGCCAGACACCAATTGGGAGGGAGGAGAAGGCAGGAGGGGGAAAAAAAAAAAAGAGAAAAAGAAAAATGGCAAAAGCAAAAAGCGAAAAGCAAAAGCGATCAATACCCAACAGGCTGACCGTACCTCTGCGCAGAATTGGCCTTCTCCCTCGAAAACTCCACCTTGTTCGAAAAGCACCCAGAGTACCGCAAGGCCCTCCAGGTCGCTTCCATCCCCGAGCGTACCATCCAATTCCGCGTCACCTGGGAAAATGACAAGGGAGAGGTGAGAATCAGTCCTGCCAGCCGGAGAAATTCATCCGGTCATGTCTTATAGTCACGCAAGTCTCTAATCAATTTCCCCCTTTTTTTTTTTGGGAGGGTGGGAACAACAGCTCGAGGTCAATCGGGGCTACCGGGTTCAGTTCAACTCTGCGTTGGGTCCGTATAAGGGTGGTCTCCGCTTCCATCCCACCGTGAACATGTCCATCCTCAAATTCCTTGGTTTCGAGCAGATCTTTAAGAACGCACTCACCGGATGTATGTCAAGAATCCTTCATTTCATTTCATTTCCTTTCCCTAAAGAATCCTTTACTTCATTTCCTTTCCCTACCTCTCCTCCCCTCCCATCCACCCCTTCAACAAACACGCCATGGCCGGGGCTGACATTTGGTTGATCGCAGTGAACATGGGCGGTGGTAAAGGTGGCGCCGACTTTGACCCCAAGGGAAAGTCCGACAACGAGATCCGGAAATTCTGCAGTGCTTTCATGATGGAGCTGAGCAAGCACATTGGCGCCGACATCGACGTTCCGGCCGGTGATATCGGTGTCGGTGGCCGAGAGATCGGCTTCCTGTTCGGTGCCTACAAGAGACAGAGACACATCTGGGAGGGTGTCTTGACCGGAAAAGGTCTTAGCTGGGGTGGTTCCCTAATCCGCCCCGAGGCCACCGGTTATGGTCTCGTTTATGTGAGTTTTTCTTTCCCGCCCTTAGGACTCCCAATTAGCGCTTCGAGGGAGGGAAAAAAAAAAAAAAAAAAAAAAAAAAGAGAGAAAATGCAAACAGAGGATCAGATTGCTCATCAAAGGGACTAAATAGTATGTGCAACACATGATCGAATATGCCACCAACGGCCAGGAATCGTTCAAGGGAAAGCGTGTGGCCATCTCCGGCTCCGGAAACGTCGCGCAGTACGCCGCCCTCAAGGTCATCGAGTTCGGTGGAACCGTGATCTCTCTCTCAGACAGCAAGGGTGCTCTCGTCATCCGGAACGAAGGCGATTCCATCACTCCCCAAGAGATCTATGAGATCCAGCAACTCAAAGACCAGCGTAAGCAGCTTTCCGCCCTTGCCGACGCCCCGCACTTCAAGGACCGATGCGTGTACATCGAAGGAGCCCGGCCCTGGTTGCACGTCGGCCAAGTGGATGTGGCCCTCCCATGCGCCACCCAGAACGAAGTGTCTGGACCCGAAGCTCTGGGGCTGATCCAGAGCGGATGCAAGTACATCGCCGAAGGTTCCAACATGGGCTGCACGCTCGCCGCCATCGAGCACTTCGAAGCCCACCGCCAACTGCACAAGAAAGGCGGCGCCGTGTGGTACGCCCCCGGAAAGGCCGCCAATGCCGGTGGTGTCGCCGTCAGCGGTCTCGAGATGGCCCAGAACTCGCAGCGGCTAACCTGGACCGCCGAGGAAGTCGACCAGAAACTGAAGAACATCATGAAGGTGTGCTTCGAAACCGGTGTCAGGACCTCCGAAACCTACACCGCGCTGAGCGAGGGCCAGCTTCCATCCTTGGTCATCGGTAGCAATATTGCCGGTTTCATTAAGGTTGCTGAGGCGATGAGAGACCACGGAGACTGGTTCTAAGATCACAACGCGTCGTCTTTTTTTTTTTTTTTCCCCTCTCTCTTTTGGCTTTTTGGCCCCCCCTCAAACCATGCATCCTCCTTTGTTTAATATTCCCCCTTTTTCCGAGTCGCTTTTTATTGTGTTTGTTTTGTTTTGCGCTGCAATTTTTTTTTTTTTTTTTTTTTAATGAATGCCGTGATGTCCCTTCGTCTTCTGTCGGTCGGCTGCTGGGCGCCTGGTTCAAAAACCATTTCTTTTCGGAGGTATCAATATCTTTGTCGGGTTCTGTTTTCCTCCAACCCCCCGGTTCGGCGTTGGAAATACTCTCAATGCGGGAGACCAGGATCTTTGGGTGAATGGGTTTCCTATCACGTCATTTCTCTCCCTGTTTTTTTCTTTTTTTTTTCGTTTTCTTAGGTTCTGCTTTTCTTGTTCTGTTTGTAATTTTGGTTTTGGGCGGCATACATGATCTGATGCACTGGAAATGTCTTGGAAATGTATGTATCTTAGAGGGTCCTCTTCCTTTTTTTTTTTTTTTCCCCTTTTGCTAGATGTCTTTCCTGGTGTTCAGGAGAATAAATGAATGGTACATGATTTATAATAAAGATGATATAACTAGTTCGAACCATTGGAAGATTCCTGGATGTTTTGGTGATGATGTTTTTGAGGGCCGAAACGCGCGATGTCCCGATGGGGGTAAACGCCGATTACATGAGCATGCTGAGAAAGAAAAAAACGGGCATCATGGCATCGACCGCCTCAGCGAACGCACGCGGGGCACAACGGCGATTGATCGGTGATGGTGATGGGTGGTGGTGGTTGGTGGTCCTGGCGGTCGCCACCTGCAGGAAGGCAGATGAAAGGGGTGGGGGCCGGACAGCCTGCATGGAGTGCGCCCATTTTTTGACTTGAGTGTTTGGATTTGTCGACCAGGGGTCTTATTTCGGCTGTATCTGCATATGCTCTACTGGAAACAACGGGTGGATGAGCAAGTTTCTGGGCGTCATTTGTCAAACACGCCAACATCTTTTGACCGGGCATGCATACATGGCTGATCGCTGTTGGTCCCTGTGTGCCTGGAGAAAAATGGAGAGATTTGATTGATCTGAAGAAGACAAGATAAAGAGGGGCTTGATTGAATGCATAGATCTGTCGGTTTATATGCTTTGGATGGCTAATAATTGTTTTAGATTACCGRTTTTCTGGCAACTGAGGAACGTCAGGGCGAAAGGCGGGGGGGAGTGGGATGAGAAGGAGGTCGGGGTTTGTGCACACCCGGATCACGGCGCTTGGATAGCGGATCCTGTGGCATGGTGATGAGAGATTTAGGATGAGAGAGGGCTGGATGGAGGAAGTTGGAAGAAATCATTGAACTCTGCAAGCTCGTCTTGAAGGATTTTACCCTCAACTGACAAGTTTTTGAAAACGGGGGGTTTATATTTTACGTACTCTGTACATCAATTTTGAAAAAAAAAAAAAAAGACAATTATTATTATTATAATTATAATTTGAAAAAAGGAAACAGGAAAAAGAAGAAAAACGAAGCAGAAAAAAGAGAGATGAGATCATCAGTGAATTTTTTTTCCCCTTGGGACCTGGCGGCTCGATGCAACCCAAGTCAGGCACCGAATTGAAGGGTGGCCAACGGCAGCTGAAAAGAATGGGCCGACAAGCCAGTGAGAAAATAGTTAGTCAGGCTGACCGCCAATCAGCTTCGCGTCGTCGTCAGACTCTTTTCTTTTTTTTTTTTTTTGCGCTTTTTCTCTTTCTCGGACCCTTTTTGGTTATCGACGCGTTATCGGCGTCGCCACGTGGGGAATTGGAAGATGGATCGGGTTTGTTTTCCGCCTCGACTCTGCCACGGCGTCTGAAGAACCAGGAAACAGAGGATGGACGACAAGTTCTCTCCCCCCGGGAAACGGCGGAGTCCACAGCGGAGCCGAAGCTGAACGACGCGCCCGACGGTGGTTCCTTCAGCTCGGGTCTGGCCACAGACTCCCGAACAGGGCCTAGAATGCCCGAAAAACGACAACGCAGCGCGCCTCTTTTGAAGCTTCAAAGCAGAGGAGGAGCGTGCGAAGGTTTTCGGGAGTCGCTCGTCTGGCGGGCTTTGCGACACGAGCAGCCGGGCCGGAGGAAAGGGCGGCAACAGCCGACCATCTTTGGGCCTGGAAAATTAAAAAAAAAAAAAAATAAAAAAAAACTGGGAGCAGGCGTGAAAAGAATCTGCTCACTTCGCCAGTGTTTCGTTCGAGGGGCAGGAAGAAAAGCGCCCACCTGGCGGTCGATGACTCGCTGACTCTCTCTGGCTCTTCTGGTTCTTTTCTCGTTACTTGGGGCCCTGCGTTGTTCTTCCTTGCTTTTTCGTTTCAGGGTAAGCAGCGATCGGGGATTTAAAAAGCGGGTTTTTTTCTCTCTCCCTCTCCCTCGTTATTCCACCACTCAACAACTCGTATGTAGAGAGAGAGAGAGACAGCTGGCTGCTGGTTCGTCAGGCTCCGTCATCAGCTGCCCTCTTTGGCCTTTTCCCAGCTGGACTGCGCTCCCAAACAGGCCTAGTCAGGTCCCGAACCCGCCAATCATACCCCGCCACCCTGCACCCTTGCCCTGGATCGCGCCCCACTCTTGGCGCTGACGTCTTGCCACGCTAGCCCTGTTCGGGTGAAGTGGGGCCCCCAACCAAGTCAGGCACATTTTTTTTTTCTTTTTTTTTGCTTTTTGTCTTTTGGTGCTTGCGTCGCTGAGCCGCGCGCCGCCCCCTGAATGACCGATCGGGATCGCTGCTCTTCAGTCTTTACCGCCCTCCACCTCTCTTTTTTTTTTTTAAATTCTCCCCCCCGTCCACCCCCGTCATCTCCCTCCTCCTCCTCCTCCTCTCCTTTTCTTCTTCTTCTTCTTCTTCTTCACGACGACATTCTCTCTCTCACTCTCTCTCTGTGTCCGTCTTGACGACTGTCCAGTCCTTCCTTTTCGTCCTCCCGACTCTCGTCAGCGCCAGCCCTTCCCCCCCCAAATCTGCTCGCCTGGGACTTCACTCCTTTTGAGTCCACAGCCGGGTTTCATCTTCGCACATCTCAAAACACCAAACCCACCGTTCGTCACGGTTCGTTTTCTCTCTCTCTCTCGAGTAGCTCAGCAGCTGTCGAAACTTGGAAAACCAACATAAACCACAGTCGCAAATTCACTCCTTGATTGCGCTGTCAGATCCCAATTCGAAACAACCTTCCTTTCTGTCTTCTGAGAATCGCCTGGTTCGATTCAAAAATTTTGTGTTTCGTCGATTTTCTTTCTTTTTTTTTTGAAACAGTCGTTCTAGAGCAAGCTCTCTAGCAATCCAGTGGACGCCTTGCCAGAAACTTCATTTCGGACATCTTCAATCCCACCTTTCAGAGAGATTTTTCTTTTTGCAAAACATTTATCGAAATCTCGCCTGTGATCCACGATGGCTCCGAAATTCCTCAAGGCCCTTACCGCTGCTGCCGGCCTCTACGCCTCTCTCGCGGCCGCCGCTCCTCTCCAGAAGCGCGCGATCGTCTGGGAGACCGTCACCGACATTGTCGTCGAGACCGTCGAAGTCACACTGACCGTCACTGGAGTCCCCGGTGGTCCAAAGACAATCTCCCCACCAGAGCTCACCACCACCACGACTGAACAACCACCTCCAGTCCCGACGACCATGTACAAGGCTCCACCACCACCACAGTCACCGCCTGCTCCTACAACAACCGCCCAGGCTCCACCACCGCCGCCGCCACCACCACCACCACCACCACCACCACCTGCTCCCACGACAACCCAAGCTCCTCAGTATCCTCCTCCGCCTCCTCCACCTCCTCCACCAGCTCCAACAACATCCAAAGCTGCTCCCCCTCCCCCACCTCCACCTCCACCACCCCCACCACCAGCGCCACCAGCTCCTAAGCCATCCAAGCCTGCTCCACCGCCGCAGCCACCCACCGAGCTGCCCGACCCCTCCAAGCAGGTCTTTTCTGGTGACATGACTTTCTACAACGGTGGTCTGGGTGCCTGTGGAACTGAAATCGATACCCAGGGTGAGGATGCTGTCGCCATCTCCGTCGACATCATGGGTAGTGAAAACAACAACAGCCCATACTGCGGAAAGACTATAACCATTGAGTACGGAGGTGTGACCTCCAAGGCTGTTGTCAAGGACAAATGCCCAACCTGCGTAAGTTAAATCACATTCTTAAAATAAAACAAAGGTAGATTACTGATGGTTTTTTGATGCAGGCTCGTGGTTCACTTGACATGACTCGCCATCTCTTCTACAAATTGTAAGTACCGCGTTTTCCTGCCTCGTACTTGGGCTTTGTATCCACAAGACGCTAACTGACGGAAAATTAGTGCCGACGAAGCGGAAGGTCGTGTCCATGGAGTGAAATGGTCGTTTGACGACTAGGCTGGTCCCTAGTGTCAAACTCAATCCCGAAACTTTTTTCTTTCATTCTTGGGCTTCGTTGCCACCTCTTCGCTTTTCCAACTGTTTTGTGTGGGATGGGGGTTTGATCCCTTTTTGATGCAGGGATTCTCAGAGAGAATCTTCTCGTCGGCAAGATCGCAACACACTTACCATTGTTGACCTATCAACCAAGCCTCCAAAGGTGACTTTTGATTTTGATAGGGATATGTACATACATAACAAGCACATTGTCTCTGTTTTTTTTTTTTCCCATGCATATAACCCCACCTCACCCCCACTGAGCTGTTGGAAATGATTTTATGATTCATGGTCAAGTTCTGCGCTTCCTGTTCATATGCATTTCAGACAGGGGGTTCTTGTGGCGAGGTTAGGGCCAAAGGGTAAAAGGAGAAGGAGGAGTACTGGAGATCTGCGCAGCTTTCGATCTTTTTTATGGGGGGAGGGCAGATTGATTTTTCTCTTCTTTTCTCTCGCTTGCCTCAATTCTCCCCTAGGAGAATTTTGGCCCCCTTTTTTTGTTTCACATAAATTTTTTGAGACTTTGTTTATACCAAAATACCTTAGATCTGGAACAACAGCAATTGTTTGGAACAAAAAAACACCTGTCAACTCTAAACGGAGGAAATGTCCTGGGTGTACGGTGTAAAATCTCTGTTCTAACCAAGTGTGGGCTCGTGTTATCTCCTGTACCCAGCACATTTTAACTTCAGAATGACACACCCCAGCCCAAGGGGGGAAAAAAAAAGAAGTCAAAACGCCGAAAATCCTGTCAGCAACTACGGGAGTACTTTATTCCCGACATTGGGCTAAGCGCTACGCATTAAAAAGGAATTGAGACAGGACCAGACAATATATATATATATAGTTAGCGCCTTGATCTTCAAGCCCTTGCAATTGCTGCGCCAAAAAAGGGGGGGAACATGCACGTCAGACCAGGGAACACCACCCCCCCCCCCCCGCGGGGCCCCCGGCGGACACTCATCCTCCCATATCCCCAAGGCTTTGTTTGAACCCCACACCCATGAACTCCGAGATATACAGTAACCCCCCCGGGCAGACGTGTTTCATGTGGCTGAGGCTGAGGCCGAGGCCAGAGGGTCGGAAACAGAACCCATCCATCCATGGCAAGCATGGGGAGAGGTGAAGATGGAGTGTGGGTATGATGGTTCTATGTACTCCGTATGTATGTATTTCTATGTACTGATGCTGATAAAATTATGATATTTTTAATCACCTATTATTACTCATAAGCTACATGTCAGAGCGTGAAGGGAGGAGGAGGGGAGGCGAAAAAACAAAAAGAGCTGAGACATACTAAAAAAGAAAAAAAAAGGAAATGAGATGGTAAGGAATATAATTCATGTAACTGACAATAGATGAGAGGAAGAAAAAAAAAAAAAAAAAGCGACAAAATGGGGTACCAAAAAGCAACAAGCAAAATACATAGCAAACTATGGGGGTTGGGGGGAAAAACAAAAAGGAATAGCAGTGTTGCTTTAACTGCCCTATGTAACCCATGATCATTATCCCACATCATAGACATTCATCGACTTCATATCCTAACCACTGCACATCATGCAGGCTTCTTTGTTTTCGATGCTACCTACAACCAAAGAAGGAAAAAAAAAAGGTCATGGTTAGCAAACATCCTCGAAGAAGTTTGATGTGTGTTTAGAAGTCCGAAATAGTAGGCAAAAGTTATCACTTACACTGCAACACCTTCTGCGAATAAATATCCTGTTCACTCTGTCCCTGCTCACCGGTATCTGTCTCGTTGACCTGTACCTTCGTCATTGACTGGGTTTGCTTTTTCCCCAGCTCCTCATCCGGCGGAGCCGTCGCCGGTGTCCGTTGGAACGCAGGAATCCCCTTGGGACTCACTGGCCGAGGGGGCTCCGATTCAGGTTGCTTCTGGTCGTACATCGGCCGGGGCACGGCGGAGTAAGCGCCAGAAGAGTTACCAAGCCCACCACCTCTCTTTTTCCCCACGACGCTCGACCTCGCGACGTTTGTATCTGCAACTTTGAGCTGTTCCTGGTCGACCGTGAACTGGATAGGTGCAGAAGCTGCCATGGTGCGGAGATAGTACATTCCCGTCTTCAGACCCAGCTTCCATCCCGCAAAGTGCATGCTGGTGATCTTGCCCATCGTAGGCTCCTTGAGGTGGATGTTGAGGGATTGAGACTGGTCAATATATGCACCACGGTCGGCGGCCATTTGAACGATGGTTCTCTGAGAGATCTCCCACACTGTTTTGTAAAGAGCCTTGATGTCGGCGGGGATATTTGGAATGCTTTGGATTGAACCGCCTTCAGCGATGATGCGATTCTTCATGTTGTCGGACCAAAGGCCGAGATCGACGAGATCCTTCAAAAGCCATGGATTCACGACTTGGAATTCACCGGCAAGAACACGACGAGAGTAGATGTTTGACGTGTATGGCTCAAAACATTCGTTGAATCCGAGGATCTGACTTGTGCTAGCGGTAGGCATGGGAGCAACGAGTAAACTGTTGCGAACACCATGTTTTGCGATGTCCCTTTTGAGGGAATCCCAATCCCAAAGGTCGGTTGGGGTCACGTTCCACATATCATACTGCAAAACGCCTTGCGAGACAGGAGAGCCTTCATAGGTCTCATAAGGGCCGTCCACCTTGGCGATATCGCAAGACGCGGTCAAAGCAGCGTGATAGATCGTTTCAAAGATCTGAATATTCAGTTGTCTTGCTTCGGGCGAGTCGAATGGCAACCGCAGGGCAAGGAAAGCATCGGCAAGACCTTGCACACCGACAGCAATAGGACGATGGCGGAAATTACTCTTTCGTGCTTCAGGGACAGGATAATGATTGCCATCAATGATTTTGTTCAAATTTCGAACAAGAACTTGTGTGACTTCATGCAGCTTGCCAAAGTCATACTCGCCACGAACGGGATCGACGTATGTGGGTAAGGCAAGGGATGCAAGGTTGCAGACTGCAACTTCGTCTGGAGAGGTATATTCGATGATTTCCGTGCACAAGTTAGAGCTTCGGATGGTTCCAAGGTTTTTCTGGTTGCTCTTGCGGTTGCACGCATCCTTATAAAGCATAAAGGGGTTCCCGGTCTCGGTTTGAGCTTCTAGAATCGCATACCAAAGCTTCTGGGCCTTGATGGTCTTTCGGCCACGGCCTTCCTTCTCATACCTGCATATTATATGTTACTATCAAATAAGCTTCACCTTCAAGAATATTAACTTACTGCTCATAGAGGGCCTCAAACTCATCGCCATAAACATCAGCAAGCCCTGGTGCCTCGTTGGGACAGAACAAAGTCCAATCACCGTTTTTCTCAACACGTTTCATAAACAAATCAGGTGTCCAAAGGGCGAGGAACAGATCACGGGCTCTCACTTCCTCCTTTCCGTGGTTCTTGCGAAGATCCAAAAATTCGAAGATATCAGAGTGCCAAGGTTCGAGGTAGATGGCGAAGGCACCTGGCCGTTTATTGCCACCCTGATCGACGTACCGAGCGGTGTTATTAAAGACACGGAGCATAGGGATAATTCCGTTGGAGGAGCCGTTTGTTCCTGCAATGTAGGAACCAGTGGCACGGATACGATGAACATTAAGACCGATACCACCGGCTGTCTTTGAGATCAGCGCACAGGTCTTCAGAGTATCATAAATGCCTTCGATACTGTCCTCCTTCATGTCGATGAGGAAACAGGAAGCCATCTGTGGCTGTGGCGTTCCAGCATTGAAAAGCGTGGGGGAAGCGTGAGTGAAGAACTTCTGGGACATCAGATTATACGTCTCAATTGCCTTCTCAATGTCTTCGCCGTGGATGCCGACTGCAACACGCATGATCATGTGCTGGGGACGCTCAGCGACCTTGCCGTTGATTCGCAATAGGTACGACCTTTCCAGAGTTTTGAACCCAAAGTATTGATAATTGAAGTCACGATCGTAAACGATAGCCGAGTTAAGCTCAGCTGAATGCTTCATAACGATTTCGTATGTCTTTTGGGAGATCATAGGTGCAGGGCGGTTGTTCTTTGGGTTAATATAGTGGTAAAGATCGTCGATGACAGACGAGAATTGCTTCTTGGTCTGCTTGTGCAGGTTGGACACGGCTATTCTGGCGGCAAGGATAGCATAGTCTGGATGGGTGACAGTCATGTATGCAGCAGTTTCAGCGGCCTAGATTTATCATGCAATTTAGCACTTGAGGCTTGCTTGCTAGACGATGTGCTCATCCTTACCAAGTTGTCCAGCTCAATGGTAGTTACTCCTTGGTATACTCCCGAAATTACTTTCTGGGTGATAGCTGCAGCATCGACATGCTCTGGATCAAGCCCATAGCATAATCTTGACACGCGAGCCGTGATTTTGTCGAATTGCACGCGCTCCTTGCGCCCGTCTACGTGTCGGGGAGGTTAGCCTAAAAGGCCCAGGACGCAGGCCGGAGGGAAACACGAAATAGAAGAGGCAGCTGAATGTACCAAAGAAGAGGCTCTCTTCCAGCTCGTTCGGTAATGTATTGGACTCACCTCTCTTGTAGACGAACATCTTCGTTCGTCCGTCCGTTGACACTGAATGCGCGGACTCACTGCTGCTGCTTGTCTGGAACCGGGTATAAGCTATATAATACTCTTTTTTCACCTACTAGAATCTAATCGGAATTAGATCGTGAAAAAAAGAAAGGAAGATGGTTATCGAGAAAGGAGGGAGAAAAGATTATGAGGTAAACAGTGGAGGAGAGGAGGAGGCGGGCGGAAATTTTTCGATTTATGAAGCAAGCAGACGCGTTCCAGCAGCAACCCGAACGCGTTGCGGGCGCTCCCAGCCAATTATTAACACACAAGCTTAGTCAGCTCCCGTTCGGTGCCAAGACCGGCAAGTCCAGAGAGCGAGCAGCGAGAGCCGTCTTGAGAAGCACGTTTCGAGCTACAGAGAAACCAAACACGTTTTATGTGCAGCTGGCCAGTAGCCATTGGAAGCGTTGAAATAAATACCATCTCTGTACGGAGAAATAGTGATGCTCCTGAAAGCCTAAATAGTTTGTTATCTAGCTACACGGTATACAGGAAAACAGTTGTTAATGCTCGCAGGTTCAGAGTTGGCCTTGAGGTATGGCTAAATCGGACCAGTCTGCATTCACTTTGAAGACAATGATTTAAGTGGATTTATCAAACCATATACACTCAAACGAAAAGCAATCAGCAAAGAATCCCTTTCTAGCTCTACAGAATAGCAGCTCCGACAATCGCTGCCATAGCTGCCAATGCGAAGGACTGGGATTTAAGTGAAGATGCAGCATTTCCGGTCTCTATAGGCTCGCTGCCGGAGGTGGTGGTGGCCGAACCCGTTGGCTGAACAGGAGAGGTAGCCGATCCAGTGGGAGATCCAGTTGCAGACATGGTGGCTAGGGTGGTAGAAATCTCGATGAGTTCTGTGGCGAGACAGGGGCTGTTAGCCAAATCTTGCAATTCAGGAGGTTTTTGTTTTGCCTAAAAAAAAAAAAGGAAAAAAAAAAGGAATAAGGTAACGCTTTCGCAATTGATGACAACACATACCGACTTTGTTTCCGGATTCGGAGCATGATTTGGAATAAGCATTTAGTGCCGCCTGGACGTTGGAGTCGTCGCAGAGCTTGACGATTTCGTTTTGGACTTTCTTGGATGCAGATCCGCACATAACGTCCATGTCAGACGGATCCTCTTGGGTACTATTTATTATAAAGGGATTAGCACAGGATCAGAGAATATCGCAAAGCGTTATCGTTCTCTCTTTGGCATTAAGTAGGACGGTCCAATGCAACGAAGGAGCAAGCGTACTTGATAGCAGCAATAAGGCATCCTGGGGGAGTGGCAACGGCGAAAATATTGAGGAGTGCCAACACGGTCACAAAGAGAACGGCTCTAGCGGAGAACATCTTCGATAATGTCACGGGCGAATGTTGCAAATGTTTCGAGAGAAGGGGGTTTTCAAAATGGGCTTCGGGATGTCGGCACGGACAAGATTGCGGTTCAAACGAGGGTAACGAATGGGAAAGACTTCCACTGTTCGACAGCGAAAAAACGAATGAAGAATAAGAAACAAAGGAGTGGCTGGAGCTGGTGTGCAATGAAAGAAACGAAGGTGACCTTGAGCTGCGGAAGATTGAGCAAGGAGAGGATCGAGAGTTTCAAGTCGTTCGAGGAAGAGGCGAAACAAAGTTCGGGCGGCGACAAATCGGATTTCCCCTGTCAGCCCGCCAACTCACTAGCGCGGTTCCTGCCAAGACCTTCAGCCAAAACACCGTTCGAAGGAACAGCCGGTCCGATGACACCGGAAAGCCGTTGCGACGACGAGGAGCGACGTTTTAGGATGTATGTACGGAGTACTTTGCGATGGTTCGAGGACATACACGAAACTACAGAGTACATGTGACGATCATGAGTGAAGTGCGGAAAGTACAGTGATTAGAAGCTTCACATGCGGACTGTAACTACATATGTATTCCAAGTCATTAACGTTGTATCTGCCCCTCGACGCACGTCATTTCCACCCCATATCTTCCCGGCTCACAACGATCTCCGAAACTTCCAGCCTATTCTCCACGATCTCTTTTCCGTTGACTAAATCGTTTTCCACCGCTCTCTTATCGGCCTCTTCTTCGTTCTTCGCTATGCCCGCCTCAACATGCCTTTTCACTAGCCTCTGCCTCGCAACCTCAAAGTCCACCTCCACAAACCACACCTCATCCATCAGCCCCGCCACCTCAGTCCAAGGTTCCTTGTTTAAACTAAGATAATTCCCCTCGAAAAATACAATTCTCGCCGTCACCGGGATTGGTATGTCGTCTTCCACGGGGTCCTTAATCGCATGGTCGAAACTAGGCGCGTATATGATCGCCGAGCTTGGACTGATATCTTCACGTACTGCACGGACTAACTTCGTGAATTTCACGGGGTCGAAGGTGAACGCTGCCCCACGCCTGGCCACGGCGTACACAGGATCCGGCATCGCTGCCAATTGGGCTCGCGTGAGGTGAAATCCGTCCATGCCCACCCAAGTAGCGATGGGTGGTTTATCAGGGTGTTCTGTCGCATATCGAACATTCATCTGTTCGGTCATGATTTTCGCCAGGGAAGATTTCCCTGACCCTGGAATTCCGCTGATCGCGACCATATAGCGCGAGGATGGCGGGATTGAGAGAAATTTGGCTGCCACGTATCGTGGAAATAAGTTAGCATTATTGCTCAACCTAAGGCGCACTGCATGCACCGGCAGGATTGTGGATGCATGCGGTGTTTCATCAAATAGCCAAATAAAGCGGCGAACTGAGGATGTTGCTCACCCCATACTTTATCAACAAGCCTCTGCACTTGGTCGTCCATGATGATTTATAGTTGTTTGGCTGGTTTGACGGTAGAAGAAGAATTGCCCAGACTGACAGTGTTTTACTCCACACTTTGTATGTACAAGTGACAAATGGTAGGTCACAGAATCCAAGCACACCGCATCTAAAATAAAACCGGATTGGCGTGCTGATGACATTACATAACTCCTTAGTTACTCTCTAGTTAGTTATAGAGTACACTTACAACTAGGTGTGTGATCTTACGTTCTTATTAACATCAAGCACTTTCATCACCACCAATGCTCGCCACCTCAATTAGAATAGACAACACCACAGTGAAGAAGACCAGAATTTGTTGCATCCATCAACCATTCTACTCTATGTGAGCTGACATCTTCATTCCACCAAGTGAACTGGCGGTATTGGACAAACAGAAGAAAAGCATGTTTAATATCTGCTTTTCAGTTGAACTCTTACTAGGACAGAGTACATCTGGCGAACAATGAATGGTATGGATCCCACTTTTTCCACAGAGAGCTTCTTCTCGAGGAAACCCTTTGTGATGAACTTTGCTACGATGAAGCAAGACTGGCCACATTGTTCTCTTTTCTGTGATATGTGGACACAATTTGTTTAATTTGGACTGGAAATTCCTGATGAACATGGTGTTGGAGATTGGCTGTAGACAATACCTGTTCCTATGTCTTTCCTCTTCATTTCTTTCAATAGTCCTATTAAATTTCATCTGCTCTTTATCGCCTGCTAGATGTACTTGCCTTAATCCGTCATCTTATTTCTGAAAATCCTGGGAGAAACCATATTATATATCTATATAAAATGTCATTCACAACTTTGGTCGACAATACATTAGAATATCCTTGCCAATAGATTCTATAAGCAATATTATCTTTAAAATTCTGAATGATCTTAGCTTCAAGCTTATCATATTTGATATTTTTTGGTTTATTCTCCTCATAAAATTCTTCACTAGATTTTAACACCTTGGTGTTGTGCGACGACAATCATTCTTCAAAAGAGGTCCTGAAGATTGACCCTATCTCTCTTTTGTTCCTATAATGAATACTAGATATACCAGACATGAATCGTGGCTTTCATACAAAACCACATGGTGCTTGAAGGAAGCACCAATGGTCCAACATGTGGATCTCCAAAACAAAACAAAACCAAAAAAAAAAGGGAGACAAAACCAGGTATTTCGAGCGGCATAAATATGGGAAAGAATTTCCTACTCCCGAAAGCAACATCCAAGTCAAAATTTTGACGAGACGCCGGCTACTTATTTGCCGGTGGATTTGATTTTCCATCGAGTTAAAAGCTTAAAAGCAAAGCAGAGTAATGCCAGCTTATCCGCTTCAAATAGATTGAAAGAAGAAAGTGAAGGGAAGATAAAGGGGAAGGGGGAAAAAAAAAGGAACGGGGAATTTGGCTCAATCGTCCTGGTCCTCGGTACTAGCGTTGTTGAGTTCGCGCCGAATAGTTCGTGATAAACCTGCTGTAGCCCACCACTCGTCTGGAATGTCGTCCCTTCGCACTAGCCGGTCGAGAATCGCGTGCACCTCTTGTAGATCTGGATGCATCGACTGTGAACTGAACGAGGCGCTCGTCGAAGTAACAGGCGTATCATTATTGCTATCATCATTCCGGTCTTGGCTTCTTCTTTCTTGATCTCCTTCACGAGGTCTACTTGAACGAGTAATAGTGAAGCCAAACATTGCCCCTGGCACACGCATGGACGCGTCAGGCTCTGATTCTGCCTCTGTATCGGAGTCAGAGTCAGAACTTAGAAATTCGCAATTCGGAGAAAACTCCGGAAACGGGTCATCAAACGTGATGCGCATTCTTGGTGAGTCAGGGCCAAACGATGTGAGAGGTGTTTGCGAAGCAGTGGAAGAATTAGAGGGTCCTGAGTTTCTGGATAGTGCCGACGATGCACTCGCTGTTGCGGAGGTAAACGAGGAATCGAGGCTAGGGAGCTGGTCATCTGGTGTAATGGTAGTCAAGAGCGTCTCCCATGAATCATGCATTTCATCCTCTTCCGGCCCGAGACTACGCTCTCGATCACCAAGGCCATCAACTACGTGGCGTCGTCGGGACCGGCGCTCGCTTGCAGCTACGGATCGATGTCCAACCCTACGGAGCAATGGCATGTTTGAATCCGGTCCGTCGTTGGGAACGGTGGCTGGGGACGCTGTGCTTGAGCGGGAGATCGTCTCGCCGTCCACGGGGTGCGCCGGTGCAAATCGAGGAGTCAAATAAACTCGCTCAGATGCTTCAGCGTTCCTAGAACGCGGAACCTGAGGTACAGCGGGCTGTGGAAAATCTCCGTACCAATACGGCCTAGGCATTTCGAATCTCAGCGACGACTCTCTGGGTATTCGCATCCGATGGCCAGGGGAGGAGTAGCGCAGCGAGTCCCTCAGAAGATGCTGGCCCATCTCATGCCGAGTGATTGAATTCAGAGAATTCCAGGTTCCCAAATCATCCGTGGGCGCGACGTCCGATCTAGGGCTACGCGAGCCGCGGCTGTTGACTTCCCGTTCTGCTTCGCGGGTGAAGGCGTCAAGCATGTGCGGTAGAGGCCATCGTGTTGAGGAACCGCGATTATTGCGCGAGTTGCTGATGATGGCGCCATTCCGTCGAGGTCGACGGATAGCGTTCTGGCGTCGAATGGACGACCGGGCGACAGCGGAGGGGTCCGGTTTGAAATTCTGTTCAGTGCGCGATGCTACGGGTTCATATACAAGTCTATTGATACAAGAAGAAGCTTAACGTGGTGTGCCGCGCAAAAACGTGGGTGATGGTGAGAGGAGATAGTGATGCATCCGACAAACACGTCAAAGGGCAGGACGAATTCAACTTACGGGATGCCCATGATCAACCAACAACACGGATTCCAGGTTCAGAGGCAGGTCAACAGACGGATCTCTTTTCTGCGATTCAGAATCTCGAAACGGGATTAAAAATTAATTGACGGCTGCGCTGGGTGCTCTTCAGACGCCAGATGATTTATGTTTGTCGCTGAGTGAGGCGGCTGGGTCTTCATTCCTTTTGGGGGGTTCGGAGGAGCACTCCCCAAACATCGCTGATACCAAAATTACAGGACAGGCATTGGAGAGAACCGCGGCGAGTTCTCCGCGTGGTGCGAAAGTTACATGAAATCTCGGCGTATTCAACTCTGCCACGGGGCTGGGCCGCTGTTTGAGACTCGGAAGCAAGAAAATCCGAGTGCACGCGTGAGTGGCTAGGGCAGGCTTGGCGGCGCGTGTTCGTGGTCGACAAAATGTGAGTCCGAATCTCGACGCCGGAGGCCAGAAGGCTCTGAAAGCGCCGGCCCTGCGAAGGCGATTGAGCGGCCCAAATCGTCGGCTGGCTGTTTCAACCGCAACTCAACCTTCCTCACGAGTGGGCGTGTTAAACGCGTGGGGATAATCACGTGGATTCCCGGCAAAACTCCCTGCTGCCAACGCACGGCGCCAGCTGTTGGATGATCTGGCTTCGGATCCCGCTGGCACTCAGTGACTATATTTAGTGCTTGCTCTGATTTGGATGGTATAGCCTACAAGGTGCTGTGAATACTATTATAAGACGTTGCTTCTTCCACCTAGCTGGCTCCAAACTAGATTTATTATCACGACATCCCGGATAGCCATGAAACTTTTTAAAAAGACATCAAATACCAAAACATTTCCCTTCCGATAACGATGATCGAATTGGGGCTATCTCGAATAACTCAGCTGGTCCAGAAGCCAAGCTTGACCTGGAAGGCCATTCATGTTGCTGGGACGAATGGCAAAGGGTCAATTACCGGATATTTGTCCGCCTTGCTCACTGCAGGCGGCGTGCGGTGTGGCTCTTTTACCTCGCCGCATTTGATCGATCGTTGGGATTGTATTACTATCAATGAACGCGCTGTTCAGGAGTCTATCTTCCGGCGAATCGAAAACGAAGTCAAACAGAGAAATCAGCGATTGGGTCTTGGGGCTACGGAATTTGAACTTTTGACGGCTACTGCGTTCGAGATCTTCTCTCAGGAACAGGTCGAAGTCGGGGTTGTGGAAGTCGGCATGGGTGGCCGCCTTGATGCCACAAATATCTTGACAAACGTCCTCGTATCTATCATCTCGAAAATTGGGTATGATCATCAAGCTATATTGGGAAACACTATTGAAGAGATAGCCCGGGAAAAAGCTGGCATAGTAAAGCCGGGAGTGCCTTGCGTTGTTGATAGCACGAATTCTCACGAAGTGAAGCAAGTAATCCAGGCCCACGCAGAGACGCTAGACGCACCAACTGCATTCGTCAACGCTCAACATGTCGGACAACTTTTTCCTCTTCTTCGCGATAAATTTGGATCCCTTGATCTTCCCCCCCACCAGCGCGCGAACCTTTCGTGCGCCATTACGGCTTTGCAGGTCGCTTTACCCCAGATCCGACCAGATTTAATGGTCGATCAACTATTTCCATTTATATCCAAGACTCCACGCCCAGGCAGATTGCAGGAAGTTTGTCTTGAGACGTTGATCTCTCGAAATGAACCCGTTCTACTCGATGGTGCGCATAACCCCCAATCTGCGGAGGTCCTGGCTTCGTATGTCGATCGAAAATTCCGAGCTCACGCCAAAACCATTACCTGGGTTGTGGCGGCTTCGCAGGGAAAGGATATCGTAGAGCTGCTCGGGTGCATGCTAAAGCCGGGTGACAATGTGGCAGTGGTGGAGTTTGGGCCGGTAGCGGGCATGCCATGGGTCCGGAGCGTGCGTAGCACCGAACTCGCTACGGCGGCACGCGACGTTCCTGGCATCGGGGCTGTCGAGGGCTTCGAAAGAGATGTTCTGGCAGGGTTGAATTGGGCTAACACGATATCAGCGGGCGGACCCGTGGTTATTGCTGGCAGTCTGTATCTTGTTTCTGATGTGCTGCGGCTGCTTCGGGAAGCTCAAGCTGGAATTGCTCGTGATGCAGTAAATTAATGACTTGGCTCTCGTTGGGCCTGGCCGTCAGGGATCATGCGGATTAGGGGGCATGAAGTGGGGGATTTTCCTGTTCTTCATTGTAGAAAATCGACAGATGAATAGCATCCTCAGCTGTTTTAAAAACACACACTGTAGACTGCCGGGAGCAAGATCTTTATTTTTAGGCTGTCTTTTCCATCGTTCCTTGCGCGAACGGAGAACACCGTAAAGCTCCACATGTTCGACATGGGGCTTGTGGTCGTTTAATTTGCGGATTGTTCAATCATCATCTCGAAGTCTATGGCGTCGAAGGCGCTAAAAGGCCAAAGCTGACTTGTCTTCTGTGCCACCCCAGCACGGCAGCCAACTGCGTCATCCCGACCAGCACACTTCGACTAGGGATCGAAACAACTCTGCAGCCACAAGTTTTCCTAAGTTCTCCACCAGCATGCTTAAAATCCTCCATTAACCTTCCCGTTTAAGATGAACTGCTTGCGTTGAACGTTCTCGACCGCTCCTTGTCCTGTCTTCCAGCTTTTCCTTCTCGAGCTCCTCAATTGATCTCAGCGCCAAATCATCGACAACCCTGTCTCTACCTTGGACCTTTTACCGTGGCCCCTCCTCAAATGTTTCCCGGCAGAGATTGTCCACTTTGATGAGCGTGTCTGACATGAAGACCGGGTTATCGATATCGTCACACTCGTCCCAAGTATCCTTCCGCCCGCCACTCGCCAGTTGAGAGCCTTTCCATCATGGTGCACCGGTCCGATGATTCAGGGGACATCCGCCCTCCGTCCCGCGCTCACGATACTCCGTCTCGACAGAAACTGAAACCGGGAACTAGCCCGCCGAAGAAGGAGAGGTCAAGGTCGTCCGCGAAAGATGTCTCGGAGCTGACAGATTATGTACGTTGACACTCTGGTGATGGGATATGCAGCAGACCGCGTTTGCTGATAATGGATGCCGACAGCAACTGGGCGACTGCCTTGGCAAAGGTGCGTTCGGCTCGGTATATAGAGCGTTGAACTGGGGAACCGGCGAGACCGTTGCCGTCAAACAAATTCGACTTGTGGACCTGCCGAAGAGTGAATTGAGGGTGATCATGGTGAGAGACCGCTCTTGAGACCTAGATCCTTGGAAGTAACATCTCTAAATTCTCTAAACATTACAGCAAGAGATCGATCTTCTCAAAAATTTGGACGTGAGTTTCCCGGATCGCAGAATATGGTTCAGGAACCTCGTTTTGACTTAAAAGTTACTAGCATCCGAACATTGTTAAGTACCATGGGTTCGTGAAGTCTGTGGAAACCTTGAACATTATATTAGAGTATGTTACGTTCATTACCCAAGTCATTGAGCGCTTTCAGTCTTAACTGGTGGATTAGATACTGCGAAAATGGCTCCTTGCATTCGATTTCAAAAAATTTCGGCCGGTTTCCCGAAAACCTCGTCGCCCTCTATATGTCTCAAGTCCTATCGGGCTTGCTCTACCTACACGAACAAGGCGTTATCCACCGGGATATCAAAGGTGCAAATATCCTTACGACGAAACAGGGCTTGGTTAAACTGGCAGACTTTGGTGTTGCCAGTCGCACGACAGGTCTCCATGAGTCGAGCGTCGTCGGAACTCCATACTGGATGGCACCGGAGGTGATAGAGTTGTCCGGAGCGACTACGGCCTCAGATATATGGAGTTTGGGATCTACCGTAATAGAGCTGTTGGAAGGGAAGCCACCATACTATAAATTCCAGCCTATGCAAGCGTTGTTTCGGATTGTCAATGATGACCATCCTCCGCTTCCCCAAGGAGCTTCACCGGTTTGTTCCCAGGCCCTCTCGGCGGTAACAGATCGAGCTACTAATGTCGATACAGGCCGTAAAGGATTTCCTCATGCAGTGCTTTCAAAAGGACCCCAATCTTCGTGTAACAGCTCGGAAGTTGTTGAGACACCCTTGGATTGTTAACGCCAAGCGGTCCGACTCTGTTGTTCCAACAAAGTCTACAGAATACGAGGAGGCTGTCAAAAGCGTCCAGGAGTGGAATGAAGCACTCCGATCCCCTAACCCGAATACCTTACGAAGACCCATGCGATCTGCATATGCAAGCCCTGGACATAGTCAGAGAAAACGTTCACATTCCCGTCAGCCTTCCTCTCGCGAATCCCTCCCCGCCATAAATACACATGTCACGGATAAGTTTAGGTCTCCAGAAAATAATGATGACAATTGGGATGATGATTTTGCGTCTGCATTCTCACCCAGCGCCCTTCAGTGTCCTCGTCTAAAGCCACAGGACAATTTTGGCGGCATGTTATCCTCGGAAAAACTTAAGGCATTTGCTTCTCTCGAAAATATCGCGGAGCTTGGCACCGATAAATTCACCGAAAATGGTGCGTTAGCCAGAGATAGAACAGCTTTCTCAGATTCCGATCCGCTGCAAACTATTCGCCCATATGTTAAAAAGCAACCAGATGAACATCAAAGCCCCCCGAAGCTTCCAAGAAGAACTCGGCATCGTCAAGTTCCTACGCCGTCCTTCAAAAAGAGTGCAATCATTGCCCCCATTGCTCGTCAATCTCCCAAACCTGCGTCTCACCCACGTCCCGCGGCCTTCTACAAGGAGAGCTCCATCGAAGATTATTCTGATCTTATCGCTGCGAACGAAGAAGTACTTGAAAGCAAACTATCAGTGATTCCGGTGGGTTGCTCACTGCTAATTCATCCTCTCCCTGAAATTTAACTCACGATTGATAGGGCAATGCCACCGATGAGATAGGCCATCATACCCGGGATCCCAATGGGTCGGGCCTTTTCGATGACACCGTGGTACACTCGCCCGAAAAGGGTGTTTTTCAGTTGCCATTAAGAAGGAGGAAGCCGCAATTATCAAGAGCACGAACATCAATCGGGATTGAGAGATATGCAGAAGATGAAACTGACGAGGATTTTTCCGACATCCTTGGGAGCAACGAAGATCCTCTTGTAAAGCTGGAGAGTGACGATGGCTCGGATCGGAGTAGCTTGATGCTTAATTCGAAACTGTCTAGTAGCTCATGGCTCGGTGATGTGGACGACGAAGATGACCCTTTTGCACAGCTCGAGGAGGGGTTGGATGAAATGGACCTTGAAGCCAATATCGCTAGGGACAAATACGCACGACTTCGAAGTCAAGTGGAAAGCCTTGTTAGCTCTTTAAAAACTTCTCAGGATGAGGAAGTACTGGCAGATATCTCCGAGCAATTGGTAAGCTGTCCCTCTACTGTTGGAACATGGACGTCGGGCTGAATCATGTAGGTAACTGTGTTTTCGGATCTGCCTGAGACGAAAAACGTGATACTTGGCGCCCACGGAATGCTACCTATGCTAGAGATCCTGGACACTTGCCGTCGGAGGGACGTTGTATCCAACCTCTTGAAAATTGTTAATGCTGTGAGTTTGTCCATTGTAACGGATGACGGTCGTGATCATGCCGGCTAACCGTACTCAAAGATTATTTACAACGACTACGAGGTTCAAGAAAATTTATGCTTCGTTGGAGGAATCCCAATCATTAATAAGTTTGCTTCGAAGAAATACCCTCGAGAAATCCGCCTGGAAGCTGCTTCGTTTGTCCAACAAATGTATCAGACGTCAACATTAACACTCCAAATGTTTGTCAGTGCCGGAGGCTTGAATGTTTTGGTTGAGTTTTTGGAGGACGACTATGAAGACGAGCGAGATCTCGTTTTAATTGGCGTCAATGGTATTTGGAGTGTATTCGAATTGCAGGTACGTTTTGGCAGCAGAATTTTAACCGTCGTTGGAGTAAGCCTAATTGCAGATAGGGATCGACACCGAAAAATGACTTTTGCCGTATCCTGTCTCGAAATTCAGTTCTTGATCCGCTATCTTTAGTGCTAAGCAGAGTCTTAGATGAGGAAGAAGGTGAACTGGCGGAGCTTTGTGAAGGGCGTATTGCGAATATTTTCCACATATTCTCTCAAGCAGAAAGCCATGTCAAGGAGATGGTTGCAGAAAGAACTGTATTGCATAGTAAGTGCTATATACGATGTTGAATGCATCAAACGCTGACGCCATTTCCAGGAGTACTTAAAGAACTGAAACGGATGTCCCCCAGTCCTCAAATTACGATGCTCAAATTTATCAAGAACTTATCGATGCTCTCGACAACTCTTGAAGCACTTCAAAATTCTAATGCAATTGACGTTCTCACCGAGCTACTGCGCTCTACAATGAAAGGACCTCATTTCCGCGAAGTTTCAAATCAGATCCTCAACACGATATATAACATGTGTCGCCTAAGCAAGTCACGGCAGGAAGACGCAGCTTTAAACGGCATAATACCACTTCTGCAAAAGATAGTGAAAACGGAGCGGCCACTAAAGGAGTTTGCTTTACCCATTCTTTGCGATATGGCGCATTCTGGTAAGGTTGGTCGCCGCGAGCTCTGGCGCAATAAGGGTTTGGCATTCTATATATCTCTATTGTCAGATCCGTACTGGCAGGTTACTGCCCTCGATGCGATCTTTAGTTGGTAAGAATACCTTAGTCAATTTGTTTCAGCTTTCAGCTAATGATTTTGCTTAGGCTTCAAGAAGAGACTGCCAAAGTTGAGGAGCATTTGCTAGATAACCGGAACGGCGAACCTCCGTTCACGATCGCGATTGTCCGCTGCGTTACCATATCGAAAGCTAACGCATTTGAGAACCTCCTGGAACCTCTTCAGAAACTTCTCCGGTTGAGTCCAGCGGTTGCGGCAACTCTTGCGAGGCCGGATATGTTTGAACGTATTGGACAGAAACTCCATCATACTAAGCCTGCTGTGAGGGTCAACTTGTTGCGTATTTTATCGACAATCTGTGACGCTTGTGAAGAGAGATGCGGCCTTCTCAGCCGATATGGGCTTTTGGATGCGATTAGAGAATTACAAAAGGACTCTCGTGTTCTTGTCCGCGAGTTAGCTTCACAACTAGTCAAGTTGAGCGAGGAGAATGATCAAATGAACGGCCAAAAACGAAGGTCCACAAGGCGAAGAAGCACATCTATCACACCTCCGAGTCTGATGTCAAGCCATTCCATGCCTGCTACGCCGCAAATAAATCGAACTGGCGCATCCAAACTCTACATCGATGGAAGAGAAAACCTTCACTCTTCAAATGGGCTCAATGGTTCCCTCGGGTTGAGACCAGGAAGCCGAGATGGTAGAAGCTCTACTGGAACTCCAGCTGCTCCGGGAAGTGGAAAACTCCGCTTGCCGCACCGACTGTCGCAACAAATTACATCATTGACGCAACAAAAGGAGGAAGCCCGCACCCCTACTTCAGCAAGGAGACCATCCATCCTCCAATCGCGGCGGAGGAGACCGACAAATGGCGGGCCAGAGTGGACGTAATCTGGGAGATCGCCTTCCCACAAATTGTTCCATTACTTTTATTATCGCATCCCCTTTAATGGTATATCTTTGAGAGACGTTCAATAACCCTGCATTGCATAGCATAGCATTGGCGCATTGGGGAGATACACACATACATCCTGGTTGCTTGGCTCAGAGGATCGGGTCGTTATTGTTAAACCTATTTCCTTTATTTTACAGCCATTCTTGGAGGCTGATATTCATTCCCTTTTAATATTTTCTTAGGCTACCTTTTCTTTCATTTCCTGCCGTTTTGGCCTGTCATCCAGCAATGGAATACATGCTCAATGCGGGAATGTGTTGATATGCTCCAAAGTAGAGTTAGCTCTTTTGGCGGAGACAGGCTTATACTCCAGCTTGAATGCACAGATATTTCCTGAGGTTTGCCATCCACGATGGACTGTAGTCTGCAGCCATGCTCAGGCTGTTCGGCCCAATACCTGTGAGATAGGGAGCACGCGATCAGATAAGAATTCATGTAGGGTGAGGAGATCCGGAATGAGGAAATTCCGCGCCGGCGGAAAGTTCCAAAAAAATAATAAATTATTATCGTCATCTCGGATCCCGCAGTTGACGGAGAGCACCATTGGAAGAATTTGAAAGATTGCCATGCTCAACATGATACCTTTTCGTCAAGCGATCTAACTGTCCATCACTCCAATCTACATTAGCAAAATTGCTCCCCAAACTAAGAGATGAAAGCCCGGATCCCTCTTCGAAGGTTCGCCGGTGTCACGAGCGCTCCTGCAAGGCCTTTCTTTCTCCAACCGCAGACGATCCCATGGACATGTCGAAGGTGTCTCCGGCAAAAACAAAAGCTTATACATTCTACAGATGCGCGCGGAAATTATTCGACTGCTGTGTTCAGAACAAAGGCCTCTTCGTCGGGTGGAAGTCATAAAAAGAGACCTCGGCGCGCGTTGAAATATGCTGCGGCGGGAGGCACACTGGGTGCCACAGCGCTTGCGTTTTCGGATGATATAAAGCACGGGTACAATGCTGCTGAGAGGACTGGAAGGGTTATTACCGCACTGGCAGTGTGTATTAACGAGTGAGTTTCTGATGACCCCTTTTCTGTCACGTTCCCGGTCTCCTTTCTGTTTGGCAAGAGTCTATCGCCGCGTTGCGAGCTTGTGATTTGGGCAGCCATTGCCCATCTTGGGGGAAAGAATACAAGCCGGAGGAGAGAGAAGCCAAAATTGCTAAAGATTTTCTTGATTTCTTTCCTATTCGTGCGCTATAGTTATAGGGTAACCCTGAACCAAAACTCAGGCTCCGACGAGGAAAAAGCCGCGATCCTTAAAGCCTGCCATAAGCGATGCGCCGAACGGACACTACGTGTGCTCGAAAAAAATGGTTCAATATTCATAAAGCTCGGACAACACTTGAGTAGTATGGGTTATTTGTTGCCGCTGGAGTGGACGACGACTTTCATCCCTCTTCAGGACAAATGTCCCGTTTCCTCGTATGAATCCGTTGAAGAGATGTTCGTCAAAGATACGGGACACAGGATAGATGAGCTATTCTCTAGCTTTGAGAGGGAACCGATAGGCGCGGCTTCCCTAGCGCAAGTGCATATTGCCGTGCTAAAGGAGAATGGGCAAAAGGTTGCGGTCAAAGTCCAGCACCCTGCATTGGCGGAATGGGTTCCGCTGGATTTGGCACTTACAAGATTCACGTTCTCAATGCTGAAAAAGTTCTTCCCGGAGTATGACCTCGAGTGGTTATCAAACGAAATGGATATGTCGCTACCCCAGGAGTTAGATTTTCGTATGGAGGCGGAAAATGCAAGGAGGGCGAGAGAATACTTTGAGACGAGAACAAAAGCACCTTTAGTCATCCCAGAAGGTAGTTACAGGCCCTACTGGAATGGAGTTGCGATAAGCTAACCAGTGACTGCTTAGTTATGTGGGCAAAGGAACGAATCCTCGTCATGGACTTCATTTCTGGGCATCGACCCGATGATCTCGAGTACCTCGACTCCAATAAAATCGATCGAGATGAAGTCTCAGCGGCCCTCGCACACATCTTCAATGAAATGATATTTGGCGAGGACGCACCTCTCCACTGTGACCCTCATGGTGGAAACATTGCTATCCGCAAAAATAATTTACGGCGTAAGCCCAACTTTGATATTATCCTCTATGACCATGGGCTCTATCGTGACATACCTAGAGAAACCCGAAGAGCCTACGCCAAACTATGGCTTTCTATCGTGGAAGCAGACGAGAAAGGAATGCGAAAGTATGCACATGAGGTGGCTGGTATAACGAATGATGAATTCCCGCTTTTCGCCAGCGCCATCACAGGCAGAGACTATAGTGTTGTGGCAAGCAAGGCAATCGCATCTTCGAGATCTGTCGACGAAAAGAAGGTTATCTCCGACGCCATGGGCGACGGAATGCTACAGGACCTGGTCACTTTGCTGGGCAAAGTACCGCGGATCATTCTATTAATCCTTAAGACAAATGATCTAAGTAGGTATTGTCCGCTGCTTGTCCTCAAAACAATCAATTCATTTTCTCTACACGTGATTAATCGAAATTGTGTCGTTTAGCTCGATCCCTCGATGAAAACCTACATACTCGTCACGGCCCTCTGCGTGCATTTCTTATCCTCGCTCGCTATGCGACATGTACCGTCTTCGAGGAACAGATGGAATCCATTCGCCAACACGGTAGCATTTTTTGGCCACGTAACTTCCTGCAATTTATCCGTGCATGGGCGTCATACCTTCGCGTGGAAATGAAATTGGGAATATATGAGCGGTGGCTGTCGGTGAGAGGGAGATTAGGGCTGGCAAACCAGCTTCTCTAGATTTATTAAACCTTTTCTACATAGATAACTGCGGCGTCCCCTCGACCCTTTTCGACATTTCTTTTTCGCTGTTAAACTCTGATTTTCGTTTAATAGACATGCCCCGTTTGCATATATATTTTACGTGTCTATTAATAGATATAGATATGTTGGGTTTTGTTGGAGAGCAGTTCTAACTCAGTTCCAAAAACCAGTGCCAGGAACCCAATAGATGATAAAATGTACCAACCGCAATGGGTAGAGGATGTATATTAGGGGAAAGACAGAGAGGAAGTGGACGTTGAGAAAGATCAGTGTGGAGTATCTATCTCCACTCGGAGAGCAAGTGTACTTTTTATGCCCCTTTGCTCCGCAAAGGATACACGTGTACATCTTCGGCTCTGATTTCGTTTCTCCTGAAAAGCCATAATTTAATGTTACTAGGATATCTCACATCTGTGGGAACGGTTGGCGGCGTTCCGTGGAAATGACTACCAGCACCGAGTTATGCGCTCAAGCTGCAAAATTGCATAGAAGTTTTTCAAGGGAAACAAGTGACCATCCAAGAGAGAAGCCCTTAGATCATCCCAAACGAAAAACATCCAAGGCATAAAATAGAAGAAGAGGGCCAGCGACGGCCCTTCAGACACAAAGCAGCAACTCGGCAATGAGCACCGAATTAGACCTAACAGGTCTGGACTACATGGTGGTCCAGGAGGGCATGGATCCATCAACAGCTGGGCCACAAGGCTGTTAACTAGAACCTAGAACCAAGATGTAGAGTGACTTCAGCACAACGAAAGTTGATTAAGGCAAACTTCGGCGAAGACGGGCTGGGTGTCGTGATAATGTCCAGACAGAGTGGAAGAGAGTTATCCTGAAGGCCATCGGTACGTAGCAGGATCATCAGAATCGAACGGGTTCTTTGTACAATGAACCGGTTATGCGCCTAGCAATAAGAGATAAGAAGGTTTCCTAGAATCCCAGGCCGTGCTGGAGAAGGCGGGTATAATAAAAGCGTCTTCCACGCCAATCATGAAAAAGCAAAGAAAATAAGAGGAGAGAAATCTTGTAGAATGGTTAATGTCTTTTTCTACAACTCGAGTCCCTGACAAGCCAGCCTAATCGAATATTAAAATAGTAACAAGACGAAAGTGCAAAGGCCACGGGATGCAAAGGGAAGGGGGAAGGAGAAGTAGAGGAAAACGAAGGCTATGGTCTATTCGCTCGGATATCGCGCAAGGCTGGTCACCCACGTGAAAAAGATTATCTGAAGCTGGTCATTAAGGATCCTTTCCCACTGTACATTTCCAGATTCCTTCAGGAATTTTTTTTAAAAAATGAATTATTCGCAGTTAATAAGCCGACGCCGTTTCCTCGGTCAAGATTCTATCTCCCTCGTGTTGAGTGTAATGTATGATATTCCGCAAATATTCGTAAGTCAACATCGTAGTCATCGCGGCCGGAACTGCACGAAATAGATTTGTGCCAATTCCGGCATAGAATGCCCGCCATCCCTCTTCCTTAAGAATAGTTTGAAACGTGCGAATCACTCCGCTGTAGCGTGGGCGATTGCGCATGCCATCTGAAGATGATGCACCAGCGCCTAAACCTGGCGGTCGGCCATGGTCCTGAGGCTGTTCCAAACCGCCACGAAATGCGATTCCTTCAGGAGATGGAGCTGGATCACCTCGTTGCTGTGTTTGCAAGCGAGTTCGCAGCACTTCGTGAGGATATGTGGCTGTACTGGCACAGATTTTGCTAAGGAAAGTAGCAGCGCTGATTCCTAGCCAGTGAGTATTACCTTCGTCTGGATGCTCTCCAATCCCAAACCCTGTAAAGGCCATTTTGAAGTATTCGTAAAGAGGAAACTGGATGGCGACATGGGATAGACCAAGCAAGGCAGGGGTAAGGCCAGAATAGAATGCGGCTATTCCTTCACTCGCATACATCTTGCGAGCAGCATCTAGCGTGCTTTTGTAATACCAGGGGGCACGATAACCATTGGTTGAGGGAGTAAAACTTTGCGACATGAGCCTCGTTTTAATGACCCAAATCGGGTTTGTGGCCACCGTTGAGCAGGCTCCAGCCGTGAGGGATGCATAACCACGGGCCATCCACCAATTTTCTATGGCGCAATGGATTAGCGAATTATCTACGCTTTCAAAAGTCGAGCTGGACGCACCTGTCTTTTCCCAGAAATACTCTCTAGACTGATCGTAGATCGTTAAATAGATGGCCCAAGTTGGCAGGTATCCCAAAAGCATGGGCCCTAGCCCTCGATATAATCCGCGGACGCCTTCATCTTTCCAGATCATTCTTCCGGTTCCTAACATCCCCTTGTACAACGTGCCCGTGTCGACCAGCTTTCCATTTCGCCTTAGCTGGAATCCACCTTGGGCTTGTAGCTTTGTTTTGATAACGTCCAAGGGACAAGTCACTATTCCGGATGCGATACCCGCACTTGCTCCACAGAACGGCGTAACCCATGCTTGAGGGATGCGCGTGGAGTATATCTGAATACTGGTTAGAGGAGAGGATCCCGGAGGAGGCGACGCATTTGGGTGCAGTTGTGGGACGGAAGAATGTGGTTCTGGATGATGTGAGATCTGCTGCTTCCGGGATGAGCCGGCGACACCCCCAGACAGGTTGGTGTCGCTGGGAGACATGATTGACGGGATATCGAGCAGATTCTCACTTTTCTCTCACTCAGGGACGCCTCATGGATGCAAACTTGGATGCGGAGAAGGTCGGGCTTCCCGGCTCGAACCTCGATAAGATGTGGGAGTATATGGAACGGTCGCACAAAACTGAATATAAATCTGCGACTTTCCGCCGAGGAGCGAATTTTTAGGGCAGCGGGGGGAGGTTTTAACTGGCGCGATATAGTAAGCAGCGGTCCTGCGGGGTCTGCAACCCTCGCAGCTCCGAGATGGAGCAAAGCAGGCTAGATATCTGCACTTTTCATGCTCATGGAGAGAAGGGAGATCGCCAGATGAAGTAAGCCAAGGATTGAGTAAAAGGATGAAAAAAAAAGGGAAGAGCTATGAACAGTGCTCTAGGGAAGAGACAGTGCGCTTGTGGTCAACGGACTAAAACCACCAGTCAGAGACAGCAGAGCAGGTTGTGCGGAGAGAGAAGAGAGAAGAGAGAGAGGACAGCCACCAAACCAGGACTCTCCTTGGAAACCTCTCCTCATGGTCACGAGATTTTTTGGGGTTCGGAGGTTCCAGTTTGGCCGAGTTGGTCCGAGCGCTGGCGTTTTTCCACAACATCATCTCTTGCGATCAATCAAAGAGCCACCAATTGTCAGCCGGCCGAACCGCCTCCAACTTGCTAGCAATTGGGGTGATAACCGATTCCGCACATTCCGCCGACATATTTACGATCGACTGATCTTTTGCTCGTCCAAGATGTCGCTTTCTAACATTGTCGCCCGCACCTTCGAGGTGCCGTGGGTAAAGCGAATGGCAATGCCGTTGGCCCAGTGGTACACCAATGCCGCCGGATACAGACAGATGGGACTCAGGTGCGTGCAGCTGGGGCGAGCAGGCGATGGAGCGACCACGATCCAGTGCCATTGGCGCCCCTCCGCGATAACAACCCCCAACCGACCACGGGTGCTGATGTGTTTTGGAAACCAAACAGATATGACGATCTGATCCCCGAAGAGAACGATGTTGTCCAGCAGGCCCTCAAGAGACTTCCTCCCAAGGAGGCTTATGACCGTATCTACCGCCTCCGACGAGCATTCCAAGTAGGTCTTTTTATTTTGCCCTCTTTGGATGTTTCAGTTGAGCAAAAGACAGGAGACACGCAAGTGATGGTGATAGTGACAGTTAGGAAAATGTGGTTAACAAGTTGTGTGATTATCAATAGCTCTCATTGCAGCAGCAGATTCTGCCAGTGAGCGAGCACACCAAGCCGCAGGAGGTAAGCCCATGCCCAAAGCCAGCCGCTTTGCTTATATCAGTGCATCCATGGTCATGTGGCTGCTTGCTAACTACCTGGCGGCAACGCAACATAGGATGTCCGCTACCTCCGCCCTCTCATTGAAGAGGTTGAGCGCGAGCAAAAGGAGCGTGAGGATTTGGATGCCATGGTTATCAAGAGATAGATGCTACTTGTGTGGTACCTACAATGAGACCAAGCCAGCCGTGACTCAAAGACGGGCACAGTGTGTTCACTGACACCCAATTAGAGGAGCAGATGTGTTAAGGAAGAAGTTTTTCTGGCTATCCCAGTGGGAGGGTGACGCAGTGATGTGTTATTAGAATGGAAATATCCTTGAATTGTACAGATATTGTCGTTTAGATTCCATGGCGGAGGAGTTGCTAGACGAGGAATAAAACTCCTATTTCAGTTTCCTGGCACTGTTCTTTTAGATGATCTAACTACCGTAGAGATACCCTAGGAGAACCGCTCTTCAGTGGCCAAAAGCCGAGCTACTCAACTCGTCGACGTCGACAACGCGGCATGTCAGTTCGATGCCAAACTGCCGCCAAGGCCTGGCCACCGATTTCCCCTTCGAGTCACCGCATCCAGCTGCGATGACACCCTAAAAATACTGACTCTACCTTGAAGACGCCAAGCTACATCAAGGAGAACTAGACCCGAAACAAAAAAAAAAAAAAAGGCCACCAAATGACCAAGAAAGTAGCAGCATTGAAGTGGGAAGTGTGTCTACAGATGGGATGGGAACAAGACAAAGAGATGAAAGCTATTTGCCTCTTCCACCGTTGATCGCGTATCACCACCTGATCCCGCCCCTCTCGCAAAACGATGACACAGATGATGTATGTGTGTACCCATGGCACGTATGCATCGAAGAGAGACCCATCAATGGCGAACACGATTCTCCGTACGAAGTACGAAGTTTAACAGTTAATCTTATTCAATCGTTTGCCATTCCCCCTCTCGGGACAACCGCAGAAAAAGTATGTCTCGAGTGACACACACCAAGGACGGGAAAAGGGTTACATGGCATCCCGTCAGGCCCAACCAAGCAGCTCCCCAAGCCGCATGTGCAGCTATTTTCTCCTTCTCGTTTTTGCTCTTGTTTCCTCTATTTTTTAACTTTTGTTTTTTTTGTTTCGCTCTTCCAACCGTTAGGACCGGGTGCCTAGGGAACTCACATGGGGCTCTTTTGTATTCGAGGGAGCAGGAGGATGAAACGCGAGCGCAGCGGATCGCGAAGATCGGGAGCATGGGTGTTTGCGACCGCCAAATCAGGTGATCGGCCCCTGTTATCTCCTTCAGTCAATTTCTATTATATTATTAGTTCGTAACAAGTCGAGCCGCGCACAGGGATTCCATGATGCCAGCTCTCTATCACCTCTCTCTCTCTCTCGCACACGCACATCCCCGGCGGACGGATGCATCAACAGCGCATGGATTCAGGGCAAATTTGCTCAAACGGATGGTGGCCAGGATGAATGGGTCGACACATGGCCCGCCTTAGCTAATTTGAACAGGATTCTGGAAGTCTTTCCGATTTCCTTTCTATGTAGGTTATGTGTAACTCGACAAAATCATACTCGCTTTTTGAGTACGATGGCTCAGACGACTTGCTGTGCATAAACAGAAAGCACTGGTCACATAGGAAATCAGATAGAAGTCCATCTCCCTTGGGATTAGGAAAGGAAACAACAACAACAACGAAAAAAAAAAAAAAAAGACAAAGATATGCTCTTGTCAAAGAATTCTAACATAGCCTTTGAAAAGAAAAAAAATGTCGGGGAGCATCGTGAGGAGGGGTATGTACGGCGGGGTAACAAGGGTTGCCGGGTGGTTTAGTATATGTACAAGCGCGGATAAGGAAGTCCAGGGGTGGTGAGAAGGGGGGAAAGGTAAGTCTAGTATTAGAACACCGGGGAAATAAGGTAGAAAAGAGAGCTAGAAGAAATGAAAGGAACATCTGTTAGGGCGTGACTACGCCTCCGACGTAATACTTTAGGCGAAATGTGGATCAATCAACAACTGCTTCTCCTTCTTGATATTCTCAATGACCTCGATGGGTACGTTGATGGCAGCAGCAGCCATGTCCGATGGAGTCAGGGCAAGCCATTGGCCGAGAGAGATGTCAGCAACCCGGTCAGCCTTGTAAATTTCGAGGTAGATAAGGTCTTCGGTCTCGGAGAGATTTTCAACATAATGACCTGTAAGGATCAGTTAGTTAATCTCATTCCGTTGAAAATGGTGTCCTCTCGAAAATGGATATACGTACCGCTATTGTCTGGGAAGACACCAGCATCACCTGCTTGGAAGTCAAAGGTTCGAGTGTTGCCGGCACCGATGTACACGGTTGCGCGTGCAGTACCTTGGTGGAAGTAGAGCCATTCCTCAGCCTAGGTGTGGGTAATAAGCCGTTAGTTCACTGATTAGACCGCAAAAACTTTTCCGGATCATGTTGTCTTACAGTTGGATGCCAGTGGAGTTCTCGGAGACCGCCTGGTTTGAGGGTGACGACAGTTGCAGCAATGGTCTTGGAGATGGGGAAGTTGCGTGAATCAACAATCTGGATAGTTCCTCCACGTCCAGGAACCTCCTTGTGCTGCGACGGGTGGCTGTGGAACACATAGGAGCTGTTACCCATCAACTCTCCTGCCGGACCAGTCACATTCTTCATGCTGACAGTCGAGTTAACAACATGAGGATCGGGGTTCCACGATGTGTCGAAGGTACCCTCGGGAACGCCGAAGTTCTTAGCAAGGACAGACTTTGGCGTATGGGTAATCCAATCGTTAATCATAAATGTGGTTCTATCACGCTATTAGAATCTCGCCCATCCCTTGGAGCGGTCACGATACATACCCAACGCGAGAGAAGTCACCGTCGTCGAAGCACAGCAGGACTTCGTTTTCATCCTCCATACCTAGAAAGTCCGCTTGTGAGCATGCTGGCTAACCTTACCGGCAGCTGGTAGGAGTGGCATTGCGGGCCTTACCCTGAAGAGAATGAGCGGTTCCCTTGGGGAAATAATACATGTCTCCAACGTCGAGGTAGTCCAGCTGGAATTGGCCGTTTTCATCGACAGCGGATAGGAGAATTCGGCCGGCGTACACATAACCCCATTCGGCCTATTATTGTAACGATGTTCTCAGTAAAGAAGCCTCCCAAGATATTGCTCTTTTGATCCAACATACAACTCGGTGCCAATGCATCTGTCGAATTGCTCCTTTGCTCATGTGCACTTGAGCGCCAGCAATGTCATTACTGGCTGGTAAATCTGTCTTGACCTGTTCACGTAGCCAGCCGCCGTGGAACATCTTGAGTTTCGAAAGAGAGAAACTCCATTTCAGATTTGGAACGGTACCACTATCCGTGTCAGTGGATGCACCGAGGGCGCTGGGGTTCTGCAAATCGATTTCGCGGTTGGTAGCACCTGATGTCATACCGAACTGTCAGCGACCATTGTTTCTTCCAGTGACTAGCGGCGGCGAGGAATTAGAACGATTAATGCATACCAGCAAATGGAGCACCCCTGCCATCCTCGCCAACGGGAATACCCTTCTCGAACTGTCCCGGCAAAACTCCTGCGCTCGCGAGCGCTGAGAAGCCGGCGAGAAGAGCTGAAGTGTACTTCATATTATCTGAATTCTTTGCCTTCTTTCGCCTTGGATCTCACTTCGCTTTCTGTTTCTTAGGATATGGTGGTCCTCAAGAGAAGTGACTGTGGAAAGACTGTATCAAGGGAAGCCACATGAAGGTGCGGAAGGGCTCATTTATCTACATTTGATATTGCTCGAGAGTGAAGCCATCGGTATCCGCCTTGCAGAAGAAGGATGCCCCTAGCAAGGCGCTTTGCCCCCCTGATCCCCGAACATTTTCACGCACTAATTGAAACAGCGGGCTTAAAGGAAACACAGATCGTGTTTTTTTTTCATATTCGTTTATTTTTTTCTTATTTTTTGCCCCCGACCTCGCATTTTCCGCCGCCGAGCGGGACAAGACGGAAAAATGGAGTGAGGCTAGAGGAACTCAAGACATTGGCATCTGCGGTCCTCGTGTCATGATACCATGCAGCTCTTGTGAGACACTTGGGAGCTGCCTGAAATCGAAGAGCAAAGGAACCTTGGGGTATCTGGGAACTTCGCTTGGCGATCTTTGACGAAGTGGAAAAAAAGAAAAAAAAAAAGGTACCCAAGGTCTTCCGACCTCGAGATTAGTAGCATTCAGGACGTGAGAGCGCTATAGACAGGGATTGCCTAGGATTCCGGTAAAGCTCTTCTAGAGTTTCAATTTGATTCATCGTTTCATTTCATTTGTGCGTATTTTTATTTTTAATTTTTATTTTTTAGAAAACCTTTTTTCCTTCCCTATCGCGTATTCTGAAGGAAGATCGGCCTCCATGTTGGGTGGCAGAGCAAGGGTGGACGCATTGACTAGGGGTGCCTTGCAGGGCCTGGTCATCCAGGGGAAGCGCACATAGAAACCGTGGGGTAGCAGGAGCAAGGATTTTCGTAGAACTCGAGCCTCGATCTGAGATGAATCAACGAACGTGTCATTTTAGCGTCTAATGGCAGCGTTCAATACCGACACGAATACAACGCTATTATCTGACCAAAACATCGAACAACCGCCGCAGGACGTGCAAACAGAGTGCGGCCCGTGACGTAATTCGTCACCTCGCGGACCACGCCACACAGCTGGGCGGAGCCGTCGCGTATTCGACCTTTTGACGTTAGGTAAAGCTCTTGAGTCACCATCCATGCCAGCCGACTAAATGGCTGCCCACATACGATATGTGCATCGCAACCTGAGCCTTGCAAGTTGCAGCCATGGAAAAAGCCATGTGCTTGACGACAGCTCCGCTCCACACACAAAAGTCCGTGCGATTGTCAACAGCGACGACCGCACCCATGCGCTCCGAAATTGACCCGAGATATCCAGAACTCTCGTGCAAACAGCCCTTCTCCTCGAGCAACCATGGACATCCCCGCGCCCGCACGTTGGCAATCGTCAAGGATAGAGCTGATGGGGATGGTATTCTTGACGGGGATGTCTCGTTCAAGGGAGACGCCATCTCACCTGCGTCCCGCCGTCCGCATCGCCCAGCGGGGAGGCAAACCAGGCAAACAGATCCAACCAACGGAGCTGAACTCGCACTGCCAGTATCGATGGCAGCCAATCAAAGCAACATATCCGGTTAGGCCCTCACTAGCCAGTAAGCACAAACCCAAGTTGGCTGTTGGGCATGGCCTCCGCTGAAGCCGGGCCTCCGCAGTTATGCAGGCGCAAGTTTGGAACTACCCTGGCTGCACGTGATCCCACGCTGGCTCCATGAAGGTCGTATCCCGAAATATCAACAAACCCTGAGCCAACACCGACAACAGTATCAAGATTCAGTCGAGATGAATTGGTGCGCGAAATACAGCCCACTCCTGCGATGCCCAAAATTCATTTCCATACACTCCCTTCACTCCACGCCCAAAATAATAATTCCCCGTTCCCGATCCGATCCGTTCGGTCTGCTCGGGTAGTCAGACTAGCCGCTTCACCCCACCCCGACCGAGCATTCGGTTCGGATCCCCGAGTTTAGGCACTTTTGAAGGCTCCGTGTCTGTTTACTCCACACACGCGTTGTATCTATATGTATGTTATCTAGGTATGTGTGAAAGTACATCTACGTGCGTACATGCATCCATACCTGCTGGCTCTGCGTAAAAGCCGGTGGCCAGCCAAGAGATGTCAGCAATGGCGTTCAGAGCCTCTTGAGGCAGCCGAGGCAAACGAACGGGTAGCAAACCAGCAACGCAGAAATATTACCTAATTCGATTGCGGCAAAAGTCAGTTTTGGTGTCTGGGGTTCGTAACAAAAACCCGGGGTGTTGCCATGGACTAGGGGTTCTGATCCCATTCATTTCTAGAATGCATGGAGATTTGGTGGCTCCTTGGCCTTTCTTTTCGGCTTTGGTCCCTGCGCACTTCTCGACGGTCCCTTCTAACAGGGAATGCATCATATGGTTGGCAGCCTGGTTTCTTGCAATCGTCACTGCGCTTGGACGGTCGTATGTTTTTTGGAGAACTTTTACATTTGTGGGGAAAATCGTCCGTTCTCGCACGGGATGTCCAGAGCCATGCAACCATCCAAAACACCCTGAGAAACCGGCTTAATTTGGGCTGAAAAAAGTACCACAATGGGCAGTTTCGGCTACACCATACCGAAGCGTAGTGCCCGGTGTCTCATTTCCAAGACTCGAGTTTGTGATTAAAATTAGGTTCATTTCGGCTCTTTGCTTGGGAGAGAAGATGGAGATGCTTCTCCGGGGAGGAAGGGAGACTGACTAAGGGGAACAACTGCTATTGACGCCTCTGACTTCCTTGCTCCCCTTATGGACAACCTAGTTGGCCCATCCGATTGCCATGCCTTGAGAGAACTTCTCGGGTTCTCCGCATTTTTACCCCAGATATTGATGGCCATCGACAGTTCACCTTGCAGCGTGTGCACAAAACACCTGCAAAATTCCTGGTCACCAATCACGCCATCTGCATGAGAAGGCCCAAGCTTTGTGGAGGCTCGTGGTGAAATTAAACATGTTTCAATCCCGCCGCCCCCCTTGACCTGCCTTGGCTCTTGGGAGTTTATCTTGGCTCATAGAAATGCTCATCACTGGGGCCCTTGTAGATTCGCGTTCAGTTGATCATTCTCATGCTGCATTCTTTGTGAAAATCACTTGACAAGTTTTCTGTTGGTCCTTTGAGAATATTGGCTGGCTTTTTTTCCTTTGCCGTTGAATCTCTGCGTCTCAACCTCGCATGTCTTGTCTCAATAGTGGACATCGGCAAGCGCTTTTCATACCACCCAACAAAATAAAAGTCAAAAAGTTTGATGGAGCAGCTAAAAGCAGATCCTTGAGCGGCCAAAAAGTCTGATTTTCCCTCCAACCAATCGAAACGGCAGACGTCTTCGAGTCATCAAGTAACTAGCGCGGCAAAATCAAGCACACATGTCGACAGATCCCCGACCGGCTCTCACTTTTATCTCATCATTTCAACGACTATGGGCGGATCGTTATCTTGTGATCATACGATTTACTTAAATATTATCAATGAAAACCCGAAGAATGACCAAAATCAGTCTTTATTCATCAGTGAATTGCAGAATAAAAACCCAAAGAGCCGAGAGATGCAGTTGAGCCTGCCCGTACTAGGATGTCTATGCATCGTGCCGCTCGGCTCCTCTTCTCGAACTAGATTTGCAAGCTCCAAGAGTCAAGCGTCTCTGTTGATTGATCTGAACTCCAGTGAGCAAAGCCTTGGCTACTCAAAGCGGTAGCTGGAAGAGACAACCGCACTTCGAACGTCGCGACTACGCAGAATACCCGGCGCGGCCTCGGGATCCTTGTTCACACCTCCGCCGCTAGCGTGCACTACCGAGTCCGACCCCGGTAAGCCGAGTGATACCCTATCAAGGGGAAAACTGTTAGAGCATAGTTTTCGTGGACGGAGAAAGCTGACTGCAGGATTGTTATCACGAATTTTCTTCCATAGTCGACATGGGATCTGATTCCCCTTTTCAAGGGATGAATGTGATCGGCGTGAATATTCACTGGGACCCTTCGTCCAACTCAACCGTGCGCGTCGTAGCTTTTTTTTTAATTACCCTCCAACGGTTTTGTGCCAAGGGTCTCAGGTCGCGAGACGATGCAGTTCTGTTTTGCCGTCCTCTCTACCATTTTTAGATTCTCCAGTGTTCAGCTGCGCGCCCTCCGTCATCTTCCAATATCAGTCTCCCGGGGATGTTACGATTTTGGAAAACGCTCGTGGGTATTCTGTGTGGTCAGTTGTGACGGCTGGACCGGTAAAGACGACGCGCCAATCGCCTTGCATCGTGACGAGTTGTTTAACACCTAATAAGGCAAGCATCTGCAGGATGCGCCACGCAACAGGCGAAAAGGCTGCCAACAGCAGCGAGCCACATCTTAATGTGTGTGCATGCGTGTAGAGTTGGCTCGATCTCTAATTTAAGAAAGTCTGCGACCAAACGAGAAAAAAGAAATACAAGTTGCATCGTGCATACCGTAAACCGACGAATCCGGAGCGCCCTATAATGCACTCATTTTTGCGGCTGCACAATTCTTAGCTCACTAACTCGTGCAGGCTGGCGAGCCGATTCTTCGAGAAAAATGGTTTTGTCACTAACAAACCCAACGGTCGACGCACGCCCGAATCTCCCGTTACAGACTTGGTCACTCCAAGATCGCCTCCCGTCTGACTAGGGCCCACATCACGACCGAGCACCGCCATTTTGTCGACGATCAATTCACGGATACGGGAATCTTCAGCTCTCCGCCGCCCATGAGGATGGTTATTCTTAGAAAATGTTAGAAGCGTGGACGGAGTAGGAGGAAAACGTTCATCGTCGGTCCCCGGAGAAAATTTATTCGGAAGTAAACAGGATTTAATTTAGCTCAGAGTAATTGTTAGTGTCCTCTCTCTTGGTCTGGCTTCGTCTTCTGGCCCTCAGCCGGCAGCCATGAAGCACTCGATATCTTGCCGTTGTGGGCAGTGGTATTAGTTACCTAATGGTCCAATAAATCGAACCCCGAGTTGACAAGAACCTGGACCCCGAGGAGACTCACTATAAAACGAAATATCACGACAGAGTTTGAGCATTTCACACACAAGAAAAGAGCATCGTCCTTGGGCTACATACTCGAGGCTTGGACTCGAATGCCCAGAGGTCCTCGCTGACGGGAATCAGCTCGCGATAGCTGCCCCGCGGAGAATGCGGACGACGTTCAAAGCAGCAAAAATACGAGACCTGGTCGTATATGCTCTTCTTTAGCTCAGTCCTCCTGCCCAGAGAAAAGCTGCTCTCAGCATTCTTAACCTTGTCAATTGGCAAAGTCTCTCCAAAGTCTGAGGCGAGAGTGACCTTGTAGCGTCAGCTCTGATAACTTCACCGCTATCGCCTGTCTCCGCATTGCCTCAGGATTGCTGATGATCACGATTCACAGCATACCCGGTCCATGGCCTATTTCATTGGACTCCGCGCTTGACGGCGAGTGTTATTTTCACAAGTGAAGGCCTGCAAGGATGAGTTCGCAATAAGCAGGCGAGGGCAGGGAATAAATGTCAATGCAAACATACCCGCTTGATGCAGGGACAGGGCAATAAGGTATCATTCCCATGTTTTTTCTAGCATCATGGCCATTACCCCTGACTATCAATCCCGTGAATAGCGTGGATAACTTTCGCACAATAAACAGGGAGTAATAGCCGCAAACCAATCTTTCGCCCAGCCCAAAGGTGTCCCGATGCGTTGTTTTGATACCTAGCGCCGCATGAGAACTAAGCTAAATGGACAAGGCCAGGATGGCAAGTTCGCTAGCTGCGTATGGACTACGCTAAAGCATCTCCCTGGTCTCAACACGACAGTCTTGGTCTCCGGCCTGGGTCTGTGGGATGAGCACGGAGACGAAAGACTCTCCTTGGTCAGCTTCTGCAGTATTTGCAAACCGGACAAAGGGAGAATTTCGATCCACGGGACGGTCAATCTCGAATTAGCGAAACTGACCGTGTTTCTTGTTAAATCACGGATCCTACAAGCAGTTTTTGGTTGAGGGACCATTGAGGAATGAACGGAAATAATAGCATGAATCATATTCCGTTCTCGAAACAAGCCCCAAACGTCGCGATTGCAGCCAAGTAAGTCGTTTTCTCAATCTCATTTAATGATCTCCTCGAGTCAGGAAGAACTGACGGCAGTCAGGAAATGGTTACAATCGGGTTCTTCGACTAAGGGGCAGACCTTGGTTGTCTGTCATAGTCAATTACTCCGACCATAGCCACGAAGGTGAAGCTGATCCTCGGGCTTTGCAATACGCCAAGCATGAAGTAGGTTACGAAAGGTTCCTGCAATGTTCAGTTGAGGACGGTTCAATGACCGGGCGTGATGAAACGGATGGCATGGAGCGTGGTCGCATTGAGAAACACGGGATTCCTATATGTGCCCCTGGAGTATGGTATTCAAATTCGAAAAGGAAGTCCTTGGTGCAAGAAGCTGTTGAGCTGATCATCTAGAGTGTTCGCAGTTTCGTATTGAAAATGCATAAAATAGGAACCCCATGCTGCGGGAAGTAACTCATCTGAAAGAACCACATGGATATCCCGCGTTTTCGTTTGGATCAATCTTTGCATTCGCTGGAATTGTAGCCGTTTTTTATCGAGCAAAGCTGGCTAAAGATGGCATTCGGAGGATGGTCGAAATCAGAATCGAAGCAAGGCAGTATTTGCGACAGATTGGAATGTGGTTATTAAGAACAAAGAATATGTTACTAGAAACCGACCTCTGCGGTAACACCGGCCCGCCCTATCGATCCCTCTCAGATCGTCCAAAGATACGTCCATTGAAGAAGTATGCGTTAGCCATCCAATTGAGGAAAAATAGCATGATGGCAGCCCGCTAGTCTGTGAAAAGCTTCATCCTGGAGACGTAGGCTTTTATTGTTGGTCGCGAGCACTTGGTGAGGGGATAGTCATACGTATACGCCCAGCTATCCAGGAAAGCATATAAATGTCGGGGCTATCAGCTACAGCATGTCTGACATGCCCATTCATACAGTTGCACACCGCTGGTATCTTTATCAATCGTTTTGTTTTTCAGTCGATCCAGTCCTCGTCCTCCTTTTTCCCATCCAACCCCCTTCCCCCGGACTGTAGATTTGCCGAGCGTGGCCTCTTGTCGTGGGATGTGCTATTGCGACAACTGATCGACATGCTAATCCAAACGTGCCGTCAAGTAACTCGCGGTTGACATTCACGGTAGGGAGCTCTAGTAGGAGGTAGCAAGGGGTTTCCGAAGGTATAGCTTGTCTCCGAGTTGAGACTCTATAGGACGCGATGATGCCAGAAAGAGCATTCTCGCTGAAGGCCAGCATATCACGAGTTTGTCTCCAAAGGGATCCTGAATTCCCATTTCTGATGGGATATCTCAATAGATGAAAGTGACCAAAATTTGATAATTCACCACGCATGAAGCTCTCCAACAAAGCTAAGCACAGATCATTCGGCCCGCTGAAAAGACCAGATCCGATCAAGGTACCCTTGACCCTATCCATGGACGATCATGCATTATACGATTCACAATAGTCCGTGAGTCAGGGTCTCCAAAGGTGGTTAGGAATAGGACATGGGCGGTATCTTCAGGTTTAACCCGTTCTCGACACCATGAACCTCCCGCATGTCTAACTAGCTCGATATTATACGACTGCTATTTAAATTAGCGTGGCTTAGGTTAGTGTGCACACGGTGATGGGCTTTGTGCTACGATAGCGCATATCGTACCCGATACACATTTTAATTTCAAAGGCATGCATAAACGGTTTATTCCATTGCCTGGTCAACAGCTTTCGTTTCGCGGGCTCGCCTCCCGTTACCTTGAAACCGGCCTGAACAGCCTGGTTGTCATCATGGCATTGCACATCGTGTATAAGCCCTTGCTCAAGGTGCAGGTATATTTCCGATTTTTCGGAATCCAAGTCGAAAGGGCCTCCCAAGACTTTGCCGCCATTTATCGCAACTTCAAGTTTGAAGGTTACAATCAAGACGCCTCAACAAAGGGTCTCCTTCAATAAACTGCTTTTTAGTGAATTATACAAGCCGCTTTCAATGTTATTGTTTTGCTCCCCCGACCTTTCCCACCTTAGTTGAGGTGTAACTCGATTCGTGCACACAAAAATGATGATACCACCAAACAAAAACACCCCTCCCAAAAAAAAGAAAAAGAAAAGAAAAGAAAAGAGGATCACAATTTGAGATTTGATAATTGTATCATCAAGGGAAATATTGCCCCAGTGACAATACACCTTTGTAACTATGGTGAAAACTCGAAAAGTATGAGTGCGAAGCTTTGCGATGGAGTGGAGGCTCGGATATGTTCATGAGTTTCATCAACATCAAGAAAGATGGAGGTAGCAAGGTCAGATATAAAGGGCGTGCCCAAAATTACCACGACTGTCACTTGCTTTAAGATCAAGCCTTGAGGGATGAGCAGGCAAAGAGGCTGCCACAGAATGGCATTAGGCATCATCGCCAGTGCTGTAGTGCAGGTCTTAGCGGCCTTCCTTGGATCTCACAAATGGCATATTGAAGGCTTTGAGTGCGGCGTCATCCAGTGGAACGCCTTCATGTCCAGTATTTTCCTTTTTAATGCATATTTGTCGGCAGCCCTTAGTAGTACAACTAGATAGAGACGTCCAATACATCATCATTTCGAGTCTTACAGTGGAACAAGAAAATAAACCCCAAAGGATATCGGTGGGAGGAGAGTAATGAGTTTGACCATGCTGAGCGAGAAATTCATGACGAAACTTTTTTGATTGAACTCGGGTCACATGACACAATGTTGGTTCCGTCCGTCTTACGCCAGCCTTTCAGGGGCGGAGATAAATGGGGACAGCTGCAATGAAAAGCAAGTCCTGAAATAGGGACATGGGGAGTTCAGGAGTCCAGGTACACTTCTGGATGTGTTTCCATTTGCTAAACCCTAGCGTTTGTTTTATCAATGGTCTACTCCATACTAACTCCTTCAATGTACCCTTTTAACTACAGGATCAAGTGCGTTCGCTGGCAAGATGTTAAGGGTATCTATGCATGACAAAGTTGCTTGTTGCCATGAGCTCATTAGGGGTGTTGAAGCACCAGATTGCTGCTCATCTGGCGGGGCCCTTCGACTGCAGTAGGGGTCTGAACGGACACATTTGACAAGATTTTCACTCTTCTTTACCTGTTTTGCTAAATGTGCAATTAACCTGCTGGCGGGTATCAAACAACTCCTCCCTTTGGCGATGACTGATTCAGAGCTGTCATTTCCCTCCGGTATTTGGCCCTGGGCAATAAGTATGGTAGCCTGTGTTTCACTTTTTCACTCGACACTGTTTATGCCTGGTTGCATTCCTACAAGCTATGGTGTGAAACAGTGACTAAACCCCGAAACATTCTTATATGCCCGCTCGAATGCTTAACAACGCTTTTCTTCGGGAACATTGCTTGATTTAGGAGGAACTAGGTCAAAGCATTCCTTTATATGCGCATAATGAGGATGAAAGCAACAAAGGAGGAGAACATGGATCCCATGGATGGAAGTACGCGTACGGAGTACTCCGTATATACCCATACTTTCGGGGAGACCATAGATATCCATCTCATACTTCGTATCATTATAGGTGTCTCCTTCAGTCTTTCCCTGGCTGTTACCTGATTCGGGTATCACAATGTTTAAATATGCCGATACAACGTACAGAGTACATTTAACAAGATTTATCGGACGCTACGGAGTATAGTGCTGGCTAACTCAAACTACACCACGAGATGCTGTCAACGTCAGGATATTAAGCTTTGCTCGGTACCCCAACTTTCTGTTTCATTGTCAGGGAGAGCGTTCTCTACTGATATTTCCAATTATTGTGCATTCCATTTATTTGCGGCAATTAATCTCAATATAACGCTGCTACCCTTCCCTCAACCAACTTTGTGGCACTTTGGTCTTTGCCGGGTTGCCTGCAATCCATGCTTTACCCATCTTCAGATGTCAAATCCAAAATGATACCATATTACTTCACCGCGAGCCTGCCTCTAGCAACCCCTTCAGAAAGAAAGACTTTGGAAGCTAAGTAAGTTTGGACCGAAATTGCTCAAAGAGACATATTTCAAGGCGATGGAAACAAGCGATCAAATATATGCTATAACTAGTGGCTCGCTCCCAATGATAGAGTAGTCAAAGCTAAATACAATCGAGGTTAGGGAGCTTAAAGTAGTCCAAGCATGCCGTCAATGGGCTCTCTATAAACAGTGATTGCCTCTAATTTTGCATAACTGCCAAATCAACATTCTCCCACCGCCACATATACCACATAAATAAGCTTCTATACGGCGCAAAGGGCGCCGCAATCTCTAGCATCTCCTTTTCCGCCATGTACTTGAACTTGCCGCCTCCCTTAGCTTTAAGTTTCGCAATGTCGCGTCCGACAAACGCTGCCATGCCTCGCCTGGAGAAATTCGTAAACGGCTATAAATCAAAGGGGAAAAAGGATGGGAGGAAATATGACTTACTGCACCCCCAGATCTCCCGTAGAAAACACATCCATCCTCTTGAGACCAAAAACGGAAAACATCTCTACCGACCACTTCCCCAGTCCACGCACCGCGATAAGCTTCTCAAGAACGTCCTCATCGCTCGCAGTTAGCAACATGCGCGCGCTCAACTCCCCGTTGACGAACTTCTCCGCTAGGCCTTGGATGTATTCCGCTTTTCGCTGGGATAGACCGGCTGTGCGAAGAGTCGCAAGATCGCACTTCATAACCTCTTCCGGGGTTGGAAAGCGCACGGCACCATCCTCACTTTTCCTATCATTTTCATTGATACTCTTTTCCGTGTTTGTCCCGTAGTCATAGTCATTTGCCTGTTTGGCATTTTCGCTCTTAACTTCTGTGGCATCGGCAAGAGCCCCCGTAGTACCAGCTACTGCTAGGCCCTTGTGGAACAGAGCCACGAACTTCTTCTTGATCGACTTCGCCGCGGCACCTGAAACCTGTTGTCCAATGATGCCGCTGGCTAGGGCCTGGAACGGGTCAATCTCCTCGGCCAAATCAGAGGGTGAAAACGGTGGGGATGGGTATTTTTCAATCACTGAGCGCAATTTCGGGTCGACTTTCAACAGGTGGGCCAGGCCCTGCTCGAGGATATTTCCCGTTGTTGCGGTGGGACGGGGAATACCTGTTTTCGAGGGAGAAGCCTCCTCGATGGTTCGTGGATAGGCTGTTAGATGTGTTCCGTGGGGAGTAACGAGTGTTGCCGTTGTGCGGTGCGGATCAACCGGGCGATTTAGGTCCGGGTGTGCTGAAGACGCCGGTTTGGGCCTGAGGGTTGGAATGAAAGGGGGAGGTGTGGATGGGGCAGCAGGTCTCTCCCCATCGTGGCTGGCTTCCCGTTTTCTTTTCCTTGGAGCCGACGGTCCAGGAGCAGCGGATTGGGGCCCTCGTGAAGTCGTCCCTTTAGCTGCCCTTTTTCCAGCGCTCGAGCTCGATTGGATCGATGTCTTCGTCGCTGCGGGTTTGTCAACCCGACTTTTCTGGGCTCGTTTACTGACGATATTTTTTACTTCTGACATCTGCTCTGTCGTTTTTGTGGCTGCTTTTTGCGTCGCAGCGCTGATACGGGCAGAGCGTCGAGCGGCCATCGGTGTGGCCGGATATAAAAGGTTCAACCTCTTTGTGAGGAGGCTAAGTCTCATGCGACAAGTTGGAACGTCAAGCTCAGTTTCTTTTTTCTTGTTTTTAAAGAAAAAAAGGTAACACCTGTCAATCACCTTGCGCAAATGGGTTTCAAGCCACCTGGTCACACAAGGCAGTAACACTTGAATTCAGACTCCAGACCAGAGGAACTCGTGTTATCGGCGTGTCGCGCGTTTAATTAGTTAACCAATGAACTACCTAGCCTTGTTGCCAAAGTAACCAACACCAAAAGCCGTGGCCCTACTGTGTACTAGGCCCTGATGGTACATATAATAGCAGATTTGTCCACCATCGCATCCATTTGGGCTTGTGAAATGTCAAGCAGATCGATCATGAGCCATGTGCTTTGAAATAATATACTGGTGGTCCATTCACAATTCTTGGTCTGTCCACTTGGAACGCGGTCCAAGCAACATAGACCATGGAGAAATGCATTTTGTGCTGAAGGCAAACACCATGAGAGATCAATATTAATTACCTATCAAGATTGTATCTTGATGTTGTATTGTCCCAAGCAGCATGACTGTGTTTAAACCATGGCTGGGACGCTTCCGTCTTTGGTGGTGGAGATGTGGTTTTGATGGCTTTCATCGGCTCCCCCTTTTCCTCTCCCTTTTCAAAGTCGATTCCGTCCAACTATAATCAACGATTGAAATCTACGAACCCTCCAAGTAGTAGAGAGATATTTTGGGTCGTGAAAGCTTCTGATCCCTCTAATATCCAAATATTGGATCTTTCGCACTTTATATGGTTCCTATATACAATTGACGGTTCACACTGAATGTACCTCAGGCGCTAGTAAAATTTCGCCCAGCGGGATTGCGTTCGGACCTTTGTACGAGCTCCTTGTCACAAACCACCATATGGCCACGAAAATAGACAAGCCTCCCGTTATAAGAGACGTGTAATTCATCGTCTCTGCATCCGTGGGTAGCGCGTACGGAAAGCAGAAAATGACGACAAAAGCGATAACGTATGAGCACGAGATTCCATTGACGAGGAAGCCAAGCGGGCCTTTCATGTAGAAGCGGCCTGGATTGATGCTTCTTCGGCCACTAAGGAGATGTGGCAAGATCGCTGTAACATAAGAGAGTGAGGAGAGGACGGCGAAGGAGCCTACAAATGCGTTAAATGCAGTTTTTGACCCGACGTATATGCAGCCGAGGGCGACTACTACCGCACCGCAGGCCAGTGTGGCATTGAAGGGATTGCGGAATGTGGGATTGATGCGTGACATCCAAGGACTGAATGGAGTGGCGTTGTCACGCGCAAGGGTCCAGAGAGTACGACCTGCGGTGAGGTAACAGCCAATGCATGTCAAGAAGGTCGGGAAGAACATGACAATGAGAAGACCGAGAGCACCGCCCCTTGATCCCGTCGCCTGATAGTAGATTTCGGCCAGGGGAAACGGGGTGTTCGTGGTTAACACGGCGTCGAGGTCGTTGATTGCGTACAAGAGAGCAACCATATATGGAATAGCAGTCACGAAACCGATTACCATTTGTGCCAGGATTGCCTTGGGAATGTTTCGACTTGGTCTGGAAGCGAAAGAATTGATGAGTCCAAGCTGGGCGAAACGAAACCGGCAAAGGAATAAAACATACCTTGGAATTTCTTCTGCCATATGAGAGGTGACGTCAAGAGCCCCAACCGTGTATGCACCATTCAACATACCTGCCAGGAAAACGAAGGCATTGCTCTCATACCCGGTTTGATTTTGCCAGTCTTTCCAGACAAAGCTATTCGATGCATAACCCAAGCCATTGACGTGGGGCATGGTGGCGCAGACCAGAATGCTCACAATAACTCCTCCGATAATCAGAATTGAGCCCAGGTGGCCGGTGTATGGGAGAAATCGGTTTCCAAAGAGGACAGTAGCGCAGCAAAATATCGTGCAGACGATGTAGACTACGAACACGTTCCATGGCTGCACTTCCCGCTCGGGGTGAAAGAGCGTATACATTGCAAGGAGCTGATTTCCAAGAATGGAGGAGATCGATGCCGCGCCGAACATCCAGGCGAGGCAGTTCCAATATCCGGCGAAGAACCCGACTGGGCGGCCATACCTTTTGCCAGCCGTCATACTTGCCCAATGATATACTAAGATGGCATGTTAGTCAATAGGTTTCTTACCGTGGGATGGACTTCTGATGCGAGATAACCCCCAACTTACCTCCCGCGGCGGATGGGATCGCAGAAGCTAATTCCGCAACCGAGGCTGCGACGAACCAGTAACAGATCGCAACGACGATACTATGGCACCGTCAGAAAGATGATCGCACCAGAGAGCAACTTGTGAAGTAGGATATTGGAACGTTCGCAATCACAATTCATATATAATCCCGGGTGGGCCACCATTGAAGATAGCCACGGACTGCCATTAAGAACTGTCAATACCATAGATATATATATATGGCTTTTCATAACCCGGTACACGTCACGACCAGCTTGTTCAGAGCACAACGTACAATGCTACCGCCCATGGCTATCCATGTGTTCCCGGTGGTGATACCTACGCCACAGATACTGAGCAAACTAAAGTTACGCTCTAGTTCCTGCTTATGGCCCGAGGCGTTGACCACTACTTCCGCGGGGCCCGACTTCTCCAATACACTCGAAGGAGCAGGTCCACGATCTTTGCCTTCCTCCAAGACCATGGAATCATGGGCCATACTCCACTATAGTGGTCAAACAAATGAGCCGAGGGAATAAAACGAAGCGCCACGTAAATTTCGTAGGTTTCGGCTTTTCATAGCAGAGGCCGATATTATCTCAGAAGCCACAGCACGAGCGAGAGAGAGCGCTGAAAAAGGCGAAGGACCGGTTACGACGAGGACCTCAACAAGCCAGATCACGTGACAGCGCGCATGCAAGATCCTGGAGACAGGCAGGGGGCAACCTCGATAACCGCTAGATAATCCAGCTCGTCCACGGAGGACTCCGTATCTGGATAAAGAGTCGGTGTCATCCTCAATGCGGCCCACGCTATTTATGGTTCTGTTTGATCGAGACAGTTCCTTCATGGTAGAAGGTATGCATTATTCCTTGAATGTATGGCCAAATGACCTCATACGGAGGACTCCGCACGGAGTACAGCTATCCACACGCGCGTTAATTTTGAAAAGTCTGATCCCTTCGATCTCTGAGCACAACGGTCCGGGTTTAACTTCTTAAAACGGGGTGGCTGATTCAACAGCATGGACTGCTGCATGGTGGCAAGAAGAATCGACACGACAACACACCCTTTCAAGTTGCGATACACGCCAGACAGGACACTGTATGTATTTTGTACGTACAGAGTATTGACTCCGTACGACGTGCATACATATTGCAAGGTTAAAAGCAAGGACGGAATCGTTAGTGCGAAGATAAGCCACAGGCTGGATTGCTTGGTTCAGGGTTGTCCATCAAGGTGGAGATGTGGACGTGGGAATGTTGACAAAGGTCCATGCGAAAGGAGGGACATGGAGTGCACTTCCTATATGTACTCCGTAGTCTGGCCGCGCGAGTAAAAAGGGAAAAAAAAAAAAGAAAAAAGGAAAAGAAATAATAATTGTCGATCTGGGAATTCGGCGCTGCACAATCATGACAGGGATGATGATTTCAGAATTCAGCGATGATGTGTCGGAGGGAGATACTGGTTGTTTGATGTTGGAACTGTGAAACAAAATCTGAAAGCAGTGGGCAACTCCGGGCCCCTTTCGACAACTCAGGGCTCACGAACTGGGCGTCCGGGTCGGGAGAGACCCAGAACATAGGATCACCGCATGGCGGAAAAGGATGATCGCCCCAAGGCGACTGGCTGTTCGATGGCTAGCTGTGCAACGATTGATGACGACAAAGCGCCCCTTTCGAGTTCGCAAGCCACATGTGAATCTGGGGGTTGCCGCCGAAATATGCCATTCAATACGATACCCAGAATTACATACCACCAGATGGAGAATGTATGTATATGCTGGTACGCTTTCTCCTCTCCGAACTGAGGAACGAAGCGTTAGTGTGTATTGCAGTAGCCAATTGCATGGCGCAGGTCGGGCATTCCCAACAAGCCACTTGGCCAATGCGAGTGCAGCACTGGAGGAAAAATTGGTGGAACCGGTTCCTGACCCTCCAAAAGTCAATGGTATTTATCGAGTAACGTGGACGTATGAGACAGGCCGCACCACTTAGAAAACCGGAATCTGGGGGCGCCCAGTCCTGTCCCGACCCTTACGACTTCATTACAGCAAACGACATTTCCTTGGACCAGTCCAAGATTTTTCCACCAGCGCCAGCCGGCACGATTGGGGCCGGAGAGAACCCCCTGTAATGCCAAGCTAACCCTAGTGCGTCTTTGTGCCTGTAAATTATCCCTCCCTCCTATTCTCCGCTTTCCTGCAATAATACGGCCATACATCCATACACGCTCTTTTTTTTTTCTTCCCCTTGAAACCTTTCATCTCTCGCTCCCTCTCTCTCTTTCTCTCTTTCTCTGTTTCTCTCTTTTTCTCTTTCTCTCTCTCTCTACCCCTCTCTGTTTTCTTCTATCTCCTTCTCAGTCTTCCGTTGAGTTCGACCACTCGAAAGAAGAGGAAGCTGGCTCGCTCGCTCGTCCGTTCTTTTCCCCTCTGCGTGGCTTCTCTTCTTTCGCTTGTTTTAACCACCATTACACCTTCTTAATCTGGGCTGTGGCCTCCACGTCACTCGTTGCTTCCCTCACTTCGCAGGCAACCTCCTCTCTCGCACGCTTCTCCGCGCCCTTTCGGATCGAGTTAGTCTTGCCCATCCTCATCGTCTCCGTCGCCGTGACATCCCTCCTTTGTTTCTCTGAACCCCCGGCCAACTCACCAAGCTCTCTTGCCAGCAGGTATCGACTTTTTAATAATACAATAGAACCGCCACCCGCGCAAGTGAGTATACACCCACTGGCTACAGAGTACGCCTTCTGTCAATCCTTTCCCTTTCCGCCACTTGATCTCCCTGGTCTCAGTTTCAACCGTGGGTCTGTTTCTTGTTGGTGAGCTGGTGACACAAAACCTTTCAACCGCTCGTTCAAACAACTCACATACACCTCTCACGTCAACATCCACCACCACAACCACCACTACCACAACAACAATAACATCATCCACAACAACCCTGATATCGAACATTGACCACTCTCTGTTCCTTTCTACTTACCAACTACGCGTCACCTACCCATACCTCGTTTGATCGGAACTAATCCGCTACCTCTGTCATAGTCTGGTCAATTGTCCTAGCCACAATGGCTTTCATCAAGTTCCTCCTCCCGGTCTTGGCTGTCGCCGGCCTAGCAACTGCTGCCGCTGGTGACTGCGACGGCAGAACCATTCGCAACCAAGGCGACGCCGATGGCCTGGCTTCTTGCAGGACCATCGAGGGCGACCTCGAAATTTCCTCCAAAGTCGCCGGATCAATCTCCATTAATGGTGTCCAACGTATCACCGGCAGTCTCATCTGCAAAGAAGCTGAGGACTTGAGGGAACTGAGTGCTTCAAGTTTGTCGAAAATCGAAGACACTTTCATGCTCAGCGGCCTCACTCGTCTGTCTGACCTCAGATTCGACGCCCTCACGGAGGTCGACAACATCAACTTCGAGGCCCTTCCTGCACTTCAACAGCTTACTTTCAGTAAAGTAGTCACTAAGGCAAGCAAACTTCGCGTTACAAACACCGATTTGCGAAATCTCAATGGCATCGACTTGGAGACCGTCGGCGACATGGAAATTAGCAACAACCCTCATATGACCGAGGTCAACGTCAACAAGATAACCAATGCTACTGGTTTCGTCAGCTTCTCTGCCAACTCCGTCAATCTTAAGATCATGTTCCCCAACCTCCAAAATGCCTTGAACATGACCTTCCGTAACGCCAGCGAGGTGTCTCTCCCATCTCTCAAGAAGACTACTGGTCTGCTCGGGTTCTACTCAAACTTTTTCGAAGACTTTTCTGCTCCCAACTTGACTTCCACTGGTGATCTCGTCCTTGTGGACAACTCGAAGCTGTCCAACATTTCATTGCCAGCCTTGGAAACCGTCAGGGGAGCCTTCCAGATTGCTAACAACACCGCCCTTAAGTCTATCACCAATGTCCCCAAGTTGGAGACCATCAACGGCGCTTTGGATTTCGCTGGTAACTTCTCTGAGTAGGTTATCCTCTTCTCTTTTTGATCAGGTTCGTAGGGTGCTAAACTCGTATGTTTTAGGGTCGAACTTCCAAAGTTGGATGAAGTCCGTGGCCAGTTCAACATGCAAAGCTCTGGTGACCTTGACTGTGAGCCATGGGAGAAGATGAAGGCCAACGTTCGCGGAAAGTTCACTTGCCGTGGTGGCGTAAAGGACCCTCAGTCCCGGAATCCCAGCAACACTGGCTCTGGCCCAAGCGAATCCTCTGGCGCCGCTTTCCCTGGCTACGTCCCCCCAAGTGGAATGACTATCCTGGCTCTCATTGGTACCGTTGTCCGCTGCGCTTTCCTTTAGGAACCTTACTCGCTTCTTTTTTCCCAGTTGTAAGATCCCGAGTTGTTTCATTTCGTAAAAGGTTCGCATATTCACCGTGTGTATTCAGTATTCATTGGCGATAATAATTGGTCATTTCCCTTTGATGCAATGTTCCTTGCTGGGCTTCCACATTGTCATCGCCTGCTTTGTCTGAAGAGTAATAGGGCACGTGTCAGCCTCAATCAGGTCTTTAAACAGCAGAGCTAGTGGCCATAAGCTCCAAAATGTCAAGAATATTTGCTCCCTATCATATTTTTCCTTTTTCGGTGACCTCTGAGCGTATGGTGAAGGCTATGGAGTATTGAGAATTTAAAAACACATAACCTAATGTAGCTTGAGAGGTTTTAATGGATGTATAGAAGATGCCCAGAGTTGTTTATATAGAGTGGTTTGGCATGCTGTACTCCAACAGACTGCAACAGCGACACCCGCAGCAACGTTTAATTTCTCAGGAGCGGGTATATTTATACAGAGCAAGGGATAGCCTGCTGCAAGTTAATAGTGCAAACAAAAAGGAAAATTGAACATCCACCCCAAAAGCCTGACAGCAAATGGAGACAGGTGAGTTGCGCATATCTAGGTGCAGCGCAGTGCCCAAGACAAGGCGCTTGGCAGTCTTCACGTGATTTGGGATCTCCTGAACACAGGTTCCAGCCTGTTGAATTAGCTGGTCATCCAAAATTTCCAGACATCACCCCAAGGAAAAAAGACAGTCCTCTCGATCCGTGGTAAAGGAGAAGCAGATTGGCTCACAGATCCATTCTCATCCGTTGTCACTCGTTTCCTAGCCCTTCTACATCAATCAGTCGTCGTCGACTGATGTCGACAAGGTGACTTTTGCAGCTTTTCCAATAATAATCTCAACCAAAAACCTGTTTTTTCCCTTCTTTTTTTTCCCTTTTTTTTTTTTTTTTTTTTAAGGCAAAGTCGGACTCGAGCGGTGTCTGCAAGCATCTAACTTGTATACTTGTTTCCTACGCTTGGTCGACTTGGGCGAAAGACGTTTGCTTTTCAAGTTTATGCGGAAGGACCAGCGTTCTTTTTCGACTTTAACGGGCGGTCCGACGGGGTTCCCTTGGTGCCTTCAGTCTCCATCCGCGAGAGAATTAAATAAACAAAACAAAGAAGGGTGAAAGAGGGATAAGAAGAGATATCGGGATCGATTTGGCACTCTACCTGGATAATTCGGAGCCAATTGTGAAACCCACTTCGCCGATTACGTCGTTACGATGTTGCTTCCAAAGGGCGGGATTACGTGGAAGTCCACACAAGCCAAGTTAGCCCCATGGAGGGCCGTGTTGGGCGCTCTGTCGAGACCTCGATTCATACTCACGGCTGCGATCATGGGATTGATCGTGTTACTGTGGAGAGGTATCAGCCATTCAGCATCCGAGATGCAGAGGTATGAGGATTGACCTTTTATCAAGAAAACCCCGTCTCCCATCCGGACGAATTGGGAGACTGGAAGTCGATTCCAAGTAGATGTTTATACGTGATCGCGTTTTCTCAATTTTATACTGACCTGTCTTTGAATCTCTAGCTTCTACTGTTTCGGACCGTCCAAGCCGCCGCATAAAATGACTGCCAACGAGATGGTGGACTGGCACGCACACCTTCAAACCCCAGTTCTTTTCAACCACCACGAGCCATACGAAATTAATTCAACTACCGTTCAAACCGTTGACTTAAACGCTGTCCACTCAACTCCAAAGGCAGTCCAGAATAAGGAACGTGTCCTTATCCTCACCCCTCTGCGAGACGCCTCGCAGTATCTCGGAAAATACTTCGATCTCGTCTCTGAATTGACCTATCCCCACGACCTTATTGACCTGGCCTTCCTTGTTGGCGATTCAAAAGATGATACACTTGCGGTTTTGGCAGCGGAGTTAGATCGCGTCCAGGGGATGCCTGGCAAGATTCCGTTCCGAAGTGCCACGATCGTTCAGAAGGATTTTGGAGTCACGTTAGACATGAACGTCCAGGAAAAACACGGTTACGAGGCACAGGCTCCGCGCCGAAAGGCTATGGGAAAGGCCAGGAATTTCCTTCTCTCTGCTACGCTTAAGCCAGAGCATTCCTGGGTGTACTGGCGCGATGTGGATATCGTGGATAGCCCAAAGAAGATTATTGAGGATTTTGTCGCTCATGACAAGGATATCCTCGTTCCCAGTACGTTCACTTTTATCAGATACACGGAGAGACCCGTCCGCGCTAACACAAGTGTGCAGACATCTGGTTCCACAGATACGATGAAAATGGTCGGGACATTGAAGGAAAATGTGTGCTATCTCCTATATTTGACATTATCTGTCTCGTTCAAATTTACTGACACTTGGTTAGTTGACTACAACTCATGGATCGAATCTGATAAGGGGCGAAAACTCGCGTCTACCCTTGATAAGGACACCATTCTCGTTGAAGGATATAAAGAATTCGATACTGGACGAACCTACCTCGTATCTATGGGTGATTGGAGGAAGAACAAAGATGAAGAGGTCGAGTTGGATGGAATTGGTGGCGTTAACATTATCGTCAAGGCGGATGTTCACAGAGCAGGTAGGCGTCGGTCCTCTCTTAATAACCCCTCAGCGGCTAATACATCTATGTCAGGCATCAATTTTCCCTGCTACGCATTTGAAAACCAGGCCGAAACGGAAGGCTTCGCTAAGATGGCTAAGCGAGCAGGCTATCAAGTTGTCGGACTTCCAAATTACGTCGTATGGCACATCGATACCGAAGAGAAAGGCGGTAATCTCGGCGGCCGGAAGGCCTATTAATATATCGCCTTCGGGATGGACAGGTCGAGAAGGAACTATGTTCACTGTCGTACCGAAATCATAACCTTACAGCCGGTGCAGGCTCTCCGGGCTCATTCGCCCAAAAAATTTTTTATACTCGCATGATGGGGCGTAACTCCCGATATCGCCTCGCAAACCCATCCATACTTGCACGGTAACCGGAAAGAAACGAAATGAAAACACTATTAATGACCGCCTAGTCTCTACCCAATCGATCCCACACTGGAATTCTCTTGCATGTCGTCACACGGAATAATTGAGCCGTTCATTTATGCCCTTTTTTTCTTGGATGCGCTTCGCTTCGGGCCCTCATTGTCTCCCCTTTGTGGGCTCAAGGCTACTTGCTATCATATCCTTTTATCTAAAACTTTAATGGCGCCTGGGAATGAAGCGGTTGTGCTTGTGCTTTTCTCACGGCTATTCTTTTTTCTTGGTGTATCTTTATAGATTATATTGCTTTTTATTCGTTGTATGTTTTCTTTCGTGTACAAGGGTCTTTTTTTCGTTGGGCTTGTTGTTTTTTATACTTGGGTCTACCAGCCAAAACTGGTCTGTGTCCCAGAAAACGTTCTCTTGCTTCTTTCTCGACCGCTGTTGTTTTCTGTTCTGCTGGTCTACCTGCTTCGAGACAGCAGTTTTGCCATTTAGTTCTTGACACTTGACTTATACGGTTTCGCCAGCTTGCACCAGGTTGCTTTTTGCTCTTCTCTTTTAACTGGGGTTCAAGGCGCCTTTTTTTCCCCCTCCGCTTCGATGTGTATTCTTACTTTTCTTTGATTTCCGGAAACCAGATTTAACTCCGACGCTCCAGGACTGCCCTCCATAACCTGTGGAAGTTGTTTGTGTATGGTCCGCGTGGTTTTCTCACATATAGCAAGTTCCATGGGCCAAGGGCATACCGTGTATGTACGCATGCTTGTGTGGGAGAGTAATAATGATATACGAAGGGGTTGCCTTGCTTTTACCGCTCTGTAGCTGCACGGAAGCGAGGCATGAGTTAGGGGTTTAGTTATCAACTTGTTTTTTAAGCATGCTTTTCCTATTTTGTTTCCAGAGACCATGATACCCATAAATTTATTTCTTGCCATTTGTCAGTAGTATTGTCAACACGTAGTTAAAATCCATCTACCAGGATAGGCTGAAGGTGCACACCCCCTTCTCACTTTTCTTTTCTTTTCTTTTCTTTTTTTTTTTTTTCCCTTCTTTTTGGACGGACAGTATGTCCGAAATATTGGGAGCTTCTGCTGATGATGTGGATGGATGCCGAGATTGTCATCGGAAGGGCGCAAGTCTCGATGGCGGTTCCGACAAGGGGAGGTTGAGGTTTCATCCCGCCGAAACACAACCCGAGATAACTAGTTAGCTATGGTGGCTGGCAGCATTCAATGGGGTGTTTTCGAATACTTATTCCTGAGATATTCCACTCCTCTATCGTCATAAACCACCAGCATCACCCACCACCACCCTAGTGCCGTCGATAGCCTTCTGCCATCGGTTTTGCCGCGCAGCCCCACCATGTTCCTCTCATCCCCCCTCTCCGTATCCCCTCGTTCAATTCTCACCCGCCATTCGGCATCAGCCTCAGCAGCAAGAATAAATTCAGTGTTCCGACACTCGGCAAGGCTACCATCTCAGCTCCCTAGGACAGTTAACTGGAGACCAGCGTACAGGACAATGGCGAGCGGCGCACCAAAGAAGCCGGACTGGATTGTCATCGTGCCAGATGCGGCCAGCACTACTCTTGAGAAAAGGATGGGGTTTAGAGAGTAAGTTGTTTTTTGGACACTTTTTTTATTTATTTATTTATTTTTCAACCATTCGTATGGAGGACCTCTTATTAATTTCGTACTCTAGCGCGCATATCAGCAACTTAGGCCCGATCATCGAATCTGGGTTCCTCAAAATGGGAGGTATGTCGGCCCGCGTCCTACTTTTCTATTGTCTTATTCGCACGTGGGAGAGTATGTAAATCAACTTACACTCCGTCTAGGCGCGGTCCTATCTCACCACCCCAAGAACGGTGAGGCTCCCCCCATGAAGGGAAGCGCACTGATTGTCCAAGCGGACTCTGAAGAGGAGATCCGTGACATCCTGGCAAAAGATGTCTATGCCACATCGGGAGTATGGGATTTGGACAATGTACGTATATTCTTCACCTTTTCTCCTGTTCCTGGGTCCGAAAATGGCAGTGCTGACATATGTGTGCTCGTGTTTCTTCAGGTGAAAGTGTATCCGGTACGTTCGTTGATGATTTCTTTGTTGTTGATCCATGGCGTGCCTCTCTTTCTTCGATTGCTAATTGAAGGGAGAGGGAGAAAAAGAAAAAGGACCAGCTAACCATTCCCATGCGAATATAGTTCCGATGTGCATTCAATGCCTATGAAAGATAAGGCTTAAATAGCTGAGTCAAAAAGACACTCTCTAGCCTTATGACTAGCACAAGGCACTGGATGTCATGCCATGCTGGAGGTCTCATACGTTTCACCAGGATCTTCGAAGTGCCGATGCCAAAGAAGAGAAGGTCGGCTTGCTCATTGTAACATCCCATATATAGTTCATCTAATGTATCAGACATGTACATACACACATTGATCCGAAAATCCTTAATTTAAATATCTGTTACCGGAATGATTGTGTTTTTGCTTATGGGGTAGAGGGAATAGTCTCAAGATGAGAGATTGGTGTTCAAAGAAAGAAGGATCCCGGGACGTGTCGATAAAAAATATCGAAAATGTAGTTAAATGTTGCGGAGAATGCGAATCTTTTGAATAGCCTGTTCAAAATACAATCTATCCTGCTCGTAGAATCGGATTGATTATGGTATATAGCATGTTGTTCTATCAGTGTACGGCGATTTAATATAATATATTAAAGCTTCGGTGCAGGAGACTCCTTGAGCATTGCTTCAGCGACCTTTCGACGTTGGATTTTACCTAAAAAAGTATATTAGTGAATATGTTTCATTCCGTATCACCGGACTCATATAAGCCAAGACAATAAATGCGCGGGAGCTTGCCTGTTGCAGTTTTAGGGATTTCAAGGAGGATCCAGATCTACTCGTTGAACGACGATCAAGTTAGCTGCCAATTCCCGAAAACGGAGATAAAAGGGTGCTCTGGAATTGACTACCTTCTTTGGGACCTTGAACTTGGCGACCTTTGGCGCTAGCTCAGCCTTCAATGCGTCCTCGGAGATGCTCCCTCTCTTTTTAAGGACAACTGCTACGCCAATATCTTCTCCGTAAATTTGATCTGGGATGGCGAAGGAGACCGCCTCGGCTACATGAGGATTCTGTGTAATCACATTATCAAGCTCGATGGGGCTAATTTTCTCTCCGCCTTTATTGATAAGTTCTTTGATCCGGCCTGTGATGTAGACGTAGCCATCCTTATCCTTTTTGCCCTGGTCGCCAGTTCGGAAGAAGCCGCCTTTTGTGAAAGACGACTTGTTGGCGGTGGGGTTGTTGAGATAACCCTTAGTGACGTTTTCGCCGCGGATACAGATTTCGCCCTCTGTACCTTGTGAGACTTCGTTGCCTTCCGAATCGAGGATTCTGACATCAACACCTTGGCCGATACCCACACTGCCGGGAATACGTTTCCCTGGGGGAAGAGGGTTGCTTGTCATTTGGTGGGCTGCTTCTGTCATAGCATAAGCTTCCAGCACGGGTGCCTGAAGGGCCTTCTGCAGGTCATGGAAAGTTTTTGGCGAAAGAGGTGAGGAGCAGGAGCGAATGAAGCGAATATTAGGAACTGGTGATGGGATAGGATTCTTGAGCAGTATTTGGTGAATGGTCGGGACGGCCGTATACCAGTTCGCCTTGTAAGTGATGAAATCGGACCAGAATTCTGAAGCCGAAAACTTGAGCGGGACTACTGCTGAACCACCAGAGAGAAGAGGTGCAAGAAAAGCCGCTAGAAGTCCATGGACATGGAAAAGGGGCATCACAAGGAGGGTTCGGTCATTTTCAGTCAAGGAATAGGTTGCTTGGATATTTCCTGGGAAGGGACCGTGAGTATTTGCTTGCACAGAGGTATGCGCTTTCATTCAACTTACTCATCGTCCTTGTCAAGTTTCTATGGGTAAGAGGAACCTAAAGATATATTTTTAGCATATATCCAGACGCAGATGACTACTCTACTCACAGCTTTGGGTCTACCCGTAGTTCCACTAGTATGCAAAACAAGTGCAATGTCATCCGGTTGTGCAGTTTCAACATTCTGGTTCTCCCGTCCGGCTAGCTTTCCATGCTCCTTTATGTCCAACACGACCTGCTTGCCGTTCCAGTAACATTCCGCAATAGCAGCGTTATACTTCCTTGCAGCACGAACCGCAGGGCCATCCTGTCCATAGGAACCCTTTGGCACGAGCGCCAGGGCCGAGCTCAAGTCACCAATATAGAATTCAAATTCATCCTGCTTATAAGCCGGATTCAGAGGAGCAGCGATTGCTCTTTGCCATGAGGTAGCAAGAAACGAGACAATGAATTCGTACGAATTCGGGAGAGCAACGGAGACCGCGGAGGCATGAGTGATGCCTAAGCGGGCTAATTTTGATTGGAATGCAAGTATATCGGCATGCAGTCTCTCATAACTAATGGTTAATGCATCTGGTTTGCCGGGGATGATAATAGCAGTGCTCTGAGCTTTGCCGGGTAAGGAGTTTGCAAGGGTAGACATGATGGAAGCTTAAGACCTAAATTTAGTCCGAAAGCGAAAATGATAAAGAAAATCTCCAGTTAAAAGAGGATGTGTCAAGAACAGAGGTAAAGAAAATTATATGTAGTAGTAAACGATGGGAACACCAATTCAATGGCAGCCTCCATCCATTCATAGATGTACGGAGTACGCATTCACGAGTTGCAGGAGTGCCGCAGATTGGTTACACGAGCGTAATAGCCGAATGACGTCGGAATGGAAAAGCTCTCGGGAAATCCTTGTGCCGACCCGGACCTCCACAGAACAGGCAAACTGTGCAAACTTTCATGTGACCCCCGGGTTGGTGATATAATCAAGTCTTCCTCAATAATTCCCGTCAAGACATCGGGCTCTCGTGTGTGAATCGTGCCCTGGCCTCCTCGTGCTTACTGAGATTATCTTGCACTGCTTGAGTTAGATTTAGCAATATGGCTGCTCCGCCGGCTGCTCCCAAGGGCGGCCTGTCTCTTTATGCCAACCTACTTGATCCGTCAGATACTCCCTCCGCCTCGAGTACCATCTCCCGCGCCCCGGTAGTATTCAAGCAAGCTACCGATGGTGAATCTCAACAAGATGACGCAGCTTCAAAGAAGCAGCAGATAAGTGCTGGTAGACTATCTATCCCTCCCATCGCCCGTTGAAGCATAACGTCTGCTATCATTTTGGCCGAATTCGTTTGCTCACTTGTTACCCTGGGTTTGTTCCGGTTTCCTCAAAAGTTCCAGCCTCTTTACGATTTCAACCCACCAAAAGACCTCAATTACCTTCTCAGAAACTGAAAGCGAAGCCCGGTATACCCAAGCCTCCTGTTCTCCCCACTTCTGCGAGCCTAGTGAGCCAAGGCACCGCACCCGCTCCCGCAATAGGTGCAGCCCGGCCTCAGGCGAAAAGCACCCTTGCCGACTGGACTGCCACGGCGGATGATGATGACGTGAACGGATTTTATGGGGAGAAAAGACAACGCGGTGGCCGGAAAAAGCGCAAGAAGAATCGCGACGCAGAGGTAGTTTATAACTGGGATGATATTTATGACCCATCCCGCCCAAACAACTACGATCAATACAAACATAGCGACGAGAAGATTAGGGAAGTCAGAGAATGGAAAGATCGCCTGTATGCTCACCGAATGGCCAGAAGGATGAGCAGCGATATGGAAAGCGATGACGATTATCGAACAAGGCCGATGAATAGTCAGTATTATCTTTGCAACCTGCCTGACCTGAGTTCTCTAACTGGCTTGGTAGAGCAATTTGCGCCCCCTACACAGTTTGCACCCCCGCCCAACCTTAACGACATCCCTCGGGAGCCATCTGCGCCGAATTCTCCAGTCACGGAAGCCGTTCCGCCACCTACAGCACCCCTGCTGGACGATCAAACTGGGGAAGATGCATTTGCACGGCGTCTTCGGATGAGCCAAAGCATAGCACAGACCTCAGATATCGCTGCCGAATATTCTATTCCTCCACCTCCCCTGGAAGAGATTCCGCCCGAGCCAACACCAGCCACGTCCAGAGACGCATACTCTTCAGCAACCATCTCCCGCGCGCCTGTTAGATATACTTTACCTCCTCCTCCGGAAGACATACCTGCAACTGAGGAAGAACTCGAGGCCGCCTTTGCGAAAGAGACTGAGGAAGAGCCAGAGGGTGGTGAGGGAGCACCGCGCTCTCTACGCCCGGGACAAAAGGGGTTCGCAGAAAGGCTTCTATCAAAATATGGATGGACAAAGGGGTCTGGTTTGGGTGCTAGCGGGACGGGTATAGTCAATCCGCTCCAAGTCAAGGTTCAGAAACAAAAGAAAAGGCCAGATGCGGAGGGTGGAGGCTTTGCCACCCCAGCTGGACGGGGTAAAATCATTGGTGGACATCAGAAGAAGCAAGAAGAAGGCAAGTTTGGTGCTATGAGCGAGGTGGTGGTGCTTCATGGAATGTTGGATGGAATGGACCTGGATGCGGAGCTGGAAGCTGGGGATGACGGAGGTTTGATGCAGGAGATTGGTGACGAATGTGGCGAGAAGGTATGAAAATGGTTTCTTCACCCACCGTATGAAATCTGCTGCTAACTGGTCATAGTACGGACGCGTGGAGAGAGTCTTTATCGATCGGTCTGCCAAAGGCCAAGTGCCTGTCTTCGTAAAATTTACAAACCAGCTATCTGCTTTACGAGTGAGTGGACTGCTCTTGAATGGTACGTCAACGGTATTGACTGTATTTCTCACTTTAGGCTGTGAACGCCCTTGAGGGTCGCATATTTAATGGAAATACGATCACCGCCCGCTTCTTTGACACTGAGAAGTTTGAAAAAGGAATCTACAAGTGATGGGCTGCACACGAGCTGAGATCTACCTTGATGCGTGTAGCAAGATGCTTTTCATGAACAATGTATCACTACTTAGGCTGTAGATATGCTTATCTATTGGGCGCTCAATCCTAGAGTTCCTACCTTTGTCCATTTCTTTTTGAACTGATCCTGCTCTTGTGTGTCCAAGAAGCTCTGGACATTGCTGGTCCTTGCGATACTTCTGTATTAAGGGTCATTCCAAGCATGTAGAGGTCCCGTGTTGATCGGGCTCAAGCATCAGTTTGCAAGGTAGTGATATGGTGAAGCAGCATTCATTGTCAAATTTGAGACAAAAACAAAGCAAGATTCACATCATCCATTTCCCTGGTCAACCTTGAACATCGAGACTGTCAAGAGCAGTCAATGCGTTTGACACGCCCACCCACAGGCAGCCTTAGATAATCAGCTTGAGCTAAAATTGGAGCATGCCGTCCGTACTCCGTGCAGGGTGAACTACCCCACAAGTGCAGTGGAACAAGAGTACCACATCTCGGCGGCAGTCATCCTGCACGGAATATATATGAAGAGCACTTTCACTCACTTGTCCGACCCTTCCCTCTTTCAAACCTGACTTTATCCTCACACTTGCACTCTGTTAGACAAAACTAGTAGCGAGCTCTACTCTGTACTTTCAGCTTATTCGATCTTTATACTTCAATCAAAATGTCTACACTTTGCCTTAATCGACTCTCTGAAGAACGGTGAGCAGGCCTCAGGATAAATCTCTCCGTCGTAGTGCTGACAGTTCGGTTCGCGCGTGCTCCAGAAAACAATGGCGGAGGGACCACCCTTTCGGATTCTACGCGAAGCCGTATCGCAACTCTCAAGGTGTCCTTGATTTGAAACGATGGGAGTGCGGGATCCCTGGAAAAGCGAAGACGGTGTGGGAAGGCGGACTGTTCAAACTTGACGTTATCTTTCCTGATGGTATGCGCACACGTGTTGGGAGAGCTGATATGCAATTTGGAGACGTTGATGCTGATGAGAAATGCTATTTTACCACCAGAATACCCCACGAAGCCACCGAAGTGTATGTCCTGAGGCAGTTCTCCTACTTTGGAAGGTTTGATGTAGCTGACTGTCATACAACCAGGCAAATTCGTTCCACCACTTTTCCACCCAAATGTTTACCCTTCGGGAACCGTGTGCTTATCCATCCTAAGCGAAGAGGATGCGTGGAAGCCGGCCATCACTGTCAAGCAGATCCTTCTAGGCATCCAGGACCTGCTTGATGACCCCAACCCAGAATCTCCCGCCCAGGCAGAAGCGTACAATTTGTTTAAGAAGGACCGGCCAGCTTATGAGAAGAAGGTCCGCCAGGTTGTGAAGGAGAATCCTGCGATGTGAGCACTATCTTGGGGTATTATTTACGATAGAGCCCTTCTCCATTACTTCGCGACCTTGGGGTGCAGATGCCTTCATCCTCTCTTGCCCTCCATTCCTATAATTTTTGTGAAGGATTTACTTTTCATCGAAGCACCATTGGATTGAGCGTGGCGTTTTTTGGGGCTGGAGTAGGTGCGATTGGGGTTGCTGGATCTTACGCGACACTGAAATTGTCCTTGACTCCAGTTCTGTTATACACTCGAACTTGCAGCGGGAAATGTCTTCCTAAGTCGTTCCGAGCGAATTAGGTTTCTCTCCCTTCTTGATCTTTAATGCAATTTACGTCTGTTGACCCTTTGTTTGATGCTCTCAGATTCCAACCATGGATATGACAGTACACAATTTACAAAGACTAGACTTGCAAGCATATGAATAAATGAACAGACAGATAGGATAGGATAGTTCTCGCGCTGACAACGGGATGAGGTTGTTTTGAGAACGATTTGAAGCCTCCCACATGCTTGTATCGCGAGGGAAGAGAGCTCGGCGATTGCTTATCCTGAGTGCCGAAAGATGAGATTGATGAGCGCTGTACGGAGTAACTATGGAGTACTCCGTAAGGTTTGCATGTTGTTGGTCAGAAACAGGGCAAATCATGCAGCTGCAACTTGCAAAGCAATTTTTTGAGCAACTCTGGATCCTCCCCGTCACACTGTTAGGTTGGGTGACTTTTCGCCATCGGGGAAAATTCTTTGGCTTAGACGTTTCGAGAGCCCTTATCTTATCGGTGCCACCAGCAGCCCACCAGCGAGCAGGAATAACCTTATGACTCAAAACTTTTTTCCCCCCCAGCGCCGGAGAACTACATAAGAAAAAAAAAGGGACCCTCCTCCACTCTATCTTCTAACATTATCTTCTTTGTGTTTGGTGCCTGGTTCCTTCGTCCTTCTTTTTGGCTCTCTTTTGGAATCAATATTTACTGCCATTGAAAAGAAAACATGTGTGGTATATTTGCGTGTCACTGGTACGTTCTCGGTCCCCCCTGCATTCTTCCCATTTTTACAAGGCTCCCCCATGCCCCGCCGTGAGAAAAGTGACCTTCACCACAAACACACACAAGCCGAGTTTTGGATGGTAAATGCTAACTACGACCCTGCAAACGCAGTCACCCTAATGTACAGAAATTCAAGCCGACGGCTTTACGCATGGCGAAAGCGTGAGTTACTACCGGTTCTATTTTGCGGCTTCTGTGGAATATGTGACTAAGAGAATACGGGGAAAGCGTCCGGCATCGTGGTCCTGATTGGAGTGAGTGGAACATAATCCCTGTCCTGGCGCTTCTTCTGTTACTGCCAGGAACTCTTTTCTGGTGTGATAGTCGGCTAATAAGCAATGTTAAATTATAGGTGGTAACTTTGTTTCCAACAACACAAGTCAGTGCTTGAAAGAAGATTTTGTTTCTGCGATCAGCGGTGAAGTGCTGACCATGAGATAGTCCTTGCACACGAGCGATTGAGCATCGTCGGTGTCGGTGGGTTCCCTCAGCCATCGATCTTCGACATAAGCTGGAGGAGATGATCCTAATTGAGAAACAGAATCTGGCGCTCAGCCCCTCGTTAACGATGACGAGACATTGGCACTCGCTGTCAATGGAGAAATTTATAATCACAGAATCCTGAGGAAGGGATTGAAGACCCAATATAAATTCAAGACACATTCGGACTGCGAAGTTATCATTCCATTGGTATGCTTTTCATGAGTCGAGGCAGTGAAGGCAGTCTATTGCTAACTCTTAGTGTAGTATATGGAACATGATATCGATGCTCCGAAGTTCCTCGATGGCATGTTCTCGTGGGTGCTTTTTGACAAAAAACAGAACCGCGTTATTGCTGCCAGAGATCCCATTGGTATCACCAGCTTCTACCAAGGATGGTCTTCCCAGACACCTGGTGCTGTCTATTTCGCCTCTGAATTAAAGTCACTTCATCCGGTCTGCGACAGGATCATCTCCTTCCCTCCCGGCCATGTGTATGACTCCAAGACGGACACCATGACTCGTTACTTCCAGCCGAAATGGTGGGATCCAACCAATGTTCCGTCGACCCCCATAGATTACAAATTGATCCGCGAATCTCTGGTGCGATCTGTTCGTAAGCGACTGATGGCAGAGGTTCCCTATGGTGTCCTGCTCTCTGGTGGTTTGGACTCCAGCCTGGTCGCCTCGATTGCGCAGCGCGAAACCCAGCGGATGATGGTGGCGCAGAACGGCACGGTCACCAATGGAGAATCGGGCGCGGGCTTGGTTGGAATCGACGATAGCAACGAGCTGTCGACTGTGACTTCCTTCCCCCAATTGCATTCGTTCTCCATTGGTCTTCCGGGAGCCCCAGATACCAAGGCTGCTCTTGAGGTCGCTAACTTTCTTGGAACAAAGCATTACGCTTTCACATTCACAGTCGACGACGGGCTTAACGCACTCTCAGACGTTATCTATCACTTGGAAACTTATGATGTGACAACTATCCGTGCTTCTACACCCATGTATCTGCTGAGCAGAAAGATCAAGGCTATGGGCGTTAAGATGGTGCTCAGCGGTGAAGGTAGCGATGAAATTTTTGGCGGATATCTTTATTTCCACGCGGCCCCGGATAAGAAAGCTTTCCACGAGGAGACGGTTAGACGAGTTAAGAACCTTCACTTGGCTGACTGCTTGAGAGCAAACAAGTCAACTTCAGCATGGGGTCTTGAGGCCCGTGTGCCGTTCTTGGATAAGCAATTCCTGGAGGTCTCCATGGGTGTTGATCCGCAGGAAAAGATGATCACCAAGGAAAGAATCGAGAAGTACATCTTGAGGAAAGCCTTCGACACGTCTGATGAGCCAGAAACCAAGCCGTTCCTGCCGGATAACATTCTGTGGCGCCAGAAAGAACAATTCAGCGATGGTGTCGGCTATTCCTGGATTGATGCTCTAAAGGACAACGCTGAGCTTCAAGTTACGGATGAGATGATGAAGAACCCCAAGCCAGAGTGGGGCGATGATATCCCTGATACAAAGGAGGCGTATGTTTTTTTTTTTTTTTTTTTTTTTTTTTTGAGACAAGAAATCCTCAGAGTGTGGTTCCCGTCCGCTGACGCCGTTCTAGGTACTGGTACCGAATGATGTTCGATGAACACTTCCCTCCGTGCTGCGCGTCCACTGTCATGCGCTGGACACCCACATGGTCGAAGCAAACGGACCCAAGTGGACGGTATGAAGCTTTCAGTTCCGTCAACAAAATATCGTCAATGATCTTTGCTGACTTCGATCACAGTGCCATCTCGACCCACGTTGCGAAATACGACCACGCATAGGTGCCATAAAAGCATTTGCCGCTTCGAGTATCTTCCCATTCTTAGGTTCATTTCTGAGAAAACTTTTCTCTTTTTCTTTTTTTTTTTACTTTCCTGTCGTCAACGGCGCTTGGAGGTTCTCAATATTTTCCTTTTCTTTTTCATTCCTTTTTTTTTTTCCCCTGTAAAATTTGCTGGCCTTCTTTTTTGCCGTCTTAGATTTTGGGACGCTCGTGTGTATGGGTTTTGGTTTCAGATAAATGGACTGTTTTCCAAGACAACATGATAGAGCTGCTCCATGTTTGTTCTGGGTACTGTTTTGGAGGATAGATAGATCCAGGCCTTCTGACGACTTTAGATACCATGCTACCTTCCTACCTACCTAGTTAATTATGATGCACTGCAAACCTCCTCGTTGTTCAGAGTTCTTCCTCTTACTACTCTCTGCACAGCATGAAGTCATGGCCCTTTCTTTGATGCCCGCCGCCAAATCACGTGATTGAAGAGTGCGGTCAGACCCACTTCAAGCGCCAAGCAGCAGGCAACTGGCCAATCAAAGCGCGGAGATGGTCACGATGCCTAACTTTTCCGATTCGAGAGGTGTTTTTCAGCGGTTTCTGCTTTCCCGTGATCCCGCCGCTGGGGTGTCCACTCCCAATCTCTCCAACTTCCCAACAACCTCTCTTGTTTTCCCCCCCCAAAAAGCCCCAACTGCCCGCCTTTAGGTCTCTCTGCTCACTTCCACGCTCTCACATCCATCATGGCCGCTCCAGCTGCTTTCGGCGACATCGCCAAAACTGTCAATGATGTGCGTACTGCGCCTTGCCGCCCGTTTTCCCGACGGCAATGTTGTTGTGCCCTCGCAATTGAGAACTGACTGTTGGGGAACAATAGCTCCTTAACAAGGATTTCTACCACACCAGTGCCGGTATGTTACCTTGTCTCGCTGGGCGTACTGGGAACACCGCTAACGATCGTGTATAGCCAGCCTCGAGGTCAAGTCTAAGGCTCCCAATGGCGTCACCTTCAACGTGAAGGGTAAATCTGCTCATGAGGGTCCCATTTCCGGATCGGTAAGCTTGACGTGTACGATCAAGGTGGCCGAGATACGGTACTAACGCAACTCTCAATTGTAGCTCGAGGCCAAATATGTCGACCCACCAACTGGTAAATACTCTCCGCACTTCATTCGATCCCCTCAATTGACACCTCGCCTTTCAAATCCCACCCCAATTTGGAAACCAGGAATTATCATCCGACATGATCGTCGGAGTGGAAAATCTTTACGCTTTTCACGCGTTCTTTCAAGTCTTGAGATCAAGCTAATATTTCGCCCATATTCAGGCCTTACCCTCACTCAGACATGGACCACCGGCAACGCCCTCGACACCAAGCTTGAGTTGGACAACAACATCGCCAAGGGCCTCAAGGCTGAGGTTCTCACACAATACCTCCCATACTCTAACTCCAAAGGTGCCAAGTTGAACCTCCACTTCAAGCAACCCAACCTGCACGCTCGTGCTTTCTTCGATCTCCTTAAGGGCCCAACCGCCAACTTCGATGCCGTCCTTGGACACGAGGGTTTCTTGGTGGGTGCTGAGGGTGGCTATGATGTCCAAAAGGCCGCCATCACCAAGTACTCTGCCGCCGTTGCCTACTCTCTCCCTGAGTACTCCGCTGCCATCACTGCCACCAACAACCTCACCCTCTTCTCTGCCAGCTACTACCACCGCGTGAATTCCCAGGTCGAGGCCGGCGCCAAGGCCACTTGGGACTCCAAGGCAGGAAATACTGTTGGCCTTGAAGTTGCCAGCAAGTACAGACTTGATCCTTCCTCCTTCGCTAAGGTATGTTTCGGCGTGTGGTATCAATCTTGTCTGCTTTCACACATATTAATCGCATTCATCTTACAGGCCAAGATCAACGACCGTGGAATTGCTGCTCTTGCCTACAATGTCCTCCTTAGACCAGGTGTCACCCTTGGTCTCGGTGCTTCCGTCGATACCCAGAACTTGAACCAGGCTGCCCACAAGGTTGGTGCCAGCTTCACCTTTGAAGGTTAGATGAGTTAGGCCGTCGGTGGTAGAAGACTTGTGTAATATCAAATCAATTGAACCTCCTACAGTTTCCTTTTTGGAAACTTGTATTCCGCCTTTTTTTCCCTCTCTGGTCAGATTCCCAAGCAGACTCTTGATCAACCAGAATCATTTATGTATTACAGCATGACATCTATACTGTACGCCAATTAAATGCATAAACTATATCAATCTGTGTCCGATCAAGCCGGTATATACTGTCTTCTGATCAATGACGTCGCTCAGTTCTCGAGACTTCAGCTCATCATGGAAAGGTGAAAGCAAGAGCTTGAGGTAGAACAAAGAAGAAAACCTGGTTGGTCAATCTCAGTTTGACATCTAGTATGTCTCGGGACACATCTGTGGCTCAACGGGCCGCTTCCGCTACCATGGCGTGACAACACTTCCTAGTTTTTTGATACCCCTTAGAGGTCACAAAGAGACCGCACCTCTTTGAGATCATGTTGGTTATCCCTCCTCCTAAGTTGTTCGCCTTAAAAAAGCAAATATTGGAAAGTGGCCACACTTTTCTAGAGTGAACATACACAAGCTATACATGCTATGCAGTCTACCAAAATCAAATAATGCACACGCTGCGTATGTTTAAGATTATCACAATATGGATTTTTGCAAATACCGCATGGATCATGTCTTAACCCCATGCTCTTGAACCTTCCCCCCAACTTCTTATTCTATGTGACGATCCTGTCGGCGGTCCCATGGCTGCGATGCAAACCACTTTAGTTGAACCCATACCAGACTAATGTTCCTGCACCCTTTTCGGAGCATGCTTAACCGGTGATGACGTTACCGCCGAAGAGCGTGGTCTCTCAAGGACGTGTTGACCTGCCACTGCAGCCGCCCACGCAAACCCCAGGATGCCCAATACCGTGATCAACCGCATCGTGATGTTTCCCTCGTCTTCTGAGACATCAATACCTCGCGCGGCGGCTTCTGCTTTCGCGCGTTCGACTGCTTTGCGACGGCGTTCGCGGCGCCGGGCATCTTCGTGAGTTTGCGTGCGGAGGTGGGAGGTGGCGTCGAAGTGAGGGACTGTGTTGTGGTAGATGAATGAGGAGGGGTCGGGGTGGGAGGAGGATGAGGAGGCGGAGGGACCATGTGGCTGCTGATGTTCCCGCTGTGGGTGAGGGTGTGGATGCGGATGCTGTTGTTGATGCCGGTTATGAGGTTGGTTATGATGCGCTGTACCATACCCGCCGTGGGCGTAGAAACTGGGTGGTGGGCCTCTAAAAGGTCCACGACGTTTGCTTAGGCCGGATGGTGGTCGAGACCCCACATATGATCCGCGATGACCGCTTCGAGTGCTGGACGATGCCGCTGTCGCCGCCGCGCGGTGTATGTCATGGTCGCGATCGTATACCGCACGCTTGGAGGCATTTGAGAGGACTTGGTAAGCGTCCGATATGGCCGCGAATCTGGCAGAGGCGGTGGGATCTTTGGGATTCTTATCCGGGTGGTGAGCCAGTGAGAGCGCGTAGAATTGCCTAGGTTCATTGCAAGTTAAATCATCGTGCATTGGGGCAACTATCCCTTCACAGCGAGCCGGATGAGCATTTTACCAACAAGGGCAGACAGATATTTACTTCTTGATCTCTTGCGTCGTCGCCGTGATCGGCACATTCAAAATCTCATAGTACGTCGGGTCGCGGCTATCTGCAAACCATCGCGCTGCTGAAGAAGAAAATGGGTGGGTTCGGAGACCAGGTGGGAGGCGTAGAAAGGCAGGAGAGAAACATGGTGAAGGGCTATGGATGCAGAATGGCATGCCGCTGCATCATTTGCAGTCTCTGTTTTAACTGAGGAATGTTATGGAGGATGTAGGGGGTAGCTGGGCATGCGCTGATGGAGTCCTATTTCGTTGGTCGCGGTGCTGGTCCTCGTTATCCGATGCCAAGACTGCCGCCGTCAACATCCATCCGGCATACGGGAATTTCGGGTCGAGAAAATGTGCATTGTATACAAAAATGGCAAGCTATTACCAAATACAGTGGTTTATTAATTAACTAACCAACCATACACTTCTTGGCATGTTACTTAATACACGATTAGTAGTTACAGGGTACTCTGCAGTTACAGAGTGTTTCCAACAAGTACTCCATATTGCTGGATATACTAAACACCGGCAGACACCCTGGCAGCAAACCTATGGCCATAATGCCTGAATCCATGCATCAGAACCCTCTTGCTAAGCAGTTTATGATCACTTGTGGGTTGATACTTCCTTTTTATAGCCATGATGAAGAGCATGGTGAGAAATGCAAGCACTTGCAGCGATGTGTGCTTTGTTGTTCTTGTGTAACCAGCGGAGTTAGTGTTGAATCATTGGTTAACAAGCTGTTTGCAACCACTCCAGCTTGGTCTGGGGCCTATATCTCTCTTTTGTTGTCGAGCATGAAAGAAACTTGGCAGCATGGCTCACATTGAACCTACTGTTGATTACTATGCCTTGCTTCAGGTCGCGCAGACAGCAGATCAAGCTTCTGTGAAATCAAACTACAAGCGCCTTGCAAAGATCAAGCATCCGGACAAGAACCCTACAAATCCCAATGCAACACGGGACTTCCAACTGGTGAGAGCAGGATTGCCGGCCACTCCTAAGGATAGCATGTGTGCTCTGATAATTGATGCATTTGACATAGCTCTTGGAGGCGTATCAAATATTATCTAATCCTGACACTCGGCGGAGATATGATTCCCAATATCTCTTCAATAAGCATGCCCAAGAGGCCGGGTACCGATCTGAGACGCGAGAGTCGGGGTTGCGGCACCTAAACAACAGAAGATGGGAGTTGGAAAACAAGATATTCGAGGCACAGAGGATGGTGGATAGGTACGAGAGAGACCTGAGAAGGTTGCAAGAGGAAGCGGAGATGGATACAAAGGAACAGGCTGCTAAAGGCGGGTGGTGGGCCTACATATGGCCATTTGGAGCTTCGAGGGGCGGGGAAACCAAAGACGAGCATGACGACCGGAGACGCCGCGAGTTACACAGAAAAGCAGCTCAGAGAATCAAGGAACAGCACCTGGAAGAACAGAGACAGTTCATTTCATGCATTAAAGCTCAATTACAAAGCACCAATTGTGAGATTAAGAGATTTCTGGAGGAAATTGAGAGGGAAGAAAGAGAGAAGGAGAAAAAAGGACACAGAGAGGCACAGAAGAGGCAAGCCGAAGAAGAAGAGAGGAGACGCCGTGAATTTCAAGCACAAATGGGAAAGGTGCAGAAAAAATCTCATAACCAGTCTGCTAAAACACAGAGGCAGAGTAGTTGGACGGAGCAAAAGAAGGACACGAAAATGGAAAATGCTAGAAGGCAAGCAAACAGCGGTTCGCATGCCACCAATAGGAGCACAAACCCCCTGAGGCCAAATATGGTCTTGTGTGACCATGCGTTGTGGTGGCCTCGAGTTGATGGAACGCATCTCTGCAGCCGTTGCCTCACACACACAACCCGATTTGCATTCCGGTGCCCTCGATGCAACAAGGTGGCATGTGCAAGTTGCCGTGATATCCTGAGAGGTAAATGATTGTCACATAAATGTTTGCAGAAGTCCATAATAATGAAGTCAAGTCTCAGTTGCTAGGAAAAAATAGTGCAAATATAAGCCCACATAAACAAGGAGAACTTAACGCCCTTCTCTCCGGCCTCAAGTCTATACACCAGCTATGTCATTGTGATGCAAGGCCTTTTTATCATAGATTCATAGAGAATTACAGTGAAAGTTAACACTCGACTTTGGATTGGATTTAGAACAAAAATGGGCTGGTGATGCATAAGGGTTCATGTTTCTCCCACCACCTATGTGCGTTTATTAAATATTCCGTATGAACAGAGCACTGTACAGGGTTAGCAGAACTTTCAACAGTATGCTGTATGAGAATTGAGTATAACGCTGCTCCACAAAGTTGGTGGAAGGATCATGAAGCACACAGAGCTGGAAGGCAAGAAAAATTAAAGCCAAACTAAATCCCTAACTGCATTCAAATAAGATATGGGTTGCACCTGTATCCATATCTGGGTACCTCTCTCTAGTGACATCTCAGGTTCTGGGCGGCTCTTTGTCAGGCGGTAGGGTTTGCACTTGGTATAAAATACATCGACTTTAGCCTTTGGAAGGGACCTATCTAATATATGGTAAACGGGTAGCTAATAGAAAATATTTTAGGTTTTGTACCGGGAAGTAGTAACGGAACAGTCCCTTGGAGGAACCACACATCCAAATGGATAGCGGATGACACTCCTACAGCAGTGTCTTCAAGGACCATCATGCAGCCCTGCCCAAGTTTCATTGAGGCCGGAAAACATTGGTTATAAACTTTTATGCGAATCCGAATGAAGGGGCTTCACCTCCCGATGCTGAGATAATGTTTCAACCAAAACCAGCACAACTGCGGCTGCCAGCTATCTCTGCTTGCTAAATGTTGGCGCTTATTAGGTACATAGAAGTAATACATGTATTGAAGGAAGAAAATTTGCATACCACTTTCTTCGTCATTTGCTGCTGCCTTGATAAATGCATAGAATCTGGGAAGTTGAGCTGGCATGATTCCACTTCAAACCCATGGATCCCATCAGTCACTGGGTGTATCTGATCCTTCAGACAGAACCTTGGTTCACATTGACACTGAAGACTCTTAAATCTGATATCCGTCAGCACTTTACCAGGTTTCCAGGTGCCCTGGACCGAAAGACTTTCGGAGCGAGAATTTTAACTCTTTAGTAAGTCACTCAGGCCGATGAATCGAAAAAAAGTAAACTAAATGACTGTGGTATGTCGCGATTGGAAAGAAGGTCACTTTTCCGTCACCTTCGCGTCACTTTTGATAGCAGGAGCAGTTGTTTCGCGTAGATACAGATTATCACCTCTCCTTGTCTCTCTTCACTAGCTCCCAGTAAATATCAACTTCCAAGTTGGTCTGAATCATCTTACCCAAGCATTCCTTATTATATAACCTTGCCATCATTCGTTTGAAATAATTGAAGACACGATGGACTGGGCTGAGGGGATGACAAGCATGAAAATTTCGAGCAGCCCTGCCTAAGGAAAGAGCCCCATAGTGCTTGAAGAAGAGATCTCCTGTGATGGGAACACGGGTCCCTCCGAGTCCTCATCACCCGTAACAAACGCAAATAACAAAGAGGTGACGGCGGGGGAGCAGGATGGGCCTGACGGGGAAAATACTGACCACTCCTCATCACCCCAGTCTTCTGAAAATAATAAGGAGGCGGTATTCGAGCCTCCCAAGGATGATGCAAATGAAGAAGAGAGTTACCTCCTGGCTGAGTATAACATGATGACTGGTAGGCATCTTTGATCCAGATACGCGGTTTAATATGCTGACCTAGAACCTCAAAATAGCATCCTTAAAACTGGCCGGGTTGGAGGAGGAGGACTTTACCGACCATGCAGTTCTGGTTATGGTCTCAAGGGCCCTATTACCTCTAGCATTTGAAGAGGCCGAAAATAGTCCTGATTGAGCTGTTTAACTGGCTGCGTGTATTGGGTAATAACTTGTCCTTAGAACACTCTCGTCCTCACGGACGAATCCGTGCCTTATTTTGGCGGGCATAAGAGCCTACACCATCGTCATCGCTTTCTCGAGCAACGACTGGGATCCGATTGGGCCGGTTGATGACCGATCCACGACTCGAGAGGTATCTTAAAACTCTAGAGTTGGAGAGCTGTCTAGCTTTCAAGAACAGCATGAGGAACAAGAGCCAGATTCATTGAAGGCTGAACTGGAACTCCTTATATTTGTTCCCGTAAAGCTTTCCGAGAGGGTGGAGTACTGGACTGTATTCCATGAGAGTCGCCAGCCTGCAGGGTGCAATGGCCTGGGAACAGGAGTGGTGGGCATTGAAATGGGAACGTCTGAAGGAAGATAAGTTGTCATTTTGGATGAAGAGTTTGCGTAAGAATGAAACGAAGATATTCGGTACAAAGAGTACGGAGGATACCGTGCTGTTTTCCCTTTTGGCCATATATGGCGCTGTCCTATTGTTTCTTAGTCAGCTTGTAGGTTCAAGGCGCTGAGAGATTAATGCGGCAACATTCCGCGCCACCGCTTGGGCCTCGCATCCAAATCCTTCTCATCTCATACGGTGGTACTGAGGAATATAGTCAAATTTGATTTAGTGGAAGAGGCGGCAAATTAATGAAAATGGCCGTGCAAGCTCTTCCCGAAATCAACAAGCTCAGCGGTGAGTTTCCTGCCATTTATTGCTGATTTCCCGTTGCTTTTTCCTCGCCTGAAAAAAGACCGGATATCCGCGGACACTAGGCTGATGAATACCTGGATTGTGCAGTCAGCGAGGAGGGGGCCGCAAACGCCGCCGCCAAAGGGCAGGCTGCGCAAGGGACCGCTGGGAATGATGATGCAGAAAATGATGAATCTGACGAAGACAAAGAGGATGAACAGGAGGTAGCAGATGGAGCCGCTGCAGCTGGTACGGGTTCCCCGCAGTGATGCTGCAGTCAATTGCTAAAACATGGAAAATTGTTGTTCATCTCTGACAAAGGGATTTCGGCCTATAGGAGGGAAAAAGAAGAAGAAGAAAACCAAGAAAAAGAAGAAGAAAGGTACCGCAAAGGTCCAGAGCGACCCACCGCGCGTGCCGCTCTCAACTCTCTTCCCCAACAACAACTACCCCGAAGGCGAGATCGTAGAATACAAAGATGATAATGCCTATCGTACGACGAACGAGGAAAAGAGATATTTGGACCGCATGAACAATGATTTCCTTACTGACTATCGCAAGTCGGCCGAAATTCACAGGCAAGTTCGACAGTATGCTCAGAAGGAGCTCCTTAAGCCTGGCCGTTCCTTGACCGAAATCGCGGAGGGTATTGAGGACAGCGTTCGCGCACTGACAGGCCATATGGGCCTTGAAGAAGGGGACAGCTTGGTTGCTGGTATGGGCTTCCCGACTGGGTTGAATATCAACCATTGCGCTGCCCACTACTCCCCGAATGCTGGGAACAAGATGGTTCTTCAATATGGCGATGTTATGAAGGTGGACTTTGGTGTCCACGTTAACGGTAGAATTGTCGACAGTGCGTTTACTGTTGCCTTTGATCCCGTTTACGACAATTTGTTGAATGCGGTGAAAGATGCCACTAATACTGGTATCAGGGTATTTTGAGCCTTCAAGTCCTTTTACAGGGAAAAATGGAGACTGACTCTTTGGATAGGAAGCGGGCATTGATGTGCGAATGAGCGATATTGGCGCTGCTATTCAGGAGACGATGGAAAGCTATGAGGTTGAGATCAATGGCACTATATACCCAGTGAAAGCCATTCGCAACCTCAATGGCCATACAATTGGCCATTATCTTATCCACGGTGGAAGCACCGGGAAGAGCGTGCCCATCGTCAAGGGCGGTGACCAAACAAAGATGGAAGAAGGTGAGACCTATGCCATCGAAACATTCGGAAGTACCGGGAAGGGATTTGTGAGAGACGACGTACGTGTCCTGTGATTGGTTCGAAATGAAGCCTGAGTGCTGACAACGCTTCTAGATGGAGGTTTCTCATTACGCCAAGGTCCCCGATGCGCCTAATGTTCCTCTTCGTCTGTCTTCGGCCAAGAACCTATTGAACGTCATCACGAAAAACTTTGGCACGTTGCCGTTCTGTCGTCGCTATCTTGACCGACTCGGGCAGGAGAAGTACCTTCTCGGGGTATACTACCATCCCTAACATCGTGAAGGATGATGGCTAATCGATAAACAGTTAAATAATCTGGTTTCGTCAGGCCTTGTGGATGCCTATCCCCCACTTGTAGATGTGAAGGGTTCATATACGGCTCAATTTGAGCATGTAAGTGCAGCTAGCTTCTTGCCATATTCATAAGGCGCTCGACTGACTTTTCTTCTCTAGACCATTCTGCTGAGGCCGAACGTTAAGGAGGTTATCACCCGAGGAGACGATTACTGATGCTCTTAGGTATGCGGTGTGCTCTGGTAATAGGAGTAGCATGCCATATCGAGGGTTTTCGAGCCAGCAAGTAATCGATATCAAACGCTCCATTAGCGTAGGCGGTTATTATCATATCTTAAGAAAGCAGGGCAGTCAAGGTCGATCATGCCTCTCTGGAGACATAGCCTATAAATAGTTTTTGCAATATCACGACAATACTCCGTACTTTGCCCTCTTTATCTCTCCCCTTCCGTCCGTGCGACAAGGTTGGCGCACGTAGTAATTACATAAGCTCAATCCACTCGCCCCACGTGGAGCTCAAGCTTCCGTTACAGCAGAGATCGCCATCCAGGATCCAAAGCAATCTCCCAAGAGCCGATTGATCCTAGGGGTGTCAGTCATGCTCTGCACAACTCTCCGCAAGCATTAGTTTCCTACACCGTGCCTAGAACAACCAGCCCTCGCAGTTGTAAACATGTCGGCTCTGAGGTCTGCCTCCGCTCGTTCCCAATCCTCCCAAACGAAGACCGTTCCCGCCCGTGCTCCGCCACCTTCCAATTCCTCTGTGGAGGATCACTTTTTCTGGACGTATACGGAAGAACCACATAAGTCGAGGCGCCAGGCGATCATTAAAGCGCACCCAGAGGTGAGATTTCAGGCCCCGACTCTTGTGTGGAATTCCACCTTGTGTTAACTCTGCGATGAATTGAGGTTCTCAAATTATGTGGCCCTGAGCCGCTCACGAAATACGTCGTCCTAGGCGTCATCTCACTTCAGGTTGCCTGCGCAACCTTCCTACGTAATACGCCGATACTCTCATGGCGTTTCCTCCTGACGGCGTACCTTATCGGGGCCACTGCGAATCAGAACCTGTTTCTCGCTATCCATGAGATATCGCATAATTTGGCATTTAAGTCCCCATTGGGAAATAGATTGTTGGCTATCTTTGCGAATTTTCCAATTGGATTGCCATATAGTGCTGCATTTAGGGTATGTTGTTTCTGTTTGTCTTCCACGAAGGTATTCAGACCAGGTCGGCTAACGTTCAACGTGTCACTGGCAGCCATATCATTTAACCCATCATAAGTCCCTCGGTGTTGCATCCCTCGATGCAGATCTTCCGACAGCCCTGGAGGCAGTGTTCCTTGATTCAATCCTAGGAAAAGCGTTCTTTTGCACGTTTCAGATCCTCTTCTACGCAGTCCGTCCCATGTTCATCTATACACCTACATTCACACCCATACACTTGCTGAACATCATCGCGCAATTTACATTCGATTTTGCTCTCTACAAATTCTGCGGCTCGTCCATGCAGCCAATCTATTATCTTCTCCTTAGTTCGTTCCTTGCAGGCTCCTTGCACCCCTGTGCTGGTCACTTTATCGCGGAGCATTACTTCTTTTCCAATACAACCGGCGGAACTGAGTCCATCGAAGAACAACGGGCGATGAAGTCGGGGAAGAAAGGTACCACCACTTCCTCTTCCTCATCCCCATTGGACTCGCTGTCTCCACCCGAAACATACTCCTACTACGGACCCCTTAATATCTTAACCTATAACGTCGGCTTGCACAACGAGCATCACGATTTTCCAGCTATCCCTTGGACTCGGTTACATACTCTCCACAAAATCGCAAAGGAGTTCTATGAACCGCTACCATGCCATCGAAGCTGGGTGTGGGTTATTTGGACGTTTATCTTCGATAAGAACGTGGGCATGTGGTGCCGAGTGAAAAGGACCGAAGGAGGTAGAATGGTCGGCGGGAGTGGTTGGAAGGAGAGCGAACTCCAAAACTGAATTTGTTTTGGAGAAGAAAAGTCTATACGCCTTCTCTTCTTCTCTACAACCATCTCTTATCTACAGTTTCTTTTCTTTTTCCTTCTTGCTTTATAAAATCTATCCAAATATGTCCTCGATCTCTTCATATGGCATTCTCGGAGTTTGCTTGATACTTTAATACTTAATATCTGTTTTATAATGTTCCCCTCTCATATATCAGGGCTGGATTTCTGGCTACTCTTATTTGTCACAATACATTTTGACCCTCCGTCTGGGGAGTATGATCCCACCCAGACAGATTAAGATATCATGTCTTGGCTTGCTTATATCTGGGTTCTCAACTACAGTTTCCTTTATTAGTGCATACATACTTGTTCGCAGCCATTTATATGTACGGTCCTTAGCTGTACGCGTGTCTCCTTCGGTCTTGTTTGAACTCGGAGTTATTTAAATGATTGGGTCAATTATCTACCTGCTTTCCGATGTGTAAATACCTAACATATAATAATATGAGATAGTGAGGATAGAAAGAGCATCTTTTAAGCATATACTCCTATCGCATGGTTCGTATCACATTGAGCAAGAGAAGGGAAAGGAAGAGGGTGATAGTTTGGGTGTTTGGGGGGGGAAAAATTTGGTTGGCGCCATGAGACACGATGGAATAATAAATGTATATGAAACAAAGGAGAAATGAAATGGGAAATAAAAGAGAGCAGAGGTACCAAATATGCTAGGACAGAGGAGCCCTGCATTGAAAGGGTGTTAGCCATTAATAGGTAGAAAACGTGGTACAAAACTCCCAAGGGCCAACCAATTGTGGAAAAGGAGGATGTTGACATAAAACAAAGGAACAAACACGTAAGTTGACAACCACAAAAAGTCAGGGACACATTGCTGATAGATAAACGGGTGGCTGAGGGGCGGTCAAAACCGCCATATATGCAACATTGAATGGAGGATGGACACGCTAGTCAGGGCACTCGTAATGGGGGTGAAGACCGCAAAGAAGAAAGGAAAATAAATAAGGGAGGGTCAATAGCGGGATTTAACGAACTGGTGGAGAAAGCAGTTCGTAACAATATTAAGCAGGTGATAACCTAAAAGAAGACGTATGCCAGGAGGAAACTTATTAGGCAGAGACCTGCAACCACCTGCAACGGGACGCCCGCTTCAGAAGATGGATGCGATTGTTGTTGTATGGTAGCAAGTTCTGGTGGATTACTGGCTGCAGCTGGCACTTTCCTCCGCCGTATTTCATTTTCAGCAAGCTGTTGTTTCAGCTGCTGAATTTGAGCTCTGGCTTCTTGGAGCTGGGACTTGAGATCCTCGTACGATCCGGAAAATGCTTCTGACTTCACGTCTTCTGCAGCATGTTTAAGTGCCTCTGGGGCACTAGGCTCGGAGGATCCTGATTTAAAGTTGGGGGGCTCAATGGGAGGCTCCATGATGACTGGAGCTGCACGGGTGGGCATCGATGGTGTCTCGAACTTCGCATTTGCGGGAGACGTTTGTAAATTAGCCAAATCGTCTTCCGACGCCTGACGCGGAAACAGAAATTCAGTTTTCAGCTTGTCCTACCACTCAACGTTAGGATTCGAGTAAAACTTACGACTCCGTTTGGCTGGGATGCATCTAGAGGGGGCAGGAAATTGACACGGATTTTTCGTTCTTGAATGGAATGCTTGGCAGTTTTTTCAACGTCGTGCCACTGCAATGATATTAGTCAACATAAAAAAACCAAAACGGCGCATGTGACTACATACAATTGAAGTTACATTTGAGAATTCTTTGTCTGCAGAAACAGCCACAGACTGGACAAGAAATTTGTCTTTGCATTTGACATCCAACGGAGGATCCTCTTTCATAGCTTGCAGGAGTACTAAAGGTCGAAAAATGGGTAAGTGTTGAATAGCGCTACCAACGCGAGCAACGACGACGACTGACCTTGAACCTCCATATGTTTGCCCGGCTCAATACGGCCAGAATTTGGGCGAACGCAATATCTAGACATCGGTCAGCACATGATCGAGGCAGATGAGTCGCTTATAAATCCCGAGATGAATGCGTCCGTACTTTCGTGGCGCCGTGGTTTTGACCTGAAGCGTGAGGAGATCCGTCAGCTGTTTGTTTACCATGCGGAAGAGGGCAGAAGACAACAACAACAACGGTACCTTGAAGGCAACAGGATCGGAGTGAGGGTTGCGTAGATGTAAAGTTTCGGTGACTTCTTGGTTAAACGGGCCTGGACATGGACGCATGTGAGCAGGTTGATTCAAATAAAGATTGCGGGAGAGTAGACACTCTGGCGCTACCTACGTCGAAAGCCCAATTCGGCGGGCTCAAGCTCAACAGACATGGTTGCGGAAGCTCAAGCTGACAGCAAGGACCTAGGATAGTGTCGATAAAAATTAATCAAAGGGTTATGGAGTTCAAGTAACTGCGACTGAGCACATTGGCGGTTTGACAGCAAGTGGAATCAAATGACATGGAGTGTCTTGGTTGGTGTTGGCCTGCGAGTTAATAATGCTCTGGCTTGGGATGGCTGGATTCAGGTCACGTGGGGCGCACCGCTTCGAGTGAGGTCAGATCGTCAGCCCTACTGTCCCCCATCTCGCTCTCAAGTGCCGGAAAGCAAACCGGTTGTTATTTGCGAGATGAAGCGGTTTGGTCTTCTCAACACTATCTGAACCTTAATGCGCCAATTATTTGAATTGCATTGTATGCATGCTCGGTGGCCACGTGCTGTCCCGAACTACCTTATGCCCTCCGCGACGATTCTCCAACAACAGAAGATTGGAACCTAACCGGAGGGCGGATGCCCTACCATTCCACCTAGATCCGGGAACCATGGTTCGGTGACGCCTTCTGGCATCTCGAAGAGTTACATGGAGAATTCGTCAATGCTACAGAGTAGAAAACCTCCTATTTTGGGGTTGCGGGAATATGCTCTCTATCCAAAACAGCATTTGGCTTGCTTATACCTATTCTACAGACGATGCCTTTAGACCAATGCTTGCTCTCTCGCCGTTAGATCAGGTTGACAGAAATCTCAACCCCAAGCTCAGAAAGAGAGCTGGTATCGAGTTCATAATATTATTGCCCTCAAAACCAAGTGGAAAATTATGGAGCCCGTCCTCCAGGTTGAGCGGCTCTTTGATTGTTGAGATAGCAAATTTCGCCGTACTTTTTCTATGTCTAGTAACACGCTTCTAGCTAGTCTCGTCTAGGCACTTGAAATAAAATAAGGGCGAATTACCCGTAATTTAAGTCGAGGATACATATATAAAACAATGCTTCCATTCGATCTTTGGGAGCTCAGATAAGTGCTTCTCCAACAGGAAGACTGAGAAGTTGCAAATGGGGAAGGATCCGTACACATTCGAGGCAAGGTTTTGGCCAGAATTTTGGTTACAGGTCAGAGTTTGAATATGGCAGTTTCCATACGGGAATACGTTTCGGTTTTTTGCGCAAAAGCCCTGCCGTTCCACATTCGTCTCGATGCAGTGTAAAAATCGTAGGAATGAAGAGAATTCAAATAAATATCAGCAAATTTCATTTAACTTCAGCCCCAATTTGAGGTTCATTCCATACTTTTTACATTAAATCTCAAGAGTTCATATCTCCCAATTGCCTAATTCTTCAACAAGAAAAAGCTAGCAAGCAGAAAGGAGTATACTGCAAGGGCTGGTTGCATATAAGGTCTCTGGACGCACATCAACCATAATTTGTTCTTAAAGCATAATGACGGGGTTCGGTAATATGACATCTGATGGATCCAATCGAAGAGCAGCTGAGAAATTAGACCCATTGGAATGGCATGTTGGACTACTTCAATAATAAGTCCTATAGCTTCAACGTGCTTGAACATTGTAGAGTTTGCGAATAGAATACTCCAGCATCAGATTTTATATCACCAAATGATGCAAATTCGACAGTTGCTGCGGCCAGTGTCTTGTTCCCGCAGCTTCTATAATTTTTGTCTTCTTGATTCCCGCACAGAGCCCTCGAAACAAGAAGCCTTGAATGCTTTCCACAAGTGAAACTATTGGCCATTCCTTATGTCTCCAATTTGGACCTCAACAGGCGCTAAAACATGCAGCAGCAAAAGCCAATCACTCCAGCACCGTGCACACTAACCTGGTAACTATCTTAAGCTGATACCAACAAGGGAATGATGGAGAGGGTTTGACTCGAGGTCTGGGCGTTGCCACGGCCTGACTGAGCTCGTTTTATGATCAATTGGCTGGGAAATTTATTTATGACAGCTATCCATCGTTCGCCTTTTCCTTGGAGACGTGTCTAATATGAGCGATGGGATTCCCAAGCAGATATCCTTGTTTACTTCCATACTATGCGTATTGCATGAGAACAGAAGATTGGTCACGGGAAATCTTAGATTTGAAGACATATCAAGCAAATATCACTCAGGGTAACACAGAGTGCGACACCTGGAAAAAGTTAATCGATTTCAAAAGACCAACGCTTTTGCAGCTTGAAGAGCAATAAAAGGAATGATAAGGAGATGACTGAGCTAGGAAACAGGATTTTCTGTACAATTGTTCCCGGGATCTTGTCATCACTTAACGCCAAAAGGGGAAATAGGTGTTGATGCGCACAGTGTAGGTACAGTGTATTTTTTTTTTTTTGGCATTTCTTGGCTTCACTGTTGAAGTGCTTGTTATATCTGGGGGAGGATTAGGGACTTAAATTTGGAAAAAAAAAAGAAGATGCAGGGCTGGTTTGACATGTGTTGATGAACTGAAGGCTGTTCTTTATAGCCTGAACTTCCGTGCTGAAATCAGCCCCATGTTCCTTCAAACTCACATTTTCAAAGGAGTAACCTGTGTGAAAAAGCACTCTGGGCAGAGTGTTGCAGGCTGCAACCTGAAGTTGTGAACTCGACTCCCCACTCAAGCTCCACCCCTCTTGGTGGAACATCCCGCACTTGCTCCCCCAGCTCCGGCGGCACCGTGCCCCGAGTTAGCTGACACCAGCGTCTTCCCCAACATCAACCAACTGCTGCCTCCATAATTATTGCTTTCAATTTATCATTCCTCCTTCACTCTATGTCGCAACATCTCCCTTACCTTCATTTATTAGTCTAGCTGAACCATTCTCATCCTGAAGGTACGAAGAGCAGCTTAAACCATGCCCAGCGATCTTGAACAGCTTGTGGAGATGGGCTTGGACCCAGAAAGGGCTAGAATTGCTGTCTCAAAGACAGGGGGATGTGCGTATCTGTTATCCCTCATCTCTATTGGCCTCGTCTGGTCAAACACTGACAAACACTACGTGATACAGTGCAAGGAGCTCTTGAATGGCTGGAAGTTAACCAAGACAAATCCCTCGATGAAATACAGTCAGCTACCACTCAAACCAACGATGAGGAAGGTCCTGCCTTACAACCCGGAGAAGGAGCTAGAAGTTTACTATGCAATGTGTGTGGCAAGAAGTTCCGTAGCCATGCGCAGGCAGAATTCCACGCTTCGAGAACAGAACATGTCGACTTCTCAGAGTCAACAGAGGAGATCACTCCATTGACAGAGGAAGAAAAGAGTGCTAAGCTTGCAGAGCTACGTGAAAAGCTAGCAGAAAAGCGTGCGAAGATGTCTGAGCAGGACAAAATCGACAAAAAGAGGAATGAGGTGCGCACAATTAGAGTAAGATGCTGTGGAATCTAATAACACATGCTTGTTCCATAGGAAATACGACGGAAGAGCACAAAAGAATCACAAGATATAAAAGAAGACCTACAACGAAAAGAACAACTCAAGGAAGCCGCCAAAAAGCGGCGCGAGAAGCAGGAGGAGATGGAAGCTAAGGCACGAATCAGAGCCCGAATCGAGGCCGACAAAGCAGAGAGACGTGCCAAAGCAGAGAGAGAGAAGGCAGAGCGGGAAGGTCGATCTGTAGCTCCCTCCGCTGTCGCTGCCCCAGCTGCCGCGGCTCCTCCAAAACCTTCATCAGCGTACACGGAAACTAGATTACGACTTCAAGCTCCATCTGGAAATGTGATGAAAACGTTCCATGTTGACACGACCCTATTTGAAGTTGCGGCTGCGTTAAACCAAGAGACTGGGCTAGAAGTTCAGAGCTTCACCCAAAATTTCCCAAAGAAGGTGTTTGATAGTGAATATTTTGGGGAAACGCTGAAGGAACTCGGTCTGGTGCCTAGCGCCAGCCTGATCGTCAAATAGGCTGGGCTTCGGATCTTTGAAGGAAACGACCCATACGATCTAGTTACATAGGCTGAGGTCACAGTGCGACGAGCTACTCCATGTCTACGATTACAAAAATTTGTAAATCAAACACGACCTATTAAACAAAATGGAAATATTATATCAAATCCGACACCAAATTTCCATAACCACGTTGGCCCGAAATACGTAATTATTATGTAAGCAGATTTTTACCACGTGACCTGGTGCCAAGACGCCGAGTTCAAACGCGTGCGGCTCGTCCGATTGCCTAAAAGCGGAGATATCAAAGCGCCAACCCAACTTCGACATTTCGGAGTCAATGTTCAGTTCCTCCTCAAGCAACTACTGATACTTACTATTATTCCTATGAAGTACTGAACCTTTTCTTTGAATGCGGACGCCCTACGAAGTCCTTCCACGATGCCAGCGTAAGTCACCCCCGTCTGTCAGCAAAGATGAATTCCGCAACTAAGGCAACGGGACACAGGCCCGGGGACCAACATAGATCCTATTCAGCAAACGTGAACGCCGCAAACCCCTTTGAAATACCTCAGCAGCATACAAACGAGTATACGGCGCAGGAGATTGCAACATTACAAAGTCGACTAGACAAACGCTTAGGTCCGGAATACATATCTTCGCGGGCAGGCCCTGGGGGAAAACGAGTACATTATTTGTCGGCTGATAAATGCATAAATCTTGCCAACGAGGTTTTTGGCTTTAATGGATGGTCAAGTGCGATTCAAAATATTCAGATTGACTTTGTGAGTGGATGCTACCTTGAGACCTAGGGATGTCTTACAATCTTTTGAATAGATTGCTGATTGGTGTGAGAACACTTCAGGTTGATGAGCATCCCAAGTCTGGCAAAGTTTCGCTTGGGCTGTCAGTAATTGTAAGGGTGACGTTGAGAAATGGGTCATACCATGAAGTGAGTCTTCCCTTTTCCTCGTCAGCGATGACAACTGGGCTGATTGGTGATCGTAGGATATCGGATATGGACAGATCGACAACTGCACAGGAAAAGCTGCAGCATTTGAAAAGGCCAAGAAAGAAGGCACAACAGATGCTTTGAAACGTGCCCTGAGGACATTTGGTAACGTCCTTGGTAACTGCATTTATGATAAAGATTACTTATCGAAAGTGACCAAGGTCAAGGCGGTTCCGGTAAATTTCGTTAATTTGCAGCTTTCGTGGTGTTTGTTACTAATATCGGTCGCAGACCAAATGGGACGTTGACAGTCTACATCGCCATAGGGATTTTGCGCCTCTAAAGAAAGACCCGGTTATTGCTCCAGTTGCTGTCAGAAGCGAGCCTCATGCAGAGGCCCGCAATGTTAGTTCGAGAATACCCGACATCCCCACAAAATTATTAGATGATCCCCTTTCTATGGATCTTGAAAATGATTTCGGCAGTAAGTCACTGGTGAAAGGGATTGTTGGGGCCTTGCTGACTGTGACCCAGGCGATGCATTCGACGAGGCAGATTTTGGAGAGCGTCATCTCAGTCATCCAGATGAAGTTATCTTGGATGATGAGCCACCCCCACAAATCCAACACCACAGACACAATCATCCCCCAGCTGGACCAAACGTTCAAAGCAGTACTGGAAACTATGCGGTCTCGAATTGTATGATTACACCGTCTAAACCACCACAAAGTATAGTTCAGTCCGATACCGCCCTTCCAGCCCCCGCAGATTGTATAACTCGACAAAACGTTCCTCAGACAAACCAATACACGACACCTAAACCTCAGCCTCCCACGCGACCACAACAACCTGCACATGATTCGAAATTCCTTGTGGGGAAATCTACACATTCGAGCCGTAACTTACCTCCCCCTCTGCCGTGCGATCAGTTGAAGACGAAAGGCGAAACAAACATAGAGAGTAAAGGAAACCATTCACCGTTGAAACCTCCGTCGCCTTTCGGCTCACAGATTGGACAGGATAGCCCCAGTGTCGAGCCCGGTGTCTGGTATTCGGCTCGTGCCGCGAGTGTCACTGAACCAGGAAAACCAGCGCCCGCATTCGACCCTAAATTTGCAAGTCCATCCATTCGGAAAACTCTTACTATTGACCACGGGAAATCAGCACCTGTGTCCCGAAAGACGTTTCAGAATGTGCCACCTCAAATGTCTAGCCAAACACCACACAAAGCAGGCATGAACATCCCCCCTGCAAGCCAGTCATCAACCCCTATCCCTCCTCGCACCATCGTGGACGTGACCAAGAGGCCAGGGGCGGGAAATTTCGGAAGCCCCGCTCGCGCACCAATGACTTCGTCATATCGGCCGCCAACACGAAGAAGCATGACGGCTGCAGCCAACAATAGTAGTGCAAGCGATTTTCCTCATGGCAACTCTAACCAACCTCTACCGACAGCTCAGAACCTAAACGGGAAGAGACCACTTCTGTCAGATATAATGAACCACGAATCTATCTCCAACGATAACGAAGCCGCGAAGAAGCCCAAAGCCAACGACAACACTACTGGCTCTGCTGCCGCTGAGAATAATCAGTAGTAGGGACAAGGACTAGGAATACCATGGAAATACATTTTACTATAACATTGCTCCTTCTAGACCGGATTTTTTTCTTTTTGTTTTTGGAGAAACTTTTCTGCCCTTATCATAGATTAAAGCCGGGCTTGATGTCTGATGGATGGTTTTGCTTGGTCATGTTTTTTAAGATGCAGCTGTACTTGCATTTTTCTACTAGAGGGACCGGTTGGACGGTGTTAACCAGTGGCCGGATGCAAGCGGACATGACAAATCTATTCATCAATATTGAAGTGGGAAATGTATTGCATATGGAATGCCAGTGAACATTCCGGATTTTCGAGCCAACAAACCGTTGGATGTCTCGATGCCGTACGACTCGGTGTACTCCAGCAATGGTGATTTGCGTCCTTGGTGGATTATCTGTCTATGTCGGGTCGCAATTGCCTGAAGGCAAAAGTTTTTCATTGGTGACGACTAAACCATCTAAGCATCATTCAACTTGGGGCGCAGGGGAGAAGGGGGTATTAGGGGCAATTCAGTTGTCAATCTAGAGAGTACACTCAAATGCGAGGGGCTGGTCAAAGGGGTAACGCCTAAAATTGGGAATCGAATCTATCGGGATAATTGGGGAAGCATGAAGAGCAATTTGGATTTGGCTTTTGCAAATGGAGACATGGAAGTCTTAGGGTAAGGCAGAAGTTCATTTCGTGCTGTCATGAAATACATTCAATGCTTAGGTGGGTGTGGGTGTTGCCGCCCGGGGGGGGGAGGGCTGGAGGGGATAAAACTGGGGGAATTGGGCATGAAAAATTGCGCAAAGAACCGAGAACAAGAATGCAGTAAGGTTAATCCAGGAGAACACCAAGGGGAGAGAAATGGAGCATAGTAACGGGGAAGCCGTGTTCGGGTCAAGTCGTTTGTCAGGGGAAGATAATATTGCTATATTGTCCCTAAAGAACCCTCATGTGCCGTTTTGATTCCAGGGCCGGGGGTCCGATAAACAGAGCATAGAGGTCGGCGAATCCATTTCGGCATACTTGACAGGGCCATATATACCCAGCTGAAAGGAAATGGAAATAAACTGCGTATCTCACGGACTAGCACATTAAACTCATTGTAAGGAGCAAGGCAACTTGGAGGGCGATAGGGGCCAACTGTTGCGATATCTCGAGGAAAGTACGATATTGGCAATATCATTGAAATAAAGCCATGATAAATAAATGTCGTTCGTAAATCCCTCCGGCAAGCTGGCGGGAACAAAAGATATTTTGTTGGCACATTTCTTAACCTTGCGGAGCCCAGCGAGATGCCATCAAGCCTTTTCCGCGGCTGTCTGATTTCTCATCACGCCGAGGAGCCCACATAGATGCCTCAAGTCCCAGTTGAGCGCCCTCGTCAGATATTCCTTGCTTTCCTGGAGCTTTTGGAGCCCATCTGGATGCTTCAAGACCTTGTGTGGACTTCTTAGCTAGATTCTTTGGCACGTGATTCTCGTCATTGACTTTCGAGCCCGATAAAAGTGATGCATGCTGTGGGCTTTTGAATGCATCTCCTCTTAGGCTACAGGGAGGTGAAGTGGCGTGACTGGAGATACGGACTGCTTCTGACGGGTGGCTTCTTCCAACTCTGCTTCCAAGAGAATCAGTTCGCGTATGACCACGATTACGATACCCCTCGCGTCCTCTAATAGGGGAGGTCTCCGTTTCGGTAACCACACTGTTAGTCTTTTGTCCAGTTATGTGGGATGAAGCTTGAAGTTGCGCGTTTTGGTTAGCCAGAGCGGCGGCGTTCTGGGATAGTTGTCCAGCATATTGCATGGCAGCTGCTGTTTGGGGAAGATATGCTGTCTCTCGTATTTTCAACTGAGCCCCGTATAGAGGTTGCGAGGATGATTTCCCAGAGGTAGAGGTGTTTCCATTATCGCGTGTGTGGATGGTCTTGCGTTGGATATTTGACGCGTTTGAACCCGTAGATACATCACGGGCGTGTGATCGCGCATCTTTACCTTTCTTCGATTGAAATTTACCTTCGCCCATCTTACTAAGAACCTCCACGTGGAGCTCGGGCTCGGACTCGTTGCCTCGGCCTGGAAGTAGGTGATTGCCAATAATGTTACCTTCATCGTTAACCAAAGTCAATTGGTTGGAAGCTTGAGTCGTATCATGGGATTGGATATTACCATCCGCCGGTTTCACTCTAGCTTGACCACCTTTCATAGGTATTTTTCTCGACGCCGCAACTTCACTTTGTGACTCACGAAGCACTTTTGATAGCACAAAGGTACTTCCACTTGGTGAAGGAGCTGCTGAAACTGCAGCCAAGTCTAGTTGTTTAGTTTCATCTCCGGACGGCTGAGTGCTCATTGATGCTGGCAAAGGGCAGGTTTCTTTAAAATATAGAGTGTCTTCTAGCTTCTTCTTACGGTCAGTCAAGAGCTTTCGAATAGACGGAAGAAGATAGCCTGCTGAAAGTGTCTGTCGAAGCTCTTCAACCTCTCTCTCTGCGTCATCGTCTTCAATGTAGTGTGTTCGTTTCTCCTCTGTTATCAATGAAACATTTTCAGAGGCATTACGCTCCTGTTCCATGCCCGTATCCTTGCAGGGCTTAACCGCAGTCGAAGATTGAGCACCAGTGGGGGCTTTGGATCCATCATTCATAATGGTCGCAGAGTTGAAATTTACCGAAGGCATCGATGTATTGTCTCTATCAATCTGACCGTCGTCCAAAACTTGCTTCTGGCGACGCATGCGAGCCACAGGTTGAGGAAGGGTGCTGCTAAATCCCTGGTCGACCTTTTTTTTCATGGAGTCAGTCTGGGTCTCTTTCGTAGAGGAAGGACTGCCAAATACTTCTATAATATCCCAAACTGGCCGCTCCGGTGTTGGTTCAGCATTAGAAAGCTCAGCGATCGTTTCATGAAGCCTCTGTACGTCCTTTTCTTGAGTAATTTTCGCTTTTTCAATTTGCACAGTTTTGCCCACACTCTTAGCGATTTCGGCAGACTCTGCGTTCTTGCAAGGTTCGATATTGCCAGCCTCGGAATGAGTTGGTTCACGCCTATTGCTATCGTTAATGGGAGTATTATGTCCCTTCTCAGAGACTGCGGTTGGCCTTGAAGAAACATGAGCAGTTCGTAGCACCGAAACAGCTGCCATGAAAGAAGCCGTATCTGCCAGCACGGGCGCATGATTTTCATTTCTCCATCGGGTGTTAGTAGGGCTGCGACACAAAAGGAAATACATTGTACTCACGGATGTGCCGAAACCGGAACGCGAGGTCTCATGGTGGCTGGTCGTAGGCGTGCATTGCCACGGCCTTTTCCTCCCCGATTTTGAGGTGACTGCGGATTGTTAATATCCCTTGCAGGGTCTAACGGACGACCAGATGTAAAATCATGTCCCCTGGTCCTTTCCTTGCCACGTTCCTTTACAGTAGCACTCCTTTGGTTAAGCGGCATTAGAACCATGATAGGGAAAACGGGAATGACGGAATAACATACGATCTTTGGGAAATTGACTGGTGACGTCCACGAGCTCCAATAACACCACCACCTCGACCAGTGCCCCCAGGGGCTCCGACTGCACGTCGGCCACGCGGATGAACGGACGTATCAGTTTCGGCCTCGTACTTCTGACCACCGTTTGATTTGATGGTTTGCATTAGGTTGTACCTATGCCATTGTCCCTCCATCATAGGAGCGAGATCATCACCTTCAGCTTGACCAAGAGTTTTCCAGGCATCTAGGTCGGATATTAATAAAAAGTTTTGTAGGACCAGGAACACGAGGTAACTTACTCTTCCACGCATCCAATTTATCCTTATTCTCTTTAGCTAGACGGTGACACTCCGTTCCCTCTTGGTTTGAGGCTCTAGAAGCCTCCAAACGACTCAAGGACAGCACTTGCTTTGGGCCTTCGTCTCGTGTCGAAAGGTAATCACGTCTCGCAATGCCGAGGTCCTCCTAAAATTGCCACAGGTAAGTAAATGATAGGTAAATATGCTCTAGCAGAAAAGAAAATATACCATTTGGAGGGTTTGAAGACGAGCAATACGCTCTTCGCCAATTTCTTCGGCCATTTGAAGCGGTGATAAGTTTCTTTCTGAGATAAAGCAGTCCTCTCACTGTCTGTCAGCTACTTTTTAGCGAAATACCAACACATCTGGGCAAAATTAGGGGGTACTTTGCCAACAGCTTGAAAACTCCCACCAACAAATGATTGAGATGTCTTACCTGGGTTTCACCAGACTATGTGAGCTGTAAAGCCTCTGAGATAGTTTGAGGCCAAGAACTCTGAGACAAAAGATGGAAGAAAGTGACAAGGAATACAGACGGAAGCTGCTGCAAGTGAGTTAAAGGTTGCAAAGTGAGGAATAGTACAGACGGAAACTTGGGGGAGTGAGCGGATGGTCAGGAGTGAAGAGTAAAGACGGAAGCCTCTGCAATAAGACTAGTGGAAGAGAGTGTGAAAAGTATAGACGGAAACCCTGGAGTGGAGCAGTGTGAGAAAAACAGACGGAAACCTTTGTTAATGAGCTGAAGGGTGCACAGTGAAAAGCACAGACGGAAGCCTCTGTAATGAGACGAATGCGAGAGTGAAAGGTGTGGACGGAAACCCCAGAAGCCAGGGAGAAAAAAGAATGTGACAATGGTAACAGGTATGAAGAATAAGGAATGGACAGAGAAAATGAAGGATAAATTCCTAATTTGACGGATGTAGAGAGGCTGATGGCCGTCAATGATATTGGCAATCTGCAGAGAGGAAGATAGGGAGGGGATGTTTATCTCTAGAGAGGGAGCTCCCTAGGCAACAGACAAACACAGCAACACCACTGTGGCCTGTCTGATCGGTAGCCAGTGCAGAGGGATGTTGGAGAGATTTATATATTGCCCATATGCCTCTAGAGATTATGATTTTTGTGGAATTGTACCTACCAAGATATGGTAGGAGGTAAGAAGAATGCTGGCCCAGCAGGGCAGCTCAGAAAGTGAGGAAGCTGACAGAAAGTAGCAGAGGTTGCTTCAGAGAGAATCTTTGAAGAAAAAGAGTGTCAAGAGTGATGGTGAGGAAGAAGGAAAGGAAGAGCACAGACAGGAAGAGAAAAGAATTGATATAGTGCTCGACAGGTAGGGTAGTGAATGTAAACGGACTCCGCCATCTCTAAAGCAACCAATCATCATGTAATTAAATATGTGAATCGAAAAGTCATGCCTTTCCGTCTGAATTGGTCACGCTACCCTCTCTGACAATATTCACAGTTTTTGGACATGGAGGTCCTAAAAAGGCGTGAAGCACCAAAAAAAAGCCATTTCCAAACTCAAGCTCCCTTTGAGTTGCTGCTATTTGAGATGTGGCTCGCCGCAAGGAAGCGGTAAAGAAGCATTGTACTCCTCAAGGTATTGGAACTCATCCGAATTGATCATTTCATTACGGATTTTGATTCTAATATATGTGCAAGGATATATGACTGTCTGGATCTGAGGAACGTAACCAGTGAACCCTTAAAAGACACAGGTAGATCCCGATCGATGATGGTGGTGGCAAAACGCACCACGATTGCGCTAGCCCGCCCTCAGGAATATATTTGGCTTTATTTGCAATGGCAGAGCCATCACAAGGCAAGGTTGATACGCTCCGTAGAAGGAGCAATAGGAAAAGAATAGGAAAAAGAACAATATGGTATGCCATATTTCAACAACTCAGGCTGCGGCGGGATATAGGGTATCAGGACGAAGGAGAAATCCAAATCAAAAGCCAAAAACACCTCAGACTTTGTGGATAGCCCTCCCTGTAAGGTATCCGCCATAGGATATAACATTCAACGGATAATTACATCTATATCTCTAGTAAAACAGGTAGAAGAAATAAAATGTAAAGGAATATATCGGTTTCTCGTCTTCAACAGGTCATCGGGCCGCCTTCGTCTATCAACACCGAAAATGTATCAGCCAATGTATGAGAATATGAAAGGGGCTACCACAATATGCAATTGAGGGAGTTAGCGGCAGTACTTACGCCTTATGATTTTGACCAATGCCTGCAAAACGCTCATACATAAAACACAAACGCCGAATATAATGCAGAGTACCGCTGGAATCTTCGATTTCCAGCCTTGTGAACTGAGTTTAATGTAACAAAGCGGAGGGAGAATATAGGCCAATACGCAAGCGCTCGTTGCTCCAATGAGCTCCAGGACGGAGCCGAGATCGCAAGTCATTAACGCCATTACAACGGATGTAACAACCAGTGAAGTGGTGAAAATAAGATGGCGACCCGCGTTGTAGGGTTCGTCGGGGAAATAGAAAGTGGTCATAACAGATCGGCAGACAAATGCTTCGAGCGGAAGTGTGGCCAGCATATTAAGGCCGAAGCAGCTATGATATAAAGTATCAGCAACGACTGGAAGTGCCTGAGGCCATTTTCACGGAGTCACTCACAGTCTTGCAATATTTACCAAAACGTTGTCGGCAGGGAAATTATTTAATACATTGCCTTTGGTTTTGGATCCGAACGTAAGATAACCTGCAAAGGCCATTATCAAACACATTACCATTGAGATTCCAGTCGAGTAGTGAGTAACGAGAGCAAAACGATCGAGAGTAGGCTTCTTCAGGGAGCCGTATATCAACAGGCTGTTGTGATCTAGAATTCGGTGAGTATAAACCAACAGCCAGTGGAATTCGCTTGCACATACGGCAGACAAAAGCTAGAAATGATACGTTAGTGTGAGTGAGATAACCCGAGCGAAAAGCTCCAGCTTACCGAAAGATATGACTCCAACAGCTTGAAAAAAGCCCGAATTGACGAAGATCGATCCTTTGATGTCACCCCTGAGATCGGACTGTACTCCCACGCCCTGGGTAATCACTGCAATAACAATAACAAGCATGCTTATTAAGGCAAACGTCGATGCTTTTGCGAGCTACACGGATTAGCGTATTATCGGCAACAAGGGATGTGGTGCATGCATACCTTTGCGATATCCCGATATAACGATAAAGGATACGATATTCCCAGAACAAAAAGCACGATGACAGCACGCCGGTCTGTTAGGAGCCATAGAAATGGAAGATCCTTCAGTGAAGGAAAAAGAGCCGCTAAGACATGAGGAATTGTGTCGCCAACGATGATACAGAACGCAATCATCCCTCCAAACGCGAATGCCCATTGTGCTATGGATATTGCTATCAACCCAGTCCTCCCAAAGCAGAACTCCACAGTAGCTTGAAAAGAGTCAGCTCCGCTGAGCTTTGAGTTGACAACTATCAAACGAATAGTCCAGTCGACGGCGCAGGTAAGGCCGACCAGGAGAATAACGCCCATCACCATTCCAGCTTGACGGAAGGCATACGGCTGCCCAATAATTCCAGCACCTATGATGCTGTTGGCCATGTTCATGAACGCGTTTCTGAGGCCACTTTTTGGTCTTGCACTCTCCAGGTATTCTTCGGGGAAAAAGTCGCTGTTCGAGGTCGCAAGAGTAACGATAGGAGCTTCTATATCCGTAAGGAGCGGAGCGACTTGTCCTGTGCTGCTCCTCGAGCGGTGAACTTCACTATCCAAGTAATCTGCCTCGTTTAGCCATGATCGGTCGGGCGCGACTGAAGTGGAATCCCGCCCGGGTTCCTCTTCTGTGCCATCACCTAAGTCGAAACGAACGCGGTTCGGGGTTCGAGGTGCGCGAGGCTGTCCATTGTTGAGAGTAGGGAGAGCAAGAGAGGATTGTCGTTTCGGAGCGGGGGGCCGCGTGGACTGTGAAGGCTCGGGGTGGTCAACTAGATCATCGTCATCGACGGGGTGAGAAAGGAGAGAGCGAGCTTCCTCGGGGTCATGCCCATTTGCCTCAGTCTCGCGGACATCGAGTCTGTCGGTGGCTTTGGGCATAGCTACGCGAATCGATCATGCTTGCGCTGAGAGAAATCCGTCGAACTCCGTCGCTCCAAGACAATAATCTTTTGACCGCATCGTCTCAGCCCCCTGTTGGCTTAGCCCGTTTTCAGCAGCATCACGTGATTATTTGCGGCACGGGCCCCTGGTTTCTTTAATCTCAGGAATTGAACGGCGCAAATGAATGGCAGTGTGCCATCCGCAACGCCCGCAGCAGAAGAAAGGGGACATATGGATTTGAGCTGATCCACACAGCTGTGCACTTTTAAAGCGTAGTCTTAGACACACACACACACACATGAGCGAGAGATCCGCACAACGAGATGTGTACATTTCTCCCAAAACGGAAATCCGGCGGCCCTTCCACGTTAGGGAGTTTCGCCGCGCCTCCGCCGTCCGGCCAGATGTCGAGCAGATTCGTCCATCTCCTAAGGGCTATTTGCTTAGCTAGGCTTGTCGTTCTACTCTAATTCTCCCCTCAGGTAGCCATACCCAGTGATTCGAGAGATGGCTTCGCATAGCGTCCAACTTCAGCCAATTCCCCAGATACATGACAATGGTCATGTGCAGCTAAGGGTGTCGGGCTCTCTTCAAGCCGCTCTGTCAAGCGCCTTTGCTTCATGCCCCGAGAGATTGAGAGCTACCTTTGAAAATGCATGGGTCTGCTTGGGCCCGACATTATTGTTCAAGATTAGCATTCGGATATGTAATTCTTCCCACGAGGACAGGTTGATCATGCGCATATTGGATGCCCTGGGAGATATGATTGCCATGGCAAATGCAAGTTTAACTCGTCCTTTCTATATGGCTCCCCAGCTGACCCTGGCTAGCTATGGTCTGATCTATGCCTGTCTGTGGCTCCGCAAAACTATCAAGTCGTCACTGACGAAATAAAATCTGGCCAAGTACACGTCTTGCTTCCTCTCAAACGGAACTTTAACTACTCGGCCCAGCTAGAAATGCCAAGGCAGCAACACCTGCACAGTCTTGTCTCATGCCTTGATTCTCATGTTCAGCCCCCTTTCGGTATCCCGGTGGCTACCGTTCGCCATATTGAGGCTAGCTTCGAGTTTATGCTAACAGAGTCGGACTCTTTGGGGTTTGCGCAAAATTGCTATGACCTTGGACGGTACCCGGCTGCTATCCCCACCGATGTGTGTACTCGCAGCGGACCGCTCTTTCATTATTCCCTGGGTGATAACGCGGAAGGATCGTTGTCAAATCCGGATGAAGACTGGATCTCGCTCGAAAATGATCCTACCTATTCGAGCCAAAGGTCGATCTCAAGTTATAGCTCAGATGGCTATGGCACAGTGGCTCATTTAGAAACATCTGAGACCGGGTTTCCAATCAAAACGGTCCGGTGCTACGCTTCCTTGCTAGATTTAGGACTCCGCAACTTCCTATGCCATCAGCCTTTCCGACTCGAGCCCGACGTCGAGGGCGGAAATACAAATGAGAATCCCGATGTTCTCTCCAATCTTGCATCTCGTATACTTAACCTGGAATATAATCGTGTAAGTTATTAAATCTTCTACTTATCTAGCTAATAACTAAACTCTTTCAAAAGGCTATTGCGCAACGGATATCTTTGATCCCAGTGATAGCAAAAGGGATACATTCCCTGTTGTCGACTACCCAATCACCGGAACTCAAGTCAAGGCTTGGTAGTCTTGCCAGGACATACTTCGACAGATATTGCCTCCAGGATTCCAGTGTATCGGGGACCACCAACCCTACCCCCGATACCAGGACAATATTGAAATGTCTTCTCTGGACAAACGCACAAAATGGCCTATCCAGCTCGGATCTGATGAGCAAGCTCAGCCCGTTGCAAACTGGCATACCTTGTTCTATATCGCCTTCGAGGGGGTGGACTCACTATGACTCCTTGCCCGAAACAAAACCTACCATGGACACGCCTTTCGAAGTATTTGCACAGTGTCTCTTCGACGACGGAGGAAGAGATGAGGAAGAGCTTTTCTTTAACCATCTCGATACGTCTGACGGAAACCAATCGTTGGACGGGCTTCTCGAAGTAGCAACGCAATCGCCTGCCCAATTCTCATCACCTATGCTCGACGGCGCCGTTGTTGATGAAACCCTGGAATATGAGATCGAGATGCTCGATCAATCCTCGCAGCCGTCGCTTTCCCCCAAATTTCCTACTTCTTTTGCAAATTCAGACCCAATCTTAGATGATGAGGACGATGGGCATATGAGAATAGATGCAGACCACGATATCAGCTTCAACAACAGCTTCAGCAGCAATATCACCCACTTTCCTGTGTGTAGTAATGAAGAAATGCTCTTCTAACAGAACAACATTGATGCTGACATTTTGTGGAGCAATTTGGAGGATGTGCAAGGTTCGATAATAAATCATTGTCGTCCAGCTGACCTATGCGACTTTGCGATTAACTAACCAAACCTCGCTACATAAAAAAAAAAAGAAAAGAGTCACAATCAACTACCAGACTTCAAATTTCAGTGCAAAGTACGAGTCCATAAAAAGAATTGTTTTCTATTAATACAGGCGTCTGAACGTAAATGAATACCTATCGCCAACCTGCTTTGCTCGCGCTGCTTTTTCCTGAAATTCCGACGGGAAAGGGGTCCGGATTTTATCCCTTTTTTGTTTTTTTCTTTTAAAGCGAAATATCACAGCACCCGTGCACAAACCCAAGGACCCAGTGGCTGAACTTGTAGGCGAACTTGGTCAAGGGAAAAAAAAAAAAAAAAGGCAAAGGCGAGGGTCGCGACATCATGAAGACACTGGAAACAGCTCATATTCATACAGTTAAATTCCACGGATTAAGATTCTTAACCAGCGGAATCCATTTGAAAAGAAAACCAGCAAATACTAAAGCTTGTAAGTGCAGATGTTGCGGCCGAAGACTGAAATCGGTTTATGTCGCGTAGAATTATCACATTATGGACTTTGCGACTCCCCTCAGGACGCAGCTGGCTCAATTTCGAAATCAGAGATATAGTTTGCGCCAATCAAACTCCGTTTGCTTCTTTAGCATCAGCATCATTATCGCTTTCCGTCTATCCGCTGACCAAATGCCGGGAGAATCTAAACGCCTTTCTCGAAAATCTACACGCGTCTTAGTGGGTAGAATCAGAAACTTTGAAATTGAGATACTAACCACGTTCATGTAAGTATCGGAAAAGAGAAGAAAATGTTCATGATGGCAATTTACAGGTTGCTAGACCATAAATCTGCTGCGGATCTGAAGGAAGAACCAGGGCGGAAGCTCCGTCGCATTCACCGACTTCTTTGGGATTGCCGTTGAGATGGCAGCCTGGGGTACTTCGCAAATCTTTCCGTTCTGAGAGATTGCTTGCAACCCAATACTGAGCTCCAACGCGGTCGACCAGCTCACAGAGCCTGTTTGCGTCAAAAGCTTCAATGAATTTGCGGTCCAAAACACGAGTTTTGGGTGCCGAGTACTTAATGTATTCAGCCACAGCAGCCGTGTTGGACCACCCTTGGGCCCTTCTGAAGCATGCAATAATGCAGCCGGTTCGATGCTAGGCGATAAGTCAGAGAGCGCCTTCTATTCAGGTATCCGAAAATAATAATGATAACAATACCTTTCCTTTATTGCAGTGCACAAGAACAGGATGATTGTCAAGGTTGAAAAGGATTCTGAGCACCTCAAGTACAGTATTTTGAGAAGTGAAAACCTTAGGGTCCTTGTTTGCAATAATAGGAATCACATAAGAGGTGATCCCGTTATCCTTGATAAACTTCTTGAATTGTCGCGAGTGTTCGTTTTCAACAAGGGTTCTGACATCTCTTAGCAACAAACCCATGATAACAGTGGAGCAAACTTACACGATTGTTTTCAGATTCAGCTTCTTGATTGACTCAAAGTGATCCGGCAACGGGAAACTGCTCCGGTAGATTCCACTGACAACTTCAGCGAAATTGGCAGGAAGCCCCGGGCCATGAGGAGTGGGAGGACGACTGGTGCCGCTCTCAAATCCGCTGGTAATGTACTCCTTTTTGTTGTTGGCTGGAGCTGCAGTCAGAAAGGTCCAAAGGCATAACGCGGCAATAATGGGGCACGAGCGAAGGTGGCATCGAGACGTATGGATGCAGGCTTTGGAATTGCAGGTGGAAAGAGAGGCGCGGCAGTACCAAAGGATATCAACGTACCAAGCTGTCCGGCACCATCATGGTTCGGAGACAGCAACTGGGGAATTCTAGAATCGGGCGGATCCAACTGACCGCCATCCACCGCGGCGAACTGCGACATTCTGACGTGCGATAGAGGATGGCGAGGCAAGGGAATATGGTCTGCTGGAGTACCTCAACAGACAATATCGAGATATGAAGGAGGATGATGTGTCGCAGTATGATCTAGGCAAATGGTACGAAAAAGAGAAAAGTGGTGAGTGCAAACCTCACGAGAATAACAGTTCAAAGTTGCAGTGCAAGGGAGAAAGAGAGCTTGCTTTTCCTCGATGGCATATGAGTCGAGCTTGAGGAAGAGAAAGGAAGAAGGAAAAAGGGGAAATGGGGAAATGGGGGTAAAAAAGGAAGCGAGGAAGGTAGACGAGAGGGGTAGTGAAATGATGACAATGGAATATGCAGGAAGGTCGAAGGTGAAAAGGATAGAAGGGGAAGGAAGTGGGAGCTGGACGTCACTCCTGGGCTAGATAAACATTCCCTAGGAGACCGGCAGGTGGGAGGAGGAATATCTTGAGAAGATCCGGTTCCTAGGGAAGCTCAGGATGTGATCTCACAGCTACAGAGTCACAACTAACCCCCAATATGGCAGAAGATAAACAAGATCCCACAAGTCAGATCCATGGTGAAGAAAGAAGAGCGAGACCTCACAGACAAAACAGAGGCAAAGAGGAACAGTTGGACAATCTGGGAGGAGAAGGAGGGGGAGGAGTCCAATAACGTAAGCTACTATTATGAGTGCCAGCTCTGTTATCTCAGCATCAGGTAGGTAATTTTTTTTTTTTTTTTTTTCTGCTTTGGGTACATTGCCCTGATGCAGGACAGTTGGAAGTTGGTTTGGCCGGGCGGTGCAGAAGGATTATCCGGCCCCGATGGTATGCTAGCCTGTATTAGGCTTAGCTCAACCATTTAAGGTTAATCTTTCCCCGGATTATCTTAATGCCGCGTGACGATCGTCAGCCTTATGTTAACCACGCGTCTTGATCATATCCTTGTATGGCACTTTACCCGGCAGACACATCTAGTTTATGAATGTCTATGGCGTCTATTTTCACAGGCGAATTTATACTCTATTGGGTATACACATAGAGATTTGAGCCAGGTAAACCAATTGATCTAACACCACTGATCCAATCAGTGCCTCCCTCATTCAACCATCAGCTTGATGAGATTTCTTCACCCAGGCCAAACATCTTGATAGAATTGTTCCATGCGCTATTAATTAAGCTGTTAGCCAAGATCTTTCACAAGCACATCTGTTGTTGCTTACGCTTCACAAACTTCCTCGACTGTAATTCCCTTGACTCGAGCAATCACTTGCGCAACGCGGGATATCGTCACCGGTTCATTTCTGCCCTTGACCATACAACCCTTCTGCCACCTCTCCTTTTTAACGGCTTTTGGCAATGTGGGTGCATCTTCGACGTATTTGAACGATGCGTGGGAGGGTCGAATCTCGCACTGCTCTCCGGTGATTAGCCACCATCACCAAACTAAAAGAATCCAGGAATCATACCCAAGGGCCATCGGTTTCAATTTGGATTCGGTCGAGCGGCATAGCCTTGACGACCTCTAGGTTTTCTTCGGTTTTCAAGCTACATCCATTGACCCCAATATCTAGGCCCAATGCGACCAGTCGCTGCATCTCCTCCATCGTTCCTGTGAAGCTGTGTACCAGCCCGCCCTTCGGCAACTTAGGAAGTCTCGATGAAAGGATGCGTTCGAAGTCTTCGCTGGCGGCACGGGAGTGTAGAAATAAAGGCAGCTGGACCCCAACGGCTACGTCCAACTGCGCTTCGAAATATTTTAACTGCTGGTCCTTGGGAGACAAGAATAGACGATCGTAGTCCAGTCCAATTTCTCCGAAGGCAACAGCATGGCCGGACTCTTTGGCTTCGAGTGCCAGAGCTTTAATCTCCGCTAGATAAGCTGCAGGGCCTTGGGGATACGAGTCGAACAGTTTTGCTTGACAGGGATGTACACCCACGGTGGCGAAGCAGAGACCAGCTGAACACAGTGTTAGCTATTTACCTACTGAGGAGCAAGAAATCAAACCATGGATATTTTTTCATACCGTGGTCTCTTGCTACTTGAATGGCATGTTTGGACTCCTGTAAATCAGAGCCCGTCACCATAAATTTCTGGCAGCCGACATTGACAGCCCGTTCGATGACATCCCGGAGGTCATCATCGTGTACTTTTTTGCCGTGATAGTCACCCCTGAACACAGGGTCCCCGAGATTAACGCCGATCTGAAGGGAAAGGTCAGCACTGGTGCAAGAGGAAGGCGCAAAAAAAAAAAAAAAAAAAAAAAAAAAAAGAGAGAAAGAAAAAGGATATTGCAGTAATTTTGCGAACCTACATCGACATATCTCAATTGTTTCGCAGACTCCCCCATTTCGACACGCTTCGTGAAAGTGCTTGACCACTTTTGAGAACAAGGATACAGTTTATTTACACACGCTTTATGTCTATCATGCTGATAGTCAAAATTTCTATGGGCTTCTTTATTTTTTTCCCTCCCCTCCCGCGATTCACGATCAGTCAAAACTACACTAAAAGGGTAAGAGGACTGCCCATACCTCCAAGAGCTCCACGGGAAATGCTATTTTGCACGGACGACAAGTTGCGCCAGATGCTTTTTGGGATGGAAGGCCGTATCATCAGCTCCTCTCCTCTTCAACTAACCAGCCGATTGTGCTTGATGGAGGCAAGTTTTGGGCTGTTGCTGGCCAATTGGGTTAAATGGCTTAGTCATGGTTAACTACGAACTCAACAAGAAGTTGACCAACCACAGCCAGAAGCCCATTTTACAGCTACCTTTCCACCAGAAGCCCACGCTGCCAACTCTCTGGTGTGAGTTGTGATGCTGTGCCACAGTGACAGGCGTGACAGTTCGTCAATTGGAACACGCTGACGACCTCATGCACCCGGACTCACATGTATTAGTAGTTAGCTGAAACAAACCCACACCAGCCAAGCATCAGGGCATGGCAATCAAGGTGCTCCCTTTCTTTTATCCACACATATACTGTATCCTTGCATTCTCAGATTTCTGGTTGTTTAGTAAATCCAAACTTTGTCAGATGTAGTTCAATGAAGAAGTGAAACATCCAAGAAGCTCATGAAAGAGATATCTATTGATGGGCTGGATGTGTGAACAAAGATACGAGAAAGGCCATTGGGGAAAAAGAGACGAAAATAATTGACCGAAGCCCAATGCCGCAGACGGGCAGTCTACTGCACGTCCCTTAACTTATACAGGCTCAGATTTTCCTCTTGCAACATTCTTGCTGAAATCTGAGCCAAATGGTGTTTTGCTGTAGCCACTTACACTGGTTGGTCCAGTGTATCCATAGTTGCTGTGCTATCAGTAAAACCGCAGGTTCGCACCAATATTACATGTATTTAGGCACGTCGCAGCATGCGATGTTTCCGCTGGCGTGGACTGAAAATTTGCTTGGGAGCGCAGCGGCAGAACACTATCCTGCGATAGTTACCTGTTGCACCACTTATTTATTGCAATGTCTTCCTCTTCTCTTTTCCCAAAATGCCCAGCCTCGGATAGCTGCCCGGCCCTTTTCTTAGCGGGTCCGTTCGGCTTTGTTTCCGCCACCGTTAGCCCCTGGATGAGTGCTGGGGGCTAAAGGAGCATGCATGGGTGGGAACTTAAGCATTCCGCGCTTCGCTTTCCATCCACCGTGGTTGTTTTCTGGGATAATAAACTAAACATTAATCTGTCAAATTCCCCACTGGCAGTGCTAGTCCTCACCGAATCCATCGTTCGTCCCTGTCCACATCTCTGGGAGAAATCGAATTTTAAACTTTTTTCTTTTCCTCTACCTCTCTCTTCCCCCCATTCATATTAACGCGCCGAGATATCCTACCCCTGGCCTTCACAATATTCAAAGAAATACGCCTTCTTTTCAGCCATGTCGGTGGCAAAAGTCCAATTAGTCTCTTCTCAAGAGATTGCTGCTCATAGCTCGTTCTCCGATTGTTGGATCGTGGTAGACAACGAGGTGTGGGATGTTACCTCGTTTGTTTCAAAGCACCCTGGGGGTTCCGCAAGTTCGTGGGCCGGTTCTTCCTTTGATCACTTTCTCTACAGTAAATTACCTATGGCCATAGACTAGCTGTGGCTAACCGCGTGTCTACCTCTGATAACAGTAATCTTGAAATATGCTGGGCGAGATGCGACAAAGGCGTATTCAGAGGTCCATGCACCCAATATCCTTCGAGACAATCTCACTCCTGACAAGTTTAAAGGAGTCCTCGACCAGAGCACGGTCGATAGCGCATGGCTGAAGGTCCCCCCAGAGGCGGAGCCGAAGGTGGTACTGGATCATGAGAAACCTCCACTTACCACCCTGATTAGTGCCCATGACTTTGAGATGGTAGCATCGAAAACTGCTTCTCGCAAGACCTGGGCTTTCTACTCTAGTGCCTCGAACGATTTAATCACGCGTGATGCCAACAAATCATTCCTAGACCGGATTTTCATGCGACCACGCGTCCTGCGGAATGTGCGCGAAGTTGATACCCGCACCAGGATCCTTGGTTGCAATGTGGACATGCCTCTTTTTGTCAGCCCCGCTGCTATGGTGAAGCTCATGCATCCCGACGGTGAACTTGCAATTGCCAGAGCGTGTGAGAACAAGAGGCTGGTACAGGGGATCTCGAACAATGCATCTTACTCGATGAAGGATATCACAGCCGCCGGTCCGGGGGTAGATTACTTCTTCCAGCTATATGTCAACAGGGACCGTACCAAGTCTGAAGAGCTCCTTCGAGAATGCTCGGCCAACCCACGCATCAAGGCCATATTCATCACCGTCGATGCAGCTTGGCCGGGGAAGCGTGAGGCTGATGAAAGGGTCAAGGCGGATGAAAGCCTGACCGTCCCGATGGTCGACGCTAAAACAAGGAACGACAAGAAGGGAGGCGGCCTCGGCCGTGTTATGGCAGACAGCATCGATCCGGGTCTTACCTGGGCGGATCTTGTCTGGGCGCGGAAGCATACTCACCTTCCATTGATCCTGAAAGGGGTTATGAGCGCAGACGATGCAATCCTAGCGATGGACGCTGGCATGGATGGAATTTTATTGAGTAATCATGGAGGCCGCAACCTCGATACCAGCCCTCCACCCATCATTACTCTCCTTGAGCTGCATAAGCGCTGCCCGGAGATCTTCGATAAGATGGAAATCTACGTGGACAGTGGCATTCGACGTGGCACGGACATTCTAAAATGCCTTTGCCTGGGAGCGACGGCCGTGGGCATGGGGAGAAGTGTGCTCTTTGCAGCGAACTATGGACAAGAGGGGGTGGAACATTTATTTGACAGTCAGTCATTCCCCGTTCGTCCTACGGAATCATCGCTAACGTGTTTATTACCTATTTAGTCATGAAAGACGAGCTTGAGGGAGCCATGAGGCTTGTCGGCATCACGTCCCTCGACCAACTTGGTCCAGAGTTGGTCCATACGGGTGATATTGACCACTTAGTTCCCGATGCTGCAAGTCATCCGTACGCAAGGACCCCGCCCCGCCGTCTTGCTACGTCGAAATTATGGAATGGAGGAGCACCAAAAGCTAGGCTATGAGCTATTTTGTCGTCTTTAGGACCCGTCCGGCCTACCTCTTTCCAAGCTGCTATCCGCGGGAATAGTTGATTTCTTTTCAGCCTGGGATTACTGTACTCGCAAAACGTATATACATCATATATATGTAGATACCATTTACGAAGCCAATGCATGAAAGGAGCGAGAGAGAGAGAGAGAGAGACCCCGTAAAGCCAATGCAATCCACGTACATAATTCAAATTATGTGTCATGCATTCCCATGGAGAGTTTCCCCACGCTTCTTCGGCTTTGTTCCCGGTGACTACCACGGTATACCGTGTCTTCGGGGGTTACCCCACAGGGTTTAGCGCCACCCAAATCGGGTACTTAAAGCGCCATATCGCCACTTCAACAACTATATAAACCACCTTCTTCCCGCCGCTTGACCATCCTCCTCCTTCATCCTTATTTGACTCTCTTTTCTCGCAGCTTTCCCTGCATCACTATTCTTGGCCCCCATCTTTGGTTTCACATGGAACGGCTGCACTGCAGCCAGCCCTGGCCATTGCTTCCACATCCCACTTTCCACCATCTGCCACCCTGCTGCTTTCTGAATTACAAGTTTTGCCTGCCATGGCTGGCTGATTTCTCGTTCTTCCGTCAATCTTCTTTTCCCATAACTTTTATTTATCGACTTTTATCCAGCATCAGCAAGCTCCAAAGGTGAATTTGTTGCTGAAATTTCTGATTGTTTTCTCTCTCATCAGGACCTGTCGTCCTTGATTCTATGTGCAACTGCGGATCTGCAGCAACTGATGAGGCCTCTGCTTACTCACGGCACACACTGGCAATTGTGACAGCCAATGATGAAAATGCCTCATTGCAGCCCAGTTGCACCTGAGACACCAGTATGCATTGTGTCCTGATCATGATGAGAACTACTAAGGGCAGTATGTTCCATCCTTGGCTGGCTGAGGGGAAGCATGGTTTTGGACAGCACAATCTCGGCAGCTGGTGAGAATGCACAGCCTCAGTGCTGCTGTATTGTGATTCATGACATGTTATCTGGGAGAAATCAATACACAGCCGCCTGGAGCATGTGGACACTGGTGGCTGTGTGAATTCTCTGCGTTTGGTGATACTTCCCCTGGAGAGTGGGCATGACTCACTGTGGAGGGCTTCCAACAAGTCTCCCACTATCACCACACTTGGAGGGGGCACCAACTCAATCCCCAATTGTCCAATACAACCAGGAGAGTCCCACTCAAACCACAACACCCCAGCACCTCCTGGAACTATCAGCCCCCCTAGCCTGCTGTTGAGCACCAATCCTGCAGTGGGGTCTACACACATCTCAGTTGGGTGGGTAGTGCTGCCACAAGGTGATTACAGCAGCCCAAGTGGGTGCCATGCCACACAGCTGTCCCTGAGGGTGGCAAGGCAGGCTCTGGAAGTCCATGCTTCAGAGGTCAACAGATTCAGGAGATGCAAGTTCCCACTGCAACAGAACCAGGATGGCTCACAATTTGTCGGGGATATCAATGTGCCGGAAGACTGCAACTATGACAGTGCGGAAGACTGTTGGCTGGTGGCATGCTGGCTTGGGCTGGCCAAGTCTATAATGAAACAGCGAGAAGATACCCTTTGCTGTGGGGATTCCGTGCCCCCTGTTGGCAACACGGACGGTATCGATCTAGGTGTGGAGGAGCAGGTCTTCGGGGAGCCAAAGCCACAGAACACTGCTCGAATCGGTGCTAGCTATCTCTTCAACTTACTTGGTGCCAGTGGAGACGGAGTTATCGTTTGTGGCAGATGGGGAATCAGCACACTTTAACGAGTGCAGGGAACTACGACTTCTTCTGTAACGGAGAAATTCTTCTTTTATGCAAAAGTAGTTTTTAGGCAGCGCCATTTTTTAGATCAAACGCTTGACAAACTGCGAAGCTGGTCGATTGGTATGCCGGCTCCCCGGGTTAACGCCAATGCAAGCCAGAATCATATCCCTTGCAATTTTATCCAATCAGAGGCCTTCTCAACATCTAAGCGCCCGAGGCTGTCTGACGGACTGAGAGCGAAATCTGGTTGTCTCGATAGCGCATCAGTGGGGTTAATGCTTCCAGGCTTGTATTCAAACCGCCCATCATGCTTGACAAGAGTTTAAACGCTTTGTCATATAGAAGTATTGGAGGTTGTTGTCAATTGCATATACAGCTAGATGAAGCTTGGTTGTTTTCAGATGGATTCAGTTGATTCTTGCATCGGCAAGATCTATCTCCCGTTGCATTGCACGCATTTTAGGACGGCAAGAAAAAGCGAGCCTCAACAGACATGTTATTAAAATGCGATGACGAAGACAATTCAAAGACAGTGCAGCCTTTGCTGGAAAGTTTGGGCCTTTTCAAAGATGTATTGAATTCGCCTATAAGATATTAAGGACTTGTCTGACAGGCATCTCTAGGACTACGGACATATGTTATGCAGGCTCTCTGGACAAGAAACAATCGCGAAAGATCCTGGTTTCGATATTCTTTCCCTTATCAACCGAGTTGAGCACTGATCTATTGACTAAAACAAATCTAGCATTTAAAAATTAGAGGCAATACGGAGTAGAAAGAATTGAAAAAGGAGATCCAGCCGTTCAGGGGGAATGGGACCTGAGAGATCGGCAGCACTACATGCTGCTATCCCCACTGAGTTAGTATTTCATCACATATATCCCTGAATACACCTGCCCTTCCCCACGCATTGTTGCAGCACCATTTCAATTCTCCGCCATATTCATCATATTGCGTCAGCTTTATTACATTGAAAGAACACTCTTCCCTCCATCCAAAGTCAATCTGGCTCGGATTTTAACAGATAGATGTCCAACTCCGAGGCGGTGGAATTCGAGGTCACCATTCTCTTGAACAGTGGTATCAACGATAGCACTTGGAGAAAATAAGAGTGCTTCTCCAACAGGTGAGACTGGAGACAAGACATTGTTACCTGATCCGTTTCTTCGTCCGAATTTTTTTTTTTTTTTTAAGGTCAGCCCTGGAGCAATCTCCGTCAGCGAGGCAAGTCGAAGCTCTGGAGACTCAAACCTTTGGACTTCATCACCATCACCATCTCCATCGCCATCGCCATTGCCGTCTCCATCGCGGACTCTTCGCAATCTCGCCATCATCCATGGATCCACAAATGAAACAGTGTATTGCAAGGACATGGTCAACACGAAACGCTATTCTGAGCACTTGAAAAGTCGGTGTCCGAAAAGATCTGAGGCCATTACTTGCGAGAATTGCAACCGAACGGTTCCTTTGTTATCACTGCCGCGGTGAATTTCCAAGGACCTCTGCTCGCCCTTCCATAACTGACTTAGCCAGCTTGGACCAATGCACGCAAACGAATCATCCCGACAAAGGCGTTCCCTCCTCGTCTCGGCAGCGTGGACTTACAGAGCCATTCACAGTCGGTGATCATAAGTCTTTTCTGCATCTTGGGTCAAAGACCCGCCCGTGGATTGGTCCATTGGACTTGTAGTCTGCGGACATGGCGGATTTACGAAGACCTTCAAATCGAAAAGTGGACGGGAAAGATGTTTAGGATCTGGTAATGATGGATTTTCAGGGCAACTCATGCAGGAAGAATATCAGGGATAGGGATAAGCTTACTACATATATCGTGGGAACTCTTCTAGATCTCGAAATTAGCTAACTAATAAGGAGGAACTCGGAGTTCAATTGATACAAGCAAGGACGAGGAATCAAAGGCACGGAAGGCAAGGAAAGAAGTGACATGGATTGAGGGAGTTTATAACTGACGCAGGTCTTCATTTGTCCCAATTTGCCAAAATCAAGAGACGTCAGAAAGCAACAGAGGTCTTCAACACTTGTACTGGTCCCAGTTATAATTGTTGGCGCAGTATGGGCAATATTCCAGTGAACGAGAGCCTGTGCAACGCTGCACCCTCCACTGGGTGCAACAGCCCGGGCATCGGTACTTCGTCGACGTTACCCCCGAAGCCAGCACTTTAGACAGATCAGCCGCAAAGCCCTTCGTCTCTTGAAGGACTTCCAGGAAGCCAGGGTCCCCAAGCAGCTCCTTGATATGCTCCCGAGATACCTCAACAAGCAAGTCCCGAAGCTCCCTACCATCCCCAGCAATAGTCCTATAAGCTTCTGAAATAGCGGTAGGAAAATCGTTCATCGCCCAGCAGGTTCTGGCAGCCTTCTCGGCTTTTTCCTTGGCACGCTGCTTCAATTGTGGGACACGGTAGAAATCTGCGATTGGGTAGACCTTGACGGAGAATAATAGAGGAGAAGTGTGATCACGATTGATGCCGCAGGTTTCGAAGTCGAGGCCGTACATGTGGCGGACCATTGCTTTGATGGCGCCGGGATCGTCTTTGAGAAAGTCGATGGTAGTCTCGTTTTTCTCCCTGGATTTCAAGGCTGAGGTCAGATAGTATGTTTTAAAGAAAGCGGTCAGATTTTTGTTTACCTTCCAGTCGCCGTTGAAGAGTTCATCGAAATACTCGGACTGTCCGCCAAGAATAGCCTTATGCACCTTGAACTCTTGATCCTGCGATCTAATGACTAGGTCTGAGTACTTCGAGGTAAAAAAGAGTCTGTCCTGTTAGCAATGTACTCCCCGTTAGATCCTGGACTCAAATTATGGACGAACCCTTTCACACTCGCTGTCAAATCACCAATCCCTTCGTCCACATCGGCTTCATGTCCATGGGGAACTGGGGGCTTATTTTTATCGTCCAACATCTTCGCGTCCTGGTCGATTTCCGTGGTTTTCTGGTATTGTTTTTCTTCAGATTATTGTTTTTCTTCTTCGCCATACGAGCAGCAGCAAAGACTCAGCTGACTAAACGAGACCAGTTAAGCAACAGGGTATGCGGATAGTCCAAATCCCAGCACGAGAAAAGGGAGAAACTAAATAGGAAATGTGAAGATGTTGGCGTGGAAGGGTAGCGCGTAACTAGGGGCAACCCGCAGGTGGGATACCGGAATTCTGCATCGGAACAACGAACACACACAAAGAAACCGGCTTATCGGTAGAAACTGAAACTGATTGAGAGACGTAGGGGGGAAAAATAAAGAAATTTCAATACAAGCGTCATATATTTCCCTTTGTCCCACCCGCGAACGCGGGAGGAATGGCAGATGGCATAATCCAGAGCCGTGGCATAAGCTAGGACAGTTGCATCTGCCACGGTGTAAGCTTGAGAAACTGCGGTGGTATAAGCCAGAGCAGTGGTTGAATTGGGAAGAAGTTGTTTGGGTGTCCTTAGATAGCGTACCTGGATGGGTATATCTATATTTGTTATCACCTTCTATTTCCTTCCATACTGCCAGGCCAGGTCAAAATCAACAGCAGATATACATGAGAAAATAGCACCATTATAGCCGCTTGCTGCCAACACTGTTAGCGAGTGAAAATGTCAAGAAATCCAGCTTTGTTGAGACAGAAAGTAAAATCACGTACGCCGCGAGCCAAACACATTCATGCAGCTGCATGGTGATCACGTAGAGGCCCCGCTTGCATTTCAAGGTTTGACCCAGCATAGGGACAGTGGCCGTATCAGGAAGCAAGAAGTTTCAGATGGATTCCCTTGTCTCGATGTGATTGAGATGGCTGTGGTGATGCGATGATTAAGTATGTTTGACACCCAGCGCGTAGACTGCCGTTGGCTGGCTGCCTGAGGTCACAGACCAGACCGGAAGGATCCACACTCCGATGTCCTCCAAGCGGATGTTTTGATTGTACGGTAGTACACTCTCTCCGTTCTACATTAGGTATAGCGCCTTATAGAGATTTCATCTCTTCGTCGTGTTCCTATATGCGGGTGGCAGGATGCAGCGGGTTACCATCGAAGCTTACGCTGTGGCATGTGCCACTGTCGTTTATGCCACTGCTCTGGCTTGCACCGCTGAGCTGCGGGTGTCCTAGATGTGTACAAAATGTAATCTTGCACAACGAAACCCCATTTTTTGACTATTCTACTCCGTAAAACATTATTTCTATAGACTAACTAATTACAAAAATTTCCACCGAAGGAAATTGACGATAATATCAACACCCGATGTATGCATCAGATGGATGGCGGAACGTAACTGGCTGACTAAGCCCGAACACTGGGCAATGCGAACCAGATCTGTTACAGACGTTGATGGCGACGACAAATCTGTCATTCGTCAGGCGATGAAACACGAATGGGAAACATCCAAGGAAAGCGCGAAATACGGCAGAGACCTCTTGACTTGGCAATGTCTTGGTTAAACTATCTTCAAGCTTTGATCAGCTTCGCATCGAGCAGCTATATGAAACATATGACAAACCACAGGCAGTCCCCATTACACAGTGTGATAGGAAACCGCTTCCGCCCAATGTCCCAGCAAGCGCCGTTATACCGCAAAAAACGTGGCTTTATGCCTTGCGGATTTTCGGGACATGGTGATTTCGGCTGGGATATGTTTTTCCGAACCTTTGCCCTGGGGGCCGGGAAAGTCGTGACTCTTGTGTGAAATGTGTCCCCGGGGAGCCTGCGGGCACTCAATGAGATAGCGCAATAGTCTCATATCAGTATTTGAGATGGGAAGAAATTGCCAGGACTGATATAGTCTTGTTTCTTGCCAAGAGTTGTGACGGCTGACTCATGACAATAATTATCACAAGACAGTAAACCCCCAGCGTGGGCAGGCACCTCTACGCGGTGCTGGGGACTAGTAATCATACAGTGGTTATTGCCCAGCTACTGTGTGGTGAAGCTAAATTCTGCCCAAAAAGAGCGGATGAAAAATGGTGGCATGGTTGTTGAGATCTCTGGCATGCAGTTTGGCTGCAGAGATTTCACTGCCAGCCCAACATGGAGATGAAGAACAGCTAAGAGAATCTGAGTTCCTCTTACCTTGCTGAGATCATCAATATGAAAGGGTGCCTCACCCTCTTTTCTCCTGCTTGCCTCCCCTCTCACCTGCGGCTCCGAACAGAAGGATAGCTAGATCTCTTGCCTCCTGGATCTCCTCAGTTATCAACGTACGACCGCAAAAAACACTACGGACCCGATTACCCTGTCTTCCTCCCTTTTCCACGCGGCTCTGAACAGAAGGATAGCTAGGTCTCTTGCCTCCAGATCTCCTCAGCTATCAACGTACGACCGCCAATAATACAGACCCAATTGTCCTGCCTCCTGCCAATGAAAAGAGTTGTCCATCACTCCATGGCCAAAGCAACCACACACTGTCTGAACCAAACATATATCCACACCAGATGTGCTTACAATTGATATGGAAGACTCTTTATCTTACAAAGAGCCTACATATTCAAGAGACAGAAAACACAAGACAAGGTTATTTATGGGACAACAAGATGAACACAGCACAGTCACATTGGGGGTTCTGGCGGAGATTCTCTTCCCAGTTCCTCTTAATTGTTTATGGCACAAGAAGGTGTCTGCAGCAGCAATGAGCAGTACCAGGATGAAACCAGCTGAAAGGTGTTTGTTTGTGGGGTGATTTATGATTCTCTGTCTCTCCTTTACTTCATTCATCTCTACCCAGTTTGTAATGACCCCATGTATTTAGAGCCGTAGCTGGCGGCTGATTTGTTTTGCTTTCCCGCATAGCGGCCTTCGGGGCGGCTGGGTCGGTGTATGACATAATCAATCAATCAATCAAACAAGACAGTAAACACAAGACAGAGCAATACCTGTGGCAAGCAGCATAAGAGAATAGACATGCATGTGAAATACTTGAGAGGAATGAGCTGGAACAGTCCTCTCAGGTTCTCTGTCTTGTGCCTGGTGTTTCAAGACAGAATTCACGTGCTTCCCCCTTGGAAATCCTGACGATCTAGTCTCTTTAGGATTAGCGCCCATCATGGTGAGAGCTTCCGAAACTGCTGGCATAAGCCAGGGCACAGTGGCGAGCCTGGGTACTCAGAGTGGGAGCCAGATTTAGATCTGGTCATACCGGTATGATCTATTAAAATCGCGGATGGAACGATTGAGATCCAGAATCTGGGTTTTTCACCTATTTCATTGCCCTGTAACTGAATATTGCCTGTCGAGCCTCACTCTCAATCAGAAATGCATGCATCAAATGGCCACATCCCCCTTAAATCCTCACGGTCCTTGTCATCCTCCATATTGGCCATAAGTGTATCAAAGAAATAAGCATGAGCCCGCTTGACGTCTTCCCAGCGATCCACACAAACCCAGCCGTCACTCTCCACCCCCAGTGTCTCGATCATATCTTGCCGGAATTCCAGCATCTTCTCGTAAATTTCCAGCTGTTCTTTGTAAAATACGTGTTCCTCAGCAGTTAGGGCGGGGATTGGGCAGGGCGTTTTGAACCCAAGCTCCCCCCACCCCTCCCTTAACCGCATTAACTCGGTTGTAAATGGCACAAAGCCATCCCTCCACGTCCGGTGGCAATAGATCAACGGCCGGAGAAGTCTTTGGTCAATCTTCCTGGTTGCACCTAGTCGCGGAGTTAACATAGCCCACCCTAGCTCATATGCTTGGTAGCAGAGACTTGTTTCGGCGTTTTCTGATGTTCCCCCTGGGGGGATGCTTGCGAAGTCGGGGACGTCCTGAGCGTACTCGAATACCGGTTCGACACTGGTGGACTGCCAGTCTATGAAGCCAGTGATGGTTGTGGGGTCGTCCTTGGAGACAAAAATGTTCCTCTTGTGTAGGTCTGGGTGGAAGAGAGTGGGTGTGGAGTTGGACTGAATCGCTGGGTGTTTTATAAGATTGGGGAAAACAGCTTGCCCAATTTTCAGCAGATCCAAGTGTTTGTCCACAGAACCTTGGTATGATGCGCGCTGCTGAAGAAGAAGGGGACGGTCTGGTGGAGGCAGTCTTGCAAAGCCAACATCGATCAGAGCAGAAGTGTATGAGGAAAAATCACGCCCTAGGAAGTCAGTTAAATAAGAATGATACTGGTAAGAGGATTAAAGGTCATCTCACATGGCCCTCTGTTTGGTTCTTTGTATGTATAATATCTTGGTTCCCCAACATTGCAATCCCAAAATGTACTTCTGCAGTGTGGGCCAACACAAAATGTAGAATCATTCTCAAGCTTCTGCTTCGAATCAACGTCGAGAAATGCCGCGTCCGCGAAATAAAGGCTGCCATAGGCAGGAAAATCAAGTTTGGATATCGGTGCAATTCTTGTACAGATTGCACCGATCGTCTTTACTTTCTTGTCCAACGGCAGCCCATCCCATACTTCCTGCAATGCAACGCCGCCCGCATGTTCCATAATAATGTATGCGGAGCCAATTGGGTTAGTCGGGTCATCGCTCCAGTCCAGAAGAGCTGGAATTGGTATTTTGGTGTGGCGCTGCACTGTAAGCACAAGTTAACGCTCAGACATCAACACCTTACATCCCTTATTCTTACAGTAAGTAATCGTTGCAACTTCCGAGTTAGTCACATATGTCGCTGGCCCAGCAACGGACATGGGAAACTTCGCAACGACACGTCTCCCGTTGTTGGTTTTCATAACGAATGCTTTACTAAACCCTCCCTCTAGCTTCTCACAGCTTTCAATGAAAGTGGCGGAAGGGCATAGGGAAAGTACTTTCTCACACAGGCGATCGAAATTAAAATGGATGTACCGCGCATCACGCTGCGGCTTGTCAAGGTGTAGCCATCGACCGGAAGTGTAGGCAAACAATGCTATTATGGTTATTAGAAGATCCCATGGACATATTATGGTAAGAAAAACTCGCAGTCGAGTCCCGACATAGGTTCAAGTTCTTTTGAGAGAGGAGTAAGCCTCTGATGAAGTCCACGTGTTGGGATAAGCGTTGAGCAGAACAGTGCTAAAGGGCGTGAAGTTTGGCCAGGCAGTATCCGACCAGAACTTGCAAACGAGCAGACAAAAAAAGAGCGATAGTTCAAAACCATAATGGCCACAATTGCAATCCCACGACTCTCGCCATCACCATGCCGAATTTTCCTTGATGTCGTCGAAGCGCCGGCCGACGCTGAGGCGCTAGGGTGCTTAGCGATGGTTGGCTGAGGTTCGCGGGCGAGCTGAGCGCTGGTCGATCCTCCAAACAATCAGGTAGAAGAGGAAATTAGCAATTGATTAACAGCTAGTTCAACAAAAGAGGTGAAAGCTCCCAGAGGCCAAGATCAAAGAGGAAACTGACTGACGAGATCGGAGCTGATTAAGAGCCTAAGTAAGCTAAACTAGAAAAGACTAGTGCAGATAGGTGGTGGTCAGCCTTGGCATATGCCAAGGTTCCTGCCCTAATCACGCCTAGCTGAATCATGTGAAGCCGGGATCCCAAATATGAAATCTCAGTAATCTGACTTGAAACTTTCAAATCAGAGGCCACTGGGCAATCATATTGTCAGTATAAGTGAGACAGAAATTGTGGGGTGGCAGAAGAGCAAAGAGACAACTGTGCAGATTTGCAGAGATCAGGATACTGACTTGGAGGATTTGAAATTGCTTGAAACAAGGGGAAGTTGTTCAACTTATGCATTTGAGAATAGCAGACAGAAAGAGAGTTCCAAGATCATATCCAGAAAACAAGGATGAGTATTCGTACGTCGTGGACACACCATCATGGGGGTCATCGCCGGATGAAATTTGCGAGAGCATTGAAATTGATGGTGATGGACGCGATCTTGATGTAAAGCGGCGCGTGCCAAGCATCACGTGGACGACATACGGGCTTAAAACAGCGTTGAAAAAGGGCCGCTCTGAGTGGCCGCAAACCCCCAACATACAGACTAGAGAGGTACCTCAGACCGGGGTGGACGTGACAAGCACGTTTTTGACGCAGATCGGTGTACCTTGTATGTAGAGATACAAGTTTCACCGCCTTCGACCCCTTACCCCCCACAAACCGGCATGATCTGGACGGCAGTGGTTGCGGCACGGGACGCGTAGACCAAGTTCGAGAAGAACTCGTAACTAACCGAGAGTCAAATTAGGTAATAAATATCCCTGCGATGGTCTGTCGGTGAAAGTAGATGGGTTCGAAACCACAGAGAATCGGTTTATGGAATTCGTTTCTTTCGCACTCCATAGTGAAGATGGCCATTAATACATACGGAGTGCGTGCAAGAAAGGAAGATTCGGGGACCCCATCATGCCCACCCGGGCGAAGTGAGTCGGGATTCCCAGAGGATGACGACACCCGAACAGTCCCAGCCGTTCCGACAGGCCCATTCGCGAGGATTAATCGGAGGCGAAGGGGGGATGAGGGAATACCCAGGAAGAAGGTTGAGGATGGATCGCACACCACACCACCCTCCCATCGCATCGGACCAAACGGGTTAGGCCACATCAGACACGGCTTTTCCCCCTCATTTTCATCTCTCAGGCCCGGCCCCCTTTTTAATTGTCGTTTCTCCGCCTTGTTCTTGTGCGTTCAGTCTCAGTCTCCTTTTTCCTTTTTTTTTTTTTTTTTTTGTCTCCCTTTCCATATGTCTCCGGTCTTGTTGGCAAAACATCGTGCTCTCCCGACCTTTGAGAACCTTCTGGCTAAGCTCCGGGCTCGGAGACCAGGCGCTTGGCAGCTGCGGAGAAAGCTGTTTTAGCGGCGCATGAAGAGTGGGTAGCGCCCGTAGCTGACACGCCTGGATCAGCCTGCAGCACCGGCCGTCACCAGCTCCAGCTTCCCCAACCAACGCCTCAACCATCCAACCCAAATCGGCTCAATTCGGGTCAGCTGATTCCTGGCATAAATAGCAGCCCTCCAGAGCTCTGATCCTCTCTCTGTGCTCTCAACACAGGAAATTTGCCGTTAGCTTCAGTTTGGGATCATATGTAGAAAAGGAAAAAAAAAAAAAAAAAAATCATAATTGTCTGCGTGGGAATTCATTTGACTAAATCTTCGTCGATCGTCCGATCACATTATTCCTTTTTTTTTTTTTTTTTGTTGACAGCTTTACCACGTCCTGTTCCCCTTGAGAAATCCGTCTTTGCTCCTGTTTCTTTTCAATTCTCGACCTCTCCTTTCATAATTGCTGTTGAACTAGTTTCGTTCGGTCTGTCGAGTACACTCAGTCCAATTCGTCATGGCAGCTCCCCGTTCTACATCGCTGCGTGCTCTGCGCCTCCTTTCCCAACAAAATTCCTCAGCTCCAGCTTCTACTCTGGCCTCAATGGCCCCGTTCCGCCGCTTTCTGCACATTACCGGAGCCTATTCCGCTCAACCAGCCTCTGGACCTGATGTCACGTCAATCTACCGTGCAAGAAGCGTTGCAGACCTGAGAGCTGAGTGCGAGAGGAGGAATCTCCGGGCCGGGGGGAGTAAGGCTGAGGTATGTGCCACCGGCTACTTGGCTCCCTTGGGCCCCCATCTGATCTAGGCATTGCGATTTATGTGTAGCTTGTGGATCGCCTTGCAAATCATGATTTCCTCCAAACAAGGGCATTCAGCATCGCGATGAAGCGGATCGATGGCCCTGCGTTTGGACGAAGGTAAGCTACGCGCTTCTTAGCCAAGGAGATTTCGAGAGTTCTTGGCTAACATTTATTGGAAACACTAGCTCTGAACGACAATTCAACACATCCCGTGGCAGCAAGGCTGTCAACGATTCATCTCCTGTTGACTTTGTCTTCATGCCCAGAAACCTCGAAGCCGAAACGGCCGCCACCTCTGGTTTTCCTCGTATGCCGGTTCCTCCAGATGCGTATGCCCACTTCGAAGCAGCGGGCGCCAGCGGCACCTTGCCCATGAAGCCTCAGATCTATAGCATTGGTGGCGCTTCATCAGACGGCAGTGAACCAAGCCCAATGGCTGAGGTGGTGGACAACTATGCACTCGAGATCAACCCGTACAATCTCACAGAGACCGTTAATAGGTCAAGGCTAGCCGCATCCTCACTGGATGCGGCTAAGAGTCAAGAAAGCGCAATAGGAGTAAAGGGGATGATAAAAGGGTTATGGAATGCGATGTTGGACGATGCCCTTGGCCCCAAACAAAATTCGAATACCCAGTCAAGATGATTCTCCTTTTATTTCTCCCCTTTCTCCCTCCATGACTCCACCGGATGGTCCGAGTGTTTGATGGACATGGATGTCTTTTACATATTAAAAAACGCTGCTTTGGAGTGGTCGCATCGTCCATTGACGGTGCTGTATACCTCCTTGCCCCCCCAGCTCTTTACTTGAATTGTCAAGTTTTTGGTATAGTTGACGCTATATTCAGTTCGTTTCCATTTCTGCATAAGTACTATCAATACTGCTTGTTTAATGTTATCTGATCCCGAGCCGGGGAACATTTTGAACATGAAGCGAGACCGGGCAGGTCTTAAAGTTTGGTCCTTCAGACCCCACCCCGTGTCCTTTTTCTTTTTTTTTTTTTACTTGGAAGATAAATATTTGCCTCACGAAGATGTGTTTGGGCCCATTATCGAGTATAGGCTCCGCTTTGTTCACGCCAAAATCACTAATGATGCATTCTTTCGCGGAACACAGCAACAGATTACTGCTGTGACCACTTCTTGGATTAATCAAAGTTTAAACCCCATGTCTTCAAAAGGTTGCATATTCAATCTTGGTGCAGAAATCAGCTCTAAGCATAAAATCTTGTGATTTGATGTCATGGAGATATATGAATGCCTTTTGTATATTCCTGCTTTCATTCGACGAATTTGATGAGCTTGGATGAGAAGGTGATTCCTCCTCAGTTAATGACTTCCCCTCCACAGTATCAGGGATAGGAAATGGTTCACAGAAGATGGAGGTATAGCTGTAACCTTGAAATATCGTAGCCTAAGGCTGAGATTTCAATGTGATTTGCTTGACATGATGCTAAAAGCTTGACAACGTGGCCTATTCTGGCTATATAGAGGATATAGCTAAGTTTATCTCAGGACTAAATAAAGAGTACCATGTTCAGAGTCTCAGCTCAACTATCTCTCGGGCGATGATTATGTCCAATTTGATTCCTTAACTGCCCTGGAAACACTCCTGCCATTCCTGCAGACCTTCAGATAATTTGACAGAAAGGCGGTTGGAGTAGACGAGAAACCATTGCACTCCCTTTGATCGTGCGCATAGCCATGGAGCTATTTCACAAGAGGCAAACTCATGACTATGAATATTCTGGACTTGTTCAGAACTGCAGATTGTTACACGTAGCCCCCTTCGCAGCTGACAGTTAAACGCGTTTGATCTCCTCATGCCATTGCTAATAGTTCTCTGCTGCGGATGACAGGCACCGAAGATCCGGGAGGGTAATAGTCGTTACCAATAAACCAATGACATGCGCTGGTATCTAAACCAAGTGATTCGGATGATTCATGCGTGGTAACGGTGCAGAGAGTGCTGGACAGGGTACGCAGCACGATTGTACTACATATAACGTATTGCTGGGTGACCGTGGGAGGCCGGCCACTGGCTCGACGGGGAGATTGTGACGGTGGGCACTCACAATATAAAGCAGCCTCAGCTGGCAGTCCGAGGACACGTGTGAAAATGAAGCGTCTCGGTGACTTAATCGGCATGAAGATGCAGAGCCAGACTGGGATTCAATTTGAATAGTTGGCTAAGCGCCCTGGATTGTGCCATTGGGCGTCGAGGACGGAAGTGGATAATTTTCACTCTGTTGTCAAAGGCGCTTAGGACAGCAGCCGTGATATGTTGGGTCAAAAAAAGACTGCATCATTTCCGAAGTTCGAGGCCTTGGGGCACAGGCATACCCAAGGGAGGATTTGGAACCGCTCCACATATCATTTAGAGACGAGTAAAAATAGACTGGTCCTGGTTTCTCTCGCCCAGACTGTGTTTCGCTTCGCGCTGTTCCATCCCAAGAAAACAAACGAGTGGGAGGCCGACACGCCCCTGCACCACTCCTTCGACCCTAACAACCCCCTAGCCAACCCCCTAACGTGCAACGCCTGTAGGTGCCTGGCCGGCCACCCCTGCGGTCTCCGTGCGGGCGTTCGTCCCTGGCTACCCCAGCGGAGTCCCCCGGATCCCGCAAAGAGGCAAAGCGTGTGCGGGCTTAGCCGGACTTAAGAAGGTTGACACTAGGCCGAAATGCGGTTTAGGCTCATGTTCGGTGATCCACCCACTAGTCCAGGATAAAGTTAGAGCAGACCCCACTAGGCCCACCCACGAGTAATGCACGCGATGCCATTGGCCCAAGCTCCTTGCGCGGACGATCCCCGCAACCGACCAATCACATGCGCGGGCCCGCACGGTCGACGGTCCAGCTCAACCCCCTTTGCATCGCAGGCAAGGAGGCAGCACGACGTCCATCTCGAACGGTTCGTGCCCTCTCTCTCTATCTCCTTCACATCATCCCTGGTTGAAACCTCTCCCTCTCTTCTCCTCAGCTCTCATCTGCTGTCTCCCTTCGTTCTTGCGCTCTCAATTGCTATCCGTCCTTCCCAGGTCTTTTCCAATGCCGTCTCGGCTTTGTTCCTTTCATGGCTTAACTTTTCCATGGTCCTAATCCTCGCCATCAGGATCTCATTTGCTGCTTGCCCGCTCCGCCCTGACAAATTTTCTAGAACAACTTATTAATATTGCACGTTCATTCGCAGCCAGTTTCAGACTTGCCACGACGCTCTCGGCATACCTGCTTTTTGCCCCTCTCTACATGTTTCGTTTCACGTTTGCTTGACTTGTGGCGTTTGATCATCGAATTCTCGAATTTCTCTGGCACAACGTTTTTCCTTAACCCAGCACTATATAAGTCAATTCCGCATGCGGCTTTGCCGTAAACCTCCCACTAGTTTCCCGTACGCTTTTCAATTGAGATCAAGATATGGGATGAAATTGCGAAACCCTTGCCAAAATTGAAAAAGATCCTCATACTCCCAGCCCCGGAATTATCTGAATGAAGACCCAGAAGGCCGACCTACAATACATCCTTTTCTAGGATCATGCATCTTTCCTCATGGCTCCTTTCTGCGGGGATACTCTCGACGGGTGTGTCCGCATTCTATCCTATCAAACTGCCAAAATGGGATGCCCCCGGCCTTCCGAATTCTGGTCGAAGACGGTTTTATCCAGTAGTACCCTTCACGAGGATGCCTCTTCAAGATGAGAAGAAGCCATTGACTCTAGATCTCGTGAAGGTGCCGCGGAAGGTTAGTGAGAAATGATATCCAAAGTCCTTACTACATATGCTCGAAGAGATTGGCTGACACTTTGAGCTTGTATGTAGGTCCGTCGTGAGAATAAATACAGTGCTATAATGGGATCAGATCCCAGAATGGAAAACAGTGTTGCCGTGAATCAGGATGGTCAAGACTACTCTTACTTCTCCGTTGCTAGATTTGGATCGGGGGGGCAGGAAATGTGGTTGCTGCTGGACTCGGGTGCTTCGGAGTCCTGGGTGATGGGCTCAAACTGCACGGCTGCAGCCTGCTTGCAACACAACAGGTTTGGAATCGAGCATTCGAAGACACTAAGTGTCACAGACGAAGAGTGGGAGGTTAGCTACGGCACTGGACATGTGGAGGGCGTCATAGTGAGGGACACGTTGTCGATGGCTGGTTTCCAACTCGAACTCGATTTCGGCTCCGCACTGAATGTCTCCCAGGACTTTGCCAACTACCCTATGGATGGGATTCTAGGACTCGGCCCATCCAAAATAACCAAGTTGAAGCCAATTTTGCAGGTCATTGCGGACCAGAAGCTCTTTAAAAGGAACATTTTTGGGATCAGTTTGCAGCGCGCCGCTGATGATACCAGGGACGGACAACTGACTTTTGGCGATATCGACAAAAGCAAATTCACCGGGGACATTACATATACGGATGTCATCAAGAGTACCAATCGATGGGAAATTCCAGTTAGTGATGCCATTGTTGGCGGTAAGCGCGTTAACTTCACCAAAAAGAGCGCCGTCATCGATACGGGAACTTCGTTCATCTTGGTGCCAATGAAGGATGCGGAGGCCATCCATGCCTTGATCCCAGGGTCGAGCAAAGGTGATCAGTATTTCACCATCCCCTGCGATACAAACCTCTCCCTAGAAATTGAAATTTCCGGCACGAGATGGACCGTGTCTCCCAAAGACTATGTCGGAAACCGTTATGGAGATAGTTGTAACTCGTACATTCTCCCTCGTCAAGCCCTCGGTCCAGATCAATGGCTATTGGGCGATACCTTTTTAAAAAACGTTTATTCCGTGTTCGACTATGACGAGAGTCGGATAGGTGAGCTTTTCCTTCGTTCCTTCTTTGCAGTTGTGACGTTAACTGTAAGCTTGTCTCCAGGATTTGCCGCTCGAGAATATCCAGGAACTCCTCCTTCCAACAAGTCCACACCCCCCAACGCTGGTAAGCTTTCCAACGGTCCCTTTTATCTTTGTTTCCCATTGCCAACACCCTGTAGTTTCAAGTGTCAAAATAGTTTCCGAACCAACAACCTCCCCCGTTCCTCCGCGGGATGCGAATGCTAATCCGATTGAAGGTTCGAGTCAACCGAGCGACAAAAACACACCGGATAAAGAGGGAGTTGCAGCTTTCCTTTCGACTCCCGGTTGGCTTTCGCTTGCTGTATTCTTCTCGACCGGATATTCTTGGTATCTGTCGAGCTCGGGAATGTTGTGATCGCATTCCACATTCATAGATTTTTTTGTGTAAGCATCTACACATCATATCTTAGAGCACGATACATCTTGTTGTAGATTCTTGTCTCCTTATTCCCTGCATCCAGCTTTTCTCCAATACCTTTGATTCCACATTTTTTTGGACTTTCTCCTGAACAACATTTCACACCAAACTCACAGCATTTCTTTCCTTGCTCCTTGTCTTTTTTGGTTTGTTTTCCATCATGTGCTCCATCTGCTGGTTCTCTTATGTTTGCATTGTTCATACAATTCATTATGTTCGTGAGGTTATTTATACATCATTGCATAGCGTTGGCTTTGGCTCTTCCCCGTGGTTAGTGGTTGATTTGATTTTTGATTTCACATCTCCTTCCAGAACAGTGTTGTTTTTAGATTTGCCTTTTATTGGTTCTTTTGGTCCATCAGTATCTTGCTTTCGGCTTGTTATGAATCTACATGGCAGGCTCTGTCTTCCGTGACTATCTTCTCATGGTTTATTTTATTTTAAAGAGGCACTTTTGAGCAGCATTTTGATTGAATTTGGCGAGATCTTGTGATGGTATATCTTAGATATACAACTTTTTGTTTTAGATACAACAACATCAGCTAAGATATTGACATCTATTGGTGTGGGTATGGGATGTGTGATATGAAGGCCCGTGTCCAACTCTTTATCAAATTCCATGTGAATACAGAGTACCGAGTACAGAGTACGGAGGACATATTCAAGATTTCACAACTAAAGGTACTGGACTGTTACAAGTCCAATCAGATTCCCTGTTCCTCGCAGAAATTACTTGACATCCTACTAAAGATCATAAGCAACAAAATTCCCCCCCTCAGCAGCGGGTGCACAACTAGTTAGTTACCTCGGCCGTTCCGATGTAACTAGTTTATTATGTATGGACTAGTCATCCTTTGAAGAATATCACCTAAATTGCGATATAGCATGGAGTGCAATACGGGAATGTTATTTCTCACATGTCGCTGCAAGTATAATAACTAGCAGGAATTACCTTCATCAGAATAGACTATTATGTGGTGAAATTTTCAACATCTCGAGCATAGACCTGCCTTGCTCTAGATATCAAGACAGAATGCCAACATGAATTCCATAGCATAGTGCACATCCGATATGCCTTGCATATACTCCGAGACAGCGTCCCACGTAAGGCACAGACCCTAATTTGACGATTAGCTGACTCGTGTGATTCAGGCTTCACCGTAACCTAAAATTGCCTCCAAACTGTTTGGGCCTTCGGCGATATCTCGGCGTATTGCGGCAAACCAGGGTGAATAGGAAACAAAATTCGGATTAAGAAGATATGAGAGCGATATACGGAGTATATATGTAGGGGAAACGCGAAGCAGATATAAATAAGCTCAGGGTCGAGGAGAGTTGCCAAATTTCCACGTTCACAAGTACATACATTTCCTTTCCTACGATATTCCGCTCTTTTTTCACGTCTGTGTCGCTCATTCGAAGCCTGCTCCTCCCGTATAGTGCATACGGAGCAGAATAAAACGATATACGGCCGAAGATCACATTAATCCTCCTAATTAATAATCCTTGCTCAAAATTCTCCGTTCGTTAACTGCTCGAGGATAATAAATAATATCATCGAAAGTCCTATCACTTTCCTAGTGAGTACTTAACCCCTTTTATTTTATTTTATTTTTTTATCATTTCTAGAGGACTAACCCGCTCAAAAGTACACACAATGCTATTTACGCGCTCCGTCTCATTAACAAACTTCATAGTCGCTTCTTCGGCACTGTGTTTCCAAGTATTTGTCCTATATCCTTGGCACAAGCAGCTAGACGACAGCTTCGAGGCCCTGAAGAAAGAGCATATGCAAGTCCTCCAGCGCGAAATGGTTCAGATCGAAGAGTTGAGAAGCGTACGAGAACAACTCAGGGAGGTGATGGCAAGGCAAAGGAAATGGTTTTGAATAATATATGACCCGGGCTAGACCTCCCGTTTTTTTTTTTTTTCCAGTCAACTATAGAATTGTACGCACGTGCTCCCTACATGTGAGCAGACACGAATCATGATAATGCATGTCCTGATTTTATTCACTGGGAACTCTTACATTCATTATCAATGCACGTTTCCTTACCTTTCTTCCACACAATTCCAAATTCACGCCAGGGCTTCCTCAAGGGCGATATCAGAATTGCGTGTGACATGGCATTGGAAAAATGGACTTGATTTTAAATAGGTATATGAGGATCACCCTAATATTCTCTGTCAAACAACGGAGAGATTGGGCGTTTTCCCGCCCGTTTGTTGGTGATATCGGCAGCTAGGCCAAACATGTGAAGATAACAAGATCTACTGAATGTGACTGGAGTTGAAATATTAAATCTATTTAGTTAAGTTTATAACTTTGTCCCAAAGATTCGTTGGCATTGTTCCAAGCGTTCAATTATCTATCTTGGCTATCCTCTTTCTCCAGATCCGGGCTATCCTTAGTAAATTGCCAATTTGCCAGTTGACCAGATTGCCGAGTCAGCTTATTATCCGTAACTTTCTTAAGAGAGTTTGGCATATGATGCTGTCTCATGCGAACACTGGCACTCGAAATTAACGAAATGGGTCCATGTTATCGTCACTTTGGTCAAAGTATAGAGGATTGTACAGCCTGGCAACTGCTGCACTGATGTTTTGAAGGGATTGTGGGCAATTAGGACTGGTATTTAGAATTGCTAATAACAGCACTTTGAGCATTGTAGAACAAAGACAAAGGCTCAATAGAGATAGCAAAAACTTTTCTCTATATACTGACGCCTGCTGGTCCCAAGGCACAGTAGCAACATGACTAGTAGGGAGTGACTGGACACAACAGGTGCCCTGAGGAAGCGTGGAAGATGTGGAGGACGCCAGTTGGATTACCTAACACACAAATCTCATTCACGTGACTCAATGTAGAAGGTTAACAAGGTACTTCCGTGGGGTTCCAAAGGTAACTTGTCTTTTCTCATTCATACTGAGCTTAACTACGGAGTACATAGTATCCACTGATAAGAATCCTGTCGTCGATTAGGTTATGAACCTCCGTGCTATCTATAACATAGAGGTTGATCTACAAAGCTCAATTGGGAAGTTATTTGAGCAGATGGTCAGTGATCGCAGAGATTCCTCTGGCATACAGAGTACCGGCTGTTTGTGAGCTGGCATCACAATCGAACATTACTTATGGTTAAAGGTCCCGTCAACCAAAGAAAATCCCAATCCTTACAGCTATAAAATAACCTTTTATCAAGGCTCACTCACATCTTATCCGCACTATTAGATTCTATAAAAAGCACAACTGAATAGGCCCTGAATCGGACTCCCCTCACTACATATCCATTGGGCCTTACTTTGCTCTCGTGTGGTGCAATATCACGCAAAAGCATGGAAGACGGACAGCAGCTTAATTCGATTCAGCTGGTTCCAAGCAACATGACTGGCTAGCAGGGACTAAGGGCGCCCTGGTGGCCCCCTTCATGCATAAAAGGCGTCAGAAATTCAACACGGGCGCTTAACGGTATCCAGTGCCAGGCAGCGACCATCCATATTTTTTGCATATGGGGGACCAGTCTCCGGGTCCCCCAAAATTATTTATGGATATCTATACGCTTAATATAAATATAGTTGAGCCCTACGACGAGAGCCGCCAATGAACAGCGATGTTTTCTGTGATCGGTCTGTTATTTACTCCCCTTTGAAACTCGTGAAATGCGTGATTAACTAAATACCAACCGATGGAGCTTCTTCCTGCATCTTTGAAACTTGCTACCAAGGGAAAGAAATGCCGGCGAATTAATCCCTATACCGGGCGCCTAGGTATCATCTTCCCAATGGGTGATCTACAGATAGGAGCCTAGGCATTCTCATACTTACCGCCTTGCCCCCATTTCCACCACTCCAGGCGCTTAGCTGTATATTCAGCCTACTACATAAATATGGCAGAAGAAGCTGAATGTCCTCTCAGAACTCTCTTCCCTCAAACGATTATCGAAGCACAAAGCAATATTTCTATACATTCTCAAGCTATTGTCTACATTACCAAACCCCTCCCCAGCTCCTCTGTCAGAGTCCTCGTTATAATAAAAAGCCTCGAGCCGAGTATCAACTATGGAGCCAGCCATCACTATTTTCCAGTCTTTCTCAAAGCCACTGCCGCACGTTGACTCGGACAATGTCGAATACCACACAATGACGTCGGAGGCCGCATCCAATCAGAACCAGGACCCTATCCGTGTCCTCACCAAGAAGGATCCTGCCATTCTTTTAAAAAGTGCCCAAGAGGCCCTCCAACTTGCGACGTCGATCCCTGGATGCCTTCAACAATTGATGCCACAGCTCGGGACGAGTCATTATATCCGTACAGAGAAAGATGTCCTGCGAATTTCAGCGTTGCAGCTTGTATACCCTGTGAATGCTGTTTTATCGGGAATACTCCCAGCAGGTGCGACACTTCGATGCCAGTCTGAGGTGGTTTCGCAGAAGGGCAAAGCTCGGATGGATCTCAGATGGCATTACAAAAAAGCAGGCAAGGAAGCCACTGTGGCTGTTCTTGAGTACAAAAACTTAAACACCCTACAACTCAGGGATTGGAAACCCATAATTACCGATGCGGCCGGTGCTACTGCAGTAATTGACAAAGCGGCGCATAATGACAACCTTTCACTACTTCAAAGAAATGCTCTGGGGTTGTCTAGGCAAGTCAAGAAGTATTCCAAGGAATGCAAAGACGTCGTCTTGTTTGACTGGTATAGCATGTATATTTTCGACTTTGAGGGTACAAACGAGGACCGCCACCACCCCTTTCCAACGAGGATCACTTATTCCAGCGATTCCAGCAAGTTTCGACGCTTGCTTCTCGGCATGATCTACAGGAGACTCAAAGAGGAGGGATTGGTCAAAGCATAGTAATGTTGCATTGGAAACCCCCGTACCCCTACTATTCCGTGACATAGGGGCATTGGTTATTTCTTTGCCGCTGCGAAGGGGCCACATACAGCCTCTTTTGACAGAGAAACACGGTTCATATTTCGCTCGGTGGATAGGATGGAAGGAGAAGATTAAGGGCACAAAGGTCCATGGATCACTTTGAATTGAACATGTATTGCGGAACAAAGGAATGCCGCATTTGATACTGAAGCCGCGTCTATGTTTTTGCTAAGGTCGTTTGGAGTTTCTTTCCTTTGCCCTACTGGACTGGAAATATCTAGCCAGTAACCCGCCCTTGTTTTGTATGCTCTTTTTTTTTTTTTTTTTTTTTTTTTTTTTTTGACTTATTTTGGAAACGTAGTAATGCAACCATTTCATCCCTTGGAAGTTGGTCAAAAATCACCTGCATGTCGTAAATTGAGTTTTGAATTTGAAGCACTGAGCAATCCTCCGTTGAACAATATCGGGAGCTTCGTCGCAGGGTGAGTGAAATCCCCGATATCACACGCTTGTCGAACGAAGGAAGCGTCGGGTTGATCGGTTAATCCGGTTCCGTAGCATAAGTTACCAAGGTTACGTCGTAACGAGGTTACGTCGTAACGAAGTTACGGTGGAAAATCCAAGTCCGTCCGATCTCCGACTCCAAAACGGAAGTCATTTCCGCGCTTGGCTAAAGCCGCATCGGCCGTCTGATAAGGCTGAGCTTCAGACCGCGGAGTTAAAATTTTGACATCATCCCCCCACGAACGCCAAAACACTCGAATGGACCTGGACTCACCGGTGACGTCGCAGTCGGAGGCTAGTGCTTACCATGAAGAATGACCCACTCCAGCCGCTGAAGAATCCAAGTGCCAGCCGTGCTGTATGGTATTTGTCAGTGCACTACCAACTCGCGTGAGACAACACCGTGCACCTTCAGCTGGCCAAGATAGCCAAGGGAATCGATGCCATGTATGGTTCGTCGTCCATTTGATTTCAGTCTTGAGTCCCGAGGAGATGGGAAGAGGTTGCCTGCGCCTCAGCTGAGCGGTTGTGATAAGCTGATCTTGCAAAGTTACGGAGGATTGCGGAGCAATTCCACCTCCGTCTCAAATGCGCACGTAGCATATCGCTTTATCATAACGTAGAAAATGCCGCAGAATTTAAAAATCGTTCTTTGGAGCTGAAGGAAAGAATGAAGCGTCCTTCATCCGCTCGCGATTCCGCTTTGCCAGCTCCATGCTGCGTAGTTTATCAATTCGCATCTGATAGAAGTTCCTGGAAAGAACAGATGAGCGTGTAGCCCTATGAGAATCACCGTAAAACGTACTTGTGGAGTGTAAAAATGCGAGGGCCGTCCTCACCTGTAACCCCTCCAGTATGAGCAGCCTGTATTGCATTGATCTGCAAGAGCCGTTAGAACCCATTCACAACAGGAATTCGAGCCATTAACCCATGCCGACAGACCTTTTCATCCTTTTCCTTCTCAGCCTTTTTCTCGTCCTCGTTCTCCTTTTTCTTGTTCCCCTCGTCTTTTTCTCCCTTCTCCTTTTCTTTTTCCTTCTCCTTCTCCTTCTTACGTTTCATTTTCTCTTCATACTCCTTTTTAACCTTCTCTATTTCCCTTGCCATCTCTTCTTTCTTCTTTTTGGCCGCCACTTCTTCTTCATCAATGATGGGTGAGCAGAATCCCTTGTCCTTCAAGTGGATTGGACATATGTAGAAGAAATCCTACCCACAGAAATAAGTACAATGCAGAGACATAAAATCACCAAAATGAGGAATTAGGAAGGAAATCCTCTGAGCAAGTAGTCAATAAAAGGCCAAAATCCATGTATGTACCTTATTGTCTGGCGTAATCAGCACGCTTGAAGATGGCTTATAGCAAATATAACATGACCGTGCTGCGGAGTCCGCGACTCTGCGTAAATGCCATCTATTCGGGATAAGTGATTGAGCCATTTTGGATTGCTCAATATATGATCGTCTTCACACAGCGAAACCCTGGGACCCGTGATATGTGTATGTAGCGCAGTTGGTTTTGAGTGCTCGTTGGGGAAGTGGGGTGTGTTTTGTCAGCGGGAACAGCATACGGTCACATGAATTGTGCCCTCCCCTCCTATGAGCTTCACAAGCCCTCCTATGCGGGTCATATACGTGGGATATTATTATAGAACTTCTGTCCGAAACCAAGAACCTCACCATCCCAATGGTCCTGGCAATCGGTAGGAGCCTGTGTTTGATTGCATATTCTAAAACCGCTAGGCCGGCCAGTGCCAACACAGAGCAAAGCTTATAACCGCACTCTGATGTTATATTAGAAACTTCAAGGATCTGTATTAATATTTTTTTTTTCTTCGAATCTCACAACTGATCCATGAGAGTGAAATCCCGTTCGGCCGTGAAGTATGTCTCTTATATGTATCAAAGTACCAAACCAGAACCAAAAAAAAAAAAAAAGAAAAAGGAGAGCGAAGTATGTGTATATATGGCCAGAAAAAAAACGAAAAAAAGGGGGATTTTCTGCCAATGATTTCAACGCTCAGCACTCTCAATGCGAGCAAAACAAACTTGTTCGAGCAGGGATATAAAGAACATTCAGCCAGCCCCTTAAAAGAGTAGAATAGGACGTTCGCATCCAAGTCTGCCGTAAATAAATCACGAAGCCAATCAACTAGTATGAATATAAGAAACCCCCGCAAGGGGCATATTAGAATCAAAGGGTCTAGCAAAAAAAAAAAAAAAACCGCCGTTGCAATTTGGAAAATTGAAAGTTTTTGAGCCAACCAACGGATAATCTCGAGTAATTGGAAAGAATAATTCCAGTTATTCCCCAGAAGGAGACACAAGGAATATTCGCGCGGCGAAAAATTATGGCTGTTAAACGATGTCAAGAACCCGTCATCACTTCATCAATGGTATGTACTGCGACTCTGCTTGTCGCTGATCGAGGTCCAACTTCCGTATTTTCTCCTTCTCCATTATCACCTGGCTGCTCTCCAATGCTTGGGAGTCCTTCGTGGGGTGCTTCTTCCTTCATACACGCACTCTCCAGCGTATTTGTCCATTTCCCGCTTGATTCCATTATGGCTATGTTTCAAGTGTTGACGGGAAGTGATCGGCGCGGTAGAATTTCTTTGCCTGATTACATTCCCCAAACTTATGGATGTTGATGAGGTGCTCCATTCTCCGATCCCATTCGGGCTTTGGGAAATTCGTAAATTCCACCCCGCAGTATCCACAAGTATCGTGTGAAGGACCGTTAGGGGTTTGACAAGTCGGGGAAGCTGAAGGGTGGAATGCAGACTCGGGATTTGACAACGCAGCACAAGACCAAGAATGCCGTCGCAAATGCAGAGAATTCTGATGCCGTTCGGCTTCGTTCTTGTTTTTGAATCGCTTATTACAAAACTGGCACGTATATTGCTTTTCCATCTCATGGGCACTGGAGCCGAGGAAACTCATTAGTTCCGTGACCAATGTAGAAAATAAATAAAAGTAAAAAATAACAAATGATATGCATACCGTAATTCTTCCAGGCTCTCAAGTTTCTTGGGCTTCTTTGGGCAGCATTCGCAAATATATAGTCTTCCTATCCTTGGTGCAGTAGGCTTTGAGAGACCAATACCATTCTGTGTTGAACCCTTTCGTGAAACCGAACTTTTCATGTCCACAGACTCGGCATACTGCGAGCGATGTGATGTAGGCGGCAAGTACGATCTTTCATAGCATGTGTCCAAATCGGAAGTGGGTGAAATTCCTCCTGGAGACGGCCCTCCAAAAGAAGAAATGCTGCTCGCCGCAGCAGAGAGCCCAGTCGATGATGCATATGATTCTGTTCGCAGACTTGATGATATCGAGGAGATGGATCCGTGACTTCCTGGATACCGGGTAGTAGGAGAGGTGCAGCTATTGGATCGGAGTCCCAGCGCTCGCCTGTCTCTATCTACATCCGTAAACCCATACATTGGGTCCGCAGCTGCACCCCGTGGAGGTGACGAGGCCCTTCGTTTCATGCTATTACGCGATATAGACGAAAAGCCTTCTGTAAAGGACATACGCCCCGGTAAACTGGGTTGAGAAGTCGGTCCCGCATCATCCATTGCAAAATCAGTATCTTGCTCGGCGAACATTCCTTGATCATAGCTCGCTTTGCTAGACCGTTCCGAAATGCTGGGTCTTTCTTCTGTTGGACGACGTCCGGAGGAATTACTGTTGTACCGCTCCCGGGCATGGTTGAAGCTGTCGATCTCCATGGGAGAGTGCACAGAGCTATCACCGGTCGGACTATGGTACCCAACATAATCTTGCCAGGCCCCCATTTTTGTGCCAGGAGAAATTGCGGCGGACGGGGGACCACTGCCCCATCTTGGAGGGATATCCCTTGGGCTCAACGACCCATCGCCAATCGATAAGGTCGAAAGTGTTCTGGTTTTCGAATGGAATGGCAGGCTTGTGCTGTTCAAGGAAGTGCCCAAGCTCGACGCAAGCCGTGGAGGGGAACCCGGTTTCCCGATTTTCGACAAGAGGTGTTGGTCGTAGGCATTTGAGGAACGCTCAACACATTTCTTTGAAAGAGGCTTTTCTCCTTCCAGACTATATCCCATCCTAATTCCAGGAGACGTAAACCACGAGGATTCAAATCAGCCAGAGATCCTCAAAGAAACTTCAAGTGCAAAAACGGACGAACTGGCCAAAAAGATGATTTACGGTAAACAAGAGGACAGGTATCGAACGGTGAAAATATCAATGTATACCAAGAAATGTGCTCTGTAACCGAAAGGGTGCGACAAAAAGTGTGTTTTTTAATTTTTAATTTTATTTTTTATTTTTTATTTTTTATTTTTTTTGGGTTCGTAAGGCTATGGGTTATTCTTCGTCTAGGGGTAAGAAAAGGCGAAAGACTAACCGTGAGCCGGAGGGGTTAGAACCAAGTGAGCCTGATCGAGCCGCATCCGGAGAAGTCAGTTGCCCAGATGGGCTTGTTTCCGACGACGGGCTCGTCGCAGCTGACATCGCCGCTCCGCACTTGAACTCGTCAGGGAACGAAAAAGTCTCGTCCCGACGGACAAGAGGCGGGCGACTGTGACCGCCAAAGAGGCTGGACGTCGGCTTTATAGGGGCCAGAGTTGGCTTTCCTTCGAACGAATTGCCCCATTTCCACCCGGAGTCGTGGCCCTGCGCGAGATCCTCAATGAATCGGGGCGGAGGCAATGGCGGCGGCGCCAGCGGCTCGTTGGAGTTTGGGATGGCCATTGGTCGCCCATACGATGACGGCGAGCGATCAGAATTTTTCGAATACGACGGAGATCTCGAGGGCAGGCGGTGGTTCTGTTCAGTGTTGGTAGCAGTGGTTGGAGTTGAGTGACACACGCGTATCGAGGGCGGCGAGGCCAGGGAGCGATTGTCCATACTCAATCATAGGTAGCCACGCAGTCAACATCCGCATCGACCAGCCGACCAAGTTCTGCAAGGACGACGGATCGTGAAATGATGCTCGTGGAGCGCCGCGACGTGTGTAGAGAGTGGCAATTGTGGCAAGGGCTGCGGGTCTAAATCAGTCTCAGCTGGGGGGGAAGGTCGAGCGGTCACCAGGATCATAAAGTCGGTCAAGAGGCGGGAGAGAATGGCCACGGAGAGGGACGTGCAATGGAGACTGGACAGCGGCGATGGGGAACGGAAACGACAGAGGGTGAGCAACGGGGCGTTGAAGGGAGGAAATAAAGACGGGGAACGACGAGGTAGGATGGGGGAGGATGTGGTGGTTGATTAACGGGGAACTAAAACTGGAGGGGAAAGGATCGTATAGAAGCAACTATTACTATCTGGGAGTGACTGGGAAAAGCGAAACTACCACAGCAACTAAGGTTCCAAGTGGGAGGAAGTGTGTGTGTTTGTGTGAGTGAGCGTGTGTGTACTCCGGTATGTGTTTGTGTTCTCCCGCCAGCTGTACCTGGCTGTTTGATTATCCCAATCTCTCCATCTGCATGTCTGCGCCAGGTGCCGGTCCTGTCTATTCCTGTCCTGTCCTGACTCCTATCTCCTGGCGCTCTCCTTTTTTTTTCCCCTCCCTTGCTTAAGCTTTGCCCTGCTCGAATTTGCCCTCGTTGGCTCTGTTGAAAGGGCTAAAACGATAGGGCTGAAATAATACCTGGTTTTGGTTTTGTTGTTTCTCCGTTGGACAGTCACAACGTGTATTTTTACTGTTACATTACGCCGATCTGGGTGACGGGAGTGCGCTACCTCGCGGCTGGGTCCCTGATATCAAGGGAACAGCGCGTCTTCCGGTCGATTCTGCAATTCAGCATTATGATTAGTGTCTCAAATCCCCTTCGTCGCCGTGATGAGCCAGGGCCAAATTGTTTTAATGTCGATCCGGGGAATTGAAACCGGCTGTCGATTGAACAAAGCCAAAAATAAGGGGGCTCGAATTTCTTTATTTTATTTTCTTCCCCTTTGGTGAAACTTTTCTTTTCCGTTTTTGTCTCTTTTCTTCTGTGGATTTTGAAGATTGACATACGACTTGTGCGGAGTTGTCGATTAATTTAGCCCTTGTCCACTGCCCACGCCGAGCGAATCAAGCCTGGATGCCCAGACATCTCGGATCCAACCTTGGGGAGATTGAATATCGAATTTGTAGCTTTTGAAACAGGGCAGATGCCCCTCCCCCCCAAAACGAGACATGAAACGGCGCGGCGATATTGACAACGATACTTTCACTGGTTGAAGCGTTAACGTGAGCAATCCAGAAGAGAAGTGACATTTCCATGGGAAGCGTGTGGGCTGGAGCCACGGTTAAGATGAGGTGCGCATTGTTGCACTGCAAGTTGATCTCTCGGGGACCATAAATACAAGCCCGGAAAATGAAATACCAGAACAGAACATGTACTCGGGTAGTTCGGCCCTACCACCAACCCGCCTGTCTGTTCTCAACGCCGACAACTAACTGTTCATCCTTTAATTGCGGAGCGGAATCACAAAATGAGTCGTTCGGTCTGCGAATAGCAAATCCTATATTATCGTTCGGGTAGCCGGTAGAAGCACCTGGAAAAGCTAACAGGAAAAAAGCGAAGGAACAATGTGCAGAAACCCATCCTTACAAAACAAAGTTTGTCCAAAATTCAATTCTCCATCGCAGTTTGCGTGGGAGGCGGGTGATGCGATTAAGGGAAAAAAGAACAAATGTCATTCATGGATAGTGAGCAGCGGTTCGACTTGCTCCATCTGCGAGGAAAGCGGCAAGGATGGGCGAGCCCTGCAACCTACTCCGGTACACCGTCCTGGTCTGAAAAGTATGGAGGGCGCTAGGGAAGGGTCAGGAGAACCTCGAGATCCCTGAAGGCAGTTTCTCATGTCGGCACGGGCTATCATGCGTGGAGGAGTTCCATGTCATCCGAAGCGTCGAGGCCTCTTCGATCTGGGGGAGCATCGAGTATTTCAGTGTTATCTTCCTACCTCGCTCTCCCACAAGTGATGGGAAAAGGCGGACAGCAGCCGTGGACTCAAGACAAATGACGAAGGTGACTAGAAAGAGGGAGGATACATTAGGGAGATACACACATACATACATGTGTATGCATGCAGCGGGGACCGTAATGTATGGAAACAACAATAATAATAAATGTGGTTACAAGGAATATGCACTTGACATCACCGCCCGCACCTTTACAGGCACGAGGAGCCGAAATTCGCACCACAAACGGTGCATTGACGTCGTATCCAGGGATAGGGTCCTCGTGGGCGGTGAAGCGCACAGCGTGGACGCCTTTGAATGGAAGTCACTGGGCCCCAAGAAGCGCTCAGTGAACCAGGCTCGAGGGGTTAGTTTAATTATTCAATTTTTCTTCTAAACATGAAGCAACTTAACTCCTTCGCGATGTCACAGGGACCCTCATACAATAGATGTAAGTATGTAACTATGGTATGGCTGATTCCACGGCCCAGCTGAGGACGGACCCGTTCGATTACCGCCTGCGACGAAACAGATTCAGCGGCTAGCGGGCTTGGCGCTAGGAAACGGAATGGTCAGTCTGTTATAATACGGCATTTAAGCTTGGGGCATTCCAGAATGTCCTCGGAAACCACAGGGCTTGCCTCGACACGGGCGGGACCGCACCCCAAGCCGCGGCGTGATTGGCCTGCCCAGGGGTCAATTGATAGGGTTAGCCGGGGGGGGTCATCACCTTGCCCCCACCGACGATTTTGCACTGCCACAATGACAGCAATGCTCTCTCTCCCACCGCGCACCCTGACGGCGACGAAAACACCTCCTGTGGAAGGGTGGGAACTGCATGATACGTTCACAGAGGAGACCGTGCGCCCAACACAAGCCTGCCCACTGAGGACGGAACGGGTATTATTCCAGTGATGGGGATGTGTCCGAGTGGGAGCAGCTCGGTTTGACGGCCGAGAGTTGGACTCACCTGACGTCTTTAGGGCTGGCCAAGCTAGCTTCACTTCCTTGCTTGGGCCGCTTTAGTCCCGGGTTCCGATTTGTTGTGGTGAGAATCCTCACAGGACGCTGCATAAAGCCAAGCCTTTGTTCACGTCTTCTGAGTTCCCCGCAGAGTTCACTTGTGGTCCTCTCTCTTGTTGATCTTAATAATGCTTTGTTGTGGGAACTGTCCTGTTTACCCAGCAATCTCGAGAGGATGTGCTGGCTCTTTGTCGCAAGCATCCAGAGGAGTTTACGGAGTAAGGAGTACGGGATACATGTGGGAGCTACTCTTTGAGTGGCAACCAGCTGCCAAGACTAATCAACAGCCAAAGCTGATCAGAGGTTGGAATCGGCCCGCTGGATGGACCAGCCACCATAACTCTTCGATACCCCCGGGGGGGGGGGGGAGAAAGGAAAGGAAAGCAAAGAGAATGAGAGGGTTTGGCCTGGATGAGCTGGCTTTGGGAGCTTTTTTCGGATCGATGACAATTCAGCTCGCCTTGGCTCACCAAAAAAAAAAAAAAAAAAAAAAAAAAAAAAAAAAAAAAAAAAAATTGAGCTTCCTGCACTTGCGTGCCCCAAAGCGCCGCAGAGGCGAGAATGTACTCCGAGGCTTGCGGCTATTCGTCCCTGTTATGATCGGAAGCTTATACGCGGGGGCAAAGCTGAATTTCCCTGGTATTGTCCCACTCCCCGCTCCCGTGCACACAAAAAAAAAAAAAAAAGGACCAGAATTTGAAGCGGAGGTGTGTGGAGCCAAATCGCTGACGGTTGGCTCGTTGACAAGCTTAAGCTGCATGAGACATCCATCATCAACGGCAATAGTGAGGGATTTTGTGATCAACGCTGGAACAGTGCGGAGTTTCCTGCATGTTGAACAGCTAGCCGAAGAACCCCGAAGCAAGGGCAGCAAGAACTGAACATTCAAGACATTCGTGCCGCTCTGTATGAAACAAGGTAGTTATTGGACGGAGTATGGAGAACTGTCCACCACCATGTTACCCGAGCTCCGTTATCGTGGTACAAGAACGCAACATCTGTAAGGCAAAGTTCGCAGAATTGCCCGGATTGTTGATATCTGCCGGTATCTGAATTCAAGGTGATGAAATATTTCTGCTTTTTTAAGTTCACGGTCATGAGAGATGAGTCTTCACTCCTCAGTCCATCTCAGCCTTAACGAGCTCAAGGTGCAGATTCAAACGATGCCATTATTTGTGCTCCCACCGCCGTGGCAGGGCGAAACATGCACTCCTCTGGTCTGACAAGGCGCGAACAACCCTCGTAAAGTGCATGTTTGTGTGTAGAACTCCGTCCTCCGTGTCTTCCACCAGACGGGCATGGATGTCAACCACAATATCTCGTGCCGAGACAGCCTTGTTGAGATCAACTCGTATCCTGATGATCGTCGACGAGCTTTGCTGGTCCGCTTTTCGTGAAGATCACATTTAACTTCTCCGTAGCATCCTTGTTCATTCCCCGAGCTGGGAAAAGGCTGTCCCGCGGCCGTCAGTTCGTAGCAATTCAGAGTAAGAAGCCAGTCTCCAGATGAAGATTTCAAATGCTACCTGTAACTTGTTCCGGCTGTGCACTCCTCTCTCGCCGTAAGCCAGCCAATGGAAGACCAATGGCATTCCTTTTTTGACACGCACCTACGTCAGAGCTTGTCAGGAATCCGACAGAGACTCATTATCATTCCCGGTTCTCAGTACCCACTGCTCACCTTGATCGACCTGCAAATTTTGGCCAGAACGTGACAAGCAGGTATTGTATGCTCATTCGTGGCCCCGTAGGGATAAAACTCATGCGCCGTGAACCATGTTCCCATGATGATTTCCAACAATGAGACTATAATATGCATGTATTATGGTGCGCCTGCCACCTGGCAAACCCTATACATAGCTATGATTATCAATCACAAGGAAATAGGGACAAGATGAGTTCCCGTCTCAGCTCCCGTGCGCTTACCCCGCATCGTCCATGAGCATCCTGGGCCCAATTGCTGCTCAGCGGACGGCTCGATATGAGACCTCACAGCCTTTTAAGTGAATACGGCGGGAATCGGGCCGTTTTATCAATGCTTCCCAGACCCCCAGTTCTCCGTACCCCCCCTGTTGGACGAGTGAAGGAGGCCTGGCACCGATAATACCTCAACCAGAACGCTTGGATACGTGCGAGTGCTTGCCCCTTGGCCCACCTGCGGGATCGGAGACACGTGCTGTAGATGATTGACGTTGTAGGGCAATGAAGGCAAACATCTCCCGGCTGAGGAATGCGGTTGAACAGGCAGCGCATCGCAGCCACGGCGGCAGAGCTTCAACCCTAAATCGCCAGACGCGGGGAGCCGTCACACCGCCCAGGGTGTTCTGCCATCCCCATTGGCCAGCCGGTCTGACCAGAACCAATTCTGCCGCCCAGCCCTAACTAACCTTCGCGCTCGCAGGTTCCAGCCAGCCTTGGGAAAGGCCCGCATAAAACCACGATTACAGCAATTTCCAGGAGCGAAGTTGAATCAACAGGGCTAGATTGCATGCTCACGCCGAGACCTCTTTGTTTCACTCACTCAGACCCGTCATTCGCATCCCACGGCACGTCCTAGGATATTGGGTTTGCGCGGCCGCATCTCAAAGCAGATCACACCCTACAAAACTTGAGCTATTGATACTGTTCGACACCGCCAAATGTCGATGAGCAAAATTGGAAATGATAATCTCTACCTTGGCGGGTTCGTCCTTCCATTTTGGCCCTCTGACGGGTCACGTCAAGTGTTGAAACTTGGCCTTGACTTCGCCGGTTGTGAATCATAGCTAAAATGTGCCTACAGTTTTATGTCCCTGAGCAACACGCTCGCCCTCAGAAATGCAAACATCACTCACGTCGTGACAGTAATGCGCGGCGGCGTAGACAAAGATCGGTTTAAATCCTTTCAAGGACATTTACACATCGCCGTTGATGACATCAGTGATGAGGACCTTTTGCAACATTTCCCAACTACCAATGCATTCATCCGCTCAGGTCTCGAGCAAGGAGGTGGTGTTCTTATCCATTGGTGAGACAACTCCCTGTCATTTCTTCCTCTTTACTGATTTTGCGGATCTCTTTTCCCCCATGGCTGTGTTTTTGCGATACCCTGGCCGCATGAGAAACTGGCCACGGAGGCTGTTCGGTCCACGTTGATTTGGCTGGCTGGATACAGCAGTTCCTGTGTTCCCACAAACTTTCGTCGCCTTGCGACTTGTGTAACATGGAATGCTGTGTGGCGCACTGTCCCAATCAGAGATCTCCAGTCCGAAGATCATCTTTCCTCTCTGGCCTTGAGAATCCCCCTTATTGCACGTGACAGTCGCCACTTGAGTCGTCGATTTTTTGTGCTGTCTCGGGTCCACGCACTGACGTTTTGCATAGTGCAATGGGGAAGTCTCGGTCGGCTACAGTGTGCATAGCCTTTCTACTCCATCGAGATCCTACTGCTATTGATCCACATGAAGCTCTCAGGCTCCTCCGTGAAACTCGACAGATGTGCGAGCCGAATGATGGATTCATGGAACAATTGAAGCTGTATCATGAGATGGGATGCCCTGAAAGTGTAGAGAATCATCCAATATATCAGCGCTGGCTGTATCAGAGAGCAGTGGAGGAAAGTGTGGCATGCGGGCGTGGTCCGGAGTTGGAGGAAGTTCGGTTTGAAGATAAGGCTAAGAGTGCTAGCCACAGTGACGATAAGGGGGTGGAAGTGAGGTGTCGGAAATGTCGGTATGTGATGTCTTCCCCTGCAATATTTTTGTTACCTTTCCCGCCCTTCTTAACTCATTTTTTAGGCGCCAACTAGCAGCCCTACCTTTCATCATCCCCCATGACACACCCCAGCAACAATATACAACTAAATCTCAGCCCCAAGCCACCCAGCTCTCGTCTGCTTGCGCGCACGTTTTCCTCCACCCGCTGACTTGGATGCGGCCCTCACTTTTCCCATCCACAGATGACCCGCTTGCCCAGGAAACCCCATCTGAGTCCCCTCTAGCTGGCCGGCTCGTCTGTCCCAACGCTACATGTGGCGCAAATATAGGAAAATTTGCTTGGCCTGGTATGCGATGCAGCTGTGGTACATGGGTTGTGCCGGCAATCGCGCTGGCCCGGGCTAGGGTCGATGTTGTCGACGTTGGAATTAGGATAGCAGGGTTGGCGGGTGGTGGCGCGGGGATAAGAATGCCTCCAGGCATGAGAGTACAAGGAAATAAGGTCGAAGAGGAGAGGGGGCTGTTGTAGAGACTATTGCATACAGACTAACCTGGATTGTTAGTTTCGCTGGCTCGGCGTTGGGCGAGGGGGGTTTGCAACCGCATGAACATGAGATATATACACACTGAGAACCTTTACTGTGTTCCGTCTTTCTCTTCAATCATTTGGCGCCTCGAAGGCGAAGAGCGTCGGGTTCTCTTTGCAGGCTTCCTAGAAGAATAGAATTCTCCATATCATTTTCCGAAGAGCTCCTGTCTACACAACAACATTGCCAGCTCGCTTCAACGGCGGATCACCTATTTACATGGGCGGGTATGTATATGTGTATGTACATACATACACAGCGCGATACGTAGGTATATACCTCGTCCAAAGGCCTCGGCTAGCCCCAAGGCGTTAATTAAGATCACGCCTCCGCCGGCACCCCGCCAACGTTCCGCTCCGCTTTAACACCCCTTGCCCCCTCCAGTGCCCATTCTATGATCTTTCCGTCCTCCTCCCTAGTCACCTTCCCCGCCGCTTCCTCCGCCGGAACCCAGCAGACTTCATAATCTTCCCACGCTTCCCGCGGCGCCTCTATTGGCGATTTCTCCGAATCCACCTCCGCTAGGTACCAAAAAATCAACTTGTAGGAATGCTGATAGGCACGTTGTTGAACTGCAATAGGTTCTATATGCCATTCCAGAGGCTCCAGATGCCCGGTGGATCGTTCCCGCTGAGGTATGCCAGTGCTTTCAGCGCAAGCAGATACAGGCTGATGGCCGCACACAGGATGATTATTATTCCGACCAAGAATAGTACAAGGAGGAGCGGGGCAAGGAGGAGCCACATCTTGCGCCCCGGAAACAGGATCTGTACTCGTGCTATTTACAACCGGATCTCTCTCGGGAGGCCGGTGCGCGTGTACCGCGTTTGTGGCTAGCTTGTGCGGGAGGAGCTTAACTGCGTAACCTGACTCTTCGAGTGTCTCGCGGACGGCGGTGTCATGCAGAGATTCGTGGATATCTTTTCGACCTTTGGGAAGGAAATATTTCTGGATGCTGGGAGAATAGAGGACGAGTACAACGTTTTTGAATATGTCAATGGCGACAGTGCCAGCCGAGATAACAAATGAGTCCGAGAGATGCAGCATTATATCGGTAGAGTTTATGTACTCCCGAAGGCAGCTGTATGAGTTTAATAGATAAATGTTTTACAAAAAAATAAAAGTAAAAGGGCCGCTCGTCAAAAGTTAAGCATTGAGTTTTGGTCTTAGGTAGGTATAAGTCAAATAAGAAACCAAAGCGCAGTGATGGGGAACGCCTGATTCCGAGCCAGGGCATGGAGGGATCAGAACTGGGGTCTGGAAAGGATCGAGACACGGGCCTCAACTGTCTCGTTCGGGTTGTTCTCTCTTTTCCACTTCAAAATGATGGACATGTGCGGATTTATATTGCTGTTGCCTAACTTGCGAGTTACGGGTTGGGCGACAAGCTTTTTTTGAAATTGACAAAAGCACCCTGTACGACATTTTAAAGCGTCCAAGTTCCCTTTTTCTTTTTCCTTTTTCTCTTTTAAATAGAAAAGGCCTGGATGAATCGCAACAAGCCGGCGGTTTTTGGTCAGTATCAGGACTGCGGCTGGCGTCAACCTTTTCATGCCTGAGTACTCCGTATTGCTGGATTAGGCAGATGGCCATCGTGCTCTCATAGAACTGGAAAATCTAGTTTTTAATATTGTGCCAAAGTTGTAAGGCCCAAATAAATGCTAGAGTAATATATACAATGGAACATTGGTATCGTCACTTACTAGTACACCCAAGACTTTGAAAAAGACTATCTATTCGACGCCCGCTACCTTGCCAAAACCTTGCTTTTTAATAAAAATTGAGATTGAAACGAGACAATGCCACACCAATTAATCCATCACTGATAGACCAGCAGCCTGCCTGGCGAGTTGAAGGTCCTTTCCTACAACACCCACTTCTCGAAGGTAAAGTCGGAAAGTAGCTAAAAGTTTGGATAGTCCAGTTTTTAACGAAGAGAGCACAAGTTCGACTTCATCCACCTTCCGTGCGTTACACTTTGCCTTCTCATTAGCATTGACTGGGAAATCAACATCTGTCCAGTGGACATTCATGCCCTTTTCGCCAACGAATGCCTCAAGGGCGAGAATTGTCTCCGTGAAGAGTCTCACCACTGCAGGAACATCGTTCTGCACCTTTCCAAATTGATCTTCGGCCAAGCTGGCCACAAGAAGCATTGTGAGAGACTCAGTTGCATCAATTAATGGCGCAACCTGGTCGTATGGTGATCCCAGAACGACTTCACGCAGGCGTCGTTGATAGGGCCTCCGGAACGGCATGCCAAAGGGACTACGTAAAAAGCGTTGCAAGAGCGGGTGAATGGTCGATGGGCTCCCAGCTGGTGTGGCACCCGCTGTTGGATTCGTAAGCAGTTTTAAGTCTTGTGCAGATGCAGCAATTCTTTGTTTTTGTTCTGGGCTTAGCACCATCGCTGAAGCTCGGTCGAAAATTTGACGTGCCTTAGCTTTGGCCGGGGGGGTCCAATCAGGGCTTTGGCCGTATTTTTTGGCCACAGAGCCAAAGGCGGCTTCAAACCTCTCGGGTCTCGTATTTCCTTTTGGCATAGCAAGGAAAATGTTATCTTCTTTCGGTGCGGCAGCTAGACGGGGTAACGTCTGCAACGAGTCGTTATCTGTTGTTGCTTGCTTCATTTCTTTGCTTTCAGGGGCGGAAATGGTTGTAGGAGCTGGTAGAGGACTTTGGAATTGCGTTATCCGTCTGGTGATTCCTTTAATAACATCCGAAGCCGCATCAAATACTTGACTCCACGCAGAACCACCTTCACGGTCAATATCACTAAAAATTCCTTTCCGACGATCAGGAAACTGTTGACTGATAAGACATAGCTCCCACAAAGCGAATGTAAGAACTGGTGCCTTTTTGGCTTTTAAGCCATTGAGAAGACTTCCATTCGGATCTTTCGCATCGTTCGTTAAAGGCAGCCCCTTTTTAAGCGGCGCTCGACCTAAGAATATCGAAAACAAACAATTTGACATCTGCCACAATACAACAAGCAACATGCCTGACACTGCTGACCGCAGCAAAAATGTTATATGTAAAGGCGGTATAATTCCGGGAGGTTCTTCTGCCGATCTTGGGAAATTCCAGAATAATTTTGCAAAATAGAGCGTGAAACTCCACGCCCGTTTTCTCAAAAATATCACGTAAATGAACGGTCCCACAACGGTGGTTATTCCACTTCGGACGGCAGCATGGCGAACTATTTCTTGGAGCGACCTCGTGATACGAGGCAGTAGTGGTTCCAGTGGATGAGTTCGCCGGTCGTCAGACTTATCGGAAGGTTTAGCCACTGGAATGACAAGCTCGTCCCAATCATAATATAGGTGCAAGGTCGCCTGGGTGACTGCGAGGAGGAAGTAAAAGGAATGAAGATATATTGGTCTCTCGTTAAGTTGTGCCCGTTCAAAGGACCTAGGGGATCTGTCAGGCGGGTGCTTTGGTAGAGACTTAGGGTTCACCAACCTTCCTGGTTTCACCCAGTTTAGTTCCGCATCGGTTGAAGCTGACCAGATATACACTTCGCTAAACCACCATGCGGAGAATAGATACCAGCCGAAGGTTTGAAGCAGGCTTACAGAAAACATTGTTTGCCGCCATGTCTGAAAGGACGAAACTGTCGTACGGGCGCCAACGTGAAGCTGGCCTACGCGAAGAATAAATATCGACAGGCTGGAAATGAATAGAAGCAGTGTTCGGAGCCCGCAAGAACCTAGCGGAAACCATGACCAGAAAACTAAGGTTCGATGCCGCTGTTAGCTGCCATGTCCTCACATTCTTCCAAATGAGGCTAGAAACGGAAACCTTACGAGACGCCTTGGTGCCAATTAAAATAGATATGATGTAACACACAAGAAGAGCCGAAGCTGAAGCATGAACAAATCTCCGATGGAGAGTCGACGTTAAGATTCGCCTGTAGGGTTTTGCCATAACGGCGGGGAGTGCTGCCATGGCGAGATGAAAGAGAGGACAGACAGACTTTATAAAAGGAGCGCGTATTTGTTATCTCATCATTGACGTAAATGTAGAATGAAATTGAGCCAGTCCGGAGCGCGAATCTGCGAGTCACTCGAGTAATCCAGTACAAGCCTGGTTAGAAGCTGTTGAAGCTGCTCTCTCGAAAAGCAACAAAAACAACAGCCTCAAGTATCAGCCACAAAGTTTCGTTGCCCGGCCACACAATGCGAGCTGTGGCACAGCAAAACTGGAGATGACATAATCGGCGGTAACTTAGTTACATCATGTGGTTTCAAAGGCACCATTCCAGTTCGGTGAGGGGACGGAGTTGCAAGGAAGCACTCGAGTCGCTCTTCATTCGTTTATTTTCCTTTTCGTTTTCGTTAGGCACCGTATTCGAGGATACCTTAAGCCACCGGTTCAGTCCACATCATGTCCTTCGATCGTCTTTCGTCGCTAGAAGCCGGAGCTTCTTCTGGTGGACCAGGTATTGGTGCATCATACCATGATGATCCCGACTTCCAGCGCTTGACGGAGTCTCTGTCAAATCAATTATTTACATTGACTTCAAACATATCCCGACTGTCAAACCAGATTGGTCTACTTGGAACAAAGCGTGATACCGAGCGGGTTCGAGAAAGAATACATAATCTGTTAGAGGAAACCCGGGATGGATTTCGAGTAGTTGGCGAAGGGGTGAAGAAGGTTCAGACATGGGAGGATATAACTGTAAGCATCAATCTCCTTCTCGAACCTATGCAAAGACCGCTAGTAACGGGGTTTGGTGCCCGCAGCCTGCGCAGAAATGGACACAGCAGAAACTGTCGTCGGAATTCAAGTCAACTCTTGAAGAATTCCAATCCGTTCAACGCCGCGCCCTCGAAAAACAGCGCGCCTCTGCAGCGGCTGCACGGTCAGCTCTTGAGGAAACTGCTGCCGTTGAATCGCCCCAGGAAGGACAATCTCTTCAGCAATTACAGGAGCAACAACCGCGGCTTGCTTCTCAGGAAGAAGTTGATTTCCAGGATGCTCTGATTATCGAGCGCGAGGCAGAGATTAGGAATATCGAACAGAGTGTGGGCGAACTGAATGAGCTATTCCGTGACGTCGCCCACATTGTCCGAGAACAAGGAGGGCAGCTAGACTTAATCAGTGAGAACGTGGAGCGAACGAGGGATGATACGCGTGGTGCTGATAGGGAACTACGAAGTGCTAGCAGGTATCAGAAAAACGCGAGGAATAAAGCTTGCTGCCTTCTGCTTATCCTAGCGATTGTCCTAGTCATTATCGTCCTTGCTGTGACCCTCGGATGATACGCTGAAGCATTTCCCCGGGGCCGCCAGTGTTGTATGGTTATATGGGTTCGGCGCTTGCTTTATGATTCCCTCTCAGTTGGTCATCGTTCTCAGCTTATGATAATAGCAGTGTATTGTTATGATTGGTCGAAGTTCTTTATACATTTGGTGTTACATATCATACAATATCTTTCCTAGTTTCTCATAATAATAAATAATAATCATACATGCCTTGTTTTATGTCATGAGCAGTGACTTTCTGCTGCGAGGATATAGCCACTGGGATATTCATGATAGCCCCAAAAAACGGCCAATCCTCATTTTCCACCCTTCCAATGAGTTCAGCTTTGGGCGGACATCCAGGTAAAAACTCAGCTTTCCGTCTGGACCACTAGTACCCAATCCTAAGCCGCCCCCAGATTTCCCCTGGTAAAAGTCGATAACGTATTCGACTCTTTCACCACCGCATCTCTCTACCACCCAATCATGGCGGTCAAATGGAAGCTGGTAGCCTAATAGGCCATTTAATCTCGCTCTCGGGCTCAAAAATTGAGTTTCCGTGCCTAATCCTCGGAATGAATATAGTTTTGGGCCACCACATTTTCGACTTCCCGGGTCCGAAGTAGGTGCCCGAGATTCCCAGGAGAGGATTTCTAGCCAAGCCCGTTCGTTGACGGCATTGTGGATTGGTATTATTGATGCTACAGAAGTAGCAAGTTCTTTGGCGGACGTTGTAGACGTGAGAGTTCCTTTACGCATTAAGGCTTCAAAAAACTGGCGTTCAGACGGATAGACCCAGTTGCCCGTGGTTTGGTCATGGCCTGTTTCACTTTCGGAATTTGAAGGAGCAGAGTGTGACGCAGCTGAAGATGACTGCTGGGCATATGGCGAAGGAAGTTGAGATGGCGGTCTTTGTTCGGAATGGCCGGATAAGGCTCGTGGGATACTGCTAACCTCCCTGTCTGTGGAAAGGGGTCTGTGCTTCACTTGTGGTGAATTTGAGTCAGTGGACGACGGCTCTGGGGCGGGATTCGTGGATTTCTCGGATGTTGAAAGCCAGGCGGCACGGGCCTTATGATCGACCGGGCACGATGAAATTTCCTCGGGGTTGGGGCGTGGAGGAGGACTTGGTGCCTGGCTTTTTGAGAGCCAGACTTCGCGAGCTTTGTGGTCGACAGGACACGATGCCGCTGGTGGAGCGGCGGTGCTCTCCGTCGAAGACGGCGTACTAGCACCAGCTCCCATGATGACAGCTCAAAATATCATGCCAAACAGTCCATTGAAAGGTTGAGGATCATGTTTGTCATTGTTCAGAGATCGCTCAGCTTCGAATGCTTTTCGTCCCTCGCGCGAACAAAAGTTGCTCCCGCTGTCAGTTGCAAGTCCCAGCCACTTATGTGGCTAATAAGCTAACCTATCCCAGTTAAATGTTATCCCGATACTCGGTAACGGATTATAGATTATCCGTGCCAAGCTGGACCGGACCTCACGGGATCTCCCAGCCGGACCAGACGTTAACCACTTGGCAAACCAACAGTATCAATCGCTGGCTCCCGGACAGGACTGTTCAACAGTCATTGCAGTTTTGTTTTAGGCTTGGGTGCAGTGCTTGGGACCATCCTTCAAAGTGGCTAAATCAAAGTCCAGTTCCTAACAGGGTACCCCAAGGCAATCAACATTGCATTGCTTCTGCCTGTGTCAACATAATGATGTTTGTACCCACATCCTGGCAACCCTGGAGCTGATAGAATTGACCTTATCGGAAATGTGGCCATCTCCTGTGGGATATTTTTGTCAAACTAATCGTCCAGGTCCATGTGCATGTTGGAGTAGCCGCAGATATGCTGGTACATAGAACATCCTATTCTAAACAAATCCATGCCGAATCGGCTGTTGACAGCAGGGAACTGTTGCTCTGCTGCCAGGCAGGAAGGCCATCAAAGTGACGAGATATCCCTTTCCGGATGACAATTGAAACGTAAATCCTTAGCCTTCCTGTTCTTCTCGGTTCTCAAAGCGTCTTTTGCTCTCTGGGCACTTGCATTTTGAAACAACCGTACCATTTTTCTGATTTGCTTGAAAGAAACAAGCTCATCAGAGTTGTCTACGGCTCTGTTTGGCGCCATTGACTGGAGAATCTTCTTTTAGTAACTCGGTCTCTTTTTCTTTCTTGGCCATGTCTACATACTCTCGGGGCTGCATGGCATGCGCACATGCATACTGCAAGGAATTTAATGCAGCTCTGACTTTTTATGGCTGGTTGCATACATGCCTAAATGCGCCAGTGATTGACATCCGAATACGAAGCTATTTAAAGGTTAAACATCAATTGCGCTTTACATGTACGGAGTACTCTTTTCGCATTTTGGATGTTTCAACCCGAATCCTACCTGTGCACGTATCCGACTCGTTTTTGAGTTATGCTGCGTATACGGTAAGTGGTAATACTCAGACTCGTTCAAACGCATCCTCGGTCGTGGAAAAAATCATCAGAATTAAATGAGCGCCGGGTGCCGATAGGCGATATACATAAATGAGGCCTTCATGAGCGCTCCATAGCCGACATGGCAGTGGTCCGTGACACTTATCAAGGGGTAGATGGGCATTGCGAAGGTAAGTGAAAAAGTCCAGTCAGCTTATCCCTGAGCCTTGGCGCTGGATCGTCCCATCGCCCTGGGAAAAAAGGGCCGAGAGCTCAAAACTACACCGGCTATTGCTTCGCCGGTGGAACGTATTCGAATCAGGCGGACACAAATGCAGTGAATTAACTGCGAAGTCTCGTCGGGCGCAGCCGGACCCACCGGTGGATCCTCAAATTGCAGTTTCGTGCGAAGTTTGTCGATGTATGGAGTACTCCGTATTATTCCTTGTCTGCAACCGCTTTCATAAGGGCTCCATCAACGAAAGCAAGGTCTAAACGGAGGGGATTTCTAGCCTTGGGTATGATAGACGCTAATGTCGTGGTGGAAGCTATGTTGCTGAAAGTCCCAAAGTTCAAGCTCCATTACCGAGCAGATAGGGACAATATATTCTGTGCACTGTAGAAGATCGATCATGGTGGTAGGTTTCCGCACTCCTAAACCTAGGTAACCATTGTAGATCCATGTTATATTTTAATTTATTGAGTTCTTTATCGAGCTATACCAGGTTTCAACAGCCTTGAAATGATAGCTCCACCCTACAATTGAAGTGACGATTTGATGCAAACAGCCATATCCTTGTTGCTGGCTATATCATAGAGGACGCTAATCCTTCATCTGTTGGTTCATGGTGAACAAGGTCGTCCTGCGCACATCAACATTGATTTGGAAGGCTTATGCAGGAGGTCTAGTATGTGAAAGAGATTGCTTGTGCTACATTGTCCCATGTATTTTTTCCATTTGCAGAAGCATGGGAGAAAAAACTGGAGCTACACAAGGTCATCTCAACGGACCGCCGTGATAACCGAGCTGAGCCCACGGGATCCCTCAGTTGCAGTGTTGGGTATAAAAGGAGCACCCTTCCCCTCCCTGATCAACCTAAACACTAGCAGAGACGTCGTCTACCAGTCGTTCAACACCCAGCAATTGAGGTTCGTTTCCCTTCCAGTTTCGCACAATTAATAATGATGGGCCACAACAAGGATTGGGTTCTTTTCCTTTTGTTTTTGCAATGAGATAAAAGAGACAGCAGCTGACTTCAAGGAAGAAATTATAGCCCAGCTGAAGCATCTAGACTGATTAAAAGGTAAAGCCAGCCTCAACTCTACCTCCGAGTCTAGGTATCTGATCATGTAGCTCAGAGAAAATACTGTCGACTAGACCTCAGACTCCATAATGCAATTCACCGTGATTCTTGCGAGTGTTCTCTCTCTCGCCATGTTTGTTAGCGCTGAGAGAGGTTGTGACCCGGGCAGTTACGACTGCGGCATTGAAAGAGATCGAAAAGTGGTCAAAGTCTGTAACCTCGAGGGTGGCTGGCAGGTTGCAGCACGGTGCGAGAAATGGCAGGACTGCGAGGTTAGGGGCGGTGTTGGCTACTGCGGATAAAGGTCTGGTGAGTGTATTTTATCTGTTAGACTCTCAGGGCACGGGAACAACATAGCTGATGACGGTTCAAATTACGGCTTCTCAGCGATGTCATATCATTCTAACGGTGCCCAAAGATCGGGTATCAAGCGATGTATGATGGAGTATAGAGACAGAAATAGGCTTGGATAGTCCCCTATTTCATTCATGTGAAGAGATTCATTCATGACAGCAAGCTCTACCTGTATCCTCAGAGACACTGCACTAGATTATAGGAAATTCTGTCGGGGTTAACCAGCTCACTGGTCGTCGTCGTGAGAAAGGTGGTGGTGGAGCGAACCTTAATTTAGTTATTTAGTTACTCGTTAGCCAACTCCTATTCACAGAGCTCAGCTCCCTTCTCTTAACCCCACCATCCCTCCAAACTGCAGAACGTATTTCTTGCAACCTTAAAATCTCCAACAAACATCACCATGGCAGGCCATGACCACAGAGTCTACCGCTCTAGCACTACAGCTCCAGTGAATATTGCTGTCATTAAGTACGTCTGGCCCCCGCCCTGAGACACTATTCCAAGCTAATCTGGTTTTTAAGGTACTGGGGAAAACGAGATGCGACGCTCAACCTCCCGACCAATTCCTCTCTCTCTGTAACTCTTTCACAAGCCAATTTGCGTGCGCACACCACAGCTTCATGCTCAGATAGTTACCCGCATGCTGAAGGAGACACCCTGGTTCTCAACTCAAAACCCCAGAACATCCACGCATCCAAAAGGACATTGGCATGTCTCGCAGACCTCCGTATTCTTCGACGAGCTCTAGAGGATGCAGATCCATCCCTGCCGCGACTATCGGCCTTTCCTCTGCGCATTGTATCGGAAAATAACTTCCCAACTGCCGCAGGCCTCGCGAGTTCGGCTGCAGGTTTCGCAGCTCTGGTTCGTGCAGTTGCCGATTTGTACGACCTCCCCCAGTCTCCGAGCGAGCTGAGTCGCATCGCCCGCCAGGGTTCAGGATCTGCATGTCGTTCGTTGATGGGTGGCTATGTCGCCTGGAGGTCCGGTACGAAGGAAGATGGTAGTGATAGCCTCGCCGAGCAAGTGGCGCCAGCGAGCCATTGGCCTGAGATGCGTGCATTGATTCTCGTTGTGAGCGATGCGAAAAAGGATGTTCCCAGTACGGAAGGGATGCAGGCCACCCGTGCGACCTCCACTCTGTTCCCTTTCCGTGTTACGTCTGTAGTACCTGAGAGAATGGCAGCAATGGAGAAAGCCGTTCAGAACCGAGATTTTGCATCATTTGCAGAGATCACAATGCGAGACAGTAATAATTTCCATGCGACATGTCTCGACACGTGGCCACCGATTTTCTATATGAATGACGTTTCTCGCGCCGCTGTGAGGGTGGTTCACGACGTAAACCGGGCCGCAGGAGAGACAATTTGCGCGTATACCTTTGATGCTGGTCCGAATGCTGTTATCTACTACCTCGAGAAGGACTCTGACCGGGTTCTGGGCACATTCAGAAAAATTTTGAAACCGGACACAGAAGGTTGGGGTGAAACCAAGCCGGCTCAGGACGCTACATCGCTCCTAGGAGAGGTTGACCCGAGAGCTGTTGACATGCTTACAGTGGGTGTGAACCGCGTAATCCTATCAGGTGTTGGTGAAGGACCTATGAAAGTGATTGAACATCTTGTCAGCGAGTCCGGGGATATCCTGACCGGCTCTGGCAATTAATACTATGGAATCTTTGATAAATCTTTTGATATTGATTGCGAGATCCAAGCTTGGTCGCGAAAGTTATATGTTACGAGACACGACTTTAATCAGCGAAGATACCACCATGCTAGAGCAACAGTATCCAACCGCAGATAGACTTAGCGTAATCATTCTTTGTTGCATCTTCAGATTATGAACTCTCTATTCTTTTGTGACACACCCTCTCACTTAACCACTCAGTAGCGCCAGTTTCTTAAATTCTCTCACAACGGGCGGCTCTTTCGGTTTCGCATTTGCTTCCAAGGTGTCCCAAAATACACCTTCTGCCCCCGTCGTAACCCTCTGAACCGCTCCTCCATTCGGCTCGGCTTCTTCTGATCCTTCGGTACCAGGCACTGCTTGAGGCTTGATTTCAAATATCTCCTCCACACAACCCCTACACATGGTCAATACCTCGTCGAGGTTCTGCTCCACCACCGCAGCTCTCTCTCGCATACCCCGTCTCAGCATCGCTTGTACCAAGACTTCTACTTCCTCAACAGCACTATTAACCCTCTCCATCAATCTACGAACACTGTTCACCAGGTACTCCTCTTCATATACGGTACCCTTCTTGCCCCGTGCGCGCTTTCGCTCCTCGCGACGTCGTGTCTTGCTAGTCTTTCGAGAAACGGATGTTGAGCCGGTGTATCTCGTGAACATACTCCTTCCTGCCATGGTACTAGCATCGGTGGGTGCGATGGAAATGTTGTCCGGTATATCAAGCCCTTCAGCTCCGCCAGCGGGTTCGCCACCGAAAAATCCTAGGGGGTCTGTGACTCGTCGGATGCGTAATTCCCTGATTCGGGGAACTTGAGCGAGGAGCTGAGACCGGCAATCCGCGAGGAGTTCGACCATTGTGCCCATGGTTTCCCCAAGGGAGCCATCAACGATGTCGGGGACGAGGGAATGATGACCGTTTAGCGCGAGGATGCGACAAGCTTCGCCGAACTTTGAGCCACGGCAGAGAAGACGTGCTGCGCCAGGGATATCCTGGAGGTAATCACGGTGAATATTGGCAGCTGAAATGTAGTCTTTGATCTCAGCAAGAGCGGTGGCCAGGGATTGAGCGAGGTCCGTCATTTGAGATTCGGAAAGGGGTACAAGGGCTGCACAGTAAAGGCATTCTTGCCACATATTTGCGATCTTATATGATTCGTAGGCTGATTCGTAGTGGTTGAGGGACTCATATGCTGCACCCATGCTGTCAGTTGCTGTTTTCATGACTTGATGATAAATCCCGACTAGAAGGCCATACCTATTGCTGCTTCCTTGTACTTTGACTGGTCGTGCAAGTAGTCAGCATATAGCTGGGTCATGTCACGAAGGAGATCTGGTTGATATTTGTATAATTCCAACGCTTCACGATACAAAGTATGTTTGATCGTGTACAGTTTCAACTCGTCATATTCGTGGAGCGCATGCAGGCTTTTCAAAGCCTTTGCATATCGACCCAAGTGGTTGTCAATTTCGTATCTGCGGCGAAGTTCAGGGAGTCCTTGCAATTTTTGAAGGAATGGGAGGTATTCTCTCGGATCCTATTTGCGCAGTAAGCTTTACAGCTCGAACAAAAGGCAAGAGAAATGTCATCCTTACCCTCTGTGCTTGCTGGGCCACGAGCAAGGTGAGCTCGAGGTCATACAAACCAAGAGCATTGCTGAAAAGCCTATTTGCATCTGTCAGGAAACACATGTGCTCAATTGCTTCTTCGGCTTGTTCGGCACTTTGTTCTGTAGCCAGGTTTGTTAGTTTGGCAGCTGAGCGTGATAAGGACACATATGTGAACGCACCACGCAATTTTGCTACAAGCTGAAGACCAGCATCCAGGTCCGGTGGAGATTTACAGACATAAGCTGTGACAAGATTCTGAAGATTGGTCGCGACCCGATTTGAGAGAACCGACAAAAATGCATCGCAGATTTTGTTGACCTTGTTTTCTTTATTTGGTGTGGAAATTGTAGGTAGGAGGCCGGAGGTCTGTTCAGGCTTCGCAGTAGCGTCCTTCGCTTCGGTATGTGCAATTTTCAGAGTGTCCTTATACAGAGTTTCGGAGACATCTTCATCCCTAATCATGAGAATTAGTATATGTTGACAAGAAAATACATGACATGGTATACCTCAGACGAGATAGAAACTCATCGATAAAATCAATTCGTTTCACCTGGTCAATAAATAACTGTATGCTGGCCATAAATTGATCTGGCATATAGTCATGCAATATGTTCATATCCACCATATGGCTCCTACATGCAAGGTATGCGGACCGATACTTCTTGTTCTCAATATATTTCCGTATTCCAGCGAGAACCAGCGCGCGAGGGTAAATGGTTTCGATATTCCCACGAGGCATTTGCAGCGTCAGGGCGAAGATAGATGGCATAGCAGCAACCAATCGTGCGCCTCGCTCGATACTTCTACAACGCTCATCGGCTTCAGGAACATCTCCTGGTATTTCAAGGTCTGGGAGCCTTTATTAGTGCCTTTTCTCAAAGTTGAGACAGAGAGTTCGCACCATCAACGTTTGTTATGTGGACAAATTTCAGCAGATGTTGAGTTGTAGTGAAGATGAGATGCGCGGGGGTAATCAAAAATGACGTGCAGTTCTTTACAAGGAGCCTCTTGTTGGCATAGAGGGAACCAGATCTCGAAAGCGAGAAGAGGACGTCCTGCAGAAAGTCAGTCGGCCTACGAACGGTAAGGAGGGGCCTATGACTTACTCTGTTTTCTGTAGATGTCGTTGCAGCCGCCCAGCTTGTCTCCTGAGCTGGGCTCTCAGGCCAGGAACTGGGGGATACATCATTGCCTCCTTCGTTCGAGATGTAAGAGTATGAGAAATGTTTACGACCTGGAGTTGCTTGTGCAATCCAGAGCATACTTTGCTCGAGGTTAGGGAAGATTGATACAAGTCGATCAGACTCCGTCGACGATAGGACGATTGTTACTTCCTTCGTGTCAATATCAATCCTTTCTACCTCTTCCGAAAACATGTCGGTTTGCATCAGCACGTAGATAATGTTTTCGTCCAACATCGCGATGTGTCTCGGCCGCTTTGACATCTGTGGGAATGGGTAGAAATAATCAAGACTCGGTTCCGGTGGCGGTGAGGTTCGAAGTTGCCATGAATATATGGCGATGCCTTCACTGGTCAAGACTGCGATTTTCGTCCCTGACTTGCTAAATGCAATATCTACCGCATTATAATCTAAAGGCATTTCGCAAAGAGCCATCGGAGGGGGGATCGTAGCGACTTTCAATGGAGAAAGCTTTAACGTTTCTAAAGGACAGTGAGCTACATGGTATTGGTAATGGAGAGATATGTCACATACTCCCGTCGATGACTCCAACCGCGCCAAAATCATTGGGCAGTACACTTGAACCTCGCGAAACATCGAAAACCCAATCCGAGTCGATCATTGATCCTACGATCGCAGTTAGTGGAGGATATATATCTTGAAAGTGACATTTTTTTCACATACTTGAAGAAGCAGTCACAAATCGTGTCGCCTTTTCATGGTGCCAGCGGAATGTACGAAGAAGCTCAGTTTGATCAGACTCGGAAGTGAGCGGGATTTCTTGCTTAAGATAGTAATGGTAATTTCCCATTGTCCAGAGTTGAATTCTGTCCCTGAATAAGACAGCCAACACAGTTGAGTCAACGTTCCAGGCCAGGTCGATAGATGAAGCCCAAGTGTCTCTATCTTCCATTTCCAGCCGAAGCGGAAATTGACCGTGACGAAGGCCATTTCGTTCAAAAAAGACAACATCGATATGATCCTCAAGGCGCTGTATGCCGGCAATCAGGTTACCAGCAGGGCGCCAGCTTAAAGCCCCTTCCAGTCCATCCACCGGCTCACTGACGCTGTCCAGAGCGCCCTCCCGAGAGAATACACGGATTACACGTCGAGATCCGGATTCGATGCTGTTCACAGCAATGAAGGCACCGTCCCCTCGCCAACTAATGCAGGTCTTTCCATCGTCCAGGTCGCTTAATTTCCCCTCGTCAACTTTCTCCGGCATCGTTGGGTCCCGCAGAGCTTTGGCCCGTTTCCCCTGGAACTGAGTTTCTCTCTTTCCCCATCCCACGGAGACATGTCTCGAGATCTTGAGGTCCTCGGGAGAAAATAAAATGTTTGCAATATTTTCAAAATCACGGGTCATGTAAAGCAACGTATTAGATCTCGTAGTAATCGCCAGGAGCTCCTCGTCTGGCGCCCAAGCAGCGGCCGTAATCCCAACATCCACAGATCCAAGAATTTCAATTTTGTCTTCTTCGGGCTGTGGCTCCTCACGCACAACGATGATATCTCCTCCTTCGAGAACTAGACACGTAGAGAGGGTATCCGCAAAATATTGCATTGACAAAATGCGATCGCATTTTAGCTCTGGGAGAGGACATAGCGCGTCCCACGAGGCGACAAGCGGGAGCTCCAGGCTTGAACTGATATATGCATCCTCCTCTTTGCGCCTCAGTTCAATAACAGCACTGGTCTCTGTTGGACCAAAGGCACAGAGAACGGAGTCCGTGGTGGGATCCCACGCAGTCGCAGTTAGGGGGAGCCCCTCTGGAAGTGGGATTTCCGCGAAGCGGATATTTCTTAGGTTGCGCATTTTTATATTGGATTTCGGTGGGCAATCAGGAAACCGGCCGGAAGTTCATTGACGTGACAGGAATTTGTCCTCAGAATACAAGTACAGACATTGCGCATCAGTTCACTGCTGTCCTGGGCGGGCTGTGTTGCGTTGTCTGCACACAACTAGGTATGTATGGAGTAGATTTACGATTTTAATTTTTCGAGCCTTCATGTGGTGACAGCATTTTCCGACCAATGATCTCATCCGCGCTGCTCATCAACTCCCTACAAGACAACCAGTCGGACAACACACATACACCAAAACTACAGCGAATGACAGATACATCATGTATTTGATCAAGATTGTGTAGAAGTACAGGTTATTGCATAAAAAATTTTTCATATTCTAAATTTTGTACATGCTTCCTACGGCCCCGAAGTGGCGTTGATTCCAATCCTGCAACCACCTCTCAGTAACGTCAAAGGATAGATGGAACAAGGGGTCGTTTATTGGGACTTCATTGTTTGCCAGACTAGTTAAAGATAGGGCAATTAGCATCGGGTCTTTCAAGGAAGCAATGGTGAGGATGTAAAAACGTACCAGCAATTCCGAAGGGCATGAAGAAACCGACGCCTAGAAAACAAATCAGCCATTGGGTCTTGTAGTGTGCCGCAAGATGCCCAGGGTCATACCCATAAAGCCCCAGTATCTCCAGAAGAAGTGCTTTGTGAGAGGATTGAATGGAATGCTGCTGCGCGGACCCTCAGGGTAGTGGAACGGACTGCCGAACTGAGGCCGGGTAGCATGGAAGCCGCGGCGGGCGACGAGGGAAGTGGCCGTTTTGGCGCGGAGTGCAGATCGAGCAAACATCTAGGTAAGTCAGCGATGGCAAGCCGGGTTTTTCGCTTCTTACGGCATACCTTGGAAAAAAAGATCCAGGCGGGCGTGATTGGGGCTTGCGGTCAGACGAGGAAGCGAGCGAGGTGATCACAATATGGGCTGGTTTTCCCACCAAACCGCGCTGGAGCGGAACGGAACAACCCGAAGCCTGTCCAAGATCGGGTGTTAGTTTTTCTATCACGTGATTTATAGCGGCGCTTGTCCCTCTTCGGAATGTTTGTCCGGCCGGGACATAGGTTGAAATTATTTCGAACGGCAACCGGAGCAACGCCGCAAGAGAGCTTCTGCGTCCTCTGGCTGTTTGATTGCACGACTGTCGCGGGTTGTTATTAAGCGGTTAAGCACCATGCAGGAGCTTTTTGATGTCTTTGAAGATGCTCCGGCATCCGGAGCTACGTCGACTCACCCTGTGATACCTCGAGCAAAGAAGGATACAACCAAGAAGAGACAGGCGAATGGAGAAGTCAAGCAGAATACGCCCATTGCGGATGTGAATGGAGCTGAGCAGCCATCTGGAGACTCGGCACAAAATGAAAGCGAGGCGTTTGCTGAATTCCAGGCCGAACAACCCGAGGCGAAGCGACCCAGAGTCGAGCCCGAGCCCGTTGTCGCCGACACCTTCGAAACAGAGCAGTCCCGTGAAATTGCGGCCTCGGCTGGGTTACAGCCAGCCCAAGAGGGCGCTGCTGTCGTCCTTTCGCATCAAGTCCGACATCAGGTTGCTCTGCCGCCGAATTACCCCTACGTGCCTATCTCCCAACATAAGCCGCCTGAGACACCAGCCAGGACATGGCCGTTCAAGCTTGATCCCTTCCAGCAAGTATCCATCGCATCCATCGAACGAGGTGAAAGCGTTCTTGTTTCCGCTCATACCAGTGCCGGAAAAACTGTCGTCGCTGAATATGCTATCGCCCACTGCCTGAAGAACAATCAGAGAGTCATATACACAAGTCCTATCAAAGCGCTAAGCAATCAGAAGTACCGAGAGTTTGCATCTGAATTCGGGGATGTAGGGTTGATGACCGGCGATGTGACAATTAACCCAACGGCAACTTGCCTCGTCATGACCACAGAGGTGAGGCTTGTTCTCAGAAATTCGACTTGGAAAAGCAACTGACTCTGCAAGTAGATTTTACGCTCCATGTTATATCGCGGATCCGAGATAATGCGAGAAGTGGCGTGGGTAGTGTTTGACGAGATCCATTATATGCGAGATAAAAGTAAGTTGAACTGGATGCCCCCGCCCACGCGCGCAGCCTGCTAAACCAGTTTCCAAGCCCGTGGTGTTGTTTGGGAAGAAACGATCATCCTTCTCCCTGATAAGGTCCGCTACGTATTCCTTTCCGCTACGATTCCCAATGCCATGCAGTTCGCCGAATGGATCACGAAGACCCATAACCAACCATGCCACGTTGTGTATACCGATTTTCGACCCACTCCCCTTCAGCATTACCTTTTCCCTGCAGGTGGGGAAGGCATTTTTCTGGTAGTCAACGAGAAGGGAAATTTCAAGGAGGAAAATTTTCAAAAAGCTATGGGCGCAATTGCGGATAAAAAAGGAGATGACCCCGCGGACGCAAATGCACGCGGAAAAGGGAAGGGGAAAAATAAAAAGACGAATAAAGGGGGCGAAAAGGGTCCGTCCGATGTGTTTAAGATCGTGAGAATGATCATGATGAAAAGCTATAATCCGGTTATTGTGTTCAGCTTCAGCAAACGTGAATGCGAGGCGCACGCCTTAACCCTGAAAAATTTAAGCTTCAACGATGACTCCGAGAAGGAAATGGTTACCAAGGTGTTCAATAGTGCTATTGAGATGCTCTCGGACGAGGACAAAAAGTTGCCGCAGATCGAGAATATACTTCCGCTCCTTCGACGTGGAATCGGCGTGCATCACTCCGGCTTGCTGCCAATCCTCAAAGAAACTATCGAGATTTTGTTTCAGGAAGGCCTCATCAAAGTCTTGTTCGCTACGGAGACGTTCTCCATCGGATTGAACATGCCGGCGAAGACAGTGGTTTTCACAAACGTCCGAAAATTTGATGGGACCAGTCAGCGATGGTTAACGCCTTCAGAGTTCGTGCAAATGTCGGGTCGTGCAGGCCGTAGAGGCCTTGATGACCGCGGAATTGTCATCATGATGGTCAACGAGGAGATGGACCCAACTGTGGTAAAGGAAATAGTCCGTGGTGAACAAGACAAACTTAACTCGGCATTCTACCTGGGCTATAACATGATTCTCAATTTGCTAAGAGTGGAAGGGATATCTCCAGAGTTCATGTTGGAGCGCTGTTTTGCGCAGTTCCAGAGCGCATCCAGTGTTGGAACATTGGAGAAAGGTGAGCCCTCTCACACTTGACTACTCGATTTATTTTCACTGACGGTATCAGAACTTGAGGATCTGGAAAATCAGCGGGAAAATATGACCATTTCTGACGAAGGCACGATTCGAGAGTATTACGATTCACGACAACTTTTGGCTACGTATAACGAAGAAATGCGAATAACGATGTGCAGACCAACTTATTGTCAGCGCTTCCTCGACCCTGGGCGGCTTGTTCATGTTCAACATGGAAAAATCGATTTTGGCTGGGGCTTGGTTGTCAATTTTCAACAGCGCAAACCTCCCAAGAATGTCTTGGAAGAATATCCACCACATGAAAGCATTATAATAGACGTGCTTTTAGACATTTGCGAGAATGCATCATTCCACATGACAGGGGACCAGACATTACCTCCCGGAGTCCGACCTGCCAGGAAAGGCGAGAAGTCTACTATGGCAGTGGTCCCCGTCGTATTAAGCTGCATTCAGGCATTTTCCACAGTGAAAGTCACGCTACCCAAAGATTTAAAGTCTGCCGAATCGAAGAAATACACAAAAAAGATTCTTACTGAGGTCCAACGGCGATTCCCAGATGGTGTTGCGGTGTTGGATCCCATTCAAGACATGGGAATCAAAGAGGAGCCATTTAAGATGACAATGAGGGTATGTGAACGTACTATGGCTTGTTTCGAAGATTATTCTGACGTTTTGAATAGAAAGTCGAAGTTGTCGAGGCACGTTTATTATCAAATCCCCTCCACAACTCTCCGCGGCTGCCGGAATTGTACGATCAATATGCGACAAAGGTGGAGTTAGTCAACAAGATTAAGGAAACGAAGCGGAAGATTTCGGACGCAATGTCGATTATTCAGCTTGATGAATTAAAATGTCGAAAGCGCGTTCTGCGCCGGTTCCAGTTCATCAATGCATCCGACGTTGTGCAGCTGAAGGCCCGAGTTGCTTGCGAAATTAGCAGCGGTGACGAACTGATGCTGAGCGAGCTGCTGTTTAATGGTTTTTTCAATACCCTTACGCCCGAGCAGTGTGCAGCGGTGCTGAGTGTCTTTGTTTTCGAGGAGACAGCAAAGGAAACTCCGGCTATAACGAACGAGGAGCTTGCAAAACCACTTCGCGAAATTCAAGCACAGGCAAGAACCGTTGCAAAAATTGCACAAGAATCGAAACTTGCAGTGAATGAAGAGGAGTATGTGCAGAGCTTCCGGTGGGAACTGATGGAAGTCATCTATAAGTGGGCCAAAGGTGGCTCTTTTGCAGAAATATGGTATTCAACCTGCATGCTCTTGATTCGAAAGAATTATACTAATGTAATGCGCAGCAAAATGACCGATGTCTACGAAGGCAGCTTGATTCGAACATTCCGCAGGCTAGAAGAGTGTATGAGACAGATGGCACAGGCTGCAAAGGTGATGGGCAGCAGCGACCTGGAGTCTAAATTCGAAGCCTCACTATCGTTAGTGAAACGTGATATTGTCGCGGCCCAGTCTTTGTATCTATAAGGGACGAAAACGAGATCCAATGTTTCTTTCGCGCTCTTTTTATCGGAGGCTTGTTCTCGTTATACTCCCGACACGTGTATGACTTTGGCCGAGGGTAAGGCGTATGACTGTCTTATTAGCAGGGTCCTTTCTTGAAGGCGTTTTTATTCGTTCCGATAAAGGTAAAAATGCATGCTATAGCAATAATAAGCGGATTCCTCTACATTTATATGTACTTGGTCTTTGTTTAATAAAATAAAATGAGAAAAAAAATAAAATAAAATAAAATAAAAGGAGAGAGAAAAGAAAAGAGGAACTCAGGAGAAGAGCTGCTCAGCATTTCATGTATCTTACATGTATTTTGTTGCCCGGCGCAACCAGTCAGCTGCAGAGTTTGTATTGTATTGTAAGGATTTGTTACTAGTGAGCTGCCCGACGTGACCAACCCTCAAGAAATGTTTCCTACTCCTTCAAAACCACAACATCCTCCCGAAACATCCCACACTCTCCTTTTCTCCTCCCAAGAGCTATTTCTGTGCAAGTGGCTTTTCATTTCCTCCTCTTGCTATCGGCATCATGAACAGCTTGGTGGCAACCCCACCCATCCCTCCACACTTTTACGAGCATAACCGATTCAACACCACATCTCGATTCGGTAAGATAGTCCCTGCCGCCAAGAGCGAAACCGCCGGCGACAGAAGAGCCTTATCATACTGATAACTTGTGAAAGCAGTCTCTCCAATGAACCCAGCTGGGAGCCGGAAACGCAAAGCAGAAGATGACAACGGTTCAAGTGATCATGACACTCGCATGTCTGCCTCGCCAACAAGCTCGCCTGCACTGCCTACTAAACCCCTAGCAGCTCGTCAGATAAAACGGCCGAGACCAAACCTCTCGGGACGGCCTTTGTCTCTTGGACGTCTATTCGAAACTCTGGACAGTGACGCTCTTCGATCCGTGCTCCGGTCCCTGTGTGATCGCCATCCCGAACTTGGACAAGAAGTGGTCGATACCGCTCCTCGGCCAAATATCACATCTGCTCTGCAGGTCCTCAGCAACTACCAGTCGACTCTTCAGTCCTCTTTCCCTCTTGGTGGCAATCCCTCCTCAGACTATGCTTATAACCGTGTCAGGCCACACGTGATGAATCTTCTAGACGCCCTCAATGACTTTACGCCTCATTTTCTTCCTCCGAATGAAACGCACCCTTCGACCTCTCTAAACTACCTCGATGGTGTGACTGAAATCATTCACCAACTGCCAAGATGGGATACTCCACATTATAACTTGGAAAAGGAGGCTGCATATGAAGAAATAGCGAAAGCTTGGGCGCTGGTAATCCGTGAGGCCAGTAAGCGGGGTGGCGGCATCCAGTTGCAGTATGGGGAATGGGATCAAAAGCTAGCAAAGCATAATCAAACGTCTGGTGGGAAGCTTCAAGACGCAGTCCATGAATTAAGTGCTAGCCTTGGCTGGATGGCGGGTAATCCAAGCCATCCAGGGCCTGGTTGTCCCCAGGCCGATACTGCTTCCATTCGGCAACAGTTACTCTCAGGCACATATGGTGCTGGCCTACCCCTCAAGGTCGGCCCTTGGTGATATCAGTTTAATTCATTCTCCCAGCTCTCGAATATTAGACGCTCATGGCAATAACCATACCTGCTCGTACCACAACAGTCCACATTGTGTTGAATTGATACCATCTTACCCGATCCTCTTGAGACGATTACGATACCAGCTCGATAGCCAATAGATGCGGGGCTTTGTGACCGGAGTTCAGCTTGCTCTTCCTCTCATTACATTACTTTTCATTATTGGAGTTCAAGATATTCTGGCGTTGGTGTCCCAATTTCACTTTCCTTCGATCTTTGGTACTTGTTTTTTAACCTCTGTTGCTCTCATCAGCTGGTTTTTCCTTTTTCTTGGTCCCGTTGACTGTTTGTATTTTTCCCTTTATTAGATGGTGATAACAGTGCCAATCCTGTATTGCACAAATCTGTGTCGATGCGACGTGACCCAAGCCTCTGTATCGCCTTGTCCGAAATTACACACCTGCTACCTACATATACACATCCCTTACTTTCATATGTCACATCTTTTATTTTTTTATTTTTTTATTTTTTCTCCGTCTTCGTCAGCCAGTTATTTGTGAAATTTGAGTGACAAGGAATTCCATGCGTGGAGGAAGAAAGCAAACAGCATGTATGCTCTAGAAAAAGAGGGATTGATTTGAAGATCTGCTTTATCAGGAATTCTTTCATGTGCGGGGCCAGAAGAAGAGTACAAAGTATGTAATCCTGATATCTATGTCTGGAATCTCCATTTAAGATTGGATAGCTAGCATAACACAAAGAATTTGAAGCCAAGTAAGTGGTGAAGATCAGTCTGTTGCAAAACCGCCTGACCTTCCTGAGGTTTCACCATAAAACGACATTGCCTCATATGGGACTGCCATTTTCTGTAGTTGTCCACCACTCACATAAGGCTAAAATATATCCCAGGTCATTTACCCTAAATGATGGGTATTATATGCGAATCTGGTCCTCGCAATTCTCTGTTTTTCACTGCAGAATGGAAGGTTGTTGACAGAACTTTTAAAGCTCCATCTGTGGCACCTTTGAGCTTCGGCATGCCGTCAGTAAGTCTCGGCATACCGAAACTTCATCGTTTCGGCAAAACAAATTCTCCGTAAGTTGACATGATGGATGGGTGATGTCATAACCGTGGTACTAAACTACCGGGTCTTCCTTTCTGAAGGAATATCCTGAGCGGCTCTGCTTGATGTCAGGGGGAAATGTTAGCCAAGAAATGTACCGCGATTAACTTCCACATCCTCATAGGTCTTAGTTTAGGTCACAGTCATCCTTTGCAACCCGCTTTCAATTCCCCCGCTTGCTAATTCGTCTCTGCCCCATAGATGCCCCTATCTCATTCGAAATGCACTACTCTGTAGATACAATGAAATATGAAAGAAAAAAAAAAAACACCTGATGCGCCCCAGCAGTTTTCCAGCCATGGTATTTAGAATTAGGTAATAGGACAGCGATATTCAACCCAAACTTCTCAGTTCTATATCCAATACAAGAAGTACTCCAGATTGCGACTTGGTAGATGCACTTCCTTCGTCCCAAATCTCCCAAGTTCGATTCCCGAGAACGAACTATAGACAAAGACGCAATCCCATTTCAATATGAAACAGCCATCGGTTTGCGGTAGGTCGGGATATTGAGCACACTTTGGCGGTTCTCCTCGGTCCGCATGTGTGTTTCAGAGAAAAGCTCGTAAATACGATAATATGACAAAGTTATTTAGGGGGACACGCCTGCTCGAGCGTCAATGCCCGATATCGTGCGAGAAGATCAGTGTCTACAACACCTCGCTGATGCTGGAAGTTGAAATGTACGGCGAGCGCGGAGCCGACGATATTAACAGCTACAGCCTCATGTTAGCTACTCGCGTTCACAATTTCACGATCAGATGTCGGAGCGTAGGGACGAAACTTACGTCGTGAATACATTTTTGGTAGCTCCATAACAACCATCTCCTCGTCACTCCTCTCCTTTGGCCAACTGTCAATATTGCTATCCAGAATGTCATCGGCCATAACGGCAAGTACATTGATCCTAATTCGCTCATTATCCATATTCCAGGGAGGTTCGAATTTGTATAAATGCAGATTGCCGGACTCCAGGTTCTCGAGAAATGAGTAGTGCTGTTGAGCAGCGATAGCCCAGCTCACATATGTATCACCCCACACTTCATACTTTAGCTTTGACACTGGAGTGCGGGAAATAGCCTTGTCGTCTTTGACCCGGAGCCAGCGATGGCCTCTTGCTGGAGGATTCGCATCCATGGGCCACGTGAAACCCGATGGCCCGCTCCAGTATGGATGTGCTGACGGTCTCCAAGCTTTGTTTGAGCTGATTTTCGTCGTTGCGTCGCCGTTTTTGTCTAACTCAGGGAAGTAGGGGTGTAAGGCGCCGAAATGATAGTGCATAAAGGATAAAGGAGGGTTATTGATAATGTTCGCGGACACGGCGAAATCATTGGGATTATTGAACTTCCTGTCAACTATCCTCGGGATTGCATCGTCCGCAAGCCATACCTAAGAAGAGATTGTCAGATCGTCAGATGCACAAAGTGTCTGATAGGAACGACTCGGAAGAGACTCACGACATCATCGTCAACTTTGACGTACATCTTTCCGCGCTCCAAATGTTTCCAAATCTGGCGAAATTCCGGGCCTCTTACTTTCTTTCCGAGATTCAATTTCTTATAACGCTTAGGCGAGCGCTTAAGGATAGTTTCCAAGTATGCAAGGTCTTTCCCATCTTCCGTGTTGACAACCCACAGAACCTCGTCTAGCCAGCCGCCGTTGTCAACTATGTTCCGCTTTCAGAGAGTTAGCCTTCAGAGCCTTCAAGGAAGCAGCAAAGTAGATGAACAACAGCATACCTCGAGATAACAATGCATCGACTCCACTCTATCTTTTCGCCCAAAGAACACGAGCCCGGATATCGTCAAATTATCGGGCTTGACAAGATTTGATCCGTTCGAGCTCTTCTGGTCAGGCTGGCGTAAAGTATAGCTATTATTCGAGACAGCAGCTGTTGCACTTCGCTGGTAAAGTACGTTCATGAAAATGAGGATGTTCAGGATGGTCAATGCCGTCACCGCAAACAAGCCTCCGCGCCCTTTGATAGCGGAAGAAATCAAGTCGAGAAACTTGGATTTCTGGCCCACAAGGATGCCATTATTACCCGGCATCGCAAAACAGGGAAATGTCCTACCGAAAAGGTCGAAAATAAAGGCGAGATAAGATTGCTTCTTCCCATCGGCCAAGGTAGTACAAACGCAGATCTATGTCTGAGAGATGTCCAGAAGAGACAACCAAGCTTTTTTCGAGACCAAAAGAAAGACAGCGGTTCCTGGAGACAAATCTCCGCGTGTGGACCGGTTAACTGACCGATCAACGCAGTCCCTTTCGTGGGCGGATACCACTGTTTCCAGACAAGGCTCGCGTGCGCAGGTTTCAAAATGTTTAGCCATCAGGGATGTTTCGCTAGTTTAAGGGACGGGCCCTTCGCTTAGTCTTCTACTGGCCGATGAAGGCGCCAAGTTGGCCCCCAAGGCTGCGTAATCATAGCAGCGAACGAGCTGATCATCCGTCTCTGCCGCCGATGTTCCGTACAATCCGACTGCCAAAAAAAAAAAAAAAACCATCCCAAGCAGACATTTGTCCAGAGAGATCGCTCCTTTTGGACTTCTCGTTTTCTTCTTTTTGCGTGTGCCTGGCGGGCTCCCAACGACACTCAATTCCACCTCCACATGAGAGCGGTGTTCTGTTATGGCACTACAGCATGGTGATCGAGTAGTTTTATTCGTCTATAGTTCTGGGCCCAGAGTACGGGTAAAGGTACAGAGAATCTATGAGGCATTCGAAGAGATTCCCAGAAATTTCCATCAAAGGTTTCCAAGTGTACTCCGTATACTCCGTACACAAGCAGGATTCAGACCTTCGTACAAGATATTCATTTGAAACCAAGTTCTTACCACTCCTTGAGATTTAATCCAATTTATCTGGTAGCTGCTAGGCCGGCGGCAAAGTGCAAGCCTCCGGCGAAGAGACATGGTAAGAGCAAGAATCCAGCCCCGGTATGCAACGCTTGGGATACGTTTTCTCACTCTATCTTTGGTTGAGGGCGACCAGCCTCAGCATTTTCTATCCATCTGATCGCCTTTCTAAGCATTTGAAAACACACACAATATATGGCCAAGTCTCTGATGATTGATCAGATCCTCTACCTTACCTCTTCCTTCCCTGTACCATATTTTACGGCGTGTAGACTAACTACATTTCCCAGCCTGCACTTTGTGGGACGATAATCCGGTTGGACATCTAAATATATCATGCATCCTTGCAAAAGCGGCCTTAGGCACACAATCGAATTCTGTCAAATATCAACTGATTCAAGCCTAAATTCCACGACGTTAGGCATCTTCCGTATGGCCAGTTTGGTATATACAAGCAAAATTGAGCGAGAACCGAGCTTTAACCATCCAAGTCAAATTCTTTCCCATAAAATGCGCCTTGTACCGGAACTCCACAAGTCCACCTCTTCGTGCGATGATCTTGGATGTATTTATTATCAACCACATGCCAATAACAGACCCACGGGCCTTGGGCAGAGTTAAGCGTCACAATACCACGTTCGCAGCGCTGGGTGGCGCTCCCATGTCGAGCGCAAGAGCGGAAACAGGAATCTCTCTCCAGTTTTGGAATGAAGCGAGTTGGATGATCGGATCGGTAAGTCCTTCACCCTCCGTGCTATTTCTCTTTGTGAAGGTGATGGAGAAGTCACCAAGTCGAGGGTCGCTAAAGCATGTTCGTCCTCCAACGTAGCACCTGCTCAACATTTCCTCAATCGTCCGCTTTCCTCCCTCTTGACATTCGACCTCAAGACTGCAGTGCCCGCCGTTGTGAGTTGAAAATTAGAGACGGCACGTATTTGGGTGTTTATCGAACTCCTGCACTGGTGCCTCAGTCAATAGGCCCAAGATCGCGGGGAGATCAGAGCTTGAAAAAGCAACCTACCCATGCATCCGCCTTTTCCGAGCCTGTCGCGATGCCGATAGCTTTGGATAGATCTTTTGCCATACTAGCCTTTGATCGGGGCACAATATCCGTGGGCATGCCTTATGCAGGTATTGAAGGAAAAGAGATGAGAAGAGTAAGCACCAATATCGGAGGATTGAGAGCCATGACGTGAGATTGTATGAGTTTCTTAGGTGAGTCGATATGACTGGAGCTGATTTCTTCCAGATTGGTGTTAGGAGGGCGCATGATGTTGAGAGACTACAGGCTTTAAATACATTCGAGGAGCGCTGCAAGGCCAACAGCTCCAGCTCCAGCTCCAGCTCCATCCCGCACTTGGGTGGACAACTGTAAGATTGTGCGGCTTTGCCTTTGACAGCTTATTATAATGCCTATTTAAACCGTTGCACCTTCATGAAAGATCTAAATTAGTATATTTGATACTAACAGGATAACCTGGTGTCTGCGGAGAACGTGCATATTTCCTATTGGGAACTGCCGTCGATTTTCGGGCTCAAAAGGGCTAGGGATCCAAGAAGTCGGCGACATTGCCCAAGGACAACGACCCGAGTTCGACCAGGTCGATGGGGCTGTCATGGCGCGTAGAACCCTTTTTTGTGCTCTCGAGTGAGGTTCTCAGTCTCGGCTCTCCTGTTGCTACGGATCTGTGAGTTAAGGTTAAGTAGTTTAACTCAGTTAAGTAGGGTTTTGCCAAGCGACGAAGTCCCGGTGCTCGCAATTTCGTTGTCCAAACACCCCCTTCCGCCATCCGGTACTGTTCCGTAACTCTGTCTCCGGACAATGTATATCGCTATTACTGGTTCGGCCGCAAGTCCGCTATAGAACGCGTTAATTTATCGGGCCATCCGAGCATAGAGACGAGATATTGCCTATAATGAGTGTTTTTTTTTTCTTTTCTTTCTCTTCTTACAGATATATGACTAGGGATCACCTACGTATATTAGATAATAATAACTGAATCTTTTCTTGCCTCATAATAAACCCTCATCATGTTGTATAGCTAGCGTCCGGCTCTGTGAAACTTGTACCAGGAGACAAACAATAGGCCTTGAATTGCTGTACTACATTACCCTACTTTTCAGAAACTTGGGAGGTACATGAATAAACCCAAGACACAAATTTAGTTTCCTAAGCTGCATCCCTACAAGCAATATGTATGTACATACCATTGCGATCTAGACAGGATTAATGTTTGGAATAATAGCTACCTCTTTGTACAAGAATAGCTCCGGTGAAATACCATGTTGTGCAGGGAACGATGTCCAGGCGTTTCAATATCTTTCTCCTCCTGAGATATCAACTGATAGCAATTAGCCAAAGGAGCAGTTCTTAAAATTGAATGAAAGCAACTAAAGCTTAATGCATATTCACACTAGAATACGACTGATATAACTACACATGCTACAAGCTGATTAAAGAGCTTAGGGGCATTTTGTCCACACTCAAACGATTCTACATAACTAGTGACAAGGTCTGAACTGTTCCTCTAAGAAAAGGAGGCTGCACCTACAGCCTATGCTAGAGAGACAAGACTGATAATTGGGGCCGAAAGAGAAACAAACTGCTCAGAAACGTCAATGTTACAGTTTATATCACGAGTTGTGATTTTGATTCTGATGCTGTGTTTGTAAATCATCACTCAATTCTGTCTCAATTAAAGGCATAATCATCCTAGCATAGAGCACTAACTCATAATTCATTGTATTCTCTTATTCTGGTACTGAACTTTCGGATGTATTCCCATTTCCGTTCTCTTCGAAATTTGAAGCCTATCCAGGACTACTTCACATATGGTGCAAAATCCGCTCCCTCTTCCATCTCCCAAGCCAGTTGGCCGTTGCCCATGAATCGGAATTGGTTGGACGTGTTGTATCCGATATCGAAATGCTCCCCACGTATGATTTCGAGTGCAGCTAGGAAAAAAAAGATTATGAGCAAATCCATCGGTAAAACTGTTTAATGACTGGGTTTTCGAGCATACATTTATAATGCATCACACTACCTGGATACATGGCAGTGACTACTCTGTTGTCTCCTTTCGCGCTCTTGTACCAGGCATGGCAGCCCTTGGACCAGACCATTCGCTTAAGGTTCTCTTGGGCATAGCGATTGTAGTCACGCACAACAGAATCTTTCACCACAATGGACCTATGGAGGGCGCAGGTTAGTTCGCACATCTTCCAAGTAAAACGGAATACTCGAGGAAATCTCATAGAGAACGTACTTGATATCCTCGGTCGCTATCTTCGTCGTCCAATCCAGCATGTAATCGGCACTCCATCCGAAGGCTGGAGGTATAGAGCCATGGCCCACGGGAAAGTTGGGTCCCGCAAACATAAAATAATTAGGAATCCCTGGGGCACAAACGGAAAGATATGCTTCTGGCTTATCTTTCCAAGCAATATCCAGACGTCGACCATCGCGACCAACAAGCTTCCACGAGGGAATAAACCTTGTGTTGAATCCAGTCGCGCACACTATCAGGTCAAATTCTTCCTCGCCTTCATCCGTCTCAATGCCTTTCTCTGTAATGCGCTTGATATCACCGAAACAGCACTTAGCATTCTCAGCCTGCAGGGCTTCCAAGTACCCATCACCAGGACTGATTCGACGGCATCCAATCTCGTAGTTCGGAATGAGCTTCTCTATCAATTCGGGGTTCTTTGCCAGTCGATCTCTCATTAATTTATCACACAGGTCGAACATGAATTTATTCTCCTTAGATCCGGAAATCATCATCCTAAACACGCTATTGACCCTGCCGTTTGCATTAGCATGGGCGTGTTCTCAGCCAGAGCGCAGAGAAAGACCTACTCTGATTCGATTCTTTTTCGGTATTGAGAGAATTCCTCTGGATTTTCCAGGAATCGCTGCTTTTCTTCTTCTGTAAATTCAAAGTTGCTTCCATCCTTAGTCAAATGACCGCAAATATTCGCTGCAATCCAAGTCGCATGTCGTATATAGTTAACCAGCTTTGCAGCCTTTGGTTGCACTGCTGGCACTATTTGAATGCCCGACGACCCATTACCAATGACGGCAACCTTCTTTCCAGTCCAATCGTACGCTGAATCCCTTTAATACACTCATTAAATCTATTACTGTAGAAGGCTGTTTTGGTAGCATCAGTAAACAACGTACCATCGAGCGCTGTGAATGAGCTTGCCTTTAAAGGACTCGAGCCCTTCGAGTTCAGGCCACTTCCACTGGCTGGTCATACATTCAGTCTCCTACAGCATCGACCACAAGCAATGAGATCACCTACTGGAGAATGCCGCCTGCGTTAATCAGGATGTCGGCCTTATCTTGAATGACACCCTCCTTGGACTCCAATCTGAGCTCCCACTTTCCTTGTTCTTCATCCCAAATAGACTCCACGAGGTGTCTGTCGAATATTATTTTGTCTTTTAGTCCATACTTCTCCGTGGTGTTAAGTATATACTGCTGGATCTCTGCCCCGCTAACATAGAACTTCGACCACGTTGGATTTGGCTCAAAGGGGAATACATAGCTATCTTCTTTGATCAGGATAGTCGATAACTACCTTTGGTTAGGTGAATGACTCACGAGATGGAATATCACTTTACACGACGCACGTAAGCAATTGAAATGAATACCATGAGTATTTTTAGACTTCGAAGGGCCACATACCATCCAACACCAGGATATACATTCTTCAACCAAGTGCCTCCGACCTCTGAATTCCTCTCGTAAATGGTAAAGTCCACAAAATCCAATGGTCGTTCATGTTTCAGTTTATAGGCCAAAGTCAGACCGGCAAAGCCAGCACCAATGCAGACAACCCGGAGCCTCCTTGGTGTGAACGCGAATAGTTCCGGATCAATAGTCCAGTCATCTGTCGCTGTAGAAGTAGCACCGCTGAATCCGTTGGAAACCATCTTCAATTCACTTTGAGCGTCTTGTTCTTCAAATTGTGACCCGACAAAATCATCCATGAAAGGATTGAAAACGTTTCGGTATTGGCTCTGGAAGGCAGCGGAGGCAGGGTCAAAACTGACACGGTCTCGAATCCGAACCTCCCTAAGAAAAATTACTGCCAGCAGCCGAGAAAGGTTATGTAACTAAGCCCATACACGGGGAGGCGGTCACTTCTTGCTCCATAAATACTGGAAAAGCCCCCCACACCCTAGCAGTCCCATGTTTTCGGAGAAATCATGCTCAAAACGACAAAAAAGAGACCCCAGAGCGAGCATCTCGAGATTCTCCACCTCGGTGTTAGGGATCCAGAAAGGTTCTGATATAATCGAGAATGCAGTTTTCAGGATTGTTATTTTAGTCTTCAAGCTTGCTAAATATCTGATGATATTGGCGTTTAGGTCTCTGTTTTCTCGCAAAAGCATTACTTCCTTCGTGTTGCTGCAGTGTGGCACGCGTCGGGTCACCCTCAAGAAAGCCGGATGGGGGCCAGAGAACTCCCTACGGAGTTCGAAAATGTGAGAGGCGCTGGTACGGGGGAGATCTGTGGGAGACGAGGTTTGTTTGGCTCGTAACCTCAAGGTTAAATCGCCAGTGACGGCCAATAACAAGTAGAGTACGGGACCCACGGGGTCCAAGAGCGGGGAAGCCGTTATCAAGAGGCCTGGCGTCCTTTCAACGGTGAACTGGGGGTTGTTTGTCCTGCCTGGGACTTGAACTGCGCTCCACAAAGAGAAAGGGGCTTTTTATTGTTATGAGTTTGTTAGATGTATCCACAGAACAGCAAAAGGTATCAAGTCCTGAGCAACTGGTTGCAATTAGATATTGGATGGTGTTAATGTCAGCAATTCTGCAAACTGATCCTTGCAGTCTCTCGCTGCATATCGCACTCTGCAATTTGCATGGGGTCGGGCCGCTCTGACCAGTCAAATGAAAGCTAAAATTGGAACCTGCGTGTGGATGAATCCCGTTCTTTGTGATCCCAGTTTTCCCCTTGATGATGTGCACCACATCGGGCGACTTTCAACCCGGATACTGGCCTGCATAGTGCTCTAATCATGTGACGGAGTTCTTGGATATGTTCACAAAGGTCACCTGCTGGCTATCGGAGGCTGTCGCTGGTCAAGAGAGCAAAATATTTTTCCTATATTTCAATATATTTTCTACTCAATCTCCAATCTGGTGCTATCCTAAATAATGTATACACAAGAATCTCAAAAAGCCCAACGGGAGGGGGATATACCAATCCAAAAATCAACTTGAAGTCAAAACACCCCAAAAAATGTATAGAAAAAGGAACCCCGATGCCAAAAAAGTAGAAGACATGAATAGAAAAAGTAAACAAAAATTAAAATCCAAAACTGGTAATCTTGCAACTCCAGGGATACTTTGAAACCAAGGGCAACCACCGCATTTTTTGAAAGCGAAAGGTAGTAAAATAGAAAACCAGATCCCCCGGGTATCCATCCTTTTTCATGCAAAACAAGACAACAAGACGGCCGAAGCAGGGCACTTGGTGTGCGCTCTTCGGTCTTCCCATTATATTTCTCTTCACCAGCCCAGGAAAGGCGTCTATAATACCCTTTCCATGGTGAAAAGCGATTTGAATCCTGCAAAATTCCCCTTTTCCTTATTTTAATCCCAAAACTTAAAAAAAGAGCCGCCGCCGACGAGAAAAATAAATGTATCCAAGTTGAAGCCAAAAGCCCGATGGGGATCCGAAAGCGGATAACGAAGCAAAATAGGTATCAATATAAACACTGGTGAATCGAAACTACATGAAGGTCATAAAATCGTAAATGCATCAGGGGTTATGCACCAGAGATGTTTTGGAATAAATAAAGAGGATCGGAAGATGTGGAAAGATTCGAGTTGAGCCGGGAAAGATTGCGTTTAGCTAACAGCAGCCTTGATCTTTGAGCTTTGAGTCCAGGCCAAGAAATCGAATTTCTCTTTAGCGTTTTCACGCGAAAAGAGAGAAAAGGCGTTCGCATCTCCCGGTGAATTGCGTGGTGTCGATCGTTCTCGTGGCTCAAGGATTAACGACCGTCGGTAGTAGTTTTGGAACCCCTTCTCGCCGGCCGATCGCACGCGAACCAATTGATCCTGAATCCAAGTCTGAAGCTCAGGAACTTCCGTGAGGCGGTAAGGAATTTGGAACCGTTGGAGTTCGCTGATAATCTTGGCTGTTTTCATGTGCTTGTCAAAGTTAATCACCTCGATGGAACCGCTATCCGCTGTGAGCGTACGGGTATCTTGATTGCCATGATCAACAAAGGTCAGGTCTGTCAAGTATGTTCCCACAAATGGCAGACATGGAGGCACATGATTCTGAATACGGTGTCGCAGGACCGCATAGTTCCGAGATACGTCGACAATTTCCCGGAGAGTTTCCAGGATATTCTTAGTTTTCTGGGAGACTAGTTCCCATGTTCGCTTGAGGCGCGAGATGGTCGAGGAATTCAAAGAGCAGATGATTGCCATCAAGCTGTCGTAGTTGTTAAGTTCCAAGCACTTGGATGCGATCTTGACCCATTGCTTAATCACAAGAGCACGCTTTTTGGGCTCGTCCAACTGCAAAATGCAATCAGCGACAAGATTCGCAAGATCCGTGGAGAGAGTCGACATCGCGCGAACGTTGACCGCCAGTGAACCAGTCTTCTTCATCCACTCGGTACCTAGAAGTTCCTCTGGTAAAATTGAGCAGAATATTCTTGACTCCTTGAGGGTGAGTTGTCGAGCTAACTCCATAGGATCAAAATCCAGAATGGTGATATTCTGACCGCCATTTCTCCACTGCTTGAGCAAGTTCATCTGACTCTTCGAGATGATAGGGGATGGTAATGGCTGGTCAGGGTTGATATATTGAGCAATAGAAGTATTTGTTTTCCCCATTGATGAGACTAGCCTTGGAACCAGTGGGCCGTGAAGATCTGACACCTTTTCCACCAGTTCAACCAGGCGCCTTCCAGCAGTAGGCAAGCTGACTAGGAGCTTCGAACGTGCGAAGTTCAAGATACACGGTAAAGCGACATCATCACAATCATGCCGCCAGTGAGCTTCTAGCCATCCTTTGAATATATTTGACACCCGGAGTCGAACTGGGCCACCGGCATTGGAGTTGTCACCAATATAGTCATATCGATCAATCAGCGCTTCAGCAAATTCGACGGGGGTTGCAAAGTGGCGGAAGGTAAGGTAGAAAGTCGAGACAAACATGGCGTCTGGGGTAGATTCGTGAGCAGTAAGCTTCTCAATCAAAGCTCGAAGGCTTCCACCGATGACCTGGCCATCCTTGAACATGAGCTCGTGGGCGTAGGTCTTTTCGAGGATGCACTCCTCGCTTTCTTCTGCATCTTCACCACCGCTATGGTGAAGAGAAGCCACATCGTCTTTCAGGGGTGGCGGAGGTGGCTGGCTATCGACCGGCGTAGAAACACGGGTCGAGTCATCCGTGCCATCAGCAGTTTCAGTGTCATCAATATTGTTCACGCAAGTTCGCTCACTCTCTGCACTGGTCACACCTCGAGTTGGTTCATTCTGTGATTCAGCTTCTTGAGATTTTGTATGAAGATAAAGATCAAGGTCCTGGCTCTCCCTAAGGTCAGTAGAGGGGATAAGAGAGTCATTGAGGTCTGAAAATGAGGAGAGAGCGGCGCTAAACGGTTCGTCTAAGGTGGAGGTTGGTGTTTCAACGGCAGTAGTGATAAAACTTGGAGATGGCGTAGTGCCACCATCGGTTGTGAGGGAAGGCGTCAATGATAGCGTCGAAAGTGAGCCGCTAGGAATTTGTAGTGGTGGAGGCAGCCGAGTTGACCTTTCTTTTATCTCTGACTTGTTATCATTGCCTGATAAAGACTCGGTTTTCGGCGGCGTCTCCGTGTCCAAAGCACCTCCAAAGTCGTCTGTTGTCGTGTCGGTCTTGTCCACATCAGGAGTCGAGATACCCAGGCCAATTGCCGCGGCCTCAATCTCGAAATCCCCGACTTGCTCCAGAACCTGTCGGGCCTTCGCCACGCAGTCACCCGCTCCGCGAACACAGACGGTCGCAGCGTCAACTAAACGCTTTCCCTCGTCTGGCATGAATATTGTTTCGTCCTCGTTCCCATTTGCGGGTCGAAAGGCATCTCGAGCAGCATGAACGAGTTCTGTGATTCGCTCGTACATCGTGTCTTTGGCTTCCTCCAGAGCCTCCGAACGGTGCAGGTCGTGCTCCCAAACTTCTTCGACTACCGATAGCAAAACTCGACAGGACTGAACAGCTTGTTGCGTCGTCACGATGAGCTCCGTCGACGATCGAGAGTGGAGGTGAAGACCAATGAAGGAGCCCAACACACCGAGAAAGTCATCGATGGCAACGTTCAGCCTTTCGCTGGCGAGGTTTGGATTTCGGGAGGTAGAGGATGTGGCCGTGTAAGATATTCGATGTGAGACGGATGATCGTTTTGTTTGAATTGTAGAATGGCGACGTTGGTTAGGCTCGTTATAGGAGAGTTGAGAAGCAGCTCGCGAGGTGAATGATCCATTGATGCGACTTCGGGTTTCCATGCGTGAAGCTGCGCTAATGGCCGACTCTGGGGTGCTAGATTGTGTCGATCCCCAAGCGCTGCTTGATATGCTGAACGATGATTCAACAGGTGGTGTGAGTGGCTCATCGTACATGCGAGCCATCGAATCGCTGGGGCTAAGTTCAGCCATTACCCGAGATAGGCCAACTTCTTCGTTCCACACATCCAAAAATCGGACGCCACGTGTGACTATCTTAAAAGCCTTGAGGAGCATCTGGTCAAAGATACTATCCAGCGAGTCGTCCAGCGGCGCACCATTGGCAATATCTCTGAGATTCTTGGCCATTTTTGCCAACGACGAGAGATCGGACAGTAAAGTCTTCCGATTTCGCCTGAGACCAACAAGTTTCTGAACAAGCTCGTCTTCCCTTTTCAGGCATTCCGATTTTTCCTGGTCCAAGTTAGCTTTCATCAAAAGAGAGGATTCGTATGGAGAGCTCGTACCAAAAGGAATCGCACTCCAGCAATGATCCCTCTCATGTAATCCTGATTCCCAAACTGATGGAGAGTCGCACATGATCCTGCACGGATGACATCCCAAAAATCCATCAAGGCCTTCAACAGCGGGCGCATCAGTTGCTGGTCATAAGCTTCACAGTAATTTGTAGGCAGCCAGCCTCTGGCGCCGGTATCCAAGAGTGTGCCATCAGCCCAGCCGTTGGTATGAACAGAGTGCACAAGCACTAGATCGCCCTGATCCAGCGGGAGAGTCACAGTGGCAGATGAGATTGGAGCGCCAGGGTGAAAAGGATAGAACGCACGAAGATAATTTGGGAATGCCGATCTCTCTGAATTGCTTCGATCAACCATATCCTCGCGTGAACTGTGAGGCGTCAATGGTGGCGTCATCCGTAACTGTGTTTTCAGAGCTGAGAACAAGCGTTGGTTGGATGCAATTCGCGTGGAGAATGATCCATTTCGAAACTGTGACTGAGCTTTGCCATTAGATAT